GCCCATCGAGCTCGAGAAGGAAGCCAACCTTGGCAGGGATCCTAACCACCCACTTGTGGCGTGCATTTACTTTGAGCCGATGGCGAAAGGTGTGGAGTAAGGACCAGAGTCATGGGATTGCGGTCGAACTTTCAATGGGCTAAAAAGCCCATTCTAAAGGGAAAGGAACAGATCGATCAAGATGGACAGCTTCGTAAGGATGCATAGATCCACGGATGGGCTTGATCCTGTTAAAGTAGTGGATATCGTGGGGCTTTGTTGGAGCCAAACAAGTGTGTTCACTCCTCGTCATCTCGGAAAAAGCAATATGAAAAGAGAAATCCAAGCTACATTCACCAATAAAATGGGCTTCTTTTTTTCTCTATGTTTCTTTTTCTTTTTCGTTTCTTTTTTCCTCCTTTGTCTCTCTTTCCTCCTCCCTCACGTTTCTCCCTCCCCTCCGCTTTTCAAAAATAAGATGGCATCCATCCAGGGTTGCCCCTCTCTCAAGTCCTTTCGCCTTTGCTTCGTTCACCTTGTTGAGCTCAAGAAAAGAAAGAAGAAATAGGCGCTGGGGAGAATATGCCTTCTTATTCAGCAGGGACCCAACAGTTGAGATTACTATTATCAATATCATGGCCGGCCGGGTTTTGGTGCTGTGTTGAATGATCAATGGTCCCGCATGGGACTGCAGGCTCTTGCATCCCAAGGATTCACCAAATTTAACCTCGGCGCACCAATCACGTACCTCGGCGCACCAATCACGTACCCATCCTCAGCCCTCGTTCGCCAGATGCACGGCGCGAGCATGCTAGAGCGGCCTGAACTTCTTCGTCGCTATCCTCAGGCAAGGCCATCGACTCCTCATTTCCCCGGGAAGCCCTCAAGCCTGGTACTAGTGTCGATTCGTCGTGAACAGGGCAAGGTGCAAACAATGCAACGGCGGGGTAGCCGACAAACTCATGTGGGCAAGCAGTCAGGGAGGGTGCAGCTGAGGTACCAAGTTTTTTTCTTTCATCCTTACTCCGGGCTTGGTCTTTTCTTCCTTTTTCTATTGGTCCTGGAGGAGGTAGGAAGCGGGCAAGAGGCGAGAATTGCCATTACCTTGGGTGGGTGGTGCATGGGTGAATAGGCAAGTTGATACTGGGTAGCAACCTCGTGAGGTGGTTCTGTTGGTGATCAATGATGGAGCACTCCACTGCAAGCAGACACAAAACCATCAGCCCTGGGTAGGGCTCACTCCTTGTGGTTTACACTAACATTAACTAGCATGTTAGAGTTGAGTACACACCATGAGAATACTTGGAATTCGCTCCAGACCCTTGCCCTTGGCCCAATGAGGGTGGTGGGGGTGTGGGTCCCTCATGGGGTCTTTACGGCTGGCCACACGAGGGAGCTAGAACAAATCGAGGTCGACGACATCGCATGGGGCTCGGTAATGGTGAACTGAGGCTCGCCTTTCTCACTTCGCCTGCTCCTCCACAGATGCCTTCCTCCTGGCTGGCCGCCCTCCTCCATGGGAGCTGAGATGACCCCGTCGTAAGGTTGCAGGAGTGACAAGACCCCAGTAGAACTGGGCAGGCCACCCCCTCCCGTTTCTCCCCTCCTCTTGCCAGTTTGCCTTGGCCCTGGGAAGCGTGCCCGTGGTGAAGGGCGCCCCGTCGTCGGTACACCTGTCTTCCTGGCGGCCCCTCGCCTCATGCTTAATCTAAGCCAGCTCTTCTACCCATTTCCTGGTGAAATGAGATCGGATTACTGTGGGGGAGGGTGGGCAAGCCTTTCGCAAGTCTTTTGTGCTCTCAAATCATCAGCGATGACTTGAAACAGGCCCTAAAGGTGTATCGAAAATATTGCATGCGTGAGTTCCTCCTCGCCCCGCCGTAAACGCGACCCTGTAGTGCAGTGAAGTGCAAGGGAGCTCGGTGGAGAGGTCTCATCGGTCCATAAAAACCCCGCCTCCGAGGATCCTAGCATGGATGAATCTTCCCACCCACTCAAGTCAACGTCACATCCACCACAAGGTACTTGCGGCCCTAGGGGTGTGGCATTACTCCAAAATAAAATATCTGCACTGAGGGACATCATAGTCTTGGCAGCTCGCATGCTCTCACGCCAGCTAACGATCATTGATGCTCGTTGCTTTTTTAGAATCCCTCCTGCCACACTCAAATACTCAAATTCAGTCTTTTTCCAAAGAGCCCCTTGTCCTCGTTGGAGGACTCCAAAGCCTCGATTCTTGTCTTTGTTGTAATAGCCACCAGCGTTCACACCACTTGCGTAGTTCCTCTTTAAACCCAACCAAACAGACTCACCCTCGCTCAAGCTGGTGTTTTGAAGTGAAGCTGTTTTACTGTGAGGCTTGCCCTATAATAGGGCCTAAGGATTGCTTTTCTACGGGAACGGAGAGATTAAGAACTTGAGGCGGCAAATAGAAAAAGAGAAAAAAAAAAAAATAGAAGAAGGAAGAGAAAGGACAAAAAAGCTCTAGAGTGAGCGCTGAACGTTATTCAAACCCGCACCACTTTGCTGGCCACGGTATTGTTGCAACTTACGTGTGCGCTTGATCTGTGCGGCTTGGGCTGGTGGCAGGGCCAGCTGTTGCACATCATTTATTACAGGACCCTCCCCCGGCTCTGTATCTTAGCAACTGTCGAGGTTTCGTGGATCTCTCGCACCTGCTTCGACCCCCTCCCATCCACCTCTGTGCAACAATTTTGATTCGTGGGGTTGTGAAGTGAGATCAAACAAGAGCGACGCTCACAGCATATTGAGAGAAGCGGCGACCGAGATCTACTTTCCCTTCCATTCCCGAACCAGCGCCCGCCGAGCTCTTCGGTTGCGAACCTCACGGCCGATCTTTTTCACCCACCGATACTTGAGAGCCTTGACACCGTCAAAGGTACCCCGGCGGTACTCGAAGCTTCCTCTCACTTGGCACAAACGTACGTCTCGTTCAAGGCGAGGCTTCTCTTTCCCCATCAGAGAGTTCAAGTTGGTTGCCTGCATCTAGCCAACAGATCCATCCATCTCGCGAGAACACGGAAGGCGGCGAATCGCCCTTGCCGCGACTTACGCAGCTCCAGCCTTCGCTTACCTCCTGACGACCCTATCACCCGCCAGTTACAACGAAGCGCACCTTCTGGTCCCTGCACCTAGACCTTTTCAAACTTCGCTTCCATCACCACCTCAAATTTCCTCACCGGGGTTAGCCGCCTCTTCCAAACCTGACCCCGCTTCGACGACAGGAAAAGCCGTTCGCGATCTTCAGACGCTCTTTACCGCACTTCGATCCCCATTTTCGCCAACGGCCTTGCCGACCGGGGACTCGGGTTTGCGCATTGCCGACCGCCTATGAGAGGCCGCACCGGACTCGTCTCTTATCACTTGCGACGGCAATTTTCTCTCGTCCTCAACTGCTTGGCGCAGCCGGTTGACGCAAGGAACAGGACATTGAAGTTTGCCTCGCTCCGAGCGTCGACGCCCTCACGCATAGTCCTTGCCTAACTTTGTGCCTTGTCAAAACTAGCAGCGAAACTCCTGCGACAACCAGTATTAACCACAGAGCCCAGGCCCGCCGAGTCTTGCGCTCACAGGATTGCAGTGCCTTGAGGGATATCGAGAAACATCGATCCTCATTTTTATTGTCTGTGACTAGTAGGGCGACCATTCCTCTTCAAAGCGGCAGGTCGAAATTGACCCAGCGTTTCGCCTCACCTACGCCTGCCTGTCCTCCCCATACTCCATTGCGAGAGTGCCGTTTCCTCCTGACACCCATGCGCGTGTGGCCATCGTTCTAGGCGATATACTTTCATCCTCCCGGCTCGCTTCGACCCGCCTACGCACTCGGTACCTAGGGCTCTTGCTTGCTGTTATCATTTGTTCCCACACAGCCTCTACCGAGCAGGATTTAGGGAAGCTCCTCCCACTCGAATGCCAACCCACGCCTCATTGACACCTAGTAAGGGCGCGCCGTCTCCCTTGTAGAGGATGGTTGGGGGAATCTTTTGGCAAGCTACGAATTCACTCATCGTTTGAATCGCCTTACAACGACTTGGACGTACTTTTAGCTCCTTTTCTTGATACGGCACCATCTCTTAAAGCACACCCTCAACTTACTGTATATTACTTCAAGGCCGCTTCGCCTCTTCACGGGTGCTTGCTCTTTGTGGATCGCAGCAGACCAGCATCGCCCTCAATTTCTTCCACTAATCGACCCCGAATCATCGGATGCCGGTGTATATGGTATTAGTCGGTGCACCGTTGCTGTCATGACTCGTCCCAAGGTACCGGACGACAAACGGCAGAGGACAGCTCAGGCTTGTGAAACCTGCAAGCGGCGAAAACAAAAGGTGAGCAGCCGAGACCATACCCCCTGCGGCTCTCTAGCCATATTTTCCTCGCCGCTTCCATCTGGACTGCCAGACTCGTGTAGTACTTTGTCCTTTCACCCTCCGATAAGCTGTCACGCTCCTCCTAGACCCGATTCCTCTCCTTACCCCCTCCCCTGATGCCTTGAGGTTGGTAACGCACACAACGGGGAGCTTCCCTGTCTGCCATTTTAGCCTTTGTATGCTGCTGTCGCGCGACATTCCGCGAGGAGATGGGGATTTCCCCAACCTCGGAGCCGAGTACTAACAATCTATGGTAGTGTAATGGCCAGAACCCATGCTCAGCGTGTTTGAAACGATCATCAGAATGCACATACAAAACCGAACCTGTGCCCGAGACTGCTCCACCACAGAAGACTTCGTCGATAAAACGTAGACTAGTCGAGATATCTGATCCCCCAACTGGCTCACAAATCACGGGAGAACAGAAGGCCGCGAAAAACCAGCCATTCGACAAGGTTCTGTTACTACACCGACTAGTACTCGACGCTCGGTGGAAAACGGTATCACCTCCTTGCCGAGCATTCCCCACCTGTTGAAGATGTTATACATCGTGCCCCTTATGACTGCGACTCCCAACAGAGTACGGTATCCGGCCCGGATGATGAGGCAGAAGTTTATACGGAAACAAGAATGCTTCAAGCTCCTAATGGACGCCTCAGTACGTAGCTGCCTGTGTGCCCCCTCTCTACGCTCAGTATCTGGGACTCATCACATTCTTTTACAGTCTACCTTGGCGATTCAGCTACACTATCGTGCCTCCAAATCCTAAGGTTTATTGTCGGCGAGTTCGAATCCTGCGATTTTACAGATGACCCGAGCCGCCACAAGTTTATGGAGAACATGGTAGACTTTGACTCAAACCAGGAGCTCCCAGGAGGCATTAACCCTCCTACCTCGACTGTTGAGGCACTCTTAACCTCCTTTTTACAAACGTGAGAGAATTTCCCGTACCAATTCGTGTATATGTTGGCGACATGCAATAACACTTGTCCGTAACTTGACTTAGACACATGGTCTTCTTGACCTCTTTAATCGAGCTGATTTCGAGCGCGCCGTGTACGCCTGCGCGGGCGATCCTTTCGCAGGGAAGCCTGGAATACATAGCCTCATGTATCTCAATTTTGCCACCGGCCTCGTCCTAGCTACTCCGAAGCCGGGAAGTGACGAACACGTCATCATTGGCCATCTCCAGCGCTCCAAGATAGATGTAGCGGAGAGCTATTTTCGTGCTGCTCAGAGACACATGGATCCATTGACCGCCCACGAGAGAGGCGACTTTTGGACCGTCCAGGTTCTATGTCTTATGGCGGTCTATTCTCTCTCAGTCTCGAGGCGAAACGCAGCCGTCTCTTATTTAAGTGAGTTAGAAGCCTAGCCAGGTTGCCGTGAAGAGGGTCGCTTGGACTCCGTTTTCTTCACTGTACTAAGGAGTAAAAATAGGCATGGCCGTTCAGTTTGCCTTCACGCTAGGTCTCCATCGCGGAGAACAGACACAGGTAATATTTCCCCTCGAGGAACAGATTGTCCGGCGGAGGGTATGGAGAAGTCTATTCGTTCTTGACCGTTTTCTTGCGGCGGCTCTTGGCCGGCCGGTATTGATATCAGACGAAGATTGCTCCTCCGACTCCCTCCGTTCACTTTCAGAACAGCCCAACCGTTTATCCGAAAACGACCGAAGTATGAACATTGCAGTGGACATCTCGATGCTCATCGGCCGTATCCTGAAAACCGTTTATGCCAGGAGAAGGGTGTCGACAAAACTTGCTCACGAGTTTGCTCTCGACTGCCAAAAGTTAGACAAGCAGCTTCAGGGAGAATTCCACTGGAGGAGAGCTGTTGATCCGTCGACGCCCATTATTGAAGCTACGGCCGTCCTTCACCTCAATCTATATCGTTATCACGCCGTCCTCTTGTACACAAGACCTTTTTTCCTCTATCTCTTGAAGAACTTTCAAGTCGACAAGGTGCCTCCGACTCGATTTAGCCCGAGGATGCAGAGGTTCTCTCAGACCTGCGTGAAGGCTGCCGAACACACCATCACGATTGTTTATGGAGCTCTTAGGGCTGGCTACCTACCACAGAGGAACCCGTTTGTTACGTGAGCATATCCTTTCGCGCTCCTGTCTAGCCCCCACTATTGTACGTGAAATACTAAGACGGATCATTCCCAGGCATTTTCTTTTGCGGCCTCCCTGGTAATCCTAGGGAACGAGTTTGCAAAGCTGCATGTGAATCACGGGTACCAGGAGCAGATCTCTAGCGTTGTCAAAATCATCAGGTATTGCGCAGAGACTGATCCCCAGGCTCTTCGCCTCACCTACATTGTAGACACGTTTTGCGATGTCGTTGCGCGGCGTCACAGGTCCCAGTCATTCGATGTGGACGGCCCTCGAGCCCCTCCATACTCAGCATCTGCCCGGGAGACGATTTCCTCGGGATCTAGCCGCAACCCCAAGATCGATTCTCATCCGCTTAACGCACCTCCTCCCCTTTCAGACGGACCCCCACCGGTGGTGCACGAAGCACCATCGAATCTCCCCTGGGCTATCCCTCCCACAATCCTGCCCTGCAGGAGGCCTCTTTTCGTATGCCAACGGTTAGTGGAGCGTCCCCGGTGAGCTCGGGCGGCTCTTTGCGAGGGAGTGATGGCCTGGCCGGGAGACGTGCGAGCGATGTGAATACACCAATAGGTGAAGACGAAGTTAACCTTGATGTTCTTTGGCCCTCGGCTCGTGGCGATGGTGTGACAGATGCGGGGATCGCCACACACGACTACCCGTTGGGCTTGCCAAAGGCGATGCCTGCAGAGGCAAGCTCATACGGGATGTATGCGGCCTTCATGCACGGACATGAGAGGCCAATTTAAGTATATACGGCACATTGAGGAGAGATGTGCTCTCGCAGCCAGTATTATATACCACCCTAGTGGCCTTGGAGCCGACCCTGCCATCAACACAGCATAGTAGAGTGGGTGTGCGATAGTAGGGTTTCTCCCTACGGCTTTGCTACCCGCGTTTACTTGTCGCTTAACGAACGACGAAACTCTCTGTTTGCGACGAGTTTCACATCTCATCATATAGATGCAAACGCGACTTCAAGTCGTTTTTGCGAGGGCGAATGGAACACTTAAAATTGGCGTGGCTCATGGGTTGGTCTAGATTTGTTTTGAGGCAAGTAGAGTCATGATTATCGATGTTTGATACCTTTTCTTTTTCTGGAAAATTCAGTTGCCTGTTTCGAGAGCTGTTTGATATGATGCTACATGTAGCCCGTAACTCATTAATCGGATCCTTCCATGCTTTCAGAGCGAACAAAGGAAGACCGTCAACCGCACCAAGTCCGTCTTACAGCCCTATAACCTAGACAACACGAAGTCATAGGCTAAAGTCCATTTGGCCTCTTCATCGCCGCTTCTGGGAAAGAACTCAACCACCAAATCTTCTTTAACAGCAAACACAGTATCATTTTTCAAGTATTTGTCATCCCTATCAAACAACTGCGTGGTCAGGGGCGATACCCATCAGCCGTGATGATGATATGGATATGCGCTGGCCTCCACGGGTGGCGGTCGAGAAGCTCGAGAAGAGTACCACCCGGGCCGTCGTCGGGAATGGGGTACGGGGCCGGGCGCAAACAATACAGGGAATAGCGACCGGATTTATCTGTGCAAAACCTCCCCTTAGATTGAAGTCTGGCTGTTCTGGATCTTGCTGTTCGTACATGCCATTTGGCGCGGTATGCCAGATGTCGATGATAGCGCCGGAAACAGGAGATCCGTTGCTGTCAAAGATCTGGCCAGAGAAGTGTGTGAGATCCTGAGCGAAGGCCTCTTGGGTCTTGGGCGCAACAATGCTGCTCCCATTCGGCAAGATGGGGGCGTCGGTCCGGTAAAAGGGCCCGAGAATAGCAGAAGAGGTGCTACTTATCAAGTTAGGGAGGCCTTTTCGAGAAGCTTGGACGAGATCTCGTCAACGAGAGATTCTAGCCCTAGGATATCGCAAACAAGCTGGGTCTCGTTACGCCTATCATTGGACATTTGTCCAGCGGCGTTGATCTATGCGGCCGCATATTAGTAAACCGAAGGTGTTTGATGGCTCACCATGGTGGCCCATCATGGTGGCCCATCACCATCACCGGGGAAGGGAGGAAGTTAAGGGTGAAGCCATACGAATTCTACGGCCGCCATCCACTCAGCAACCGTGAGGTCCACCTCGCGCGCGAAATCATGGAGGTGGCGCAAGAGACTTGGCATAACCTCTGCCATCCTCTTATGGGCATTTGGCCCGGTAGCGGCGATGACTTGGTCGGTGAAGTTGAGATCATATCCGTGATCCGGTACGGGTGGCGGTTTCATGGCCTTTTTCGCTGGTGAAACCTGCGCGCCCATCTGGGCTAAACCTTGAGTGACCTGACTAGGCATATCTGTGTATGTTTTCCTTTCCCTTGGTTCGCGGCCGTTCTCGTTGCGTGGTGATGTAAATATGATTTTATCAAGAGTGGTTAGTTGTACCACCTGGGTGAGCGTGTTGGCAAAGAAGTCAAAGTTGATCGGGATAAGTGGTGCCCACACGGCTGCAACAGTAAGATGGGATTCAACTAGCGTGGAGATGAGAAGCTGTCAGAAGGTACCAAAGCGGTTGGCGCCACGGCGGGACTATACGATTTTCCGAGGCTGGGAATGGGCGAAGTTTAAAAATATATACTCGCGCCGGAGAGGGGGAAATGGGGGACTAACATGGACCTAATGAATGGCGCAGCCAGCCAAAGGAGGATAGCAAGGACAAGGAACAAGCAAGGTATGGGGGATGGGAAGGGAGCAGGAGGTTACGCATTGGTCGCGGGGAGCCTATCGAACAGGAGCCACCGCAGCGGTCTAGAGAGATCCATCTAGCTACAAACTAAGAAAGTGGGCCGTGGCTCCGAAACCTGGAGAAATCGTGGACACAGTAACCGCGAGGAGGAGCAAGAGTAGCGCGGGGTGGTGATCCTGCGCTCGGAGATCCACTTCGGGGCGGCAGGCTTGCTCATCCCGAGCACGTCCGTCGCGAAGTGAGGTGGCACTAAAGAGGACAGCACGAGAGCGTGCTTATCACGCCATTCAATTGCGAGAAACGGAAATTCTAGGAAAGTTCTTCCAAGGATATCAATGAGACGATGCGGTGATCTAGTGGGCCCCTCGAAGGCGAAAAGAAAAACACGCCCTTGGGGGTGGTCTTGGGAAGACAGAAGATCAGCCTCAAACTCGCAAGGGGCGAGGCAGTCTGCATGAGAAACCCCGGACGAGGTTACCTCCCAGCGCCGCGGCATCTCGTCACTGGCTTTTCTCAGGGTGGGCGCCAAACCGAGCAAGGCCACAATCACGAAGCCCCGCGCGGCACCCACGGCCCTTCCCACGTCCCTCTGCGTTGGCGTTTGCTGATCAACGTCGCCCAACTGACAGATGAGGCCCATGGCTTGCCACATACTTCTTTGCCCCTTCCAGCACAAAGATTAGTCGATAATGGAAAAGGGGGGAAGGGGGCGATGATCATCTTGTTTGCGGAGAAGGGGAGAATCTGTCTTGAGCGAATGGCGAGAGAGAGAGGGCAGACTAGTGTAGGGATAATGCCTGAGAATGTTTGAAGTTGGTTGTGGCTCGTCGTTCAAGGACTGTTCTAGACCCCCAAGACACGGTTCCATGGTGGCACATTCAACGACGGGGCCGATATGATTGCTGATGGACACCTGTGACTGGTTAAGAAGCCAACAGCGAGAGAACTTGAATGTCCGAATGCGGTCGACTACCAGCGTTGTTCCCTGGTGAGGGTCAAAAGCTTGGGTTTGTTATGGGTTACTGGGGCCACCGAGGAATATGTCGAAATACTCCGCCCCAACCTCCGGACACCACCCTCTTTGGGTCGCCAAGGGTTGCTTGGCCTCAAGGAAACCAACGCCCTTTTAGACAGGGAAGGCGGCGTTGTCTGGAAACTCGCTCCGGGTATGCAGCCTCTGTAATTCCGTCCCGTACATTTTGGTCTTTCTCCCTCGAGGGGAGGGACCCAGGTCGGCCAAACGTTGCACGACATGACGGGTTTGTGGGGTTCCAAGCACCACTGCACCGGGATGCTATCATGCGAGGGCAATGGTCGCCAGTTCGGGGATATAGCCAATACCCCCTCATAAGTCCGGGGGAAAGCAGGGAGGGGTGGAGGAAGAGGAGCAATTCCTGGCCCTTTGTCTTCTTCCATGATTGAGGTTCTTAGACTCTAACATAGCCATGTCCTCGAGAAAGATCATCAGCTTCTTTGACGGTGCCTCTGAGCGCCAACAATTGTGTTCCACACAGTATTGGGCATGGCCCAAGCAGGGATATTCGCTTTGGGGGCCGATATTTCCCGGGGCCACCACGCCAGTTTTGCTCCCAGGGCCGCCCGCCCACGTGGGATTTGCCGAGTGTGGTACCAATCACAGCATGTCGTCACGTCCGGTCCAGAGTCTGCTCCAGAGCCAACAGCAGCAGAGCGCGGCACATGGAGCAGCGGCACTTTGGCGAGGTGTGGGCAGTCAATCTTCGCGGTACCTCGAGACTACCGGGGGCTGGCACGCTTTGGGCTGGCAAAACGGCATACTTGCCCTGATTGGAAATCGAGCACGGCCAAAGCAGGCCCCCAGACATCGACAGCCCTGAACGCCCAGGGATAACTCGCGGGCTGTGTCTTCCATGGTTTAGCCTCCCCATGGGGCCACGACACTAATAGCATAGCAGCGCACGCGTCTATCTCGGAGTCACGGCTGGGATCCAAGGGTCGACCCAAAATGGAACAGGGGAAGTAAAAAGTAGGAGCAGCAGCAGTCACATCACGACTTGTGGTATTAGTGTACTTCTCGCAGTGTTTGCGCGAAGCATGACCAACGCGCGCCCAATGCGCAGCCATGGCCTGATGGAGGCTTTCAAAAGGGTTAGCCAGAGAGGGTTTTTTTCTTTTCTTTTTTTCTCTCTCTTTTCGGTTTTATTTTTAGTGCTTCCCCTCCCCTTTCTCTTCTGGCAATGGCTGACGTCGACTTTTAGGCGCAGTCGAGGTTTGGGGGTGATACTGCATCGGTCTACAAGAGGGTGGATGCCATGCCATGCCTGACATGCTGTCAAGAGGAGGGAAGCTAATCTCCTCTTGCCCATGGCGTGCAGCTGTCATGTTCAAGACTAGTAGAATAATGGCGCAAATGGATCCTTCAGAATCTGACCGCCACCGTATACCACTGGTGTATGGCCATCCTAGCGAGTCTCGGGGCTCGGTGCTCGGGGTCCGCAGAGCATCCGGCCCCATCGACGATGAGACGCAATCCTCGCGACTCACGCCCGGGAAGGATTCCGGTTCCAACAAACAAGTAGTTTCAGGGAATTGTAGAGCTGATCTACAAGTACGGGTATCCCCCTCCTTCCCCAATGAGGGAACCGAGATGGAAGAGAGGGATGCCGGAGACTCGCATTGTTTTCCAGTCCCCTCTGACTTTTAATCCTTTGCAACGAGCTCTCGAGGTTTCGGGCGCTTGGCGGAAGCATTGATTAATACCTCGACTTGATCGCGGTGCGACGTTCTTTTCAATGCAGTTACAAGTACAGATAGTGGGCGAGAGAAGAATCGGCGGCTCCGAAACTAGCAGAATACGAAGGAGATTGTTTCTCGCCCTGTCGGTGAGCCTCGAGATGGGATTGGCTTCTGTTTTTGGCGAGTGGCCGGGATGCCCCAGGATGGCCTGGATTGGCCCTGGATTGGCCCTGGATGGGCTGAAACGAATTCCACGCCCACTCCAATATCGTTTGGCTGGTCTGGACCCCCGCCCATAACACAGGACCAAGGATGGCGTTCCCCGCGCTTCGAGAAAAGAAAAGCAAAGAGCACAAATTCTTATTTCGTGAAGAGCATACCTCGGTAAGCCAAGGAGATCAAAGGATCAGAAAGATCAAAGAACCCTTGCTCCTCACCCCTCCCCTCCTGCCTCTTAAGGTCTCCTCATGTGGATGACTTCATCTGCAGGTGCAGGTGAGGTGATGTGCCGAACGTCTTAACCTCCGGAGAGAGGGATGTCGCCAAAGCCCTCTTGGCTGACCTGCGCCCTCATTCGGCACTAATCACACACATATACGCTCCAATTTGACCTGCTCCAGGGGTGCATTCAAGAAAGGGACTTGCTCTCGAGGTTTTCGAACCGACTCCCCACGTCAACAGTGGACAAAAGGGAGGGTAAGGAAAATGTGACAACGTCGCACGAGTGACACGGCCTCGAGCTTCTACATACGCAAAGAATGTGGTTGATGCAAGAGCGCCTCTTTGTAGACCGGTCCTGCGCTGCGCGCTGCACAGCAAGCCTCCATGTCGACGTGTTGGGGTGTGGCCCTGTCCCCACGGCCATCTCAAGGGCCGCGGTATCATCGTTCCTCAGGGGAGCATCAAGTCAGAACTTTTTCTCTCGTGCATATCGTGCATATCGTGGAAAGATATTTCTCGGAAACCAGTTGGCTGGTTCGGTTCACACTCGCACACACAGGTTGAAGCAACGCGATGGAAACAAGGGCGGGCCCAGCAGTTGATTCTCGAGGTGGGGGCGGCAAGGGTGTTGCCATGAAGGAAGGCTTCGCAGCCGGTGTAGACTGCCCCCACTTGAACCCGCGGGGCTATGAGGCGTCCTGAATAATTTGTAGGGCAGCTGGGGGAGTGATCCAACGCGGGGTTTGTCCTGTTTTTTATTCATCTTCTTCTGTTCCTGGCCTCTATCTCCTCATTGCGTTTCATCTTCTCTGTTGTGGTTCTCGTGGCAGACGATGAGCATCGCGCGTCGAGGAGAGTATCCCCGGAGGAAAGGAGGGCGGTGCGCCGGAGGTAGGAAACGCGTCAGCTCTCAAAGGGTGTACTTGTATCAGATGGTCCAAGCAAAGAGGCATCCTGGATTCTTTGTGAAGTGTTTGAAGAGGTCTGGCTCTCACGTCAACCAGCTCACCAATCCATGCACCCATTATTCGACCGTTATTAGTGTATTACATGCTATAGAGCCAGCTGGCACTCTTTTCAGCGGGCCCTCTGTCTAGACTCTTGATAGCAAGCGGGAATTCTGAGGGACAGCAGTTCACTCCGTCTGGGTTCCGGCGGCTTCGAGGTTTTGGCCTTGGCACTATCACTAGATTACTAGCCTGGCGCACGCAACATACGACTGGGGAATTCTAACTTGTTGTTGACAGCCCCCTGATCCTGGGGTACTATCAGATATCAATTTCCTCTTCCTCTCTTCTTCTGTTTTGGTGGTTTGGTGGAAATACCATTGGACAGAAGGCCCCAGACAACCTTGTTCTCCTTTGATGGGGGTATTTTTCCGGGCAAGTAAAGCCGAGCATCTAGCCAAGGCATCTATCTGCATGGAGGACGGGGAGATAAACAGGCGGGGAGAGAGGGACAGAGCAAGAGATAGATAGGCATATTCCCCAAGCGCAAGTAGTCTCGGGTGACAGTCCCCCGCTCCCCTTTGGCAGGCGCCTCTCTCGTTCTCACCGGTGCCGGGGAGAAGACCTCGATCAGCCCACTCTTGCCGAGTGCGAGGTGTGTGGATCGAGCAGACCCTGAAATAGACAGGATCAGATTCGGTGTACATCACTGATCCTGCTAGCGCCGTCCCCCCGCTCACCTCCCAGGCACAAACACGGCCCTGGAGGCCCAGCCCTCGACAAACACGCCCGGGCAGCTCGAGCAAGGTCGCGAGAATCAGCGCGCGCGCACGCATGGTGACCATGGCATGCTCGTTTGAGCGAGATATCAAATTGCCCTTCTCCTTATAGGCTGAGGGTATTAGAGGGACTCGGGGGTGGGGCCGGATCGCTGAGCAGGATTGTGCGTCTGTCTTGATGGTGATCAAGGATGGGAGTTGACGCAAGGGTGAGTTTGCTGGCGGGTGGAAAGAGGGAGAAGAAAATTATTTCCAGAAAAGAAGAAGAATGATAGACCACAAAACAGGAGAGAAGAAAAAGGGCGGGGGGACACAGAAAGACGGACGAAAGTCCCTGATGGAAGAGCAGGGGGAGAAGGGGGGTCATGACAGATGATCGTGAGGGTTTGGTTAGGAAACGCAAAAGGGGAGTAGGCTTCAGCTCGCCCGCCTCCCCACGGCATTGGCTTGACGCGACATCGACACAGACCTTCTCGAGGTAGTGGGTTAATATCAAATATCTTGAGGGGGCCGCCTCATACCACATCGTCTCTCTCAGCCATAACCTCCTAGACCTCAGGTTTCGCCCTCAACGAGTCCACAGGCGTATGACATTGACGCAACCCATGGATTTCTCATCTAATAACACATTTCTTTCTCCCCCTTCCAGAGCGGGACTCACATCGCACTGCATCTCCATCAAGAGCCAAGCGCGGGGGCACTGCGCATATGAATTTTTATTTTCCTTCTTCTTCATTAGATGGGTTTCTGGCGCAGACACCCTCCTTCGCCCATCTATATACCCTGTCGTGTCATGGCTCCCGGGGTAGAGAGGTTGCACCAATACTACTCAATACTCCTCTGACGCAATGGAGATCTCGTCTGCCCCCTCTTGGCCAGCCCTTCTGCTCCCACCGAACCCCAGCAGTACCCTGAGAGCGGGTTCAGCGTCGAGAGGCGCACGGCTCTCTGTAGGATTCGCGCGCATCGCCATGCAGCCCCCACGACCCTCTAGTCACGATAGGTCGGGCTTTCTGTGGCCAAACGGCGTCGATGGAGGAGGAGGAGGGAGAGAAACAAAAGAGGACGAAGAAGAAGAAGAAAAAAATCTCTTGGCGACCAAGGACACAAACCTCCGACTTGCCGCCGTAACCGGGGGCAGGAAGGGTGGTTGCATCACACACTCGCCCTCCTTTGTCTTAGTGTCAAAGGAGAAAGACTTGGAGGGAGACGAGAGAGAGTTGCGCACACAAAGCAAAGGAGAGAATAGAAAAGAAACAAAGCGTGACGAGACTTGCAAGCGACCATGGCCAAATAAATGTGATACATCTACTCTAGTGGTACAAGTCTAAGGGCTCGGGGCGTCCCGGGAGGTCGCTCGCGAAGTTTACATGCAATCAATATGCAGCGTGCAATGCTCCGTCTCGTGCAGCAATGCAACGGGGGTTACAAGAAAACAAAACCGTCCCTTCCCTTGTGTCGGGGCGCCTGTGGCTTGCTCCATGTACAGGAAAGAGCACAAAGTGTTTTAAGAAAAATGAGATACAAAAAACAAGATGAGAAAACTGCGCTTCATAAACCTGCCGTTTTGGTACTATAGCCACCTTTCCCCCTCCTCCTGCACTTGCAAGCGAGAAAATTTTCATCATGAGATGGAGGCCACGGCCTCCGAGACTCACCACGACTCGGGACCAAAGGTCTGCCCCTCGGGGAGCTTGACCTGCACGGCCCCACCCTTGTAGTCCAACGTCGTTTTGACGATGTCATTCCCCACCAGGAGGGGGATCGATGGAGCGGAGGGTAAAGGCGAAGAAGACGACGAGGGTTGCCAGCGCGAGCCCGAGGTCGAGGCTGGATGACGTGAGAAAATTGAGCCGGCTCCACCACGCAAAGTGTCGCGAGCGGATGCGATACTGGAACAGGTAGCCCACCATACCCCAGGTGAGGTAGTTGAGGGGCGACGCTGGCGGTATCATGCCCGCGCCGCCAAAGATGAGCGGCGCCATGAGGTGCTTCGCGATGGAATTGGGCCAGCGCTTCCCCGCGTAGTAGATGATGATGGGAACGATGGCACCGAGGCCAAAAAGAAGAATAGCCCCGAGTAGACTTGGCCGGGGAGAACATGCGGGCGGGGCCAATGAGACCCCAGATGACCGACGCTATTCGTGTCACACACACACAATCAGCTTACCGCTGCGCAAGCCACGACGTGGGGGTAATCAATGGAAAGCCAAGACATACCTGCAAAGAAAACGCGGCCGCCAGGGCAGGTGAACCTCTCGGGCTGCTCAAGGGTGCAAACCCCTTCGATATTGTTCAGAGCGCCGTTGAGCACCATGATCTGGATGAAGCAGGATAACGTGGTCGAGACGACCTGGGCGAGGAACATGGTGCGAGGGGGATCTTCATGTAGTGGCCGAATTTGAGGTCGGAGATGAAGTTGAGGGCTTGGGACATGGTGATGTAGCCAAACGTTTTGAAGCTAAATAGCAATTTTGAGCCCTTGGTTAATTGCGAGCGCTCGTCGAACCGTTTTAAAAAGCCCACTTACATCATGAGTGCCAGCGGGCGGCCAGGCTGGATGTAGCCGTAGACGAACTCGGTGAGCACGTTTAGGCCAATTTGGTTATTGGTAATGGCTTGGATAATGCCTATAGGCAAGGAGAATCCAAACGAGATGAAGACGGCAAGGAGGAAAGCCCACCAGCTCAGATTCGTCTGGTACGCCGTGATGGTGTAGAAGCCCATGGTCAACATCTATACACGAGGTCAGCTTCCATGTCCATGAATTCTTTCAACCTCTCGGGAGTGAAGGGTTACGACTGAAGAAGAAAGAGAAAGAAGAGAAAAAAGGAAACGGAGATCATACAAGGACGAAGAGTGACATATACCACCAGCTTGGGGCCTCGGGATATTTCTTCATGAGTTTCATATGGATATCGGGCTTTTCCGTTGTGCTGTTCCTGTACTGGCGCCAGATACGATCTCCATTATGGAGGTAAGTGTAGACGATCAAGGATGCGATGGCAGCAAAGGAGAGCCCGTACGAGATGGCAAAGGTGGTGCTGATGAACAAGGGCGAGTACTCTTCATACGCCTTCTCGTCCAAGGTGAACTCGGGTGTGAGAATACGAGACGAATTGTAGCGGGCGCCAGTATTATCGTAGGTACCCGAGTCGCTCATGGGGAGGAACTCTGCATACCATACGCCGGTGTAGTGGAAGACGCCTGCGCCGATGATGAAGAAGGTGACTACGCCAATGAGGGTGTTGGCAATTGCCGGCCTAGACGACACCCATCGTGTTAGCAGCCATTTGTGAAATTTCGCAGGAGAAGCCTGTTCTATCTCCATCTTGCCCCTTCCCTCAATCTCCCTCGTTCCGGGCCTATTTCGACGACGACCTACCAAGGCGGAATGAGAGGCGAGCCTACAAAGCCGGCGATTTGAGTCCAGTCAAACGTGATTGGAAGAATAGACAATCCGGTGACCCCGCCGAAGAGTTGGTTGACAACCACATTGTTCGGGGCGAGCCACGTTGGAAACGCAAAGACGCTCAGGAACTGGGCAAAGTAGCCAGGGATGAAGAAGTAAAGGAACGAGGCCAGGGTGACGTAGGCAAACCACCGGTACCTCGGCATGCTGCCGCCGAAGACTGTGGGGTCGGGGCGATCCACGGCCTCGTACATTGCGTTCATGAGTGTGACGGCTACCAGGGTGCCGGGCCATATCATGGATGCGGGATACACTGGGTCGCAAGTGAGGTCAGCTTAAGCGCTTTGGGCGGCCAGGCCCCTAAGACAGGCAATGGAGAAGGGCGGGATCTAATTAACGAGGAGGAGACTGAACTAAAAGCAGACTAACCTAGGAACTTCCTCATGATGCCAGCGATGCCGTACCCGAGGGACTGGGTGGAGATGGTCAACATGAGCTGGAACGGGATGCCAAAGTTTTGCTTGTAAAAGATGAGCTGGGCGAGGATGATGTCGGTGGCATAGGCGACGGAGAAGGAGACGCTGGCCATGACGACGATGACGCCATGTTCCTTGACGTTGAAGGGGCCGGGGTTCAGGGACCATCTCTTGCCAAAGGTGGTAAAGACGCGGGTGGGCATGACGCGGGCCCAGCCGTGGCCGAGCGGCCAGGCGACGATCTGGGCAATGAGGGCGCCAATGCCGATGGAGGGTTGGCGGAGCGAGAAGAGCGTATTCATGGATGCGCCGACGACGACGAGCGAAAGGCCGAGGACCCAGGCGCGTACGGTGTTGCACGGCAGGTCCTGGTCATAGTTGGGGACCGCCGCGCGAACTTCTGGATACGGAGAGTTCTCCTGCCCGTCATCGTCGTCGTCGTCGTCATCATCATCATCACCGCCGATGACCTTGAGGGCAATGCCGTCCTCGGATCCTAGATCGACCGAGGCCTTGCCGCCCCGGCCGGAGCCGAGGGGGTCGAGGAGCATCTCGTGCTCGGAGCCATCCTCGTCGTCATCATCGTCATCTAGGTCACGGGCGGCGGAATCGTCCCATTGCGAGACCCTCTGCTGCAGGTTGTCGACGGGATCGCTGGAGAAATCGGTCGTCACGGCCGAGCTTCCGGCGGCCGCGTGGCCCTGACCGACGGAGGCGGAGGCGCTTCCCGATGCGCTGCTCCGTATTCGGGCCATGGTGGCCTTGGGGGCCAGTGGGGGTGGATGGATCAGGTTTAGGCGGGGGTTTAAACCTCACATGGGGTGCAAGAGCTGTGTGAGTGAGATGGGTTGAAGATTTCGGGGAGCTCAAAGAGGGATAATGCTAGTCCAGCCAGCTCCAAGGCAGAGTGGAGGGTGCCGAGGGTCCAGGGGGACTTGTCAATTTGGCCTGATAGGACCTGGCCAAGGTTTGGGGTCCAATTCGAAGGTAGAATTCCCCAGAAGCAGCGTAGAAGTGGAGAAAAAGAAAGTACGGGTAGCAAGACAGCAAGGGAGGGGGTGGCGGGCAAAGTGTGCGAAGTGAAGAGGACAAAGACGTTGAAGAGCAAGGACAAGAAACCACAGTTGCGATGGCGGAAGGTGCCGGGTCGCAGGGTCGCAGGGTCGCGCTTAGTGGCGCATCGAGTGACGATCAAAGGTGACACCCGCGACGGGGTCGCTTAGACTTTTTGTGGGGGGCTGGAAACCGTCAAGGCGATATTTGATCAATTATACCAAAAGTTCCACTGCTTCCCCAGCGTTTTTCATCTAGTGGAGACGGGAAGGAAGGCGAAGGGAGGTCTAGAATTCTAGGGTCGGGATTGTTTTTCTTTAGTGGAGGGGTTTGGTCGGGTCAATGAGGCTGCGCGCTGAAACGTGTCAATTCGACCTCAAACAAGGGACCGAGGACGTGGATGAGAGGCCGAACGAACGGATCGACAGATCTAAAAGTAGAAACATTCTCCAACCACATGTGGATAGTTTCATTAGAGCCGCACCAGCCCACAATAGCTCGATCAGGTTCCGGTACGGCAATGGAATGGGGAATAATCTAGCTGAGAGGGGAGAGTCACGATAGACGTCAACTGATCTAATAGATATCTGTAATGGAAGTAGCTTTGATTGATTCTCCACCGGCAAGCAAGGTCGAGATTCTTCCTACTCTTTCCGCCAAAAATTGAAAATTTAGGAATTGCAAGGTAAATCTCGGGGACTGTGGAAAACAGCACAAGATTAATACGAGCACGGTTGGAAGAGCTGTTTCTCCCCCAGCATCAACTGGGCAGCTCTAGACCCGAAGGTTGATATCCATGTCATCAATTCTCTTCATCACGCCATCTTTTATCTACTTGTACAACACATCATACAGAATCACCATGCTATGCCCTCTATCATACATCAAAGTCCCTTCTACCTCCCTTACGCCAACCGAGAGAAGACGAGCGATGAATTCGCCCCTCCGAACCCGAAACTGTTAGATACCGCAATGTCCAACCTCTCCCTCTGCTGCGCCTTGTGCGGTACAAGGTTGAAGCGGACATCTCCAACGCCGGGGTTATCCAGGTTCAACGTAGGTGGGACGACTCTCTGTGTGGGTGGGTGTTAGCAACCGAATGCGTCTTTTGAGAGCGACGAAGAAGAAGAATAAAGGAAAGAACCAGGATGAGCCCCCAAATGAGGAGCTCTGCTAAGCTTGCCGCACGTACCTCATGGATAGACAAGACCGAAAACAGCGCCTCGAGGGCCCCGGAAGCCCCGAGCAGGTGGCCCGTCGCACCCTTGGTACTGCTCACCGTGACCGCAGCCTCGTCCACGTCCTTCATGAGCTCCTTGATGGCCAAGATCTCGGCACCGTCCCCCACCACCGTCCCCGTCGCGTGCGCGTTGATGTAGTCCACCTGCTCTGGGCTAACCCGGGCCTCGGCCAGGGCTTCCTTCATCGCGCGGTACGCCCCGTTGCCGTCGGATCGAGGCGCCGTCATGTGGTACGCATCCGCCGCCGCGCCCCAGCCCTTGATCTCCGCGTAGATGCGCGCGCCTCGCCCCCGCGCGTGCTCAAGGTCCTCGAGGATCAGCGCCGCCGCGCCCTCTGCAATCACGAACCCGTCTCGGCGGGCGTCAAACGGTCGGCAGCTCGAGGCGGGCCGGTCATTGTACGCCGTCGACAGCGATCGGGCCCTCGCGAAGCCGGCGAGGGCGAGCGGGTGGATGCACGACTCCGTGCCGCCGGCGACCATGACCTTGGCGCGGCCGAGGCGGATGGTGGTGAAGGCGTCTCCGATGGAGTCGGCCCCCGTGGCGCATGCCGTGGTGATGCAGCGCGTGGGGCCCTGGAGGCCGTGGCGCATGGAAATGTGCCCTGCCGCCATGTTGAGCAGGATCCGGGGCACAAAGTAGGGTGATAGCTTCTTGTAGCCCTAGAAGCGTTTCTCCCAAGTTAGTGAACAAAAATACACATGCACACGGACACACACAAAGAAGCGCCCATTTCCAGAAAAAAAAAAAAAGACACTTGGACAGGGGACCGAAAACTTGCATCTTCTTCGTAGTTTAGGCTCGTACTGTAGAGGTGATCTAGATCGCCGATCCCGCTGCCCATGGACACACCCGATGCCTCCCTCTCCTCGGCCGTACTAGGGTTCCATTCCGCATCTTTGAGGGCCATGTCGCTGGCCGCGAGCGCATACTGCGTGTGAATCGGCAGCTTATCCTGTTCGGCAGCGCTCAGCCAAGTCGAGGGCGTCCACGCGTGCTCCGCTCCATTCCCCTGATCGCGGGGGACAAGGCCAGCAACCGTACTGGGGATGCCTTTCCATTGGGAGGCTGGTCCGCGGTCTGTGAGGACGCTGGAGATTCCGGATTCTCCAGACAGAATGCGCTTCCACGTAGGTCTCGCGCCGACTGCGAGGGGCGAGACGGCGCCTAGGCCGGTCACCACGACTCGTCGCATGGATTGTTTTCCGGGGAGGGGCGCGGGAGGAGGACGGGTCTTATATATTGAGGGAGGAAAAGTTTAAGAGCATTGCTTAGAGAGAATAGATTTGGCACGCTCTAGTCTAGGCCCAGGAGCCCAGGAGCCGCGAGCGTAAGAAAATTGAACGAAAAAATAGATAAATTCGCATCCAAACAAAAGAAAGGGAATTAGATGTTGATGAGCGATGGCATGTGAGTGACTATGTGTGAGAGCAAAGGAAGATAGCTGAAGATGTTTAAACACTGTGAAGCTAGCGGGCGACGCCGACCAATTGCACAGTACGTAAACGTCATACACGCAGCCACAGCAAGATGAGCTCTGAAGATGAGATGCTCATTCATCAATGCAAGCTCCACTCCACTCGCCCCCGAAAATTTCCCGTCGCGACAGCCAACGTTCCTTTTTTTCCCTCGTTTTCGCGAAGCAGCCTCTCGTATAGCTAAGAGAAAAGGACGATATCCCTCCTTGTTTCTCCCCACCCCGCCTCACTCTCGTGAGAATTGTCAATAAATATAGAAAGTATATATTATCTTTCTCTATTTCCCAATACAGACAATGGCGTGCGCGCGATGCGGCGCCCAAACGAGGACGCTCCTCCAGAGGGCGTCCCAACGACCGCCCCAGATCCTCGCTACCCACCCTCGATTCGCCCGCCTAGCATCCAACGCTACCGTACCGAGGACGATGCAGAACCAAGTTCGGAGAGAGAGCACGCAGGCTAGCGCCGAGAAGACGGAGAAGCCTGAAATCACCACGAGACAACTGCTCGACGCCATGCAGCAAAGCCAGCAGAAGAAGACGGACGGGACGGGGTTAGTCGGGTCATATGCCATCTACGGAGGCACGCACCAAATCTACAAGAAGTGCTCGCAGCCCGTTTCATACACAATTTCGGATATTGATCGCGCCAACGGCACCGTGGACACATTAGAGGATGGCGAGGAAGTTGGAAAGTCTGAGGGCGCTTGGCACAGTCGTACGTCGACACACTTCCCCTTCCGCATTTCTTCCTCAACTCTTATCTCCTCTCCTATTTCCCCCTCTCCTTTTCTAACGTTACTACTTTAGTCCTTGGTCTACCCCCGACTTTTAGCACGTGGTCCCAGGTCACCATGCTCCGGATGTACGTCCTCGTCGCCCGCGCCCGATGCCTCGAGCCCGAAGCCTACAACAACTGGTACCACCAGCTCCTCAACCACTACTTCTTCGACTGCGAGCGCGTCATGGACACCAACCACGGCCTCACCGCCAAGAGCCAGCGCCAGCGCTTCCTCAAGGACCTCTTTGTCCAGTGGCGCGGCATGCTCGCCTCGTACGACGAGGGCTTGGCCAGGGCGACGCTGTCCTGGCGTCGGCGGTGTGGAGGAACTTGTACAAGGGCAAGGAGAATGTCGACTTTAGGACTGTCGCGGCGGTCGTGAGCTGGATGCGGGCGACGCTGTGGGACCTGGAGAGGGTGAAGGACGAGGATCTCGTCATTGGCGAGAACCTGTTCCGAAAGTCCCTGGAGTCGCAGTTCAACGTGGTAGATACCCAGATCGGGTCTATCAAGGACCAGGCGCAGTCAGCGGACTCAAGGGCAAACTAACGACGTGAAAACGGTAAAAGAAGGCAAAATGGAAGAGGAAAAGACCATTCGCGGCTGTAGACATATTTGTTTCTTCCTTTGTCACCTTTTTTTTCATTTTTTTTTCATGTTGTCTCCTTTTATGGTGGCGGATTTGTGTACGAGATACAAGACTTCACTCAGAGTGTTACAATATGGGACGGGGTTTTCAAGGCATAATAGAGTGTATGATGGGAGCCAGTTCCGCATCTTCAAACCTCAGCTGAAAGGCGTCTCTTTTCCTTGCCTGCAAATATTCGGGACTTGCCGTTGTTGGTGGCCAAAAACGCAGTCCACGCCGGTCCTCAAGCTCGGATCCACAAGCCAGCTCGGTGAATGGCCCACCCGCCATTACCACTGACTGGCCGGGTCGAGACAGGGTTTGGCACAACGTCAACCTCCACTCAGACATATATGATTGATGGATGGCAAGAGGATGAATGACGTTTGTGAAATAGCTCCGGCCCAGTGAAGGATATCACCCAGCATTACCTCTCTGAAAGGAGCGATGCTAGCCCATTTTTATCTCGCTTTTCTTTTTCTCTTTGTCTGGCCTGGCCCTGACGAATGGTTTCGGACCTCCGGGCTCGTGCTACAATTTTGACATGCCCTTTTCCACATTCCACAACCTCAGTGAAGTGCTGTCCTCCTTGCTTAACTGCTCCGGTCTCAACCATACGCGTTGCGGTATTACCCCGATCTGCCAATCGGTCGCTCAACAGCAATACCTCAGCTAAGGAGGGGCCACATGCTTATCAAGTGATTCTCTTGGCTGCTCGCAAAGGATAGGGGATGGGACGACTAGGACTCTACGACCTTCTCTACCCTAGATGCAAGGTTACTAATAAATGAGAACAAATCCCAGATCCATCATCTTCTCGAATCTGTGTCAGCGGAGGATCAAAGTGAAGTAATCCCCTTCCCCAATATGAAGCAGTGGGCGTGAGTGGATCGAAGGGATGGGGCTGGGTTCTTAAGTGCTGCTCAAAGCATTCTGCCGGGATACACTATACCCGGCCGTTCCAGGAACCACTTCAGGGTTGTCATTTGCCGTCAGAGAAGAGGAAGAAAAGGAGATGAGAAAATTTGAAGAACCAAGGGGAGCCCCCAAAGCGTGCCACGACCAGGGAATCAAGGGTCGTTGCCTATAATTGATCCGCTGTATACGTCAAGATTTTACAGTGCAACAGGGCCACAAAGTTGGCGAAGGCCGAAGCGCGTGGGGATAACACGGTCTTGGCTGGCTGGCCATCGCCTATCGTCACCACCTATAAGCTTCCCATAGACACAGCACGGATGTGACCTGGAAGAAGAAAGGTGGTGTGTTGGCTCGGGAAAAGGCAAGCACAAGTAGAAAATAGATAGCTGGGAAAAGGACAAAAAGAAAGAAAATGAATGTGACAAAAGGCCCCGTGACGCTTTGTCCGTTAGGTGGCGCATTGCATGCGCAGCTGTGTACATGTAAGAAGAGAAAACCGAATTGAAAGTTGGAAAGATTATAGACTTGAAAGCGTGTAGAAGAGGAGTATCTGCCACAAGGCGGCGGGGTGCAAGACCAGTTTGCTCCGGCTTTTGAGGTTGGTGAGCCCACATGAGCTACCTAACCGGGAAAAAGAGCCATGCAGTTAGGCGGAGTGGTCCCCCTTTTGTTCTTTTTTTTTCTTTTTTCTCTTTCTTTCTATTCAAGTGCTGTTTCGTGATTTCGGTTCGTCTAGCGGGTGGGCTTTGCCGCCCATGACCAAGCCCGGCCCTGGCCGAATGATGTCGTGTTTGTCGTATCAGGGCATCGGGACGGCAGAGGCGCGGGTGGCCTCCTCGTCACTGTGCTATGTGCCGCCCGCATACACAGACGGCCGAAGGGCGTTGGTTGGTCGTACGTGCTGGTGGTGGCACTTGAAGCACCGGACCGATCTGGTCAGGCAGGCGAAGGGCGGAGCAGGGCGAGCGAGAGTGAGCAGAGCTGAGAGGTCTGATGCGCGAGAACCCTGCGTCGTGCCTGTTGGTCCGTCGTTGACGCAAATTGGATCCCATGCATGGGCATGCAGAAGGGGTGGATCATCGTATATAAGTCTAGAGATGCTCATGAGTAAAACATTCAAATCTACGCCTTTATACATAATACAAGAGACTTTTCTCTCTTACACGCCAGTCGAAACCCATTCTCCATACAAATACCCTTATCACCTCAAGATACAGCCAAGTCTCGCACTTCTTGAGAAAAAGCGAACCTCTAGAAGAACCCAAAAACCCCATCAAGAAGAAGACAATACCAAAAAGCCGACGACACTCCCTCCAAACAGACCACCAACCCCCAAAACCAAGTAACCAGCCAAAAAGAAAAACAAAAATGCACCTCCCGCCACACATCCTCCCGACCGCCCTCCTCCTCCTCCTCACCCACCCCACCGCAACAACCGCCTCGCCCACCTCGCCGCCCCGACGCTCCGCCGCCACCTACTCCTGCAACGTCTCCCCGCCCACCCAGCCTCCCGCCTCGGCGCCACCAAGTGCCTCGAGGCCCTGCAGCAGACCGCCAACGAGATCGGCGGCCCTACCGGGGCACCCTCCGCGTGCCCCTCGCCGGCGAGCCCGCCCGCGTCTCCGAGTACGCCTGGACCACCGACCGCGGCGACGAGCTGTGGAGCTTTGTCGACGTCGTCTTCCTCGGCGACCCCGCCGCCCTCGTTGCCGCCAACGCTGCCGACCCCGCTACGGAGGACCTTGCCGCCGATGCCGTCGTCGAGGTGTCGAGAAGGGAAGTCGCCGGCATGTTGGTCGGCATGATCGAGGCGTGCAGCAACCGCGGATGCGCTGACCTCGACTGCCCCGTTAGCGGCGCTTTTAGGATCCTTGACGGGGCCGTAGAGGTGCGGCTGGTTGGTGCGTGAGGGGAACCGGGCTTGGTGGTGTAGTGTGGGTGCAGCAACGGGAGATGCGGATGGGACGTCTTATTTATTCCTTTGGGCTGTACTCTACATGTACCGAGGTAGCGTCCATACCATGTTTTCAGGCGTTAGGGGAAGGGCTCATCATGCACCGGTGACTCATGATATAGATCGGTAGATTGGCTGCTTCTTTAGTGTTATACAGGCGGCTAGATGCCTACTACAGTGTAATTCTTTTCTTTTACATGTTTGCTCAAAGTGTATAACTATGCCATATGATATAATCTAAAGCTCTTCCTTTAACACAACGCCGATTCATTAGAAAACATCTCATGATCCTACAGAGCCCCAGGGCTTTTACCCAGTGAGAGGAAGGGGAGGAGAAGGGGATCGATGGGGCCAACAGAGACTACAACATAAAATGCACCCCCTTCACCCCGCCGCGCCCGTTCTTAGAGCCTCGGCTGGTCGCCACCCTCCACCTTGGTGGTATCCGCGGCGAGTGCCCCACTCATCACGTACGCCGGGGCCTGAGGTGGTCCCGCCGCCCGGAGCATCAACTCCCTCCCGCCGCGCGAATACCACCACGACAGCGCCAGGGAGGACCTGCCAACGTCGAGCTCGCCGCTCTCGAGTACCTCCCAGAGTCGGTTGCGTACGGGCAGCCTCAGCTCCCGGTCGGCGATCTGAGCCACCGTCTCCGCTGTCAGGGTAAGCCAGTCGTCCATGATGGGGAGGGCGAGGAAGGGCAGCGAGTCCACTAGCGCGAGGAGGAGGGTCGACTGTTCCGAAAACGGGCCCGCCTCCGGCTTAGCACCCGCGGCGAGGTTCGGGTTAGCGTCGGTGGCGGGAGGAAGCGGGACGGTCGCGGCGTGGACGGCGCGGAAGCGAAGCATCTCAAGGAGGACCTCGGCTAGCTCGGGGCTCGTGTCCGCCACGGGGAAGGGCGGCGAGACGATTTGCGTAATTGTCCGGAAGGCGACGCGGAACTGGCGGGGCGAGATGTGGGTGGGGAAGGAGGTGAAGAGCCGGTCAACGTAGAAGGGCACGAGTTTCGTCGCTAGTGGGCTGTTTTGCGGGTAGGAGAGGACAGAGAGGACGGCGCTGTGGGCCGACTCAAACAACTCTCTCATCAGGAACGAGTCAGGCACTTGTGAGAGGTACACGGTGGCTGGTTGGGCGATTAGGAGATCGGATGCGTCGGTTGATATGCCGAGCGGCAGGTGTTCCGCCAAGCCGAGGTAGAAGAGGTCGAGAGTACGGTGGACCGGGTGTGTGGGGATGATCCCATCCGCGTCCGGCCGAATCTCCCCGAGAAGTGCAATCGTGGCGGGCGGAGAGCGGGAGAGGACATCGATGGCGGTGAGGTAGGTAAATGTGTAAGCCTGAACTCGCCCGCGTGGTCCCTCGACGAGATAAAGTAGAGGTTCCGTAGGATATGGAGCATCTTGGTCGCCACGACGGGGGCGGTCTGATCGTTGCGCAAGCGGGGATCGAGGAGGCATCGCGACATGAGGGCTTGGGACGCGGCGATTGTGGCAAAGAGGCTCTTCTTGAGTAGATCCCACAGCGCGGGCCACGTCGCCTGGATTGTCTCGTCGCTAAAGTGATAACCCTCGGTCTTGACCTCGACCTCGGAGAGCTGGCAGCGCTGCCACCGGCTGAGGAGCTCGCGAGAGAACTCGAGCAGCGTGTCCAGGGCCTGAAGCACCACGCCAGAGTCCTGCGCGTGCTGCATACTGTGCATGATGAGCTTCGCAGTGGAGCCCATACCGGTGACGACGGGGCTCGCCGTGAGCTGCTGGACGTGGCGGAACGACGCCGATGTGGCAGGCCAGTGGATGATGGCACCCTGCCGCGAGAGACCGCTATTGATCATCTCGAGGAAGCGGCCCTCCTGGAAGCCCTCCGACCCCGTCAAGGTCCACACCGCGTTGGGGAGGAGAGCATTGGAATTGATAGCGTTGAGGTGGAATTCGGAAAGCATGGGGAGCGCGAAGCCTAGTGCTACGGATATCGAGGCGGCGGCGACGGGGCCGTCTTGCATTGGCCGCTCGAGGGCCAGGTTAGCCGCCTTGACGATGGCTTCTTCGAGCTTGGTCCGCAGAGCCCACGATAGGCCACGTGTGGTCTCCTGCGCCCTTGTCATGCCCATCAGCAGACCCGTGAAGACGAGTAGGTGCTGCCACCGGTTAGACCGATCATCGGCGCCGCTCACCACGGCCGTGGCCCACGCATCGCAGTCGAGCCTTGTCGGTACCCGTCCGCTGGGGAGCAGAAGTTGGCCCTCACTTTCGCCCTCGCTCTGTCGTAAGCGAACGGCAGCCGTGTGGAAAACGGAGATGATTCGGTAACTCGTCTGTATGCCATCGCCGCGGTGCCAGATGGCGGGGGCTGTGAGGAGCTGCGACGTGAGGACGGCAAGGTTGAGAGGATTGGAGAGCGAGGTGAGGAGGGTTACGGTCGTGCCGATAATTTGGTCTGTCTTGTGTGTGTCGTGGACGGTCTGGAAGAGGTCGAGGACGGTGTTAAGAAGGTGATCGGCCGGCATTGTGGGAGCTCGTGCGTGCGCGCGCGTCGCTGGGAAAATTCCCGAGGGAGCGCAGGCAGAGAGAATCTGGGATGAAGGAGGAAAAAGAGAGTACAAGGGAAAAAAGAACTCGAATGCGCCCTTGACGAGTCGTCGAGGCAAGTCACATCTAGTCGGGTATTGTGTGTTGTGTGTCTGGGGAACGAAGCCGCGGGAGAGGGTGTCTCTCGGCCGGGATTGTGTCATAAGATTTTGGGTTGTAGGCCGCTGTTGGCGAATTGCCGAGGCACCGGCTGCGTTGAGCTTGTCAAATGGCCTCGACGAGCTTGTCTTTTTCACGTTTTTGATTCGTTGAATTTTGGCACCTCGATTTTGGGGAAGGTCCAGCCTGTGGGCCATCAATGATCCACTATTTATTCACTAAACACGATCCAATCCGCACTGTTGGCCCCTCTGGTTGACCTGGTGGATCCCTTAATTCCACTATGTTCATCCCAGCGTCAAGCTGTGAATACCGATCAAGTACATGTGCACTACGCATTGTGAGGTCGATCAATTGAACGCCTTGATGAGGCTGACTGAGCTCAAGCTCCCACATTGATCCCTTCCAGACCTTCTGCAAATCCAACCTCATCCACCACATCGGGAAAACACTCCTCCTCCTCTCCCCGTTTCTCCAACGACCGCACTTCTGTTTACTAAACCGGCGTCCACTTTTCGGGCATCGGTTCAGTTCGCCATACGGGCTAGCATGACGCGCCGCGATTGACAAACCGAGACCTCTGCGAACGGGCCACGAGAAATTTCCATCTCTGCCAGAACCCTTCATTCGTGGAAGTTGGTCCGTTGAGGGACATCGACGTCAGACAGCCATCAATTGATCCATCGCCCACCTATCGCAGCCGCCAGGCTTGACGGGTGTCTTGGGACGTGTGCCATCTAGCATCCGCTCACTACGTCCCTCTTCATTAGAAAAATTTCGACCCGTTCCCACGATGCTTCATCACTCGCCACCTCGTGGCTACACGACGCCCCCATTTCCGAGCCTAACATGGGAAATCCTCGACCCGACAGCAAGAAAGGAACGATCCCTCTTCTATATTGGCGATATCTGGAGGTTTACCCTGCTATGGACTCTCATTATCTACGCTCTGTTCCACCTTGCCTGTGCTGGCATCGCCATCGCGATGCATGCACAGAATAAAACGGCGTGGAAGTTTATCTGGGTTGTTCCCGTCCTCTACCTGTTCGTTGCCGGCGTCCAGGGCATAGTTGCTGGGAGCGTCGTTGGTCTAATGTAAGGAGTCCTTTTCAACAGGCCAGGGGCCGCGTTGGTGGTTTCTCATTCTCCGCTCCGCCCTCCTTTGCACTTGCACGGAGAAAAAGGCGGGTAATGATGGCATAGGAAGCTAACGACTTGAACTACTATCTAGGCTTGGCGCTGTCTACAATGCTGGCTTCTTCTCCATGTCGCCATGGATCCCCTTTGCTTGGGGTTGGATCAACGTCCTCGTCCTCGTCATCTCGTCCTTCTCGATCCAAGGCGGTCTATAATCTAATCGGCTACGACGGCGCCCCCATCTTCAGGAGGAGGTGCCGACACATCCACCCTCTTTATAATCCTTGCCGGATTTCCGGCAACACACGTATACTCGGGCACGTCCTTGGTCACGACACTCCCGGCCCCAACAGTCGATCCCCGGCCGATTGTCACGCCCGGAAGGATAATGACGTTGCCGCCCAGCCAACAGTCCGCCCCGATCACGATGGGCTTTCCGGATTCGGGGCCCGCGGTGCCGTTACGCAAGGTTGGATCTTGCGGATGAGATGCGCTAAAGAAGGAGCAGTTGGGGCCGATAAGCGTGCGGTCGCCCACCGTAATGGTGCACGTGTCGAGCCAGGTGCTTCCGAAGTTGACAAATACGTTCTTCCCGAATCTTTCGAGCCCCTATTAGCAAAGCAGAGAGACGCAGAAGCACAGGCCCCCTGGTATGGGGTGGGTAAAACTCCTACTTGACGTTATAACCGTAGTCCATCTTCACCGGCGCCTCAACCCAAGGGAAATCCTTGAGCAACTCATCATCCTCGGCGGGGCTATCGTGTGGTGGCGGAAGGGGAGGGGGCAGTACGGCCTTATCTTGGACAATGCTAGTGCAGGCCAGATGCGTGGTAAACGTTAGCAAGCGAAACAGGAGCTGCTCCGAACGCGCCCTAGCTAGTAAACATCTGTTCCCGTCCATGGCTGGGTAGCGACGCGCTAAATCGCGAGGTGCCTGGTCCGGACAAGGCTTTCTTACTCTTTGAATAATTCGAGGAGATGGCGTCTCGATACATTGCCACCCGCCGTATTAAACTTGCTGCATGCGGCCCCGCACCGCCGTCTATCCGCCGTCAGGTCGGCTACGAAGGCGTAGTAGAGTTCACCGTCCCGCATGCGTCTGCGGTTCTCGGCAACAAATTCGTTGGAGCCCTGCATTGTGGTCTGCGATACCTCGGGAGAGGGCGCCGGCGTTTTTCAAGGTCTAGATAGATGCGGTGTTTGCTAGAACTAGAACAGGAGAGAAGGCAGAAAGCGAGTTACTCGAAATCGTGCCTTAGGAGAGTGCAGTTGAGGTTACGATTCTAGAACCACTCACTCTCGATTCTGCTCGAAAAGTAATATGGCACCACCCAAGTTGGAGTGATAGTAAGAAAGTCAGCAATACCTGTCAAATCCTAGCCGAGGTTCCCCGCGCGATGGAGTCTCTCTAGAGTGTTACCAAATAGACTGGGACAAAATGGGGAGATTCGCGATAGGGTCTCGACGAGTCCGAATTCAGGTGGTTCACGGATTATGCGCCTCGCCGTGACGAATGTCGAGGTGCAAAGTGGGCGCCACAGTTACTGCTGGATCGCGGGGTAATTGAGCGCGAAGCTAGCAATAAATTGATACCTGGACCTGGACGGTTGCTTTTGGCTCTCGGGCCGTCGAATGGGTAATAATAATAAACCCAAGCTGGAGGCGCTTGAGCCCTGGCCCCTGCAGGAATCCATAGGCCCCATCGAGCACGTAATTTTCAATGTTATTCAGGCGTCCAATTTCATACCAGTCGATCAAATGGTGCCGTCGATCATTTCTGGGGGACTTCAAATGCGAACAAAAATCAGTGACGTCTGTGCCAAATTGCCCGAAACTCGGGACAAGCTTCCAGGCACATAGCCCCATTGTGTCTCATCCATTCATTGACTCCCCAAGACATATACATCGATTAGAACAATAGGCTTCACAATATGTGATGTTAAGGCCATTTCATCCTTTTATACCATATCCATATACGCTTTTCTTTCTTCTCAGGATCACCAAGTCTTTATATCATTTATCCCTTTCTTCCTCTACGACTTGCTGCTCTAAGAGATAGAGGAACCTTACTTACCTGCAGCTCGTCACTCTTTGCAGTCAGAAATACTGAGCTTGCTCCAGGTCGACGTGCAAGCAAACAACAGACTAGCATCGCCCCCACACTTGTTGCTCCAGTCAAGCCCACAGGAGCCTCACTCTCCCTGCGTTCACGCACCCCATCCCTACCTCAGAATACTCCTATAGACACACCTCCTTGCATCTAGCGTATCAAGGACACGGGAAGGGAAGGAGAAAAACAAAAGGAGAACCAAGAAAGCCGCTCAACAAGGGAGCTACTACGAATGAAAAACGCTCGTTACTCGTTTCTCACCCTCTCTTCTTCCCATCTTTATCTAACCTTATTCTCCCCCACGGACGGCACCCTACGCACACCTAGCTGCACCTCTGTCCCTCGCGCAGAGTAGTCTGCTCATCCCGCCATCTCACTTATCTAACCATCTCCCAATCCAAAGCCAAGACTGGAGGCCATGGAGCGCCGCCGCGCTCCCGCTCCCCGATGGAGGTAAGCTTATATTCCTTTCTCTTTCAAGTTCGTATAAATCTCCAAGGCCAACCCTACTGCCCCCGAGGATACTGCCGCCCGTTCCCCTTTCCCCCAGAAGGTTCGGAACACCGCACCCAGCCCTTACGAAGCCTCCATGTCTTTCCTGTTCGCACAATCTCCCATCCCTTTCAACGTCCCCTTGCATATAACCTAGTCCTCTCCTTCTTCCCCTCCTCCACGGCGTAGCCCCGAACTCCGTGAACTTCATCTGTGCTTCTTACCCCGTTCCTCAAAGAAACCCCCCCGCCATGATTTCCCGTTCCCGGCACACGCGGGACCTGAGCGACATGGACGACCCCGTCAAGCTCACGAGCGCGGCCCCCGGAGCCCCACCGCTGACAAGACCCCCACAGCCCGGACGCCTCGTTCGAGCCTCCCAACCCAGCGAGGCAGTACTACCGCGGCGGCAACAAGTCCCTGTCCGGCATCGCCGGGCGCGCGTTTTGCCTCGGCGGCGCCCTGGCAGCTTGTATTCTCGCCGGGGCCGCCACCGCCCTGTTCACCCGAAGCCCGCTCTGGCGGCTCCTTCTTCTGGGGCACCCTCTCGCTCTTCCACTTTCTCGAGTTCTGGACCACGGCCGCCTACAACACCCCCGTCGCCGACGTTAGCTCCTTTCTCCTAACCGCTAATTGGCCGGCCTACCCCATCGCGCACACCGCCGCTTCCCTCGAGTGCCTCCTCACCAACTACTTTTGGCCCGACCGTGCCTGGGCGCCCCTTGGCACCGGACCCGCCCTCGTCGCCCTCGGCATCGTGCTCGTCGTCGGCGGCCAGGCTATCCGCGCCGGCGCCATGATCCAGTGTGGCGAGAGCTTCAACCACATCGTCCAGCACAGCAAGAAGTCGTCCCACGCCCTCATCACCACGGGCCTCTACTCCGTCTTCCGCCACCCCGCGTACTTTGCGTTTTTGGTGGGCCGTCGGCACCCAGCTCGTTCTGGGCAACTTGGTGTGCTTCTTTGCCTACAGCCTCGTCATGTGGAGGTTCTTCTATGGCAGGATCGCGAACGAGGAGCTCTTCCTGACCAAGTTCTTTGGCGACGAGTACGTTCAGCATCAGAAGAACACGGGGATCTGGATTCCGTTTGTCGGGTGAGGTTGACGGGTTGGAGAGGGAGGACGACACACATCATAGCCAGCGGATGTTGTCCTCTTCGTATTCTTGGTTTGGATTAGATGGATGGAAACGGGAGCCTTTGACAAAAAGGCCGTACATGTATGTTCTGGACACCTCGAAGGGATGAGGATGGCTGGACAAACACCCCCATTACATTACTTGTATACCACTACACAATACCTCGACAATAGACTTGTTGTCCTAACCCGTTCACCTTGAAGCTCCGAACCAGCACCACGGGGCCTCTGTGTTTTGGCAACGTTGAACTACTAAGAACCCGGGAATTGTACCGATCCGAGGGATTAGGTCCACATACCGTTCAAATTTGCTACACCCGCCGGAAGGGTTCACACATGGCAGAAGAAAAAGACAATGATAAGTTTTTGGTGGCCAAGAACACGCCGCGTTCAACATAGAAAAATAAGAAAATGAAATAGAAAAAGAAACCTCCCCGTCTAAGACTTTTTTCCCCCTCTCCCCATCTATAAATTTTTTTTTAATAGTTCTTCACCAAGCTCATCGCGAGATATTGGATTCTAAATACACCCTCACGCACACCCCAACACTACATTACTACGAGGAAGCGGCCGGAATAGCCTGTCTGCTCACGGAGCCATATTTGGCCTGCCACGCGTAAAAGTACATGAGTGCCGCGAAGGGCTGGCCGAAGATCGTGAAGGATATCCAGAAGATAGAGTTTCCGATAAGCTTGCTCGTCGCGGTTTTGGACTTGCCGAGAGGCGTTGTGAGCGCGATGAGAGGCAGCTGGAGAAACATGCCGAGAAAAGCCACGCCTACGGAAGGGGCAATGCCAGCCAAAGTTAGCGGTTAAAATATTACGTTTAAAAATAAAAGAAAACGCAAAGCAAAAAAAACCAACTAAAACTTACCAATGATGTTGTGCGTGGGGATACCAACGAGGATTTCATGGAGAACAGCGGATAGGAAAAAGACCATCATGCTGGCCATCTTGGGGACCAGCCACGGTTAATGAGCGGAGTATAGACGTGTCGCCTGAAATAGCCATACACGGGCTTGTTCCAAGTGCGCCAGTAAGCGCCGAGGTTCTCGCTGTTCCACCAGTCGTCGTAAAAGGACCGATCGCCGAAGCGGGTGATCTCAGCGAGGGCGTTGAGGGTGGACTGGAAAAAGGCGAAGAAGCCCGCGAGCCAGATAACAAGGGAAACGGTGGAGAGTTTGAGGAGGCGCTCTAGAATGGCCGTGTACTCGAGGGTGTGGATCTTGACGAGGGAGTTGAGCAGGAGCGGGGTGGCGTACTGCGCGCTGGTGAACCAGATGAAGACGCCGAGGCCGAAAGCTTCGCCGACGCGCTTGGCGACAAAGACCCAACGGATCCGGTCCGTCCGCGGATACACGGGTTGGTAGACGAGGGTGGGGGCCCACCAAAAGTAGACGAGGTTGCTCATGGTGATGTTGTTGGGATAGGGACATTGCGCGTAGAGCTCGGGGATGGAGGCAAGGCCGTCGGCCCGTGGGTGGAGGTAGGCGTGGCGGAGGTCGCGGTTGGTGAGAGCATACGAGTACGTCTTGAGCAGGACAATGATGGCGTGGAGTTCGGTAGCGGTTCCGATGAGAGGGTGGTGGATGTGATAGTACACAACCCATGAGGTGTAGGCCAAGATGGAGACTACGTTGATGGAATGGAGCCAGGCGACAGTAATCCACGTCTTGCGAAACTTGGCAGCTTCTTCGGCGGAAGGGCCATCCTTTCGACCCTTGCCTTGCCGCTTCAGGCCAATCGCTTGGCTCGCCGCAACGGATTCGATGAGGTAGGCGATAAGGAGATGGCAAGGAATGAGGAAGTAGAGGCCGAGGCCTAGCTGAAGATCTCGTTGGCGGAAGTCATGGCAACGGACGCATATCAAGACTCCGTACTAAACGCGGTAGGGTTAGCAGGTTTCCTGGTCTGGCGCCCATTACGGTGGAGCGACGGGCAAAAGCATATGCACCTTTTCCATGTTCTCGATCATGAGGCGCAAATTGCCAACAACTAAGAATCATCATTAGTGGAATGCCCATAGGTGGCGCTTGGTGGGAAGGATGGGAAGCCAATTCGCAGTCTACCTCCCGCGCTCTGCGGGTGACGGCCAATGACGGGAGAAATGATATGCATGACGCACCTAAAGAGATTGCCATGAGATTTCGGAACCCCAGGAAGCTAGGAGAGGCTTGGGAGTCATGGCTCAAGCATGAAGGGCGCGAGGCCCTATGAACTGCGGCAACGTGACGGTAACCCTTGACGGGCTCCTCAATGCTCTTGGTACTCCATCCCGAAGACGACTCCTCTTTGGCGACTTTGCGGCGGGTCGTGGTGTCCTTGGCCGCGCCGCGGACGTCTGAAGAGGTGGTGGCGGACGCCATGGTGAGCGCAGGCACGGGAGTTGTGAAGCTATCGCAAGCCGGACGCCAAAAACTGGGGGTGGTGACGTCGGTGTTTGGTTTTGGGGGATGCCGGACTGTCTCGAGGAGAAGAGGAGGGGTGTGGAGAGACCCAGTGCAATTGAGAAAAGTGTAGAGGCTTCGCTATGAAGCGCTGGGAGGAAGGAATGGTCCTCCGCGCGAAGGGTATTTAAGGAGAGGTCGGATCCGAGTCTGCGCAAATGGACGGATTGAATTGAGCAGAGAGATAAGATAAAAGAAGAAGGGGAAAGTTGATCAAGGTTGGTTTTCCGGTTAGTTTTGGTAGTTCCTGATTTCGCAAGCGCTTTCTCGCCTTCGGTCAATTCGAGGACCCCGTCCAGGTTCAGGGAGAATTAACCCCACTAATAACGCGGCGGAGTGGCGCTGACGTGGTGTAACGGCTTGCGACGGAGAGCGAAGCTGGGCAGGAGCGCAAACTACGGCGGAGGTGTGCACCCTCGGCTTGCATGCGCGAAGCTCCAGTGTCTTCAAATGCTGTCAGCGGATTGTTGCTTGGCTTGCTTCGAAGGACGCCTGTGCGTGCATGAGTCTGGGCCACTTAAGTGATGTGGGTGGGACGAGGGATCCCCGGCCCGGCGCCGTAGACCGAGGTTCTGGGTGGGTGGCGACGCTTCTGGCTGCAGGAGAATCCAAGAACGGCTCTTGCCCGGCGTTGGTGCTCAGCGACGAGGGAGATGATGGTCTAGGATTGAACGGGGCGGAATCAAAGGACAAAGGAAGAAGGGTAGGAAAATAGAAAAGAAAGAGAAAAAGGAGAGCGCTGGCGGCGTGGGCTCAATTGGAAAAGGAATGCCGGCACCCTAGGTGCTCGTCTGAGTATCACAAGTTAATGATTGCGTCGTCGGTTCGTTGATCGGCTTGGAGCTCGACAATATCCAGGATACAGCTGGTCGTCTGTGGTGCTGGGTTGGTTGGGGGAAAAGACTGACTATCGAAGGAATCGAGGAACCTGCCGGAATGCTGTTGGACGAAGACAGAGAAGGAACGGCGAAATCGCTCGAGTGTCTAGGTGGAAAGAGGATATGGCACCCATTCATAGACCCTTTTGAGGGACGGACGGGAGCAACTAGTGGCCAAGGCTATTGAAGTGAAAAGAGACTTTCACGAGCTTTTGACCCCCAAATGTCTCGGAGACCAACGTGGATGTTCAATGTTGATACCAACACGAGCAAATCTAGACTGCTACACCACTCAATACTAGGCAGCTTTTTTAGAACCGGGCAGAGCAAGGTTTCTCACTAAAAAGAGAGTGGATCACTTTGAACCAACGAATTCATCGAGTTCGGACATTTTCCCAAGCTCATTTCGGCGACGCCTCAAAATCCAAGGGTCCTAGGGTTACAGTTTTCTTTTTCTTCTTTAGGCTTTTTTTTCTTTTCTTCTTCTTCTTCTACCCTCATCTTTCCCCTTGTCTTGCTCTCAATATACCCTAGCGCACTGGCGTGACTCTACTTCAAGTGTTCCGTCTCCATCCCCATCTTCTGAGGCGGGCCGAAGTCAACCGATTCAAGGAATGACCATTGACAGCCTTCGAGCCTAGATGGTCTTGCAAATTGATGTTATTTGGTGGGTGACAACAAAAGCCTGCGGAGCGGTATGCTGCTGAGGAAGAAGCGAGAGATGGCATACCATCACTCACGCGATAGATGCCAAAGATAGGCTTCATCACCTCCTGTCTTGAAACCATGACTTTGCTTCGTACATCCAAATAGGGTAGCAAGGGTGATGGAGGGGTACATGCAAGCACCAAGCTTACCTGATTCCCAATCTCTAACATTATATGATTACATGCTTCAGAGCTCTGTCTCAATACAAAAGCCTTCAAACCCTCTAGTTGCCCCCGAGCTACATTGAACCATCTCATCTAGGATCCCTCTTTCGATTTCCACCATTCTCCTTTTCAAAGTAGCATAATTGGATAAATGGAGTATGTAAAGAATGGAAGTCTAGTCAGGTATTCCGGAGCTAAAAGGCGGATGCGACTCATCGTCCAGGTCCGCAGCAACTAGAAGTGACTGGGGCATATAACAATCACATGCCAAAATTTTGAGTTGGATTAGAGCTTGAGGAGCTATTCTCCAAGTGGTTCACTGGTGGCACCTTCCGCCTGGCACACGCTGGTTTAATTCGGATTAGTGCTCATGATGGGTACGTGCCAGGAGCATCCTGGTCAATTGGAAAATTTCCTTCTCGTATGTCAGCTCGAAAGTCTGGCTCCAACCACACCGTACCTGGCGGCTGTCCTGGACTTGGGAGCGAGCGTGGTGTCACGTGACTTGTCCTTTGAGCCCCACGAGCACGGCTTGCTAACTTCGACCATGAATGGAAGCTTGCTGACAGCTACGCGATCATCGCCGCGACTTGGCGAACCTCGACGGACATTGAAGCGCGTGAGAGAGAAATTGAGAGTTCTGGCAGCCGCAGCGGAGCTCACCAGCACAATCACCCCATTCGGGCCCGCATACTTTCGCTTCGTTATCACCGGAAGCTTTGCACATTAGGGCCCGGCGCTCAAGGCGATGAGTAGAGATATATCAAGAGGTTCCACCACTCCTCCCGCATTCCCTCGTCTCTATCTCATCTCACTCGGCCTCGTTTCGTTTTGTGAATTGGGTTAGAAATAATCTGAAAAAGAAATTCGTAATCGGCTGCCTTCCATATTCTTGACATCATCATCCTAGCCGTCATTCAGCAATGGCCTATGAGTCGAGGGGGATCATGGAGGTGGCGGCGGTGGCGGTGGTGGTGGTGGTGGAGGCCATGATGGAGGCTTCATGAGAACCCGAGGACGACGTAAGGCACCATACCATCCCCGACGATCCTCTTCTTTAGTTTTCCGATGTTTCAACTCATCGTTCTATATCCCTGAGATTTTTGTTGGCTCTTGGCCAACCCTGTGCTAATCGAATCTGTCGAATACAGGACCGGTAACCGACTATGGCTCCACCATTGGCCACTGGGTCCAGGACCGGTCTCTCAAACCTAACGGCGGCTATTTCGGAGAACGCGAACGGCCCAGTCCTAGCTATATCGTCGATGTTTGTATCTCCGCCTCTTAGACGCGCCTTGACGATTGTTGAGCCTTATCCAATGTCTCCCTACTAACCACTGCGCCTAGTTTGAACCTCCCGCGGCGCGCCCACGCGAGCGGCCGAGTCGATCCCTGCCAAACATCTTCACACCTCTTTAAACAAAGTCAAGCACCCTGTCAACGTAGTACGATGGACACCTGAGGGGAGGAGACTTCTTACTGCCTCCAGCAGTGGTGAGTTTACCCTGTGGAATGGCACCGGTTTCAACTTCGAGACCATTATGCAGGCCCACGATTCCGCCATCCGCGCCCTATGTTACTCCCACAACGACGACTGGCTGGTATCGGGCGACCACGACGGCATCGTCAAGTACTGGCAACCAAACTTCAACAATCTCGAGAGCATCAGCGCCCACAGCGATCCCGTGCGCGACATCGCCTTCAGCCCCACCGACAACAAGTTCGTGACGGCGAGCGACGACTCGACCCTCAAGATTTTTGACTTTGCCGGCGGCGTGGAGGAGAGCGTGCTCAAGAGCCACGGCTGGGATGTCAAGAGTTGCGACTGGCACCCGACCAAGGGCCTCCTCGTCTCCGGGTCCAAGGACCACCTTGTCAAGCTTTGGGACCCCCGCAATGCCCGGTGCCTAACTACTCTCCATGGCCACAAGAACACAATCACCAAGACCCTATTCGAAAAGATTCGTGGAAACTGCCTCGCCACCTCTGCTCGGGACCAGACTGCTCGCGTCTTTGACTTGAGAATGATGCGCGACATCTGCCTCCTCAAGGGCCACGAGAAGGATATTTCAACTCTAGCCTGGCATCCTATCCATCCCAACTTTCTTAGCACGGGTGGACATGACGGGTCCCTGTTCCATTACCTTCTCGACGAGCCCAACCCCCGGCGGGCCACCCGTTGACTGTGTCGCCTTACGACAGCCCGGACCCCACCTCTGCCCTGGCCCAGACCATCTATCCCGCGCACAAGGTCTCCTTTGCCCACGATTTCGCCATTTGGTCCCTGGACTGGCATCCTCTGGGCCACATTCTCGCATCCGGTTCCAACGATCGACTTACCCGCTTTTGGTCTCGGCCCCGCCCTGGTGATACCGATTTCCACAATGACAAGTATCACATTGGCGAGGCCGCCGCCGTCGCCCAAGGAACCTGGGATCGTCGCGGCGGTCGCCAGCAGCGACAGGAGGAAGAGGAGCGCGAGATCGAGGACGAGATGGAGGGCCTTGTGGACCAGAAGCTACCCATCAAGCAGCAGGGCCACTCCTTCCCCGGAATTCCTGGCCTCCCTCTCCACGGCGCATCGTCCGGCTCTATGCCCATGCCCCCGCCCCCGCTTATCCCTGGCGTGCCCCCTCTACCCATGCCCCTGCCCGGCCTCGGCGGTGTTCCTCCACCCTTGCCAGCCGGTCTCGCCGGTCTCGACCCCAGCAACCCAGCCGATATTTCCAAGATTGCGGAGATCATGCACAAGGCGGGTGTACAACTTCCTCCACCGCCTCCTGGCCTCCTGCCCCATGGTCTCCCTGCGGGATTTCCTCCTGGCCTTCCTCCAGGTCTCCCGCCTGGTCTCCCTCCTGGCCTGATGCCCCCGGATTCCCTATCCCTCCGCCGCCGCCGCCGCCTGGCACGAGCGCGATGGATCTTGACGTTAATGACGCAAATCGACGCCGCGCGCCACTGCCTAGCCAAGAAGAGAGTCTGAGGATGGAGCAGACTCGCGGAAACTACACGCGGTCGCGGTAGGCTTGTTGACCTGCAGCTGAGCCAGTGACGGCGGAAACAGAGAGGGCCGGTTGGGCCATCGTCTGGTTATTCTATTTCGTTGATGTCTCTACATTATGGTGGTTCCAATTATCAATGGGAGAGAGGAGGCTGTGGGTGAAGAAGGATTTGGCTTATTATCTTGTTTGGATCTCAAGTCTCAAGGGAAAAAATGAGGGCGGGAGTACGGCGTGAGGAGTACAGCGTGTAATATGGACATAGCACTCGTAAAATGATGGATGCGGGCAGAGTCTAGAGAATAGGATGCCTGCAGAAGTCGGGGGCAGGGTGGAAACGCCTACCCTTTCCGGAAGCGGTGCTTTCATTACCCAAAAGAAAATGTACGATAGTAGGGACTAAAGGGCTTCTTGGAGCTCTTGAGCAAGGGGATGCGGGGAACCTCAGGCGGCGAAATAGGGGGAATAAAAATACAACGCCGGTCTCGATGATTCTGTTTATAAATTCCCTCTCAGGGGGCAAGATGATACAAGTATGCTACAAGTCCCACGAAAGCCATCAGGCTCGTCGAGCGAGTCTGGAGGAGATCTCAGAGGGAGGGCCGTGGGGTTCAAGCCCGCGCGCTAATGATACACATGTGCTGCCTATGCAATGACGAAAACAGTTGAAACAAGCATCGCCCCATGCAACTTCCAACCCACCCTCTCTCACTGTGTCTTTCTTTTGTTTTTGTGGGGGTTTCGTTTTGGTTTTGGTCTTCTTTTCTTCTTTGATTCCTCTCCTAGCCCACTAGTGGGCTCACCTCTTTGGGGCGGGAAGAGCCTTCTTCTTGTCGGCGAATTCCCTCACGATGATGGCGCAGTCGCCCTCGGCGCACAAGCGCCTCCTCCTCTGAAGAGGCAGCTTCTCGGCGAATTCGAGGCCGCTCGCCCGCTCAATAGCCTCGAGGGGCACCTCGAAATCGGTCAGGGGCTTGGAGTTGGGGATGGGGGCGTTGGGCATGACAAAGGCGCCGATGGCGACGTTGCCGCCGGCGCGGCCGTCCTCGGCGAAGATGACCTTGTAGAAGTGGGTAGGGACGGCGACGCTGGCGGGGGTCCCGATGACCTCGTACTTGACGTACCACTTGCCGTCGGTGGGGTCCTTTTGGGGAGGTAGAGGGGCCCGGTGACGATGCGGACGGAGGGTACCGGCCCGTGAGCCTGCGGCAAAAGTCCTCAAAGTGGGCCCAGTAGTCCCTGTTGAAGCCCTCGCCGACCTGGGGGCACATGTTGCTGAGGTAAAAGGTCTCGTCCATGGCCTTTTGGGACCACTTGGCGTCGGCGGCGGGCATCTGGTGGCCGCGGTCGTAGCCGCTGCGGAAGTAGTCCTTGAGCAGGGCGCGGAACTTTGTGGGGATGGAGTCGTCCTCGAGAAACGTGCTGCCGCGGCGGTCGCCGTCGCGGATGGCGAGGAGGCCGGGGTGATGTGCTCGACGACCCAGTGGGGTTCCGCGTGCGGCGGTCGTAGGAGGAGACGAAGGCAGCGCGGGCGGCGATGTCGGAGACGGGGCCGGGAATCCGTACTCGAAGACGCCGGCTGGGTTGACGGGGGCGGGAGGCGCGCCGACGGGGAGGAGGCGCGCCGGCGGTGGACGGGGGCGCGAAGATTTGGGTCGCGGGGATGGCGACGGGGATTGTGCGGGGGCGAGGGTCGTCGGCGCGGTCGAGGAGGGTTTAGGCTCGTGTAGGGCTTGCTGTCGGAGCGGAAGGCGTGGAGGGCGGCGGCGGTTACGGCGGCGCCGCTGCCGGCGCCGAGGGCGAGAAGGGCGAGGCTGGTGGTTTTGGACATGGCCGAGTTGTTGTGTCGAGACGGGTGGAGGGGGAGAGAAGAGGAGTGGGATGACAACTGGGTCGTCTTGGACACACTGTTGCGAGGGGGACGAGATGAAGTGTGACGCGATGGTTGACTCTGCGAACCAAAAAAAAAAAAGCTTTGCTTGTCGCGCACTCACAACTCGTCCCTTTTTTAGTGGGTCCACTCGTTCGGATTTTGGGGCGGCAAGCTTCACAGGCTAAACGAGCACTGTCCTATTCTAGGGGAAGAACATAGTAATATTCGGTGGGCCAAGTTCATTCAATTGCTCGAATTTTCTGCACGTCCAGCCAGTTCTCGGGGACGTACGTCAAGAATACCGTACTATTGACTACATAGACTGGACCCTTTTGATGGCACATTGCCCGCTTCATGTTTGAATCTTGTCAGTCGCTTCATCAATGGGCGGCCTACGAGAGATGGAATTGACGGATCTGTGTGCCAGCCTCGAGGATATCCCGCCAGCGCTGAGTAAGACAACCTCGAGCAGCAGCTTGTTTGGGTGCCATGCATGCCATCTTAGCATGCAATCGAGGAGGCGAAGCCGCAAAGGTCGCCCGCACAAGAAGTCTCCGTTGGAAGCCAAGACAAAGGAAGGATGAAAGCGGCGAAAAAAAAGAAGAATAAAGAGCTGAGTGGATCGCTCCGACCGCGTGCCTCACCCAGATGACATCCCAGACTTAATAAACTCGTGAGGTCAAACCGGTTGAGAGACAGGCGGTCCTCGATCGAGGTAAAGACGCCCCTAAGAGATTCCGAGACAGCCATCCAGCAGACGCTGACATCCGACAGAGGTGAACCTAAAAAACTTACTTTTTGTATTGCATCCTGATGTGGCAGCGAGAGCATGGTGCTGGTCATGGGCTTTGGTTGGTGGAGGGGCAAGCACCTTGATGGTACCCTGATGGCCCCTCCCACATGAATTTCACTTTCTTGTCCTGGTGCATCCGCCTTGGGCTTGTACGTCAGCGTCTCGGGGCGTGGGGAGAACGAGGAGAGGCACGATTGAGTGGTTCGGTTGCTCCCCATATTGCCCAGACCGGAGACGAGAGGGACCCCAATCAATCATTTCCGGGCCCGTGGATGCCTATTCCTTGTTCGACAAGGGCGAGTGGAGGCTGACCCTGGAAATCAGGTCAACCGCGAGTGATGGAAGGGTGCAATGAATCAGACTCTGGATGAATGGGGTATCTCAGGACATGGATCTGGATCAGTCCCCTCATGCTTATGGTACTAGCGTGAAGCTAAAGAAGATACCATCAATGAGGCATCAATTGATCGATTCACGGATGTTTATTACTTAAAACCCTCCGAGGGGGCAATAGGAGAGCAATAGGCAGCACGCTAGAGTTCATCACCCGAGACGACATCTTTCGGTGTGAATCGTTGAAAAGGAGTCTAGCCCAATCAAGCCAGAAGCTGATGCAGCCCTCAGTGACGACTCCCTGTCTCCATTCACCATCAATTGATCACCGCCAGCTCCGGATTACCAATTCTGTCTCCTGCCATTCACAAGCCTTCAACATTATCCGTTGCCCTCGTCTTTGATCCTCAACTCTTCCTCCGCCCTTGCTCTGAAGCGTTCCTGCAACTGTCGAGGACACAAATTCAAGTCCGCCAAAGTCCTTGCTTTGTTCGATCGCCCTCACCACCCGTTAATCCTCTTTCTTTCTTTTTCCTTCTTTTTATTTTCCCCCTCCACCCCATCTCATGACTGGCTCTCTTCTCTGCCCTTGCTAACTAACCTGAGAGAATCCAACCTCGTCCTCGTGTCTCCGGACTCGACAGTTCCCTCGACCTCCAAGACAAGATCTCACCGCAATTGGGTCAATCCTCGAAACACGCAACGACGAAACCAACCCCCACTTCTAATCCCTGACCACCAGCTTGACACCTCTGAATACTAATCGCCACCACCCTATTTGCCCCTCGCCAAGCCAAATCCCCAAGCACTCCACCCGAGCGTCAGCATCTTCGCTACAGATGCCATTCCACACATTGCCCCGCGAACTCAACTGCAATCCCCGCAACATCAGCCCTCGTTCATGATGGAGCGGACACCCATCGACAATGACACGCGAGGCTGGATCCTCTGCTTCGTGAGCGGTGCAGGTGCGTACTTACTCTAGCTAACTCTAGCTCTCTCGTCGGCACATTTCTGCCTTCTCTTCTCCTCGCCTCTAGAAGCTAACGGCCCCCTTTCCTTTGACTACCCCATGAATAGCTTGCGTTCTAGGTTCCAGCGTAATATGCGTCGACTTTTTGATTCGTCTGCTCCCGGGCCACAGCAGCTTCAGCATAAACCGCAGCAGCGTCTTTCTTGCCAGCTCGTTAAGTCTGAGTTTCGGCGTCATGGTAAGCTCATGGCACGCCTGCCTACGATCGCACACGTCTTGACGCTAACCCTCCTCCGCCTTTTTCTCGTTGCTAGCTCTTTTCCGCCCTTTACAGCATGCTTCCCAATGCAAAGGAATACTTTATCGAGGCTGGCTACGGCAGCCAAGCAGCCGGCAGTCTCATGGTCGCATGGTTCGCTTGCGGCTTCCTCGGAATACAGCTCGTCTCGAGATTTTTACACCGGTTCATGCCCTCTCACGTTGTCGACTGCGATCACCATCACGATGGCCCCAAGGAACTCGAAGCTCACTCCCACGACGACTCGCACGACCACGAACATTATCATGATCACGATCACGACCACACCCACGACCACGACCACGACCATGACCATGACCACAACAGCCACACCCATTCCCCGACTCTAACAAACAATCACGATCCTCACCGCCCCCAACTTCATTCCCGTAGACCTCATCGTTCCGAATTACCACCCTCCACGATCTCCGAGAACCCCGTCGTCCATACCCACCTACAGACCACCGAATCTACCCCCTCCTTGCCTCGAACCAACTCACCAACGGAAACGGCCATCCGCAACATAATGGTTCCACCATCACAACCACCACCAATGGCCTACTTCGGCCCCCACCCTGCCGGCCAAGTGCGGAGCCAAACCACGCCGGCTTACGAGAATGGAGGGAAGCGGCCCCCATGGCGCATGTGCAGGAGCGCGTCATATCCTTTGTCAAGGATCTCAAGGGGTGCGACGAGCTAGGGCCCTGCTACGGATACTCCGACCCGTGCGGGCAGGAATGTTACAAGCACCTGCAACCCCGCGTACCTAGCTCCTCGGGACGCATAAACCTGCGCCGAGGCCAAACAGGGTCCCACGGCGCAGGCCTTCCCGGGGAGCGGGGCTAGCCAAAGCTCGCGAGCCCGACGTCGCAGAGGTTGCGCCCGCGAGCCCCGCCCCCACCGAGCCAGCAGACCCTCCTCGCGGAGCAGCGCCGTCGACGTCGAGGAATGCTGCCCCGCCACCCCTCCTCGCCCCCGAGGACGTCGAGGCGCAACACCACCACCACGTGCCCACCAACGCCTTTCTCTCCCTCGGCCTGCAGACCTCCATCGCCATCGCCCTCCACAAGTTCCCCGAAGGCTTCATCACCTTTGCCACCAACCACGCCAACCCCACCCTCGGCTTCAACGTCTTCATGGCCCTGTTCGTCCACAACATCACCGAGGGCTTCACCATTGCCCTGCCCCTCTACATGGCCCTCGGCAGCCGCGCCAAGGCCATGCTGTGGGCCTCCATCCTCGGCGGCCTGAGCCAGCCCCTCGGCGCCGCCGTCGCCGCCCTGTGGTTCCGCCTCGCCCGCAAGACGCACATGGCCCCCAACACCGCCGTCTACGCCGGCCTCTTCGCCATCACCGCCGGCATCATGGTCAGCGTGGCTCTACAGCTGTTCGTCGAGAGCCTGAGCCTCAACCATAACCGGAACCTCTCCACCTTTTTCGCCTTTCTCGGCATGATTGTTCTCGGGCTGAGCAACTCCCTCGTTGAGTCTGATTAAACTCTTCCTCTTCCTCTTCCTCTTCCTCTTCCTCTTCCTCTTCCTCTTCCTCTTCCTCTTCCTCTTCTTCTTCTTCTTCTTCTTCTTCTTCTTCTTCTTCTTCTTCTTCTTCTTCTTCTTCTTCTTCCTCGGCCGGGGAGGTTGAACGGCTTTCAGTCATCCAATGTTGTTCCGCGGCGCTAGCATAGGAAAGGGCTTATACACGTATGCATGCATGTTTGGCTGTATTATACTGCTTTTTGGGGTGTTTTTTTTTTTTCCCTTTTTCTCTTGGGATGGACTAGGCATCAATTATTAGCACGAAGTGACGATTTTTCTTCCTGTTCTTCTTTCCGTTTTTTATATTTCCCCTCCTACCTCCTATCTCGTCTTTTTCCCGTAGCTACGCTGGTTATAGGCGTCAGCGAGAAATACAAGCATCCACAATAGACTATGTCCGCACCAGTTTGCATAGATTGACGAGTGAGGAAGCCATACGTCTTGGGCAGTGTGAGGTCGTTGCTGAACAACGTTCGCTTCAAGAATCCAAATAGATGATGTCCACAGATTCCTTTAATACTTTTTTATTAATCTTTTTCTTCTTTTATAAAAAAGTAAGTCAAACAGCTATCCCCTCCGCGTTATATTCGCGGTTGAGAACTCGCATGGCTAGCATCATAGGCGTAGCCGGGTATCTCGTCTAGTTATAATTGACGTCGTCAAGCCTGTCTATACTGTGCATGTATAACCAGGCTATAGCTTTCCTACTTTTGTTTCCTCATCTCGATCATAGTTCCATTTCCCGTTTTTGTCTAGTACCCAGTCATCCAGTTCATAATTCAATCGACAAAGAAAAACGAATAAAAAGTCCAGGAGCGATGCAAGGCAAATTAAATGCGCAACCAGACAGGGGAGCTCGCTTTGGTCCATGATTCAGTCACATGGCCGCAGAGCAGAGTGCTCGAAGCGGAGCATAACAAGAATCATCGTCAGGGACGATGTCCAGCGGGTAAAGGTGTGTATCGACACCAGCATCTTCAGAAACCCTGTCGACATAGCCGCGGAACTCCTAAACTTCCACTTCCTGTTGCTGGGAAGCCATCCACTCGTTGTGGCTGGGAGGGTTGAAGGGTTGGAGGAAGTCGTTATGCGAGACCGCGATCTCAATGTCAAAATTGTTGCCTGTAAGACTGGAGCCAACGAGCGGGGCTCGTTGGGCCAGCTGGCGCCGGCGTTGAGAGCAGGGTCGATTGCCGGATCGTTGGGCGTGTGAAACAGGTCAAGATTGGGAGCCTGCGTTGAGTTGGGGTCCGTCAAGAAACTCTCACCTGGCCAGAGACTTTCCGGCCAAAGAGGATCCGGTGTAAGGGAATCCGGCATGGAGACTTCGTTCACTCCATCTTGTCCAGAGAGCACAATGTTGCTACCCTGTCCAGGTAGCTGAGCCACATTGACTACCTGAGATACAGGAGCCTGGACTTCGGCATCGTGGGTAGGCAAGTGGAGCTGAAGGTCATGATGGCGGATGAATTTCTGGTTGCAGCCAAGGCGGGGACATTCGACCGTTCGTTTGTCCGCATCGATCGCCCCAGAGATCTCTTCAAGATAGTCCATGTTGTCTTGGACAGCCGCAGTGACACGCCTGTTCGGCCTCTGTAAACGGGGCACGCCGAGGTGAACGTGCCTAACGTGGTCTTCTAGGTTGGCCTTGCTCGCAAAAGCTCGCGCACAACCAAATTCATTGGGGAAGGTCTCGAGGCCTTCGCTTTTAGTGAGATCGGTAGCGCCACAGATGAACCGTACGCCCTCGTGGGCGACGCGGGTGTGGACGTTGAGGTTTGATCTCTTAGTGAACTTCTTGTCGCACCCAGGATGAATGCACTGGAAAGTCTTACGGTCGTCAGCCGTCATACCACTGTGATGAACCTCGATGTGCTTGTTCAAATCGTATTTGGAGGTGCACTTGAAGGAGCAAAACACGCAGTTCATGTGCTCATTCCGCATATGAGCCTGAAGAAAAGATTTGGTGGTGAAGCCAACGACCGGGCTGCTACCCTCAGGACGAGGGCATTCGTCGCACCAGAACTTGTTTTCCGTATGCTCCCTATTGGTGTGGTTACGCAACGCACCGGCAGAGTCGTAAGAAGCGCCGCAGTCTTGTTCCTTGCAAAGGTATGGTTTCAAATTGAGATGGCCGCTCCGAATGTGCCGCTCGAGGGCGGATTGCTGTTTGAAACCACGCTCGCAAGGTGGAAAGTCGACACAGCGGAGTTGGTTGTTTCGATGGGTATGGATAGCTTCGTGGCGCAGGAGACGGGTGCTTGTCCCGAATGCCTTGCTGCAATGGGAACAGACAAATGGGCGGTACTCTTCGTGGGTTCCTTTGATATGTTGCTGGAGGTGCTTCTCCTCCATATAAGACTTGTCACAATTCTCAAAGGCGCATATGTATGGTCGTTCTCCCGTATGGGAGCGCTGGTGAGCCGTAAGTCGAGAAGGCCGATTGAAGGCCTTGTTGCATCCCGTGTGATCGCAAGTGTATTTTTTATCGTCGTTTTTTACACTGGAAGGGGGCGTCGGGGCTGAACCAGGTTAGGGCTTGACAAGATTGAAGGTGGCGGAGGCGGGGACGATATTGGAGTGAGATGATGAAGGGACAAAAGAAATGGAACAAGGGAGTAGATGGGAGAGATGCTTATTAGAAATCATTGGTCAACCTAGCAGGTGCAGACTCACCAGATGACTCTTCTTGCGTTAAATTCAACTTTTGGAAGGCGGTTGTGCCAGGAAGATCGAGAGCTCTGAAGAGAGCTCCGAAGAGAGCTCACGTTTTCGAGACATTGTAAGGATGGATGGTGAGAATGTGACTAAGTAAAGTAGCTATAAGGTCTGGCAATGCCACCATACTTCTTTACCTAAAGAACATGACTCTCTATAAAGCCATGCTTTAAGAAGAGAAGGGACATCGAACAAAATGAAGAAGTAGAGGGAGTGATAGATGGGATAAGATGTTGGATATCGATTAAAGTAAGTGGCAGAAATTCTAGGCGGTCAGAGACTTTTTTGAGATTTTGTGTGTGCTGTGTCGTTGGATGGTGGGGTGTCCAGATGCAGCTAGCCTATGATAATCCTTGAAACCCAAGTGAGAGCCCCCACCAAGTTCATCCTTCCATTGTCGACATGTCGTACCTGATAACGGAGAATATCCGGCTAAACCGATAAGACTTCCGGGACCTTCGACAAGCGCTGGGACAATTTTTTGGTGCTGGATTTCAAGTGGGCGAGAATTGAGAGCGCCGCTCCAGGTTTTTCCAATCCACCAGACGGACAACCACGATACACCTTGGAAGTCCCCGATTCCTTGGCCGCGATCATCTCCGATATCGATTCGAATCCAAACCACGCACACTCTTTCTCCAAACCCCAGCCGCGCTCCAAGGCAAGATGTCTGACTTTGGCGACGATGTCGACGCCGGCATGTATGTCTTTCCTCCTCCCCTTTCGATGCAGCCAACTGGGAGCCTTTCCGAGGGGCGCGCTCCGCATCACGCCAAAAATCCCAGCGAGGAAGCCGCGCTAACGCTACCACAGGGATGAGCCCATGTACGACGAGGAAGAGGCGGGCGAATACTGGGAGGAAGACGCCGCCGATGAGAATGATGGCGACAAGGCCAATGTGGATGAGCAAGACAATGTGGTCATATCCGGAGATGCCGCTGCCGCTGCCGCCGCCGCGGGAAGACTGCGCCTAAATCTATGAAGGAGAGGAAGATTGCCACTGAGGACCGGACCACAACGCCGTATATGACCAAGTACGAGAAGGCGAGGATTCTCGGAACTAGGGCGCTTCAAATCAGGTAAGCAATAAGTTTCTCACGATGCAGATGGGTCTCAATCTCGACTTTTCATCCAAGGCCAAGATCTTCTCATCCTAATTCTATCCTGGCAGCATGAACGCACCCGTATTGGTAGATCTTGAGGGCGAGACAGACCCCTTGCAGATTGCTATCAAAGAACTGAAGGAGAAGAAAATCCCCCTCATCGTCAGGCGGTACCTTCCTGATGGATAGTAAGTCTACCAGTGATGATTCCGGAACATGACCCTTTTTGAAACGCGGCTGTCTGCGCAGCGCTAGAGATCCAAGGGCTGACAACCGCCATAGCTACGAGGATTGGACGTGCGAGGAGCTTCTTCAGTAAACGAGCGAAACATATCGCGAATTCAAAGGATGGATGCGCGTGATGGTTCAGCCAAGATGAAAGCCGGCAGACTCATCCAAAATGACGATGACGATAAATTAGAGGAAAAGCGGCGCCCTTGGTCACCCCCATGTGACGACGAGTAGAGGTTGAGAGCGCGTGAATTTGGCGTTAGATGCCAGGTTATCTTAACAGTCACGCGGAGCATGCCTCCGTCCTCACTGGTTTGCTCGTCCCTCTGCGTACGGGGGCGGCGTGGGAGAAGCCAACCCTTTTCTTGCATTGTATTGTAAGGGGAGAGGATTATTCATTTTGGCGTTTCGGCTTTGGAATCGAAGAGGTGTTACGATGGTGGATCGCCCTGTTTTGCTCCGGGGCGGCGGTTTAATGAGCTCTATATACCACCGAGAGACGTGTAGATGAGAGGAGCAAGGGATCACAAGGCCCATACTGCCTACCGCAGGAGCGTCACGTTCAAATCAATGGATCATGCTTGCTGAGGCCCAAGCCAGTTCGGATCACCAGAGCCCTTCCTTCTTTCTTTCTTTTTCCTCTTTTCCCTCTCTTGCACGTCTCTGACAGCAAGCGCAAATAGTAGGAGCGCCAAGTGCTCGATCAGCGTAGCTCTCTCGTGCTTTTTGTTCGCGGCCTCTTGCTCGCGAAGAGCCGTTTGGAATTATGTGGTGGTAGATACAGGCACACGTAGCCTTTGGCCGGCGCCTCATCCATCGCCCCCAGGTTTTGCTCTCTGATACCGCCTCGTAGTTGTAGCTTACCTAAGACATCAGCGTCGAGAAGACGAGCCAAGTAAAACTCGGAGGTCTATGCAAACTTGCGGACTTGGGAGACCCGACCAGGCCACTAATAAAAAGAACCTTTCTTTGCTTTCTTCTCTACATCGAGCACTGTCGCTTTGATATTAGTGATATTGCTGATATAGACGGATCGTCAAGCCTGTGGGGCGGAGTGGGAGGGAAATTTTCCCATTTTGCCGTCCCGGACGCGATTGGTCGTCGCCGCACTCGCAACTAATACAAATCGCTATATTGGCCTTCATCTGGCAGTTCGTCTTCTCAGACCTCGTTATTTGATCTCCTCGGCATCCCACATAGCCCATTGGCCCGACCGAAAGAAATGGGTGATACCAAGAGCAAGCGAGGGAAATAGAAGGTATTTCGTTTGAGTTGGTGCGCGTGTGCCCCTTGCTCGAGGTTGATCTTCGCGCCCTTCACCTCTTGAGGCATCCGTTTTTTCTCGAGTTCGCTTTCCCTGTCCTTTTTTCCGTTTCGTGTGTTTCCTTTTCCCGATCAACGCCGCTTTTTCCTCAACTTTGTCCTACATGTAGGTTGCGTCACCCTTCACGGCCCCAGTTCCTTGGCATCGCTGTTGCGGGTCCGTCGTCCGCTTCCTTGTCCCCTCTCTGGAAATGCCAGGTCCCTTGGCTTCCGCCTTGTTCCCGTCATCACGCTGGACCAACTCTGAATGGCAGAAGATGCCTTTTCATTTGCCGGCATGCCCAGAACTACAACAAAGGCAGGCTGTGAGAGTGTGAACCCTGTACCGGCCGCCGTTGCCGCGAGGCACCCAAACGTAAAACGGGATAACGCTTCCGTCTGCCTTCCACCACGTTTCCACTCCCAGTTCACCCATTCCTCTCTTATGGAGAGTGTGTCCAAACTCCTCCTTAAAATGGTGTATCCATTCGCCATAGAACTTGATGTGACCACCCAGCATGTAAAAGCCTAGTGGCGCATTCTGACGAGAGTTTGATGCGCTCGGAGCCGATGGGAAACGTTGGCCGCTTCTCATCTTTCCGTGGCACAAGGCCGCGAACTCGAGGCGTTCTTTGCATCAGGCCACATGAGCGTTTGATTAATCTACCCACGATACAAGTATCGTTTAGATCGTCCGGGACACGGTAACGGGTAGGAACGAGGAGGGGGAGGGGAAGAACTTGGTAGAAGGGCGGGTGGCCCGTCGAGAAGCGCACACGGTTCCCAGAGGCTCAAGAGGAGGAAAAGCAAATTCCAGGATGACTTCTGCCGATATTAGCGATGTACGGAGCCGCGCCGAGGTCGCCACGTACGACGTCTCTGAGGCCTGTGGTTGCCTCTCACGTTCCAACACCGCGCTCTGGCCCATTTTCTTCTCTTTCCCCCTTTTACGTTTGCGAAATCTGTTTTCTTTTCCTTCTTGTCCTATGTGTACGGGTTATCTTCAACCCCGTAACATCCGTACTATGGAGCGAAGCCAGGCGCTCGGAGCCGCTGTGTCGAGGACGAGCTGATGACCGTATGACCGTTGAGCCCGTCAATCACCTTGCGCGAAACTACGTATTCGAGACCGACCAACAGGGTGGAAGACATTTCTCGCTGACGACCCAAGGCACGGCAGAATGCATATTTTGTTCCCCAGGCTCGGGCTTTAGGCCTCCTCATCTACCAAGCCCTGCGCATCCTCCGAGGCCCCTTCGCCCCGTACATCATTCCCGATGTTGAGAGCCGGTTTTCCGCTGTCAAGGGGCTGCCGGCGAGACTTGGGAGAAAGAAGATTGGATTTGGGGGAAGAGAGGCGGGGGCGGGCAAAACTTTCCAATGAGGATGAGATGAACGCGTCTTAGCCAAGAGATATAAAGTGCAGATGACAGGTTGACATCGAAACTGGCAGGGATGGGGATACTTGCAAATGCGATGCCAAAAAGAAAAGAAAAATAGGATACATGTGCGCACACGAGCCAAGGGGCCAGGAGGGGCGAATATAATTATTAAAACAACAGGAAAGGAAAGTTTTGGGCCAGTGAGGGGCGGATATAGTTATATTAGGTCCTTCACCCAAGGTGGTGCTCGGAGACAAATCCCGCTCTGGGGTAAATTCAACAAATGGCCGGCCCTGGGATCAGGTCTTGAAATCTTATCTATTGCCGCCCGCTTGCAAAGTTCGTGGAGACCTCCTCCTCGAGGGTTTGGCTGCAGCCCCCACGGACCATACCACCCCCAAGCGCACACCTGGTTAGCCGGACAGGGAGGGGATTCTAGGTCTAAAAACCCTTCAGTCAATTTCCCAGTTCCTAGTTAATCAACGTTCACGGGTACCTATTGATGTCGACCAGCGGCGGGTTGATGAACGCGCATCCCGCTACAGTCAGTGTTAGTGAATCCTTGGCAGCGACCTCACTATATCCGTTGTATATGGGAGTACTCGAGATTATACCCGTGCAGAATAGAGTGGATGAATGGAAAGGAGAGAGCGGGTAGTGAAGGAAATATATTGAGAAAAAGAAGAAGAAAAAGAGGGAAGCTCCTGTTTATTGCTGCAGCTTTTTTAATCCTCCTTGGGCAGGTATTTGTATTTACTTCTTATACCAGGTCGTGCCCTTCCACTCGGCCAAACCGCCCTTGTTGTTCTTTGTGTCTTGCGGGCTGTCCAGTGTTCCTTTCTAGTAGCATTTCGATACCGTCGCTTCATATTCCCCTTCTTTTTGCAAGGAGAACCTAGGCTTGCCGATCATGTCCGTCGTCAAGAAGCTCCTCGCCGCCCTCGCGGCCACCACTTTCCTCACCGGCGTCGCTGCTCAGACCTATGAGTTTAGCGAGGAGGAGCTCACCTCTGGTGATGCCCTCAAGGCCCTTAGCAAGCAGGCTATGGAAAATGCTCTTGCCCGCCTCCCCGAATCTGGAGAGGGCTGCACGCGGGAGAACGTCAAAATTCGAAAGGAATGGTAAGTTTATGTGGCTCCGCGCCTGACACCCATCTTCGCGTCCAGGTGTAGTCTCATTGCCTCTATCGAGAATGACATCTACATGGATCCATGGATGGACTGGTTTTCATACTAACGGTGGCAATCAAGGCGCAACATGCCGGCCGAGATGAGAATCGGCTATGTCAGCGCTCTCCAGTGCTTGATGGAATCCGAAAGCGAATATCCCGACGTCGACGGTGCCAAGACGGCGTTTGACGACTTCGCCGTTCTTCATTACAACCTCACGCCGTTCGTGCATAACTCTGTAAGTGGGCTATAACGCCATCTCTCAGCTGGCGCATTTGGAAACCTCGATCACGCTAACGATCCGGTCTCCCATGTAGGCTACCTTCCTTACCTTCCACAGGTACTACATTCACACCCTGGAAGAGCAGATGAGGAACAAGTGCGGATACACTGGTAATTCTCTTCCCACGGCCAATACCCACCCAGCTGATCACTGACCACGGTTGCTAACTCTTTGTTCACAGGTGACTTCCCCTACTGGGAGTGGGGCCTCGACTGCGACGACCCGCAACAGTCTCCCTCTTTGACGGCTCCGAAACCTCTCTCGGCAGCGACGGTGAGCCTGTGGAGGCCGGAGCCGGCGGTGGCTTCGGCGGCGGCTTCGGCTTTGGCATGGGAGGCGGCAGCGGTGGTGGCTGCGTGATGAAGGGACCCTTCTCCAACTACACCGTCAACCTCGGACCCTCAACCACCGCCGACCCGCTCGCATATAACCCGCGCTGCATCAAGCGAAACCTGAACGGCGCTATCTGCAAGCAGAATGCCTCGCTCCGGAACACGACGACGACGATCCTTGACTCGCCCGATATCGAACTATTCCAGGCGATTGTCCAAGGTGACATGCGATACCCCGAGGCGAGGGGTCTTGGCATGGCCGTCCACGGCGGTGGTCACTTTACTATTGGTATGTTTGCTATTGTGCCTGCACGTTTAGTCCATGGGACCTCAAGAGACTGACTTTGCTCTTCTTCCTACTTTTAGGTGGTGATCCCGGTGGCGACTTCTACTTCTCCCCTCTCGAGCCCGCCTTCTTCCAACACCACGGCCAGATCGACCGCATGTACTTTGTCTGGCAGAACCTCGACTGGGAAACCCGGCAGAACATTGCCGGCACCGGTACCATGATGAACCAGCCCCCAGCCCAGAGGTTGAGATCACCGAACTCCTCGACCTCAGCCCCTTGCAGAAGCCAGGCCGATCAAGGACCTCATTGACACCCTTGGCTCGGCCCCGTTCTGCTTTGTTTACGAGTAGATATTTGACCGTGAGTAGGGTGCGAGACAGGGAAGTGGTAGTAGGAGTAGTTGCATCGGTAGTCGGTCGGTTTAGGAGAGGTAACCTTGGGGTCTTCTCCCCATTGTGTGTATATAATCCCGTGCGCTTGGCGTAAATTTCAATCTTGGAAAGAATAGGTAACTCATAAACCACATCGCCTAAGGAGCCAAGAAATTGTTGCTACAGTGCACTTCTGACCTCCCATTTTCGTGCTTCATCTTTGGCGCCTGTCGAATTATTTTCTGTTGAAAAAAACAATAATAAAGAGGCCCCTGCAATGCGAATTCATGCAGTAACAGACGCTTCATGACGAATAGAGGCGGAATTGCATCTACGCGACATATTTGTCCGTCGCCGATGGCTTCCAAACCGGCATCCGGAGTTTCGGAGAGCTGGCAGGGGTCGATGACAGCGATGCCGATCGCCGGACAGTCCGAGATAAGGTAAGATAATGGGCTGGTCGGACACTTCTATGGTGTATTAATCGGGCGCACCTACTTACCAGCTAGGTCCAAGGGGGTAGGCACGCAAAATACCAATTGGCACCATCTCCAATTGCGACCGTTGATGTAACCGACGTGGGCTAGCTGCTCTTTTCTCGGTGGCAGCTACGCAATTGATCTGCCGTCTTCGACTTGGTGTGGGCGGAGCTAAGCTTGGAAAGCGTGGTGGGGAAGGTGGGGTTGTGGTGGGGGCAGGAAAGAGGGAAGGAGGGAAGGAGGGACGACGGTCGGAATGGAGGAAGGTAACGAGGGGCTTGACTCTTTCTCTCTCCCCGAAGCTCACAACCTTACTAGAGAGCGAGGAGCTGGCCGGCTCGGGATCGGGGATCCTCGAAACAGAGCAACGCGGGGTCTTGGGTCTTGCGCTTGGGAACTGGTCGAATGGGGCGCGCCACAACTTATACACGCAACAACTGCCGACCTTCGACAACTTTTCCTCACTCTACCTAAACTTCTCCCCTCTAGTAAACTTGTCTCCTGCTCTTTCTCTCCCCCAATCTAATTCTAGTCGTCTCCATTATTGTTGGAGTTCTTCCGTTTCAATTGCGTCAGACTCTCTTGCCCTTGCATCGCTACCTCTACTCGACGCTTAGATTGGCTGATAGGCTATTGCATCTGTTTTTTCTTCTTCTTTTGACTCTAGCTGTAACAGCTTTTTATCCTCCCTCGCCCATCAAACCTCTTCCTCATACACCGGGCCCCTCTCCGCCATTCACCTTCACGTTCACCGCACTTGATCGCACACGACCGTAACCATGGCCTTCGAGACTAAAGCCACGATCACCACCTTCGGAGGTACCCTCCTGAAGCTCTCTCACAACTCCTCCACCACCAACACGCCCATGGCCGTCAACGTCTTCATTCCCCCTCAAGCCAGCGCCTCCTCCCCCGCCCCCGTCCTCATCTACCTTTCCGGCCTGACCTGCTCCCCGATAACTGTACCGACAAGGGCTTCCTCCACGCCCACGCCTCTAAGCTGGGCCTTGCCCTCGTCTGGCCCGATACCTCCCCCGCGGCCTCAACCTTCCCGGCGAAGATGACAGCTGGGACTTTGGCTCCGCTGCCGGCTTTTACGTCGACGCCAAGCAGGAGCCGTGGACCAAGGGCTACAACATGGAGTCCTACGTCGTCAAGGAACTCCAAGATCTCGTCTTCAGCGAGTTCAAGCAGCTCGACCGGTCCCGTGTCTCCATCACGGGTCACTCTATGGGTGGCCACGGCGCCTTGACCCTCTACCTCAAGAACCCCGGAATGTTCAAGAGCGTGAGCGCTTTCGCACCCATCTCGAACCCTCCAAGTGCCCGTGGGGCGAAAAGGCCTTCACTGGGTATCTCGGTGAGGATAGGGAGGAGTGGAAGAAGCATGATGCTACCGAGCTCGTCAAGGGCTGGAAGGGTCCCTTGAACTGCCTCATTGATGTTGTATGTAGCTCCCTCGACTCATAGTGAATTGATTGCTAACGCGGCTGGGGAAACCAAAAGGGTACCGGTGACAACTTCTACAAGCAAAACCAGCTCCTACCCGAGAACTTTGAGCAAGTTGTCAAGGATACCGGCATTCAGGGCCTCGAGACCCGCTACCAAGAGGTAAGTGCCTGCTACTAGTTTGCTCACGCTACTTAGTGGTCTCTTTTAGGCTAACGTGTAATCGCCCCATCATTGTAGGGCTACGACCACTCTTACTTTTATCTCGACCTTTGGTGAAGACCATGTCAAGCACGCTGCCAAGTTCCTCGGCTTGTAAGGCTGCTTAACCAACCAGTAAAGCGGGGAGGGGGCGTCGGGTAGCCAAGGATTTGTATGAGACCAACTAAATAAGGATAACGTTTGGGATAATGGTTTTGATCTTTGAATAATTAGAGCACAAAAGCATGTGGATGATACTCGGTCACAAGACATGTTGTTTTTGCCATGCATGAGTTCTCCAGAGCGCAAAACGCTACCACAGATACTATTCCCCACGATGTATGCCCAGTGTAGAAACAATGTTGGTGGCATGAAGGTAAAAGAAGAAAGGATCAAAAGCCAGTAACTCTGGTTTCGTAATTTGAGCACGAATTCCGCCGCTCCATATACGTATCCGTCCCGTCCTGCAATTAGCTATCGACTATCGCTTCATCTCTAGGCCTGTTTTTCATCTAATCATCACCACTTGCAAGATAATACCGTCTTGGGCAAAAAAGCATCAGGAGGAAAATTGGGTGAGGGGAAGAGAAAATGCCTTTCGACATTGCTGGGTATTATGATTATGATATCTTGTCCGCTCAACGGGGCGCCCGATCTAGGGGCCCAATGGGCCGACCCCGCCGTCCCTTTGAACCTCCTAAACCTGGCCTGTCTAGCTAATGCGCCGTCCCTCGGGAACGATCCCTTCCTTTTCCAACTTGGAGCGCATCTCGGCCTCCATCTCCTGCGTATGCGCTGAAAGGCGAGCTTCTCGAACCGACTGAGGGACTTCCACCAGTGCTGGCCCGCCTCATGCTCCGCGATGCGCTCGAGGAGATCGGCCGTCCACACGCGCACCTCTTTATCCTTGTGGAACAGGCCGAGCGCGACGTAAAAGAGCCCGGCGTGCGACTCGGGCGCGACGGAAAGCAAAGGCAGATCTCGTCGTACGAGTGGACGTGCTTGGCGAAGGGAATGTAGATGTCCTTGCTCTGCAAGTGCGAGAGGCGTTGCGTTCGGAGGCGGTCGTGCATATGGTGGAGGTCTAGGCCCTTGAGGGGCCTGACGGTGTAGAGCTGTGCGAGGTCCTGGAGGGGTAGCAGTCAAGTTAGACAGAACGCTTCTACAATATTGGACTTTGGAGGGCCAATAGCGGAAACGTGCAAAAAAGAGGGGGTGGCAAGGTGGTGTCACACGAGAACGGGGCGCGAACTTACCTGGATGAAGCTATAGTAGCTCCGAGTATTCCTCCAGCCCTCGATTCGCGTGACGTTGCCCGCCAGCTCTCTCAGCTTGGCCACATCATCCACCCACACGTAGCCGTGGCCAGTTGGGAGGCCCGCCGCGACATTTTCCAAGTCGTCGCTTCCAATGTAGAGGGCGCTCGCACCATACACCGTCTCCTCAAACGCGGCGGCGATGCGGGTGAATTTGGTCACCCAGTCTCGCCACTTGGCCCTGATGACGCGCTCGCCGTGGCGGGCGTTGATGCTCTTAAGAATGTCGTTTACGAAGAGCGTGTCATTCGTGAGGTCGGGCGTCGAGGAGCTACCAGAGGAATGTACGGAGACGAGGGGCGCGTAGGCGGGGTTTTGTTGCTGAAAATATACCATGCCTTCGGTAGCGGCGGCGGGCTCTATCTTGGCACTGATCTTTATCCTACCTGTCGACAGGTCACACAAGACGTCCCACCACTCGGGGTGCAGCTCAAAGGTCGGGTTCGTGACGCCCGCGATGAAGCCCGGCACGTTCAAAAGGTCATCAATCTTGGTGAGGTCGGTATACGGGAAAGCGTGCCGCGTGAACCCGCGCAACACTCCGCCGGACGCCAGGGCGCAGGCGGCCAGCACTGCCTCGGCTACCTCACCTGAAGGCATGTTGTGGCCTAGAAATATGACTCGCTTTTGGGTAAGGAGCGCGTTCACGAGAACGATGATGGGATGCGTATTCGCACCGTTGGTGGTTAGGTGGGCGTGGGGTGAATATGATATTGGCTGCTTCACGTGGGGGTCGAAAAGGTTTGGATGAGCTTGATCAGGGAAAAGTCGCCCACACTCTCGGGCATAACGGCGACGGGGACCTTGATCGGGATCGGGATCCCTTTGTACATGACCTTGGTCTCGAACTCGTGTGTGTCACGCGGCACAGAGTACACCGAATTCCTCCACGTGGGCCTTTGTTCCCGCCCGAGAGATACCAGGTAGCTTTGAGGCTCACGACTGGCGTCGAAGGGTTGATCGGCCACGTTTTCGCCTCTATCCTCCGCTATTCGTAACTGAACCATCTGCTCAAATTTCTCGACGAATAAATCCTTGTTGTCGCTCGCTTGAAGAAGATGTCTCTCCAGGAGACTTAGCTTTGGCATTAATGAAAGGTCCATCGCGTTGACGGCATTGTAAAGCATTGCAAGACTCTCAGGCACGGGGGCCTTGAAGTATTCGTCGAGGGCTAAAAGGAGCAAAGGCTGTCCAGTGAGGTGCCCAAGTTAGTACCAGGTTTCGAAGTCGAGTGCCGTGGATTGATGGGGCAAAGGGAGGAGGGCGAGGCAAACCTTGTATATATGTAAGAATGGGTGGCGAGTGCAGATAGCCATGGCTTTGACTACCGCACCTCGCTTCACGGTTTTGTCCTGTTTGGTATTTACAAGGTTGAGGACGTAGATTAGTGGTGGGCCTTCACCGCCCTCGGGCTCGCTATCGGTGGAGTCGTCATCATCCCAGTCATCCGGGTCGTTGGTCTCATCATCGAGGCCATCGTCCTCATCTTCCTCGTTGATTATCCCGGCAGCCCTATCCTTCTTCCGCTGCCGCCTCGTGCGCCTATCCTGCTTTCGTCTGCGCTCCTCCTCCTCCTCTTCCTGGCTTGTATCCTTGTGGAGGAAGAAGATGGTCCAGTCTTGGTTGCGCACATGCGCTTGGTCAGGAAGCATGAGCTCAGCCAACATGTGCTCGTCGCCGGTAATAGCGATCGGGTACTGGTGTTCCATGACCGGGCCGCGATCAATGTCGAAGGATGCGACAAGGATGTATTCAACGTGGTTTTCGGTCGAGCCGCGTGGGTACTGAGACCGCACTTTCCGGGAAGAAAAAGCATCGGGATTATAACGTCGCGGCCCCGAGCCGGACAAAGACGAGTGCTGCGACGAGACGCCGATGGATGGAGTTTTAGACTTGGAGCTCGGGTTGGAATTGCGATCGGTTTCCATTACGGGCGGTTGCGGCGACCGCGACGGGCGAGAGGTATGAGACATCTGGGAGGGGAGCGGGAGGCGGGGAAGGACGATAGAGAAGTTCTGCGGTTCGGCCAGGACCCATTGGTGTTCACATTGGGAGCATTTCGGGGCGCGTTTCTCGAGATGGGGGTGCGGTTTGGGTGGAGGCCATCATAAGTTGCTAATAAAAAGGGCCGCCAGTTTGGTATTCTGAATTGGGGGGCGGAGGCGGGTCTCGACTGCAGGAGGGGCGAGGTAGCCACAGTGGCATAAGGCGGATTGAACGTAGCACCTATCAGATCCCGTGTTCAGAGAACCTCTGCCGTGTCGCGACAGGCCGAATCGGGGAATACAGACTCTAACAGTGCAGCTGCTTTTTCTTTTTCCTTTTTCTTTCCTACACGTATTAGGGAAGATGGCGGTAGGAGAGGTGGTGGTCCTGGTAATCAGGACTGAACTTGGTGGAGTCCGGATCGGCGATGGATCGTCAGCCGAGACGAGAGTTTAAACCAAGGGATAGCGAGAAGGGTTTAAGAGAATTCGGGCACATAAGCGGTGGGCTTTTCGAGTCTTCTAGGCAGAGTTTCGAGTCGCGGAGCCGAAGCCAAGACCACGAAAACACATGGAGTGAGACAAGCGGGTTGGAGGTGAGGAAAAAATCCGCCAAGGAGATCAATGGGTACCCGAATGCAGGGGCCAGCGACTGGCACTGGCACACGAGCCGATGCTGCACACTCTGGCGCACTGGCGACACAAGGACGCGGGGATTCTCAAGCCAGGGCCACCCGAGATGCAGGGCTTGAACGCGGAGAGGTTGAACGATCGAGGATGTCGTGAATGTGGTTCTGGGGAGGAGGAGCAAGGGATAGGAGAGGCTCATTAGCTATCCCGAGAATCCACGATCTCCTAGGGTGGGCAAATGATGGCGTTTTGTACAAGGTGGGGTTCGACGAACGAAGAAAGGAATTGCTCTTAAGATTGCCGTTTTAGCTTTAGGCCCAATGGCAACAGAAGGAGGCGCATGGCCTTAACTCCACGATATAGATGTGGGCACCCTGGACAGGGTCATAGCCAGTAACAAACTAAAGAGGGGATACATAGGTGGGCTGGTATCACTGAATGGCAATGGAGGCACAACAGGGGACGGGCTGCTCAATTTGATGGAGAATGATCAATAATATGGCTGAGGCTGGTGAGGATTGTTTTCCTTGTGCCATCATCAAAATGTTGTTCTGTTTCTTCAATGTTGTGTCCTCCGATGGCAATACACACCTGTCCGCCTGGTTCCATTGCATTGGGTGGGTTCTAGAACCACAACCGTGCTTGTGTCAATTGACAAGCAATCCGGTGGGACTGGGAAAAAGAGAATGCATTGATACATCTACTCTGACAGGTTTTATCTAACCCGCGAAGCTCTGGGCGCCAATTTTCTCTTTCGATTTCTATGCCGATTAGGTTCTCGTGCCCCTCTCCACACACGAATGTTGCTTGGGATGTTTGGACGGATTCTCAGTTTCAGGAGAGGGAGGAGGAAAAGGAAGGAAGAAAATTGCACGCTAGTAGTTCACTCGCTAACGACGGATTGACGAGCAGCGTGACAGAGGGAGGGCAGGAATGAGAAATAAGTTTATCCATCCGTAATATGTCGACTCGAGACATCCCGTAGTCGCCACTGTCGAGTTTAGTACGACGATGGATTTCATCGGGCAATGGTCTTTTCCAGTGGCGGGGAAGGCGTAAACGGGCTCTAGAAAAACGAGCACTCGTGCTGTCGCCTTCTCCTTCTTGGCCTTGTGTTGGAACTTGACGGCTATCTTGATGGATGGGAAGCATTGATGTGTTGATGCATCTATCTGGTCGTTACCTGGTGGTCTATGGCATACAAGAGACTAACCTGACCAGCCCACGCGTACTCCTGGATGCCATTTCAGGTGGATGATTACCCTGGGTGCAAGTGGCCGCATTACCTGCAAAGTTGATCGCTATCCACAGATTTCGATCCAAGGCAAGGAGCCGACATTGCCAGGACTGAGGGAACAAAAGCCAATAGATCCATCTATCACTAAATAATTGTGGAATAAACACTACAACTGCACGGGTACTTTGTCCATACAGCGGACAACCTGATGAAAGTGAACGGCGATTGGGCGTCTAGTAGTGATAATACAGCAATGTTCACTGGGGCATATTATGGCATGTCCGAGATTATGTCATCTGGAACGTGATTGGATAGAAACATGGCTTGTTCCTCCCGAAAGCGCTGCACGTCATTGGTGCAGCCGGAGGCTCGTTGTCTGGACACTGCTCCAACATTGTTTACTTTGGTGGGGGTGGTTTTGACCGCCGCTTCATCAGTCCGCGACTAGCAGTGTGAGGCCCTTCAATAGGCTCAAGACACCTAACGACGCAGACAAGGAACCATCATGCTGGTTTTCTAATCTACATACCCATTTTTGCCTTCAATCTAGCTCAGCGTCTATAGCCTTTCAATTATCTGTGTAGTTGCCATTTACATCTCGACAACAGCGTAGAGTCCTCTAGATTCCTCCTTCTTCCCTCAACGCGCCACCCCTTCCCCTTCCTCAAAGAACCAAAATCTCGAATTCGCCTTCCAAATGGTGAGTGAATATACGGCTTCTACCCGTATGAAATCCTCTATGCCCCGCTTCCTTAATGCAAAAATGCCGTGGCTAACCATGACCACCCCGTTCTCTACTAGGCGATGCCTTCTGGTTATAAACCTTCGCCGCTCGGCTATGGGTCCCCTCGAAGTTCCCCCTTCCGTCGCCCAGAGTCTCCAGTATCACCATCTGCATTTAGACAAAACAGCGAGACCCCGCAAGTTTCGCCCCTGAAGCTCGGAAAGAGCGTGAGCTTCACAAGAGCAAGCACCGCCGATAGCACACCTACCGTGACCAACGCCACACCTCCGACGTGGAGGGCGCGGCCGACGCATGACGAGGCAGCTAGGACAGCTTATTCGACATCGCCAACGCGACAGGCCCCGATATCGAACAGCATGGCTTCACACGGAAACGCGCTGTCCCAGCTGCAGCCGTCGCAAGTCCGGACGCTGCGGGATGGCTTCCAGATTCTTGATCGAGATAGCGACGGCGTTGTCAACCGGGATGACGTAGCTGACATGCTAAACCAGCTGGGTATCTCAGTTCCTACGAGGCGGTGGAATTTTATTCACCGAATCCACCCTAGCTGGATCAAGCTAACATGTGGTGATAGGTTTGCCGTCCGGCCCATCAGACGTTGCTCAGTTCTTTCCACCTTCGGCGCCGCAAACTATGACCATGCCCCTGTTTCTCAATTCTCTAGCTAGCACACTGGCCGCGCTGTCTCCGAGCCAAGAGCTACTTTCTGCGTTCTCCGCATTTGATGTCGACGATAGCGGCCAGATCGATCTCGCTGAGCTGCGCGACGCCCTACTAAATACGGCGCCCGAACCCGGCGAGCGCCCACTGACCGAGGCAGAGGTGAATCTAGTTTTGACTGGGTTTACGGGGCGCAGGGCATTCAATCGTAACTTGAACCCTACGCGAGGTGGGAGGAACGAAGTGTTCAAGTACCAAGATTTCGTAAACTCTATCATGGGGTCCAATGGCGGCGCCGACACGGAAGAGGGCAAGAATCAAAACTAGCCTATCTTCGGCTCATTGGAGCCCTGGCAATGGCACCATCGGGTACCACGAACCAGGATATAATGGACACTAGTATAACGTTCGAAGAGAGGGTATCAGAGGTTGATGCGGGGTCTTGGTGGGCAGCTTTGAGGGTTGAAGAGGGGTGGCTGGGGCCTGCTGCACCTGCAGGCATAGGCATCTGCAGAGAGCTGCATAAGTATACCAAGTGATTGTGACAAGGCAACATCGGGTGGGTTACGGAACTGGAGTTCAATTGTTTTTTCTTTTCGCCCCCTTAGTTCTCGGCATACACTACATTGTTCGTTCCTGTTGCATTGTTTGGCACCATGGGTTCGTCGAATATGGGAGGTTGGCCCTCATTTGTAAGCGCGAGTTAACTGGATAGTTGCGATTCAATCAACGGTCAACTTGCACCTCCTCCTCGACTCTTTCCCACATTTGGAACTCGTATCGCGTTCCATTCTCTTCTTGGACGCCAGCAGGCACTTCCTCCCCCACCCATGCGTTGAACTCTTCGTTGGATTTCTTGGTCCACCCAGGGGTGGAATCCTCCTCCGCTGGTATGCTGAGGGGGAAGAAGGTGTCACAAGGAAATTCGGAGAGGATACGAGTGATGAGCAGCCTCTTCGCTTGAGGTAGCTGGAGCGCGGCATCATAGATTTGCCCACCACCGATAACAAAGATCTTGGTCACGTCCAGGTCTGGCTTTGACTCGAGATACGCCAGCGCTTGTTCCAAAGATGCCGCCCTTACAAGATCGCCATTTGAATCCTCTGCGGGCTGCGCAGGTGTGGAAAACGATCGGCTGATGACGATGTTCAGTCGACCCTTCAGGGGTCGAAACTTGGTGGGGATGCTCTCCCATGTCTTGCGACCCATAATGACGGCATTGCGGGCTTCAGGTGTTGCCTATCTAACCGTTAACTCTACGAACCCTCGCTGTCTACTCTTCCAATCCTGACGGGTCGATGCTTGAACCATCGGTAAGAGAGGCCTGGAATGGAAAAGGACATGGCTACAGGAAGAAATGAGGGGGATTGACTTGAAGTGGTGGCCGTTTGGTGATTCGGGCGAAATAAGCCATCTCTTTCCTCAGCCCCGTCCAGGGCAGGCCGCCCTTGGCGCCAATGCCCATAGTTCGCGTGGCCGCGACGACCAGCGTTAACTCGATAGGCGACGGCATAACGAGCAGACGACTCGAAGCCGGTGATTTGGACTCTTTGTGTGAAATTTCGGTCGCTCGCGGCGGCGAAAACCAAGCCCGGAGGTCAACAAATTTTTCTTTTGTTTTTGAGCCGGCGCGATATGGCTACATGTAGTCCAAGTACTTGGTTGTGAAAGTGTGATTCGCGTGTTGTGACGCGGGAAGGTGTACGAAGTACTTTCTTCTCTCCTTTCTCCTAATTCTTTTCTTCCTTTTTCCTTTGCCTCCCAGTAATAGATGTAGTACTTGTACGTTAGATTTTGTTTCTTTCGGGCTAGGGAGCCCGGGCCAATGGCGGAGGGTGGGGGATGTCTCGGCTAGCTGTTAGGCGTTTGGACCAGCCTGTTCTTCTCCTGATGGGCTGGCCCAGATCGTTGGCTAGACTAGAGGCCTGCCAACAACTTGGCATTCGTATGTGGTCTTCAGGACCGACCTTCACCAAGGTCTTCAAATTCAATGTGATTGTCCCAAGTACTTGTAGTATTATCATCCTGCCAAAGGCAGCGTATCAGGGGCGAAGGAAGTGATAGCTGCGGTCAACCGCCACACCCCCTCTGGAATTCCCGACACTCAGGGCTTGCCAACAGCCGAGCACCGACTCGGTTTCTTCAAGTAGCATTGACGAAGTGAACATTGAAGTTCCTTTTTCCAGATGGGGGCACGTTACTGGCAAACTAGTGCAGTGCGGCCCAGGGTTGCTGTTCCCTCACCCCCAATCCGAGAAGGAATATCCCGGTCAGCCTCCGTCATGCCCCACCGAAGCTTCGAGAATCGCAGATATCGCACCGCAGCACGGTACATTTAGGCACGTTTTGTACAAGTCCCCGTTAGAGGGAAACCCTTCATAAGTACCTTGGTATCAATGCTCTTGACACTCCCACCCTCTCACGGCGGTCCGGTCCGTCCAGGGATCCATTGGATTATTACAGGGCCCAATAAATTGTTTTTGGGTTTTTAGCGACCCAGCACCTCGAAGCTGCCGGCCGCCCGTCCCACTGACGGTTGAGGTGATTGTACGAAGTAATATTGAACGAGCGGAACGGGTCATTCATGGCCTGGTGCCTATATCGACGAGGGGCCGTTTGAGGGGACTTGCTTTCTGCCACACGTTGATGAGAGAGCAGGTTCCTCTCTTTTTTTTGCCGCTTTTTGGCAATGATGAGCCCAAAAGCAGCCAGTGGACGCTCTAGATCTGGGTCTGGCAAGGTTACAGGAGACCAGATGATGATAAACAGTCTCCCACTTCATCCACCCATCCCCTATTCTATTGGCTCCAAGTCAATCCCGGCCCTGTTGCTGGGCACCGTTGGACAGCGTCAAGATTGGATGTGGGGTGGCGGTAGGCAGGTCGTGCCTACTCCCGACCACCGCAAATTTTATATTGGTCCAAAGGTAGATACTACCATGTCCTGTCACCAAATCGCTCGAAAGCGCCGGCCTGACCTGGCAAAAATTTTGTGCCTCCCAGCCAGCAGCTTTTTGCTGTATGGCCACGGGATGACCCTGCTCGCCCCTCAGCCCGTCTCTCCCTTTCTGTTGTATTTTTTTTTTTATCAAATTGATTTTTGTTTTATGACGGAAGCTGCTTGTTCTCTTCTTCATAATCGCTCTTCTTCACAAAAGTGGTTTTGTGAGGAGCGGGCCCTGAATCCAAGTTCCACCATCTTCGACCATCTTCCCTCTTGTCGTTTGCGAAGCTGTCGTTTTTACTAAACCTGCAAAGATAGAGAGAAAAGGTTTGTGTCTCGCTTGCTCCATCCTCCGCCGGTTGCATTTGGTCTCACACTAACAAAGTCTTGACTCAATGGCAGTAACCTTTTTAATAGTTTCTTCGTTTTATTATACCCTCGACCGATTGAGATACACGGCATAACCTTGCAAACGAAACTTCCTCAACAGCGCACCCGTCCCACCAGTACAAACCCCTCCCCGATAAGAGCACTTTCTTGTTGCTCCGACCTTTTTGGGGTTAAAAATTATTACAGAGAAGACTGGTCTCTCCTAATCTGGGAATGAAGTCCTTCTTCAAGAAGCCGTCCAAACACCAACATCCCAACGAAGACGAGGTTTATTACTCGTCGGACGTCTCTTCGCCGACCAAATCCCCCACCAAAACCAGCTCGCGGCAACCTAGCAGGAGTTCGACCGCACAGTCATCTTCCACGAGAAGGGACTCGAAACCTCGGTCATCCCGCACCTTTGTGCGTCAGTCAACCGATCCGGGATACTCTTCCTCCACGCGACGAAAGAAAACGGAGCTCAACACACATCCTTTAAATCTCCCAGAAGAGGAGAGGAAACGCCTCTCCGCCCTGTCAAGCATGAGCGAGCCGAGCGCCATGGATATCGACGAACCCTCCTCCTCGTCCCCCTCTCACCCCTCTCCTCCTCAGCCACAGCCCCAGGCAGCCTTCTCCGTCCCTATCACCAACGGCACGAAGGACATCAATGGCGATAACTCAACCCCTCCCGCCCCGCCTCCTCACCGATCCAATCCCTCCAGCCCCGTGCCAACTCCCACTGAGGAAGCCGAGGCGTACAAAGCCGCTGGCAACAAGTACTTCAAGGAGAAGAATTATGTTGATGCCATTCGACAGTACGACAAGGGTATGCCAGTCGTCTTTTTTTCTATTCTTTTCTTGTTCCCGATGCTGCAGCGGCCCGGCGGCTAGCCGCATCCCCCTTTTCTTTTTTTTTCTCCTTTGGAATTCTAGTTGACTAACACACTCGTGTGCAGCTGTTGAGCTCGTCCCGAACTCCGCCACCTATCTAAGCAACAGGGCGGCTGCGTTCATGTCCAACGCACAGTATGATGCTGCACTGAAGGACTGCAGCCGTGCGGCTGACCTTGATCCTCAGAATGCAAAGATTCTGATGCGTCTCGCCCGTATCTTTGTATCCTTGGGTCTTCCGGAGGATGCCCTTGTGACCTTTAATAGGATCCACCCGTCGCCCGCAGTCAAGGATGTTGCCGCAGCTAAGGAGATGTTGCACCACGTTCGAGCTGCCCAGGAGGCCCTCCGCGTGGAGTCGAAGGGATCTATGGTGCTGCACGGACTCAACCAGGCAGAGCGTTTGCTCGGCCCTGGTGCACCCAAACCTCGAAAATGGCAGTTGATGCGTGGGGAGGCGTACATGAAGATGGGCGACGCCACGTCTCTCGCCGAAGCTCAGAACATCGCCATGTCTCTGCTACGATTCAACAGCCAGGATCCCGAGGCCCTTGTGCTTCGTGGCAGGATCCTCTACACCTCAGGCGAAAACGACAAGGCGCTTAGCTACTTCAGGAAAGCCCTCACTTGTGATCCAGAGTTCCGGGATGCCATTAAATATCTGCGGATCGTCCAAAAGCTAGACCGCATGAAGGAGGAGGGCAACAGGGAGTACAAGGCTGCGCGTTGGGCAGAGGCCATCCGTCTTTACACTGAAGCGTTGACCATCGATCCTGGCAACAAGGGCACCAACTCTAAACTTCTGCAAAACCGGGCGATGTGCCGGATCAAGCTCAAGGAGTACGAACAGGCCATTGCCGACTGCGAGTCAGCCATCAAATTAGATTCAAGATACGTCAAAGCGCATAAAACGCTCGCCAATGCACTTGGCCTCGCGGGCCAGTGGGAGGATTCGGTAAGGGAATGGAAGGCGGTTCACGACCTCGACCCTGAGGATAGGTCTGTCCAAAAGGAGATTCGAAACGCCGAACTCGAACTCAAGAAGAGCCAACGCAAAGATTACTACAAGATCCTAGGCGTTGAAAAGGATGCCGACGACGGCGCCATCAAGAAGGCATACCGAAAGCTTGCCATCGTTCACCACCCAGACAAGAACCAAGGCGATAAGGAGGCTGAGGAGAGGTTCAAGGACATCTCGGAAGCCTACGATACCCTTAGCAACCCTCAGTAAGTAGTAGTTGTCCTTGTATGGCGGGGTTGGTGGTGATTCAAGCGGCATGGCTAACGCAAGGGGTTTTTACCCTCTTCTCTTCTAGGAAACGTGCGCAATACGACAACGGCGACGACCTTGTAGACATGTCGGACATGTTTGGCGGAGGTGGCGGCATGGGCAATGTCGACCCCGAGATTCTTTTCAGCATGATGGGCGGTGGTTTCGGTGGTGGCATGGGCGGGCATGGCTTCGGCGGCGGTGGTGGTGGCGGCGGCGGCTTCCCCGGCAAGGCGGGCCCCACGGATTCCACTCGTTTGGGGGAGACGGGGCCGGACGACAGCGTGGTGGATTCCCCTGGCGGGTTCCACTTTACTTGACTCTCGGAATCGGAAAACGAATCTGAAGTGTCCGAGTACGAGGGTGAAGAAGGTGAAACCGAGAGAGAGGACGAAGATGGGGGCACTGGCGAGGACGACGAGCAGGACGACCATGCACACGCAGGCCAACAATCGCCAAGGGGTCATCAGTTTATGAGGAGCAAACTAGACGAGCACATTCGAAGCCAGCAAGACGAGAGAGATGCCCTGGTCGACAACCTTCGGCATTACGGTCTATGGCTCGTCGGTGCGTTCGTCCTCCTTCCGCCTCACCTCGCCATCCTGGTAGCATTGGCCGGTGCAACTCTGTATATCTGCATCCAAGGCCCCAACAGCCTTGGCATTAGACGATGATGGTCGTTTGTTACTTCTGAATCGAACAGGATAGACGGGGCTTCCAGCTGGCGTTATACCCCTTTACGTTGCTTTTGGGATTTTGTGGGATTCGGGTGCTCCTTCCTCGTCTTCGTTTTTTTCCTTGTCTTTTGCTTTTCTTCCTCTGCCACCTCTTTTCTTCTTCCCCCTCCCCTACGTCTTGCAATCCTTTGGTCGGGCTACTTTCCCAAGTCGATACGTGGTTGAAGATGACTCGAGTTTAGAGATGACTAGTGGAGCGGGCAGGGGTGTCGGCTCATGGGCATGTATCATGGAGGCAGCGAGGCTGGTGATTCGGGTTGAGAAAATCACAGAAACATCATGGGGCTGGGCGGTTCAGTGTCATCCACCCTGTCGAACCCCCTTCATCCAACGGCAGATAAACAAGGAACAAAAAGCCACCTGGGTGGGTTCTAGACTCCATCACACCTACATGGGATGATGCCAGACGAGGCAGACGAATGAGGAAGGATGGCGGATTTTTCTTGTACTACATTTAGGGACATTAGCATCGCAATGTGCATTACGGGATAGCTCCATCGGAAGACTGGAACATGCGCGTGCCAACAGTTTATATTTTACTCGTTGATTTGAGAAATCAAGCCTACGTAATGCGTGAGAATGGCATGGAAAGAACAGTAGAAAGGAGAACTCCAGATAATAATAAATAAATAAAAGAAATCGTCCTTTCCATCTCTGACCTCTTCACCGGAAACGGTCTATGGGTCCTTTTTCCTGTCCAGTAGGTTTCTTCGTCAGTTTGCCCCCTTTGGAAACTGGCAAACTGCCACGGGGCTTTTGTGAGGGGGACTAAGAGTCCACCCGGGTATCATATCCAAAATACATATATACTTGCATCCATCTCACGTCCATACCAACACCTCCATCATCCATATCCACCTCGCCCGCACCTTATCACCGTGTCCCAGCCCCAGCCCCAGCCCCAGAGCCCGACGAGGGCGCGGCTCCCCCGCGCTGCTGTCAAGCCTCGTCTCCTCCACGACCCTGTCGACGTCGTTTTTGAGCTCAGGCATGGCAGCGGCCATCTGTTCGGCGAGGATGTCGCGAAAGGTGGAAAAGGCGTGCATCTTGCCGCGGGTAAGCTGATTCCCGCGGCGGACGAGCTCGACGAACTCGCGGGTGTAGATGTCGGGGTTGCGGCCACCCTCGACGTACTTGACGAGCTCGGGGGTACGGAGGGGAGGGTGAGGGTCGGGTCGGTGGCGGTCGAGTTGAGTGTTTTGAGGGAGGAAGAGAGGGTTTTCCTGTGCGGAGCGGAAGAGGGCACATGGTTAGCTTGTTTGTCCCTGATCGGGGGGTATTGTGTTTGGGCCCCGTGGGAGCCCGGGGGCGGAGGAGGGTTGGGGCTCATGCGTACAAGCTATTGGAGAGAACTTCTTTGCTAGGTCGTCCGCTGGTGTCGTAGTGGGAGGTGACGACCATGACTTTGAAGAGATCCTGGATGATGTCCTTGATCTGGGCTGCGGGTGAGGCGGGGCGGGAGCGAACAAGAGGTTAGCCTAGGCGCATTCACGATGGGGGACGAGAGGGAGGTGGGCAGGCCTACTCTCCATTTCGGAGTGGATATCCTTTGTACGGGCGCCATTGTTCGTTGCGGAGGTGTTTGGGAGCCGCGAGCTGAGTTGGGGAATGTTTGGTGGGGTGTTGGAGTGAAGGTTAACGAAAAGCTTCCAAGGAGAAAAAGGCAGGATTTAGAGATAGGCGTGCTCAGAGAAAATAAGGTATCAAGGTACATAGATGGCGGATAATATGCAGTAGCAATACGACTGGGTCAAATGAAAGAGCACGTCCAGCACGGCAAATGTACTGAGGTACAAAGAACTTTTACAGTGTGGCGCCTGAGAGCCAAAGGGCAATTGATCCACCACAGGGGATTGGGTCTAGAGGTACTTAGCCATCATCCCCAATGAACTTCTGACCATTCAAGTACTCCTCCGCGATATCAAATTCTGAGTATTTATCTCCATTCAATCATTCAACCTATGGCTTATGGAAGACCTCGAGACGATCCATTACACAAGAAAATGGCGCCAATTTCCACCAGAGATTCAGGCACCGAGTTTTCGAATCTGGGCCCGAGCTGATCGGCCAGAGGTTCCCCTTGTTATCTGGTATCTTAATTGTATTGAAAACATTCTCTATCGCGTGAACACCATAGCCATGCTACACCTGACTTTGAACCATCTGCCGAGTTCTAAAGGGACTATATCATACGATGACTCGATAAACACATCCTCGTTCTTTTTAATGTACACCAAACCAATCCGATGGAGGAGGAAGAAGAAAAATGAAAATGAAAGAAAATGACGGGAAACAAACGCCGAAAAGAGGACGAATACCTTCCCTGAAATACAATGAACTCCATCCCAGACACGATCCTCCTCACCTATGTTTCCTCTCTCCCTTTTCTTTGTTCCCTACTCATCCCTTAGGGTAAAGAGAGCCAGCCCGCTGAGGACTTCCATCGGTTATTGAGTCTCGCGCCTTAGTCGCTCTCCTCAATAACCTTTCCTTTCCTCCACCTTCGGATACCGCGGCCAATCTCGGCGACGGGGTGGAAGATGAACCGCATGCCCTTCCAGAAAGGCCTGAATAGGAACATGAAGGCGTTCGCAACGGCCATGAAGAGCGCCTCGGCGTACTCGTCGGGGATGAGACGGAGGACAAAGCCCCAGAGCAGGCAAGGGAGGGCAACGAGAACGCAGACGGCCCACTGGACGCCGTCGATACGGACGACCTCGAAAGCCTGGCCACCGACAAAGATGATCATAATCTGGCAGGCCACCATGATGACAGCCATGGTGAGGAAGAAGTAGTTCTTGTGCGCTCCCTCGAGGATGTTGTGCTTGTTGTCCAGCCGCCTGTTGTTGAACATGTTGAAGATTTGCATCCACACAAAGGCGTTGAAGACCATGGTGTCGAGCTCGTGCTTCTGGTGCGGGTTGGCCTGGAAGTCGTACTTGAAGATCTTCTCACCGAGGAAGTAGAGGATAAGCGTGATGACGATCTGGTAAAACGCCTGGCCGAGAACCATCTTCCACATGTTCATCGTGATCAGAGGAGCGGACTTGGGAGTGGGCTTCCTGTCGAGGATCGAATCCGTGGGCGCGTCGGTCGCGAGCGCGAGAGCCGCAAAAGTATCCATAATCATGTTGACCCAGAGTAGCTGCACAGCCTTGAGCACCGAAGAGTTGTCGTCAGAGGCAAGAGCCGAGATAAAGGCGAGGGTGACGGCTGCGATGTTGACGGTGATCTGGAACTGCAAGAACTTGGCCACGGCATCGTTGACGGAGCGGCCCCACATGACAGCCTTGACGATGCTAGTGAAGTTGTCGTCCATAAGAATGATCTCGGAAGCTTCCTTGGCGACCTCGGTACCGGCGATACCCATGGAGAAACCGACATCAGCAGTCTTGAGCGCGGGTCCGTCGTTGGTGCCGTCTCCGGTCACAGCGACCGTCTCGCCGAGCTTCTTGAGCCTTTCGACCAGGATGCGCTTGTCTTCGGGGAGGAGCGAGCAAGGACGTCGAGGCGGGGGATAATGGCGTCCATCTCGCGGTCGGAGAGTTGGCGGAAAACGGGACCCTCCATCACCACACCGTTCTCGGTGATGATACCACACTCGGTCGCGATGGCGCGCGCGGTGACTTGGTTATCGCCAGTGACCATGCGGACCTTGATACCGGCTCCTGGCAGCGGCGCACGGCATCGGTGACCTGAGGACGAAGGGGATCCTGGATACCGACGAGACCGACCCAGGTCATGTTGGACAGCACCGAGGCGAACTTGGCCATGGACTTGTCTTCTTCGAGGAGCTCGGCGCCCGTGGGAGGCCAGATGGGGAAATCCTGGTAGAGGAAACCAATGGTGCGGAGGGAGCGCTCGGCGTACGACTGGATCTGGTTGGCAACCTTTTGCCTGACGAGCTCGTCCATGGGGGCGAGGCTGTAGTTGTCAGAGTCGAGGTTGGCGGCGTAGCTGGTGGCCTTGGAGAGCATGATTTCGGAGGCGCCCTTGACGACGAGGCGGTGGTCGCCCGATGCGAGGCGGATCACGGTACCCATGCACTTGAGTGCCGAGTCGAAGGGGTAGATCTGGACGACCTGGTTGTTGCTTCGCTCCTCGGCGACGTTGGTCATGGCCAGGTTCTCTTGCGCGAGGTTCAGGAGAGCCACCTCGGTCTTGCTGCCGATAAAGGTCTTTTGGCCGTCCTCCTCGCCCTCGAAGGCGGTCGAGTTGATGGCGATGGACTGGGTGAGGAGGGTCCTGAAGCGCGCCGAGAGCTTTCCGAAGATGCTCGCAAACGTCTCCTCGCCGTCGCTGGGCTGGTGGGAGAAGCTCTGGTCCTTGCCCCACGCGCCGGCGACGACCGTCATCTTGTTTTGGGTGAGGGTGCCGGTCTTGTCGGAACAAATGGTGGTAGCGTTGCCCATGGTTTCGCAGGCGCGGAGGACACGGACAAGGTTGTTGTCCTTGAGCATGCGGGTGGTGGCGAAGGCGAGGGCGAGGGTGACGGCGAGGGGAGACCCTCGGGAACGGCCATGACAATAATGGTGATGGCAGTGATGAGAATATCGAGGAACTCGCCGGCCTTCTCCGAGGGAGTGCCGGGGTTGCTGCCGAGCGCCGCGACGAAGCGGAAAAGCTGAATCAGGAAGAGGATACCAGCCCAGCTATTTGTGATCACCTCTGTTAGCCAAGACGTCCTTTGTCCTAACCCCCGCCACCCCCTGATGCGAGATAAGGGTATGATACTTACAGAGAACCAAGACCACCAATCCAGTTGGCCATGCTGCCGAGCTTAACCTGAAGGGGCGTGGGCTCGGTCTTGACCTGAAGGGACATGAGAATCTTGCCGTAGCTCGAGTTGACACCGACGCTGGTGACCATGTACGTTCCGACACCCTCGAGCACCTTGCTGCCGGAAATGATGAAGGGTCAAGCTTGGCCATCTGGGCGGCGGTAGCGGCGCCAGTCGAGACTTGTTCCCAAACGTGCACACCGGGCACCTTCTTGAGAGCGTCCGATTCGCCAGTGGCGGAAGACTCGTCGCACTTGACACCATGGCCGCTGATAAAGATGCCGTCGGCGGGGATTGCGTCACCAGGCTCCAGGTACAAGACGTCGCCGACCATAACATCGTACACGGAGATCATGGCAGCCTTGCCGGAGCGGACAGCCTTGACCTCGCGATCCTCTTTCTGTATTTCGTTGTTAACCACCTGGCTTTGGAATGGGGATGGGGACTATGGATGATGGGCGGCGCAGAAACTTACCCTCTGGTTGAGCTTGGTGAACTGCTTTTCCTTTTGCCAATCGTTGAAGAAGGTGACAACTACGACAATGATGATGGCGGCGCAAATGGCAACACCCTCAATCCACTCAATGTTCTTGCCACCGTCAAACGTCTCGTAGAGACCGAGAGCCAATGACACGATGGCGGCCACGGTAAGAAGCCACAGGATCTTGTCATTGTAGGCCCTCCAGAGGAGACCCAGAAGGGTGTAGGTCTTGCGGGGAGGAAGTCGGTTATCCTTGAAGACGCGCTTGCGATCCACAAACTGCTCTCGCGTCTACCCCATGCGCGACATCCTTGATGGGGTTTAGAGTGGTGGAGGCCTTGGCTACATGACTCCTCTTTTCCTGTGCGGTTTCCACGGCCCTGCGGACGGTACCGGTGAGCTTTCCTCGTCGGTGCTCAGGCCGGAGCTGATATCGGTCCTCAGAGCACGCTCGAGGCCGGGCAGGCCGCCGAGAGCGATATAGGCGGCCAAAGATTTGGGGTTGAGCATCTTGTTGAGCTCTCCGGGGTGGCGCCGAAGGGGTTGTTCTGGACCTCGAAGTCCTTCTCCTGGCCCTTGTCGGGGCGGAGAGCCTCCTCGGAGGAGATGTTGCCGGGTAGAGGCATGCTAACGGGCTTGGACCCGGCGCCGATTTTCGCCTTTTCGCTCATGGTCAGGTTCATGGTTGTGTCGGTGTTGGCGCGGCTGCGGGGGCCGAGGTTGAGGGTCTCTCCGCCGAGAGACATGGCTGCGGTTGATTGGGGGTGGACGGGCGGTCTCCCGAGCTTCCACGGGGACTCTGGCTTCCGGAGGAAGAGGAGGATGCTATGGGCTGTAACGCGCGCGCAAACGAAAACGAACGAAAGAGCTGGTTAGGAACGAGTATATGACAAAACAAGCTAGCGCAAAGCGCGGCTCACCTCAGAGTCGAGCCCAGAGTTGTTTTCGCGACGGTCGCCGACCATTTTCGAAAAGCAAAGCAAGCAGAAAAACGGAGATAGAGGAGGAGAGAAAAGGGGGAGAGAGGATAAGCCGGAAGGGATATAGAGAGATGACCTCACCAGGATGTCGTCGCGGGATATGCGCAAGAAGCAATAAAAAGGACTTTTGACAAGAAAACGAAGAGCTGAAGGTTGTGGATAACACGCTGAACTACCAAAGAGTTCCAAAAGCGTTGCAAGCGACCAAGCACTTGGTGGTTATGGGAGGAGGGGAGGGGAGGTAGGAGGGGATCTCTCTATTGTTGATGATGGGTGAAGAAGGATGACACCGTACACGACGCCGGCCTTCGATAACAGGTAAGAGAGAGAGAGAGGGGGGAAGGAAGCTATCGAGAGCGCGGTTCGAGGAAGTCTTTATAGTGATCCTCGTGGATGTCAAGCGTTCAGACTATGACTTCATTGTGTGTATGCGTGCGATAGGAACAAAGACATGAGTACGGGTAAACGGGGATGAATGCAAAAAAGTCGGCAAGTGCATGTAGGAGGTGTGCGAGGTGTGTTGAAAGAGAGGGAGAAGGGAGGAAAGATGGAACGAGAGCACGTCCACACTTCACACATGCAAAGCACCGGATCGACAAGCGCATCCAAGTCGTGTATCCTGGTGGGTTTCTCCATCTCTCTTTTTTCTTTTCTTTTTTTCTTTTACCACTTTTCATTATCTCTTCGTTTTTCCCGCTCCGGTCTCGTTTGTTTCAATGAGGCTGGTAGAGCGGGCATCAACCCCTGCATGCACCTTTTTCACGTTTCCTTGAGTACAACTATTATGGGGAAGCTAGCTTCAACTTGCCGTTTTTGAGCCCGCACCTTGGGTGGGATCGATCTTGCTTCCTCGATAGAAAGAGAGAGCCCACGCTATCCCCCGTCGAGGGGAGGCTGTGCAAGAAGACTTCTTCTTTAGCGTCTTTTCGACAGGAAATTCTACCCGGGGGTGTGTGAAATCGATGGTGCGGTGTTTGGTGTTTGAACATCATCTCAATTGTTTATCAATCTATTTTTACCGTTAAGGTATCTTGCGAGAGCGGTGCGGTGGGTGCTGTCAAAACGCAAAACAGACAGACACACACACACAGAGAGGTAGACGGGGTGGGAGACGGGGCGTCGCCGAACCCACGTCTGCCGCACCCCCTTGCAAAGTGGGTCGGCAATTCTTTCCCTCGCCCGGCCCGCCAAGAATGTGTGGGGACGAATGGTCGCGAAGGTTGCATCTGCACGAAAGTAGTCCTTGTTGGTGCTCGTGGGGCGGTCAAGGCTTGTGATTGAGCTGCCGTTGAACACTATTAGCTGGGCCCGGCGGGGACAAAGTCCGAGAACCGAGCAACTGTTATGAGTTCCGCCACCAAGCGGGAAAAGGGCGGACGTGTGCCATCATACTCCCCTGGGGAACGGAACCTGCGTTGGCCTGGCCTCGTCAAGAAGAGCAGAGGTGAGTCGAGCCGGGGATGCCTATAGTTGTGCTGGTTCGATTTCCAATGACCTTCTGTTTCGCCCTCGTCCCAACCTCCAAGGCCACCGCTTGCGTCGACGTGCCTCCTCTCGCCACTTTATCTTTACCTTCATTTTTTTAGCACATGAAACATCAAACAACCCCAATCAAGGGTTCCGGAGAATAGCTTAACGGCCCCCTTTTCTACAGCCGCATGGGCACAGTGCCGGGCGTCCAGGGGTACGCCTGGGAAACAATCTCGCTCCCTTGGCGGGAAGAGGGTGGGAAAAGAAAGAAACAAGAAAAAAGAAAACGCCCAAAGAAGAAGGAGAAAGGATGAGAAAGAAGCTCAGGCGTTTGAAAGGTTGAAAGTGGCAGCGTTTCCAGTGACACCTGTTCTCTGGCTAAACCAGCCGCCTCATTTTGACGGGTTTGGGCTTATGTTCGGTTCGAAATTTGCCTTTTGTTCGGATGACGAGAGGATCTACGAGCTCGTTTTCTGGGTCATGGTGTAAGTGAGAGTTTGGGCATCTGAGCCTATGCCCTTCTCCTATCGTCTCCTCAGAGGCAGGTATTCCCGAGCTATCAAGAGGACAAGATAGGAAGAAAGCGACGGTAGGACGAAGAGACAGACAAAAAGAACATACTCGCTCGGAAGGTCAGGTCATCTGAGCCGGAGTCGTTGTCGATGTGATCTACCAAATGGTCTACTTCCAGAACAATCCCAGCACGAGATATCTTCACCTTCCTTGGCAAAGCACAGCCACGATGCGTGAGGTCGATCATGGAAACTCGGGGGATCGGGTTGGGATTTTAACCATGTGACGGTGCCAGTAGACTGGATAGTAATATAGTCAAGTGGACCATCTCCATTCGATCTCATATCATCTCGACATGAACTAATCCGGCTCAAGCTGCCTGTTCCCAAGTAGACCGTGATATTCTTCATCTCCGGTCAGCCATCCCCGGCCAGCCATCTCCGCCCCCGCTCCGCCGACCCACTCATTTCAGGTCCCGAGCAACGCAAGGTGGGAGAGAACCAAAGGACTCGGCCAATTCACTAGTTTGGCTACTCCTCGAGCCGGATCGGTAGCTGGCGGTGCATATCAAGGTCGGCGGGGCGGGGAGGAGGGGGGCGGAAGGCACGCCCATACGAAAGTTCGGCCACCACTACCAAAGAGAAGGGTGGGAGTGTGACACCTGCTCTATCCTGCTAGAAGCGCCACCTCCGGAAACCACGTCTTCCGAACCGTTGACCGCGAAGTCTACAGTAGCGTGGATGCGGGCGGGATGTACGGAAATATAATTGAGGCGCTGGCAAACCAGCGCGATTGGTCAGTCCTCGCGTATTGTGCGAAAAGAAAATCCCGCGATATGTTCTCGAACCTCCAAAGTCATATATGTCTTTGGGCTGCCTCACTAGACGCTTCTTGGTCTGGGCTGGGTCACTGGTATCCCCACTCTAAGCTTCGTGTGGTGTGGTCAACAGCCGGCCTAGGCTGGAGTTCGGTTCGCCAGTTATTCGCCCTATGGAGAATGCATGACGACCAGACGCACCTCTAACCACCTTCCAGCCTCAGACTTCGCCGACAACAGGCGCGGTCTAAGGAGCTTAGCCCTTCAGGAACCTGAAAAGAACGGCAAAGGGCTATAGCGCCGGGCGTGTAGCCAAGACCTTTTTCGCCTCTCGCGTGCTGAGGCGCTATCGCCATTATCCCATATCTTTTCCCCGCAAAGGTGAGCCGCTTGGAGAAACAAGGAGGCATTTTGTTTCCTCAAAACGCCCGAAAATAGATGCACTACGACGGTATGGTCACCTCGTCTTAAGCTTGTCTTCGTTTGTTTTGGCCATCGTTGCCCTTATTTTTCTCCGGGCCGTGTGGTAGACTAAGTTGTTCCAAGTTTGCGAGCAAGGACGGTCATGGCGGCACTTGTTCTCATAAGTCTGGAAGCTTTTTTGTTTCTTCTTCTGCCCTCCCATTGATGGTCGAAAGCTCGCTCGACGCCGACACCAGTGTCGCATGCGGAGCAATTTCTTAGTTGGATTGATGCCTCGTGCCAGTTTCGTCGAGGTTTCATGCAGCTCCATCGTCAATTCTTGCCCATGTCTCCCGAAGGCTGCCGGGCAAGTCGAACCAGGCTTGGCGAATCTGCAGCTCAGAGACTAAAATCGCGTGTGAGTGGATAATGATTGATGCTGACTTCAAAGGCAAGGATTACGCGTGGGGCCTTCCAACAACCGCAGGCAAGAGCAGCCGAGAATACCCAAATTATCCTCCATCGAAGCGGGGCCGGGCCCGTGCCTCTCTTTCCAGATTAGGAAAGGGCTATTTAGGAGGAGTACCTTTCGACCTTTGTTTGTCTTTCTCTCTTGCCCCGGTCATCAGCGTCGATGTGAACACATTTTGTGCGAGGAAGGGCCTATCGCGACCTCGGCACAAAGCATCAACATGTCTTTTTTTCCCTCTTGGCTCTGGATTCCTGTGCCGCGATACCTTATCATGTAGCTTCGCGCGGCTATTCCTCCATATATATTGGGTTCGGCATTGGACTGAGAAGCATCTTCTGCACAGCTAAATCTTTTTATTAAAAGGAAGGATTCTGTGAGAGATTATCTTACGGGCAAGTACCGAGTATTGATTCCCTGCTCCCAAAGCTAGACTCTTTAGAGGTAAAATCACTCACCGGCAGTGTGGATGGATTCAGCTGTGGGAACAAACCCCCACCGCCCGATGTGACCAGCTGATAATCTCCCATCTCTAAAGGAAGGCAAAAGATGCAACATCACTCACGTCTTCTCCAGCGGACTTTGAGGAAATCTTGGCCTACCTCTTATTAGGGCTAGGCCCACACAAGGAAATGGCACCGGCCCCGTACAAATATTCGCTCTTCTCGACGATCAGTTCAAATGAGATCTGGTGCGGGATACTTTTGCGCTTCAAGACCCTCGAAGCCAAGAATCTCCAAAAGGCTTGTCGGGCGTTTTCTTCCCTTTTTCTCCTCTGAGATTTGCCATCGCGTGTCCCGTGTCAACACCCCCAACCGCCGCCGGAACCGCCAAGCTCCGGCGTTCACAATCTTTGTCCAAGGTCGAAGTGCGACCTTCAGTTGACCTGCTGTCAAGGCGAATGATCAAGCTTGGGACAAGGTATCCACTAGGTCGTCCCGCTGACATGGGGGTTGCAGGTTGGGGGTTGGGAGGGCCTTGTCGTGTGGAATGCAACATTTCGGCTCGTTTAAACCTGCCCGCGTCAGTTGTCCCTTTTCCGTGCCCCGGTTCCGGCGACGGCGATTTTTGATTTGCCTTGGGCAACAACCTGAGACTGGTGACTGGCCCCTGGTTCGGTGTCAACCGTCGCCCTCGCGCCCGGAAACTGGCCTCGCCATGTTAGAAGTCAGTGTAAAAGCACTTGGTGCCATGCTGAATGCCGTCGCTGGGAAGCATACAAGTGGTACGCAAATAGGTTAATGACGTCGCGGATCTAGAGCTCTTGCTTGCCAGGGCGTGTGCCCCCCTTTAGCGCCGACCTTATTCAGCCTTCTTTTCCTTCGGTGGTCTTTCCCCAGGCGGCACCCCTCTACTCCCTTCTGTTTCCCATTAAGAAAGGGGTCAAAGCTCGGGAAAATACTGGGTGTGCCCGGTATTCCGGTTACAAACACACTGATAGTCTAAATGAGCCGAGAAGGCCACAGGTAGTCAACACGGAAGAAGAGTAGGCCCGGTGGGAAAAAGGTCTAGACACGTTCGCCACGGGTCCAGTTAGGCCTGAGCGCTCTGCCTCGCTCGAGATTTCCTGGCTAGCATATTTTTGGAGCAGAGTGCCCGGACGCCCGACCATGCTGTTGGCCTTGATGATGTGCGACGGATCAGCTATGGATAGACTTGTACGCTGTTGCAAGCCAAGCAGGTTGCCCGAAAGCCTCCCTTCTGCCCTGAGTTATGTACCCGCAGATCCACGGAGGCGCTCTAATAGTGGCCGATGGTCAAGGTTATACTAATGCTCTATTGCTATATTGAACATCAGACAGTGTATAGATCATCGCCACCAGCCTCTTTTCCTCTGTAAGGGTGGTTTTGTGTTTCTCTCTTCCTTTCCTTTCTTCTTTTCTCCTTTTGACTCCTTTGGACGTTAGCTGGACTATACGCAGGTCGCTGCCCCTTTCCTTTTGTTTTCTTGCTTCGTCTAGATTTCAATTTCACTTCTTCAGTTCGGCCCTGGCAGGCCTCTTTTACTTTGCTGTTATTTTTTTCTCTGCCTCATCTCACCAAAATCCAAGACAACAAAGAGACACAAGAAGATTCTTGCCTCTTTTGAAGAAAAAAAGAAAGAAACAGGGCATGCAGGCCGTGATCTACCGTGAAGACACCTAGATGGTTCTTCTTCAGTAAACCCTTTTCTTGTCCAACTTCAACAAGCTAGTCAACGTACACGAGATGTCGTCGGACCGGGTCAGTCGTGCTCGCGCTAGCGGCCGAAACAGGAGGAGAGAGTATAGAAGCCGACTCGCACGACGAGACAATAGCGACGACGAGGAGTCCGGAGGCGAGGGGAACGCGCGCCAAAGGCTCAGGATCAACGATGATAGCGACAACGACGATAGTGATGACGAAAGAGAGCGACAAGTCCCGCCGCCGGTTGTGAACCAGCCGCCCGTCGCAAGGCCACCCTCTCAGGGCGACATCTTATCCGCTATCATTGGCGGCGGCGGTGTCGGTGTCGGCAATGGGAGGCAGACTGTAGCACCAGCGCCTCCCGTCGTGGCGAGTCCGATACCCGCCCAATCGACCCCAGCTCCCGCCATCGCGACTCCAGCTCCGGCCATCGTGATCGCGCCGGCACCCATTGCGGAGGCAGAACCCGCCCCAATCGTGGCGGCGCCGATCCTACCCCCAGGAACCGTTAGTCCCACGCCAGCTTTCACGCTCACGGCCGTGGCACCCAGCCAGATCGCGGCACCTTCGACGCTCTTGACCTCGACGCGCCCGCTTCAGCCCAGCGTGATCAGCAGCGTGGTGGCGACCACTCGTCTCAGCTCGATCCCCAGCCTCTCCGACGTCGTGGCTACAAGCATCGCCGCGGCCAACCCGGCGCTGTCGAGCATCTCGTCCTCGGCCAACTTGGTTCCTACGCCTCCGCCCGTCGTGCAGGCTCCGCCTCTGGCAGAGCCATCTAACCCGACTGCTTCAAACACGCCGACTCTGACGGACCCTCAGCCCGAGGTCACGTCCGAGGCAGGCGCGGCGAGCGTGTCCGGGACCAACACGGGTCAGGTGGCCGGTATCGCCATTGGCGCAGCTGGTAAGTCTGACAAACAAAAGATTCTCCTTCCAGATTTGATCCTCCTTTCGGCTGGAGATAAGTCTTTTTTTTTTCCGTCTTTTATTTATATGCTAAGTATTGTTTCAACTACAGCCGGCGTCGCACTTTTCGCCACGGGCATGTACCTCTACAAGAAGAAAAAGAAGGGCGGCAGCATCAGCCGATCGGAGACGCCCATCTCCAAGCCGCAAACGCCTCAGCAGCAATCACCCAGAGGCGCCTCGGAAAAGCTAGGGCTGTCGGCCCCCATGCGCGTGTCGGAGCTGATGAAGGCGAGCGAGATGCCGCAGCGGATGAAGCTCACCAACAGCATGCAGATCCTGGCGTACCGCATCAGGGATGCTTTCGAGTCATCGGCCCCCGAGAACGGCAACGGCGGCTACAGGAACGAGAGGCCGGAAAGCCGCGAGGTGCCGCTTATGGACCAGAGGGCATACGCGTATCTCAACGGCGGCCGGGATACGATGGACGGAGGGATCCCGCCGGTGCCTCCGATGCCCCCGAATGCGACGTACGGAAACGGCGGGTATGGGTATCAGCAGTACTAGCTAGAGGGTGGCAGGGTCATGATCCAGTTCGTGATGTGTAATCGACGGGGAGGGAAGACTACGAGATGGGATATGTGATAGAAGGATGGGCGGGGTGGTGCAGCTTCTTCGATTCGTTGGAAACATTCAAACACGAACAAGGGATGTGACTTTTTTTTCTATTTTCTTTTTATTAACCTACCACTTTTGCTATGAATTCCTGCAACCAAATGGAAGAAGAAACAAATGAGTCCGCTTTTTCGTAAATTTGGCCCTTGTGATACAACGAACACGTATACTACTCGTCAGGCTTCTCAACAAACGACGAAGTCATGTCGAGGCCAACAACTCTATACATCTCTGCTTTAGAGCTTCTACTCGGTACCAACACCCAATCTCGCCCTTGACCAGTTTTCTTTTGCCCGTTTCAACTATCTGCGCTGAAGAGTCAGAGGTACATGGATAGAAAAAACCAAGGTCTAGCCTAATATCGAATTCTTGTCGTGCTTTCCTCTCTTCTCGTTTCCCTTTTCCTTACAAGGCCTAGCCCCTACGAGACGCATAGGTACACTAGATATCTACGTTCGGTTTGATGAGGTATGGTAACCAAAGCTACCATGTCCTCGGACGTGGTCTCCTGAGAATGCGCCCAAGTATTTTACGCCTTGCCAAGACTTATTGTTGCTATAGACAAATGCGGATCTCAAGTGGAAAGGAGGTCGGGCAAAGAAGAAAATAGAAGGCCAAGTCTCAGGAGATGATGGCTCGGGTATGCTGGGATGAACCATCACATCAAAAGAGATCCAAGCGGCGCCCGACAGTGATTGACAAACGAACTTTTTGATCTTGGCACGAATTTTGGCTTGACCTTCCGGGGCTGACATGCTAGCGAGAGGGCCCGAATAGGGAAGTGATGTCCAAGATAGACGGGGAACCTTGGCATGCAACATGGCACGTTGACATGTCAATGATATCCTCGCAGGGAAAAGAAGAAGATCAGTGGGACATCGGTTAGCGAACGACAAAGGCGCTCATTTCATTTTATTTTAACTTGGATTCACCGGTGCACATCGCTACGTTGTAGTGGAAGATTTGCCACCCATGTTGTGTAGTATTCGTTCAAACTCTCCGTCGTCCTAATATTGCTAAACCGAGCAGGCTTGGGGTGGATATAAGCGTTTTGTTTCGTGACCTTTCCATTCCGGAATGGCACGCTTCGGAGGAAGACTCGCATCTGTTTGTAGCCCCTGGCAAGAGTCAGGAAGGAGACTCCCGTGGGCGGAAAGACTAAAGCAAGAACCCTCTAGTCCCTTTTACGGACATAATAATCGCACAAGTGAACAGAGACGATAATCTTGCGAAATCACTTATCCCGTCCATGTTAATGCACTTTGACGTTGGACTCCGTCTCGCTCTGAATGCTGACTCGAGTGTTGATTAGGTAATGGTACAACCAGCAGCGTGTGACTTGTGGCACTTCCCGTGCCGTCAAAAATTCTCCATAATAATTGCTCCATTGGGTGGTAGTGGATTGGTTGTTCCCCTTTCTCGCTTGGACTGCCGCGCATTGAATTTCCAGCTCCCGATTGGCCAATGCCCACGGCCTTCACCTTTGGGTTTCACAATGTTGCCCGGTGCGTGTCGCCGTCCTGGGAGAAGGGCAAGTCTACCCGGCCAGACTTTCAACCTCGAGGCACTTACACGCAACAATAGCCCTCTTAGACACACCCACACGGACGTCTAGACTTCCATGACTGATCGACCTGATGCGCTCTAGTCTTCTCGAACACTTGGATCATCCAGGACCTTGCGCTAACCAACTTTCTTAATGGAAAGACGAAGAGACAGAAAAGGAAAAAAAAAAAGGGAGGGGAACCCTAAGCGGAATAAGAATAGGCATTTGAGACCTTCCGTTCCGGATTTTAGACTTGCCGAGAGAAAGAAAAGGAGAGAAAAGAGTTGGGGGTGTGAGGTGTGTGTCGCGAAAATTGCCGCTACGATAAACTGGATCCTTCTTCCCTTCTATCCTCGACAAGGCCATGATTGAGTGGAAACAACTCCACAAAGCCGTGAGAAGGAGAGGCTTTTTGACACATTTGAGATATGGACATGACACCTCCGAGGGGCAAGTCCCACATGTCTTGGCAACGTGAAGAGGGGGACGGAAATAGACGTCTAGTCATTTTCGTCTGCTTCTACTCAGGCTTATGACTCCGCCTAAAAGTAGTCTTGCGGCCTGTTGAACTGGGCGCGTAGAGCAGACTAGCTTAACAGCATGGTTGGGTCAGTTGAGCCTTGCTGGCCAAAGTGATGGAAAAGGGCCGTTGGCTTGGGAATCGTCTACGGACAACAGTGTATCCAATCTCTTGATTTTCTTTGCCTTTTCATACCCTGAAGCGCCCACCAGCGTCTATTCTTGCTCTGTCAACTTCTTGGCAGCGCCCCAGAACCAGGCATTGACAGTAGATGAATGCGGACGAAGTGATCCATTATGATCCGCCAGTTCAGTTGATGCGTCCATTCCTCGGGTGCACTTGTGTCTTACGGCGAAGTGTTGCCTACTCCGATCTCTTGGCGGATAATCTCTTCCCAGTAGCCATTCTAAGCTGTCAAGGTCTATCAAACCCTTTCCTTTGGTCCTTTTACTTCTGGCTTCTGTTTTATCCAAAAGATAAACCCCCATATCCACTCATGCCCCGTCACATCGCTATCCCCAGCTGACGTAGAGCGTAGAATGGAATAGATTTGATGGATCTCAAGCTATACCATCACGATTCTTTTTCCAATCTGCCTCTTCTTCAAGTCACCCCATCGGCCTATTCTTCGGGTTTCTCGCCTATCGTCTCGATAGATTTTAGTGAAACACTTACGCCGCCACTACCACCCCGGAAGACTTGGGGCCCGACAGGAAAGCCCCTTGACGCTGTTGTCCGCCACACCTTGAGCTTAAACCCAAAAATAAGAAGTCCCGCCGCGCGCGCTCTCCTCCACCTTGGCCCCGTTCTTCCCCGTCCCCAATTGTAAGCCACCAAACTTTCTTCCTAGCTACACCCCTCATGCGCACCACGGGTGGAGGACCGCCTCAAGGGAAGGGGGTGGAGCAAGGGGGGGCTCTCCTTGCCTCGCCTGTCTTTCTGGCGGGACGTTTCGTTTCTCACTCACCCCGTGGCACCTATTGCCGAGCGTGACGTAGTGACGTGGGCTGACTTAGATCCCACGACATGCAAGGAATCTAAGTCAGGGCTCACCGTATCAATACCCTTGGGCTCCTTTCTCCCCTCCCGCCAACTCGAACTCGCGCAAAAGGGGCCTCCAATATGAGGTGAAGGAGAGTTTTCACGGCATCAGGCAAAGGGCGCAGTCTAGACTGAACTAGCCAACGAGAGAGGCCAACTGCGAATTCTCGAGGTGTGATACGCTGCATTTCAATTCACAAAAGACTTTTTCCCCTTCAAAAATGAATATAGATGAAGAGGAGACGGGTAAAGCGTACTCTCTCCGCGCTGTTCCCCAGGGAAAGAAGCCTAACCACACTGTCCTTCTCTACGGGAGAGGTCACCGTAGATGCAAGTACATCGCAAAGTTTTTCTTTTAATATTTTTTTTCAAAAATGAAGAAGATAGATGGTCAATGAAACCTCCACTAGCCGGCGTGGTATCAGAATGAAAAGAAGAGAAAAGAAGAAAAAAAGTTATCATGACAAGGCCTCATCCTCCCTCGAAGCGAAATGAGCTTCGCACACGTCTAACTCCCAGGTCTCTCCCGCCTAAAACTAGGCCGGAAAGCTGCACTCCCTCTTTTTCTTTCTTAGTGTTTTTCTCCCCATCTTATAAACGTGTCGCATGTCACACCACTTTGGATGGGCGAAGGACTCCACGCTGTTTCGGTATCCCCCATCAACACTCTACTATTTACTGCTGGACACCCAATAGCGCCAAGATCTGGCAGATGGTATCGCAGGCAGCAGCATCACCGCCGGTGGCGGGGCCGCCGCCGCAGGAGCCGCGGGGGCTACTGTGGAGTTGGAGCCCGCGGCGCCACCAGCCCCGGTGGGAACAAAGAAGGCCCACTCACCAACGAGATCGTCGACGGTAAGAGTCAATTCGTTCTCGTCAGCCTCAAACTCGAGCTCACCAACGCCAGCGCCTACGACGAAAGTGTTGGTCTCGGTGCAAAGACGGCCAACCTGGCCCTGGCTAATGTCCAAGGTGTCTGGAGGGGAAGGGAAGAAACCATGTTAGCATCTTGATAAGGTGGAGCTATACCCGTTCAGTCGGGCTTGGAAGGGGGTGGTGGGGGCGGAGCTAAAAACCTACTGCCAGCGTTGAGAATGTAGTCAATCTTTTGGAGAGTGAGACCGCGAGTTCCGCCGTTGATCGCGACCCGGTACGAGACGGGTTCGAGGAAGTCAAACCCAATAGGGGCGTTGCCGGGGAAGCGTTCTCCGTGACAGCGAGCTGGCGCGCGGTGGGATTTTGGAACTCGACCTCGAAGACACCGTTGACCTATTGTCGCATGAGTTAGACTTTTGCTCTGAGAAGGAGGGATTGTGTCCCATCTACTCCGAAGACGAGGTGGGGGAGGGGTGGCACTTACACCAGGAGGGAACAGGGTATCGGTCTTGATATCGCCGCCGCCGAGCTCAATGACGGTGTTGAACTGGCCCTGCTGCTCAATCTCGTTCTCCTCGCCCTCCTCACCCTCGGCGGCGCCGCCTTCAGCGGCACCTTCGCCAGCAGCTCCACCGGCAGCTCCACCAGCGGCACCGCCAGCACCACCTCCATTTCCGCGGTTCCGTCCGAGAGCTGCGACGCCGCCGGCACTCTGCTGGTTTCGGGGAAGGACCAAGGCCGTAGCGGCGAGGAGCTCGGAGGCGAGAACGATGGTGCGAAGAAGATGCATTGTGGATGGCGTTTTGGTTCGGAGATGAGAAATCAACGGATAAATCTTATTGGGGAAAGGAAGAGGAAAAACAAAAAATTGAACCGTTGGAGGCGCGTGAGAAACGAGGTTGTCAAGATAACTGTGGCAAGGAAGAAATGGGGGTCAGACCAGCTGCAAGAAGCGAACTGAAAGCAAAGAAAAGAAGGTTTGACGGAAGGAAAAAAGGAAGCTGAAGTGGAATGTTCGATATGATCGATGATTTTCCAAAGATGATACAGGCCGAGGAAGGGCGGTATGCGAGACTCTTATATACATTAACAACGGCGAAAAGCGTCGCCAGTATCTGCCATCTATTCTACTCCCCGGGTTCTAGTCCCATCTTCGATTGTTGGATCAGTGCCCATTTGGCCCGTCAAGCGCGCTTCTAGTGGCACAATGCCAAGACCGCCGGACCCCGTCGGGCGTAGGTTGTCAGGGAACGGACCCGACCAGGCGTCACGGTCCCACAGACGGGGAACCCCAGGGACACGGTCTGGGTGGACAAGAGGCAGGTTTCATGCTAACCTGCGGCCTGCACCAGGCGAAAGGGGGACGGGAATGGCTGGCGGGCCTTGTTTTTCCATTCTATGTGTCTTGTTTTTTCGGCCAATGTTCCTGCAATCCCTTTACTAGCGATTTTCCTCCCTCTCACGGGCTGGACCATTGATGCAACGGATCGAAACCCTGCAGTTATTTTTAGTTGACGCTTGAAGGGGCATTGAAGGCCTTGCGCTCTGCCTCAAGCGTGATGCCTCCCCTCCCCTTCCCCAAACATCGACCCAGGGCTAGCTCTGGCTGATGGAGTATTGCTGAGTATGTTTGGAGCAGATGGTGGAGGATGACTCGGTCCCTGTGACTGTCCTACCTACCGCTGATGGATTTAAACCTTTAAAGTGATGCTCGTGGGATAGGAGTTTCTCGGTGTGCAAATCTTTTCGCAATCGATCCCATATTCGCCCCAACTTCCCGAATTATTTTGCGTATTAATCGTCTCCTCGGGTCCGTTGCCCAGGCAGGTCGAAGCGGCTATGATCTGTTGTCTTGCCTATCATCCGATACCTGGAGTCGTCGGACGCTGGCCCTGACATCGCTGCCAAGACTGTTGCCCGATGGTGTTGTCGCTTCATCTTGCCCCCAAGCCAAGGTGCCTGTTCGTTATTAGGCCCCAGATTGCAGGAACGCCAAGAACAATCATCGAGACCTGTGCCCGAGGATGCACGTCAATTCCGCGAAGCCTCGGCGATCTTATCCGTTCGTAGCGAATTGATCGAGGGAGGAAGAGGCCCTGATGTCACTTTTTGCCAAGACATTGGGGGACTGTTATAGATTTTTATTCTTAGAGAGAGCAATCGTGGTGAGTGGGGACCCTTATTTTTGGCGGCAGCAAGAGGTTTCCAGGTGCCCGTGTTTCATCGCGGCGCCCGGCGCCTGGAGGGTCCTAGCCACCAATGACATCAACTCAACATTGAACCTTCTTTGGTGGGAAGTGTGAGGCTCGAGGTGCAAAAGGAAAATGTGGCTGCAACCACACTCCGCTTTCCAGGAGCTTAAGCTTCAATGTTGCGTGATGTGGATCGCGACAACGGCCGCCGACAAGCATCATCGAGCCTCCACGAGGTCTCGGGCGTTTCCCCAACCTGCTCCTTTGTTTTGAACACGACGTGCTCGGCTACGAGGACGGATATTGGCAACGATTATTCGAGGATGGGCCGGACTTCCTTTGGCGTGGGAATCCTGCCTGTTGCTCTCCGTCTAATATTCGGTTTAATGGTCCAGTGTCGCCAACGATGGCGCCCTCCATGACCATGCAACTCAAGCCGGTGGGCATCGATAAAGATTCCCAGCCAGGAACGCAAGGCTAATCACAAGAAAAAAGAAAAAAAGGATCGCCGGACGATGATCACCTCCCGCTGGCTACCTGGGCAGGCATGGCATTGAGCCTAGGCCGCCCTCGCATCGACATGCCAGATAATGCACGCTGCTGGGGAATCATCGGGTTGCATGAGGAGGAGAAAGAAAAAAGGGGAGGTGTGGAAAGGGGGTTGAAACCTTGCATCTACGGCTCGCGGCTCACTTAAGCTTGTCCGTTGTTCCTCGGAAGAAGCGGCACTCGGGGATGGGCAAGAATAAGCTTGAAAAAGAGGCTTTGATGCATCGCCGGGCGACGGTTGAGCGATCCCGCCCAGGCTTAACATGGTGGGAGGAAGAAGGACGCTTGCAAGCAAGGGGAAAGAAGGCACGCGACCAAACCACCCTGTTTGGCCACTTCCATAAACGTCCCTGATTTATTACTTCGTACCTCAGGATATTAGTAGACAACTTACCTCGGTACATGGGGATGTGAATCAACGAGCTTTCCACAGAGTGCATAATTTCATGGGCATAAATTAGTGCAAGTCTCAAAAGTGTAGTGTACCAGAGGCGCAAGATCAACCTGCCAGATGACATAATCCCCAGATCATCTCCCCCACCATCGTGCGACATTTTACTCAGCACGTTGTTACGGCACTGTCGGAACTCGCCGTCACGGTTGGCCAATGTTGTTTTCACCAAGCTTTTGTTTACTTTTCCGTTTTGAGCTCCCCACTTTCGTCCTCATCCTCAAAACATCATTAGCTGGTTTTTTTCCTCTTCCCATCCAGACCTTCGATCTCACCGCTAGACATTAGACATTGACCTGTTCCCACCTTTTGAATCCACCGAACCCATGTCACCCACACAAACCCACACCTTTGGGTTTTATTGACAAGGTTCCTTTTATCAATTCTCCGTCGCGTCCCCCCTCGTCATCAGCCCTCATCTAACTTACCGCCATTCTTCTTTCTACCACTTCACGGTCCTTGGAACAACAAATCGATATCACAAGAAGCTCCAAGAACAAGCACAACCCCAAAGATTTCACACAATGTCACCCCCTCGCCGCAGGTCTGCGCGATTGGCAAGTTCCTCAAAGGTAATCAGACAAATGTCCCAAAACGTGTGCCTTTCCCCTGTGTTTGCGCCCAGACCCCAGACACTGACTTCATCTTGATGTGGATACGGTAGACACCGAGGAAAGCTGCCACCCCGAGTCTCGATGCCGTCGCCGAAGGCGGAGAACTCCCAGGAGAATGTAGCTTCGACGCGGAAGCTCCTCCGGCCCGCCATCGTCGAGGTGCCTTCGACGCCCTCGTCCTCGTCCCCGATCAAGCCTCCCATGTCTGAGATGCACCCCAGCAAGGTCCACACGACCATGGCCGCGCCATCCTCGGGCCTCCGCCTTGGCTTCACCGATATTAGGCCCTCGGAAAAGAAGGGCAGCCCTCTCCCCTCTGGCCTAACTCAAGTGACTCCCTCCAAGGGCTCGGCGATGCCCTCATCCCCCTTCACATTCACATTCACGCGGCAGGGCACCGCAGCCGACCTTGGCCTCAGCACCCGCGCCCAGGAGATGATGAACGAACTGCGCGAGGAGGCTGCCAAGATCAAGGCGGAGCTCGCAGCTCAGCGCGAGCTTGAGAAGGCCGAGGAAGAGGCCAACGGCGGCCGCCGTATCGCCAAGCCCAAGGGCAAGTCGAGTCGCTTCAGCGCCGTGCACATGGCCGAGTTCAAGAAGATGGACTCCATCGAGAACCATCCCTCTGCTTTCCGAGCTCTCCGCAACCAGCTAACGCCCGTTGCCGGCATCAAACGCACTTCTTCGAGGGCTAACTTGGACGAACTTGCTTCACCCATCACGCAAAGGTCCGGCATCAAGCGGACGCAATCAAAGGCCCGTCTCGACGATCCCGATACCCCCGCTACCGAAAACCAACCACTGCAGGCTCTCCTATCAAGAGCCGCCTCCCTGTCGACAGCAACCCCCACGCCCGCCAAGCGATTCAAGCAACGTCTCGAAGACGACGCATCGAGTAGCCGCCCGAGCTCGCGCGATGGAAGCTCTATCCCCCGGCCCAAGTCTAGCGGCGTCGATGCCGCTGGAGGTAGCTTGGCTCGCTCCCATTCCTCCGCCAACCTTGCCGCGAGTGCACAGAAAATGTCAATGGCCCGAGCTGCCGCCAGAGGACCTACCATTAGCCTTGTGAGGTCACCATCTAAGCCTGACCTTTCGAGTCCGCAAAGTCCCTCGCTCCTACTGCGCTCCCGCCGGGAGCGGCGACACCTACCCGACGCATCCTGAGCCCTGGCCGATTCGAGAGGGTGAAGTCTATTCTGCGCGGCACCAAGAGTAACATCGAGAAGCCGGGAAGCGCTCTCCCTATCCCCGCGGGGGCCTCGAGAACCCCTAACCCTCCTCGAGTCGACAAGGCCTTGCCGCCCGTTCCCGCCTGCGCTACCAGCCCGAGGCGGAAGTTGTCGAAGCGTCTGATCGCCACGCCGACAGCAAAGGAAACAATCAAGCTTCAGAACTCGCCTTCACCTCTACCGTCCAGCAGTATCTTCAAATTCCGGGCCAAGTCTAGCCAAAGCTCTCGAAGTGAGGCTCCCGCTTCGCCAGCGTCGATGCCGTCGTTTCTGGAGCCACCAACGGCGCAGGCGAGGTGGCTTATCCGGACCTATCCAAATTTGGGACGACATCGCCTGCCGTGAACGGGGACGGCAAGGCTGGTAGCATGCCTCCCCGTCGGTTCCCGGGACCTTTAGTTTTCGCAGCGACCACACGATTAACTTTGGAAGCGTGTCGCCTACTGGCTTCGGAGGATGTGCCGGGCAGTCAAGCCTTCGCCATGTGCGGCCCTCTATCCTTCCTATGCCCGGTGGCTTCCCCAATAGCGTCATGGACACGGGAAGCAAGCTCGTTGGTGGTGGCGCGAACAAGGAGAACAAATCTCCCACCAAGTTCATCCTTCCTGGCATCTCCCACGGCATGAAGAATAAGAAGCGCCTCCGTGTGTCTTGCGATGAAGAGGATGCCGAGCGGGAAGCTGCCGAACGGGCGGCCAAGAGGAAGAAGAACGATCATGTTCCCGAGGGGACGCACTCCTCGCGCCCCGACTCGTTGGCAAGACCCCAACCAGTGTCAAGAAGGCGCAAATCTCGAGGACGCCTGGTTCTCAGGTTCTCTCTAGGGATAGCCCTATCAAGCGGAAACCCGGCATCAGCCTTAGCCGGCTGAAGATGCTCTCTCAGCCCAAGAGCCGCACCTAGGGGCCGCGCCGCACTTAGCTGGAATTCTCTCGCACGGCAGCTAGGTTTACAAAGGTCTCCTTTACGGCGGCGGTGGCGCTTTTGCTCTCCCGTCTCCCCACATGCATCACCCTTGTTCTTTGCTTTCTTTTTCCATTCTCGGGGCCTCGACGTGCTCGAAACTTGGGTTTCGGGGATGATCCTGGCCCGCTCATCTTGTATCAACAACTTTGTCGAAAAATTGTCCGGCTTCTCGTCTTTCTGTTTCAAACTAGGTTCGGGTATTTTGGGTGCGGTTACGGTAGTATCGGAGTTTTCTCTTTCATCTCGCGCCCCCTTGATTTTTTTTTTTTGCTCTTGATAGGGGGACTTTCTTATCTGGGTTCTCAGGGCATCGTACGGAAAGGTGTTTTTCTTTCTTTCATATTCAGTTTGCTTGTCAGAATCGTGAGCTACGTTCTATGTCGTTCAGTTGAATAATGCAATGATATTCCTCTTTGCAGGTACAGCTCTGCCTCCTGCCGTATGTTGTCACACTTGTCCCAACGAAATGCACCTGTTCTACTGCACCCGACACGAAGACCCGCACGCTCATGCAGCTTCGTTTGCTCTGTACTAGAGCACTAGAGCATTCTCAGCTTACTTGCTTGCTTGGTGCGCGGTCCACGTCGAGTGCACGCAATTGATAGCTCAAAGGAAAGGGAGCTGGTGCCAGATCATGGACAAAGAAACCTGCTCGATCGGGCTTGGCTACCTTGATGCATGAAAAGGGAAAAAATTTTAGGTTCCTCTCTCATGGTCTCTTCCTTTTCCGGATGGATCGAAGTTGAAATTGAAGCAACAATGGCATGCTTTTTCTCACGGAAGGAGCCGATTTGGGGGTGCAGTTCCTGCGAGCCACGTCGAGCTGCGATACAGGTAATTTCAAGGCCGCTGCTCCCCCTCGAATCATGGACCGTTTTGCACACCCCGGTCATCAGAGATAGCCCATCATTACGTTTCTTACAGCTTCCGGGTCTCGAGCCTTTGCGTAGAGATAAGGATATCAATCGGGACGAGTCCGATGATGCAGGACCCATCTCTCGGCCGATCTTCAAAGAGATGAAGGAGGCAGGCCAAGCCAACTGAAGGAGGCATTTTTCCCCCGAGTTATTTGAGATTCGCGCTTCACCGCGTGCGTTTGCGCTCTTCACCCACCCTCCCCGGCGAAGGCCGTTTCCCAATCTAGACTATTGTATGAGAGAGCGGAAACCCTTTCTCCTTCTCTTCTTGGGCGAACCCTTGAGAATTTCGCGCAAGTAGCCCCGATGAGCCCGTGGTACGATCGCACTGTGCCATTCATCATCATCAGTTCGCCCTGTTTTCGCTCCCCTTCATCTCCAATCACCCCCTGTTAGCAGGGCGGTGCATTCCCATTTGTCGCAGGAGCCTTGGGTGTCGGGAAAGGGAAACCCGTCGGCATCCGAGAGGAAGAATTTGCCCCTAAAACAGAAGTGGAAAGGAAAGGAAAATAAAAGGGCAAGAAAGGAAGAGGATTGTCGAAAGAGGGGATCAGGTGCGCTTGAAGGTCACAAATACGGTTGATTCAGGGCTCCTTGCAAACCTGGGAAGCAACACCCCAAGCTTCGTGAGGCTCTTGCAGGGATCAACACGCGATGCGGCACCCATGCGGAGCGGATGGAGTTGATGCAGAATAGAAAGGGCAAAAGGGCAAAAGGGAAGGAAAAAGAATAGAGATCGATCGATGGAATGTTGTTATATTTGGCAATAAAGTATTAGCATTGGCTGCCGCTCGGCATCAGATCCATGATGGGATGGAGATGTGCGGGCACCAAGTGCCTCGTTGCGGGCGCAAATATCTTCCATTGCAACACTAGAAGCGTTCTAGAAAGTGGATCGAGGATGTGTCGACGACCTTCGCAGAAAGCGAACCGAGACAAAAGCAGTTTGAATAAAAGATCCAATCACGACTGCTCTCAATTCCCCGCTGCGGCAGGAATCGAGCCCGGCTGTTTTCCTCCTACAAAAACCGTCAATATAATCCCAGACTGCAAAAAGAAGCTCTCATGAACGGGCAATCTCAGGAGAAGCAGGCATAAGAAAAACCGAGAAACCCGAGACGACAAAAGGCCTATCTCCCTCCTCTTCAAAAATTGCTCCCATCACTTCCGAGAGGGCAACCAAATTTGAGCTCGTCTCGAAGAGGAAGAGAGAGTCGGCCGTCCCCGCCCGAGTACCAGGATTGACTGGTTGCCACCAAACTTCAGCTCTCCTTGGTGCTGGGTCAAGACGTGGGGGCTCCACACCTCGTTTGGCCTCGATGACTTGTTCAAGCGAGAGGGCGAGGTACAAAATCAAGATCAATGGGGATGGCTTTAGAGGTGGGTACTTTGTCATCCGGGTCAGCAATATTATCAATTCAAGTGTGTACTGGCAAGACTGGCATTGTCATGGTACTCGGTGGGAGAGGGACAGGGAGACAAAGCAAGACGTGTGAGTGTGAGTGTGAGTGGGTGTGGACGTGTGAGCGTGTGGGTGTTGAGTGTCTGTCGACCCATGTAATAATCCTATCCTCACTTGTACATGACGCGGAAGAGTGATCAATGATACGGAAATGGCAAAGGCGGGGGTCTCTGCTGGGTGAGTTGGGGTCTTGCAGCGGGGTTCTTCAACCCACAGCCTGCAACAGTGAACCCTCGCAATCTCATTCGAGCTCCCGAACGAAACGAGCCAGAGGGCACCAGCCATTCGCGGAACCTCCCAGGCAAGAGCCGGCCAATCCGAGGCTGCTTATTGTGCTGTCGGGAAGCACGCACCATGAGCCATGCACTCCTGTGAACTCGTTCGTTGAGGTGGATCAGTAATTCTCGATGGCCGCGCTGTCCGGGATGTCCTGCGTTGAACAAGGGCTAGTACGGGGGACCATTGTCCTTTGCGTGATCGGGCAACGGGAGGACAGCATCAAGGGCAAGCTCCAAGACGTCATTCAATCCTCAGGGAATCCAATGTACACTGGTGAAGTGCCGAGGGGTTCTGTCTAATTGTTGTCGTGTAGCTTATTGCTTCGTAACTTGGCTTGCTTGGGGCGGTGGAACGGCCAAGTGTGCACAACAGACTGGCATGCGGGGAGGGGGCTTGCAAGAGGACGAGGAGCTTTGCTTCACTATCCGGAGCTGGACGAAACCATCCATGCTCTGCGACTTGAAAAAAGCAAAGAGCTCATGCGAAGGGCACGAGGCCCAAGAGGCACGGGTGGGTGACAACCAGGAGAGGGGCTGCTCTGATTCGAGAGTGACTTCGCACCGTGCTGCAGAGCTGTTGGCACCGACTTCGGCTCCTCCAACCAAACACCATCAACGTCTCCCACACACACCACTCGCTTTCCCTGCACCTTTGTCGCCCCCATTTTTTTTTCGTTCAGGTGACCCCCAAAAATTCTCATGAATGAATTGATCCTTGCAGACAGGGATAGTTCCCCTTGGACAAGCGGGAAGTGGTTAAGGACCAGGGGGTAAATCGCTGGTGCATGGTCCCTCCTCTTCCTTGTCACCACTTCGCACCTTCCAAGTCCTCCGTCTGTTCGTTCAGCTCTCCCGAGAGCTAAAGTCCGTCCCTTGTGACTTGTGCGCTTCTGGATGACAGCGCCAGAGGCTTGGCGAGCCATAAAACGATCAACACCCATAGACCTTCAACAACTTTTACCAGTCATTGAGTGGTGGTTATCCCTCCAAGGCGCTGTTCCTTCACCTCTTCCTCCTCCAAAGGAATCCCGAGTCGGAGCATCTCTTCGTAAGGAGTACCGCACTTTTGCATCTTGATCGATCGATGTGATGATCGGCTCGAATGAAACAGCAAGCGGCACTTTAAAAGTCACTTGACCGTGGTGGGGGTTTTGGGAGAAATGGATAATAGTCCCCTATCCTAATGGTCTTAGCATTGGAACTTGGGCAGCGGACTAGGGGTACCGCATGTCACGCCATTCGACCTCACTGCCTTGGGCGGTGCATTGGTCTTATCATTTTGGGGTTCATGATGGTGTCGCTCTGAGCGTGGCGTGATGGTAGAGGACAGCGGCCGGATCTCCGTTACGCTCCAATGTCTACACGCAAGACGATGGGTTTAAGCGAGCGTTAGGCTTGGCCTGGAAAATTTTGCAACTGAACAGCTCGGCACACTCATTGTCGAGTTTGCCAACTGGCCAAATCCTAGGCAGGACCCAATAACTTGAGCCTGGACTTGAAATGATCGTGCTGTGACCAGCAACCACTTGTGGTTCAAAAGCCTAGTGGCGGACTACACATTTCGCCGTTGGGGCAGTCGTGTTTTAGTTCATCAGCGCTAAATAACCCTTAGAAGTGGTGCCTGAAGGGAAAATTGGCAGGGTGTTGGTTCCAAGCTCGCCGAGTGTGAGGATCAGCGCTGCAATTCAACTCCTCCTCTGACTTGGAGAAGAAGCCTTCATCCATTGATGTCGTCGGTCCGCGCCAACGTTCGAAGCGGAGCTCGGTGGTCAATCGCCAGGCCCCTCACAGGAGTGGCCGGGAGTGACCCCACAGGCACATGGGTAGTGAAGATCGACTTCAAAGCTTCGTAGCTCGGAGTGACATCCGCCGCCTCGTCATAAAAGTTGCCGCTGACCTACCACTCCAGAGGTCCTGCCTGCGTGGTTGTCCGATGGATGATACAGTGGCACACGCAGGGCATTCCTTTTTGACAACAACATTAGAAATGGGGCTAAAAGGGATGATGAGCGATCGAGATCCGAACGTCACCTCGAAGGGGGGCAAAAGGATTTTGCCTTCTGCCTCGCTCTTGTCCCCCTCTTTGCCGGTTCTTCACTTCATATTTCAGGACGAGGAGGTGGCTCTGAAGAGGTACCTAGGGATCATCTCTGATCCTCCATTGTCGGAAGGTCACGAAGCGACAACTCAGAGCGGCAATCCGTGTAACCAGGTTGCATCTGCAGCCAGACGGAAACAGCCATGAAGCTCAGTGAGCGTGCTTTGAGGAGTCAAACTGGCTGTGACCCTGACCGAATGCGGAGCGTTCCCAGCGCCACTTCCCACACGTTGTCGCGTTCGGTTACCATCTGTGTGGTTGGAGAGCTTCCCGACACGAGGCAAGGTGTTCCTTGCCTTCACAGCAACCTGGTGCACCAATTGTCAGAGAGACAGAAGTAGCCAGGCTGGCGAGCACTCTGACCACTGGTTGTCCATACTTGTAGTGAGCAGCAGCTCCCTCCACTCGCCGACGGTACCACCTGCACGTCGGGTCCAATCCCACATCACAAGCTCGAATAAAGTGGTGTGCGTGTCGATGTCGATGTGCGTGCTTGTGTGTGTGTGTGTGTATGTGTGTATGTGTGCGTGTGTGTATGTGTGCAAATCAGTGTTGGCCAATGTGGGTAACGGTGGCAATCAACCAGCCAGCTCCAACCCCATTCACGATGAAGAGGAAGACTCTGCGTCTGTGGGCTTTCACTCCGCTTGAGTGGTGGTGTTACAGTGGTGGGCTGGACCAGGGGTAACGCACCACCATCCTTTCCTCTTCGCCCGCCAAGGGTGGGAGCTATTGACCCCTACCGGGCCCCCGGACCTTGCTCTGCCTGAGGACCAGGGTGGATTATTGGATTACTCCGTGCAAAATACAGTCGGCAGCCCCAACATATCCGTTGATGTTGCGCTTGCCCGGCACTCTTCGTGGCCAGGCCAAGCTCATCTCAGTAGAGAAAACATGGATGACTTCATCCTCAACACCCGAGCGGAGAACAACGTTTTGACTGGTTGCAGGTGGGATGAGGTGGTATTCGCCAGCGCAAAGTGAGACGCTGTCCGTGGTCCTCGAGTTCCACCTTGGAGAGGAAAACCCCACTGCCACATAAATGTGAGCCCGTCAAATTCTGTCGTCTCTGAGAATCGAATCTCTGCCTTTCTTCACCTTCATAATCTGTCCCCCTTTTTGTCTGGAATTTGATTCCGCAAAAGGAACGGGCGGCTTTGGAACGAGAGGAGCAGTGGTCGGCGGGGCTTCGTTTTAGTCTGGAGAAGGCCACTAAGTTTGAGACAACATGACAAGAAGAGAAAAAAGGGCGTTTGGCTAGGTGGGAAAAAAAAAAAGTTGAAGCGTGTGTCTCTTTAACGGAGAAACATCGTGGTACTGGTAAACGAAGGGTTGAGCAAAGAAGAATTGCCCGCACAAGCTCGCCTCCAAGATTATATAGGATTGTGTCCCCTCGTCCTCAGGCAGGCCCCCTTCTATTGCACATAAGCCGTCAAAGGGAAGAGGGGAGGGTTTTACATGAGAGAATGTCTCAATTATCCTCACAAAACTCGTGTGGGCCGTGGTGAGGATCTGATGGGCGCGAAGTGTTTGATATACACCAGACAACCACCTGCTTCTCGACACTCCCGGGCTTGAAGGGGAAGAAGTTGATTCTTTTTCTTTTTTGTAAAAGGCCATCCAGGAATCGGCTTGTCGCTCGCAGGAGGCACAGAGCCGGCTTGATGGGAAGGTCGGATCCAAAGCGTCGATGCTGCTCAATGGAATGGATCAGTCCTTCCTTTGATCAAAGGCTTGCTGGACCGAATCGGATGGTGGGCGCATGTACTCCGTACGGGTGGACTGTACCCTGGGTCTGGCTGAAAGTCCCACTCGATTGTTACTGCCTGGATTGTTGTGGGGTTGCGTCTCGAGTGCGGCGCTGTTTGAACGGAATTGATCAATCTCCTCTCGCTAGTGCAGGTGCACCCAAACAATCCATGGACCCATCCTGGTTCGCCCATCTTGGAGTGGCCCTGCACTGGGTTGGGGCTATCCCCGTCGGGGAAGGAATGGGGGGCAGAAAGAGGGGCTCCGCGAGACAAAATTTTTCATTACATAAAAGCACCTGCCCAAAAATTTTCCTTGACCTTGGGCCTGTAACCTCTGCCCTCAGACAGCCCAGACAGTCTCTGCAACCACGGAAAGAAACCACCCAAAGACGAAGAGCGCAGGAGAGGAAAAGATACCTCTACACGCAAATCCACGATCGAGTGGTGTTTACTTTTCCCCCACACTCTCCGAGGCTCGCGCGATCGCAGTTATTACCAGGCCCTCTTTTGGCTCCGGGTTCCTGTTACCGGATTGTCGGATTCTGATCACTCAATCCAGTGCAGAGCACGCACAAAGTGAAAGGAAGAGGAAAAATTTTGTGCTGTTTTAGCGCCACAAACGCGCGCTGCCTCACCACCCACGCCCCTCCCTCGGGACCCTTAATCGGACATATTCCCCCTGTCTACCCCATATCTTGCGGGCGCAAATTGAGCACCGACAGTTCCCTCCCCTCGACTCCCACAACCGAATTGCCAATTGAGCCGTGAGCCGTGCTCAAGCAGAGCATCAGTCGGCCGCATTTCTTTCCAGCAAGCACCAGCCAGTGCTAGTCCCACACTGAAACCGAAATTGACCTGCCCGCTTCTTGAACAAAAATAGCCTGTTTGGTTGTGCACCGGCACCACGACTGACCCCGCATCTCTTGACTGCTCCAGGCTTTTGGCCCAGCGGCAGCGCAGTTGAGGAGCTCTCGTCGTCCAACTGTCGCCTTCTGACTCCGCCCGTCTAGCGCACACTACAGGCAGGGGTGCCCTATTCACCAGAGCTGCCCTCACCCACACCACCCACCCACTTCTTCACCAAGCACTTCAACTCAGCAACACCTTCGGTCGACTCGATTTCGCTGTGCTTTACAACCCGGCACACCTCCTTCGAAAACCCACGACTGGGAATCCTAGGGAAATTTCCCCCTTCCCTTTTCGCCTCTCTTAGGGAATTCTTTTCATCTTCGGAAGATCCAAGGCTGGTCTTTGCCGCCTCGCTATTAACACCTTGCGATCTCTTTACCTGATCACAAATCCGGCACGGTGCCTCGCCTGCAACGATCGGATTCGTCGTCGCCCTCCCCTCTCTGTCCTTCGACGGTAGGGAGGTATGGCAGACAAGATGTCCATTGACAAAAACATTATGGCCAAAGAAGACAGTGAAGAATCCATGCGATCCAGCCCAGAAAACGAGCATGCATCTGCTCCCACCACCAATACTCCTCAAGAACCCCAACAACCCAAGCGTAAGGGTGGTCGAAAGCCTGTAAGTGACTGCCGCTAATGCGACAATTTCCCTTTCATGGAATCTTGGGAGACGAAGTACATCTTTGGTGCCTTCATGTTGCGGGCCGGACAAGAAATGTAGGGCCTGAGGACGGGAACCATGCCAAGTGGCATGCTCTTCCTCGCTAAGCTGGCGCCCTCTTCTTGCCGCGCTCAAGTTGTGTTCGGCAATTTCTCTGTTTCCTTGTGTTTTACAATCTTGATGCCTAGGGGTGGGAGCCATCTACGGCGCAGTGAGAGACGAAGGGGCGGGGCAATGGGCTGACTTCCTTCACACAGATCTATGCGACCTCTGAGGAGCGAAAGCAACGGAACCGACAGGCCCAAGCGGCTTTCCGAGAACGCCGGACCGAATATATAAAGCAGCTGGAGGAGACTATTCAAATCCATGAGCAAAACTTGCACAACCTGCAGACCGCCCACCGAAATGCAGCGGACGAATGCTTGATGCTCCGTTACAAGAACTCCTTGCTGGAGCGCATCCTCCTGGAGAAAGGTGCGACAGGCCTTGACATGCAGCATTTCTAGTTGTATAGTTACTAACGCCAAACTAGGTATCGATGTTCAAGCTGAGCTTTGCGCCAAAACAGCAAGCCCTAACTTGGGCCCGACCCACGTCCCCCAACCCGTCTCGCAGCCTCCTCCGGTCCAACGAGCCATCATGAACCGCCACCACCAGTCCCGCCGGTCCGTTTCGAGCATTGCGCCCAAGGTTGAGCCTGGTGTGGGACAGCTAGCTACTCCCCCAGCCTCCCTCTGTCCTCTCGCCAAAGAGTCGGCATACCCCGCCGTCTCACGCGAACTCACCCACGGGTTCCGCACCAGCATTTGGTGCCCCACCTGCTCCCTCGCCTCCGGCATCCGAGGTCGGGCCACTCCGAACGCCGGCAACAGCACCTCAACATCAACTTAGCCCGGTGCCTGGGCCGGCTGCCATCTCTCCTGCTAAATCCCGGCCTAATCCGGCTCTCTCCTCGGCCTCGTCTGCCGCTAACAGCCGCTTCGCAACGGCTACTGCGGCATCGTCAGTCGTGACCCCGAACGCTACCCCAGCTACCATCACGTCTCCAAATGCGGCTTCTGGATACTATGCTACTCCTTCATTCCAAAATCATATTGAGCAACTTGGTAAATCAACAATCCTACAACCCATGGCGGAGGTCAGTCTACTAATGCCAGCATTCAATGCAATAGAACAAGAGTACGATGCCCAGGACGTCATGGATGACTCCGAAATTGATACTCCTAGCGGCCCTGGACCCTATCCTGCTCCCTTCTCCGACCCCTCTCAAGCGATGGCTCTGACACCGGCCTCGCCCGATCACCCCGACCGATTCCAACTTCCGGAGCCCAGGCCGTCCCGACCTCTGCGCCGATGCAAAGCTATGGCAACTTGACCCAACTCCTCGAACCGACACTTGAATGGGACCCCTTTGGCCTCAGTGCGAGCATGGCCTTTCCCAACCAGTTCTCGTTTGATCAGAGTAATCTGAGGTAAGACGTGGCAGCAAATATCGCCACGTTCTACGACGGGCTCTGAGCAAAGAGAAGTCTCATGTCTCCAAGGGGACTGCGACAGTTGCCCCTTTCACTTCGAATCATTGTCTATAAAAACATAAATGTCTTTTTTTTTTGTCTTTCCTAGTTTAGTTTCCTTCCTTCCCTCTCTTTTTCTCATGTCATGCATGTCTGTGAAGGAGATACCCTTGAAAGGACGGTTTGACGACTTGAGGTGTACAACACGGGACGATAATCTTGACTTTCCGATCCAGCCGGCTCGCATATTGGACGTGAAGGGGTTGATCAACGGTGGCGGCTTAGTATTTTTCGGCTTCATTTCCTTTTTTTCTTCTCAACATCCGGTCGGCGCAAGACAACTCAAGGGGAGGACGCTCTTCGGCTATTCGGGCGGTATCATTGGTTTAAACATACATGTGGTGGGTGGTGGGTGGCTGGGTCACGAGTTGATTTTGCGGCTTTTGGGCTGGCTCACCTGAGGTTTGGGTGGGCAACGCTGTCTTTTCGGGTTTCTTTTTCTATACCGGCGTTTTGTTTGTTTGCCTATGTTTTCTGAATGGGTTGGCAACGCCAAAAAAGATATTGATTGGGTTGGCATTGCAAAGCGGGCATTGGCGGTGGGTCGGAGGTGGTCTCACAGGTTAACAATTTCTCCTTGTTGATCTTGTTTCTTTTTTGTTTGGTTTCCTTTTGGTTCTTATGCGTGCTACATCTGACGGGCAGAGTCAGGAAGGACGGGCATCACGGAGGCTAGTTTGTGTTTCTTTTCGGTTTCGCGTACTCTAAAAGTTTTCGCTCACATTAGCACCTGTCTTTCCACATTCCTCCATACATATATCCAATCATCTTATATATTTTTATATATATACTTACATATTTACCAAGACGCGTTATCGCTATGGCTTGGTGCCGTCGACATTGCTGAAAGTATCATTTCTCTTTGCGTTGAGGCGTGTTTGGACAGCATGAATGTCTATTTCTTTTTGTCTATCTATATGGATGCAGCTGGTGGAATGAAAAGCCTGGGAAATGACATGCGCTAAAACTCGGCGATGAAAAAGAAAAGAAAAATAGAGATAGGAGAGAAAGCAACCCGACGCCCTTCACGCCATACCCATATGCACAAGTGACGATTGCAACGAAAAATTAAAAAGAAAAAGGGAGAGCACAAGAGACGAAAAGGCAGCGGGTAAGAACCACGTATCGTCTAGTTTTTCTAAGCGTTGACTTCGGCGAACCAAGTCCGAAGGAGACCGGATAGTGCGTTTGGTAGGTCATCAAGGTGGTGTACGATGAGGTAGTATTGAAAGGGGAACGTGTCGAGGTAGCGCTCGATAACGACGCGCGAGTTGCCTTCGACGTCCTTGACGAAGCGGGCCTCCTTGAGCTGGAGGACACTGTCGCCCTTGCGCTTGGTCGCGTCGTCCATGACGATGAAGACGATCATGATGCGCTCCTCGGCAGCCTCGCGAAGCAGCCGACGAATCGAGTCGTGTGTGGCCGACTGCGTCAAGCCGTCGGACAGGATGAGGGCGAGCTGCCAGAGGTCCTCGCCGCCGCGGTCGGCCTGAAGGCGGGCGGCGCGGAAGCGGTCAATGGTGTTGCGGATGAGGAGGCAGATGTCGGTGCGGTCCTGCGAAAGGAAAAGCGCTGGAGCACGCGGGCGCCGGCGTCGTGCGAGGAAAAGGGCGCGGCGAGGTCGTGCGCGGTGAAGACGTCGGCGCCGAAGCCGACCACGCCGATTTGGCCCGCCTCGAGCATGTTGAGGGAACGCGAGACCATGACGAGGGACTCGAGGGCCAGGCTTCCCGAGTTGGACTCGCCCATGCTCTTGCTGTCGTCGACGCAGAGGAGGATCTGGTACGCCCGCTTGGTCGGCACGCTCCGCCGCATCCAAATCTTGTCGCGCTTGTAGCTCGATGCGATGTATGGGATGATGCGCTTGATGTTGAGCCGCTTGCCCGTGCGGAAGGATCCGGAGAGCTTGGTGGACTGGGACGGCGTCAAAATGAGGCGGAGGTGCGAGGTGAGGGACTGGGAGAGCGGCTGGGTCTTGTTCTGGAACTCGGACCATTGCTGCATGGATTCGGTGAAGTCGCGGAGCGGCGCGGTTCGTCGGACAGGTGTGTGGCGGACAGAACGCTGGCGGTCTCGAGAACCTCGTCGTCGTCCTCGCCTTCATCCACGTCCTCTTCTGTGATGAGGGGCGGAGAGGGTGATCTCTCGCCGTCATAGGCTCCCTGCCTTGTCTTGACACCGGAACGGCCATCGTCGGGGTCCATATTGGCTTCCGCCTCTTCCGCTCCGTCGGCATCGCCTGTATCCATTTGGTCGGCGTCCTGCTCAGCCTCCGTCTCTTCCGTGTCGGGCAGAACGTTGCTGGAGGGGTCTTGCTTCTCCTCATCGATCGCCATCGAGTCGTCAATGGGCTGGACCTCGTCCTCGGTGGCCGCACCAATCGCTTGCGTGTCTGGGACCGCATTCTCGTCCTGGAGGTGCTGGAACTCTCGCTGCTGCATCTCCGACTCCTCAGCCTGGGGTTACTCTGCTCATTCGGCTCCTCTTCTGGCCGGGCATCTTGGATTTCTTTCTGCTGTCTATGCCACTTCTCCAGCGCGTCACCGAGTTTCCGGAAAGGCTCAGGCCGGCTGGCCTCTGAGTCGTCGTGCTGGGTGTCGTCTTCGTTTTGCTGCTGCGCCGCGTCCTCTGGCTTGGAAAGTTTACCCTGGCCACCTGGCTGGGCTTGCTGGCTGTCCGAGCCATCTCCGGATGCACCTTCATCCTGTCGCGTAGAGTTGTTGTGGAAATCCTCATCGATATCCATTGTGTCCTTGTTCTGATCCTGTCCACCAGATTTGACGTCGCTCGGCGCCACATCCTGGGGGTCTAGATCCACGGGGTCCGCCGATGGCTGCTCCACAACGCCTTTGTCTTCTTCTTGCTCCCCTTCGTCCTTTTCCTCTTGTGCCTCGTCTCCTTGCTCCTCCATACCCTGCTCATCAAGGGGATCGGCATCATCGTTGGCCACATCATCGTCTTCCGCTTCCGCCTCCTTAGGCTCCTCTCCTTCCGTATCTGCAGGCTTCGTCTCGTCGCCCGGCTCGTCGTCCTCGTTTGGCATATTGGTATCCTCCTCTTCCCCGGCCTTTTCGTCCGTGTCGCTCAGGTTGTCGAGATCGTCCAGTTCATCGTCCTCCCCGCCAGATCCTTGATCATCGCCCATATCGAGGTCCATGTCATCTGGCAACTCCAAGGCCTCGCTCTCGTCCACATTTTGATCCTGCCTTTCTACGTCTTGCTGTGGCTTGATGTCTTCTGACTCATCCTCTGGCTCCTCTTCCGCGGCCTCCGTCTCGTCTTTATCCCCCTCGTCCTGATCAGACATGTCTTGCTCCTGGGCTTCGGCCGCCATTTGCTCGTCATTTTGTTGCTGTCCTTTAGGCTTCTCGCCTTGCTGATCCTTCTCAGCCTCCTCGCCATCACCTTCCCACATCTTCTCGTCTGTAGCGGTGGCGTCAAGATCATCAACGTCACCGGTCTCCTCATCCATCTCGTTCTCGCTTTCGCCTTCGTCGCCCTCTTTTTCGTCTTCCTCGTCATCACCCGCAGCACTGCCCATCTCGCCCTCCATGTCTTCGTCGGCCATGTCGACAGCATCCTTTTCATCTTCAATCTCCCCGTCCTTCTCCTTATTCGGTTCCTGGGCTAGTTCGGTGAGGTCTTCGTCGGGCTGGATGTCTTTGCTTATATCTTCGGCTCCCTCCCCATCGCCCAGGCCAGTACCGGACTCGAGTTTACCTTCATTTCCTGAAGTCTCGTCGGACTTTTCTTGAGGAGTGCAGAAGCCCTGGGAAGCTAGGTGGGTGTAGGACTTGCCGAGGCAGTGCGCTAGCTGGGCAGTCGATCGATGGACCTCGAGGAATCGTGTATAGCTGGTGCGGCATACAATTGCGTACTGGTCTACGATGGGAGTAACCATGGCCGTGAGAGCCATGACGGACCGGTCGCTCTCTTTGATAGCAAGGTCAACACCTTGTAGCTTGTCTACATAGCGCTTGAGATACCGGGCCATGGAATCGATGCGGAGTTTCTGTATCATCGAGTCCAAGTTGTTGCTGCAGCTAACGTGAGACGTGCCTTCGTGGCCATCGCCCGTTTTGGAACTGGGCGAGCGTTTCAAGAATTTTCTTGGAAAGAGTAACCGTCTCTTGAGCGAAATCAAGCACGCCTGAGAGGTTGTCGCTGCTCACATCCTCAAACGAGACTTGAGTCCAATTCAAAAGTTCTCCAAGGATGAATGAGGCGCCGTCGAACTCTTGCATCATGGCCTTGATGTCGTTCTCGAAAGCTTGCAGTCTTTCGGAGATAAGAGCCTCAAGTACCTCGCGACGGGTTGAGCTGAGGCCGGTCGGCATCTTCCTTGTAACTTGGTCCTGGGAGGAAAGACTCCCGAGATCGCTCAGCCATGTCTGTAACTTTGCTTGGCATGCAGAGCTATCCGCGCCCCCGAGTTTGGCGTGCACTTCGAGAAGCTGAAGAGCATATCGTAAGATTTCTACCAACCACCTCAAAGTCCTAGACGAGTTATTGCGCTTAATCGGCCGGCTGAGGTTTCCCTTGATCTCGGACTTTTGCACGCTTCTGAGCTCTGCAACCGTCTCCTCAAGGTCGGTGATGAATTTGCTTTTGGAGAGGGAACGCCTCTGATTGAGCGAGACGCTAAGCATTCCTTCGAGATACCCGATGCTGCGCGCTACCTCGCGACCAGTCACTTCGTCCGAGTGATTTGTCGTTGTGGCCCTGATCTTAGGCATCATGTCGACAAATTTGTGAAAGAAATACTCGGCGGTGTTGATGGAGGTCGGTCCAAAGGCGGATAAGGAGCCGCAAGAGGCGAGAATGACGGGAAGTGAATCCTGCTGAGCGAGTCGCGTGGTGTCCAGATTGTACTCGAAGCCCATTTCTCTTGCCTGACGAAGAACGTCGGCGAAGAGCTTTCGCTTGCGGGCCTTGAGATGCTTGACTTGATCTTTATTCTCGTCAGTCAGTATTCCCGGCGTCTCCTTTCTCAGTTCCTGCATTGATGTCGTCAAGCTAGTGATGAATTCCTCGATCTCCTCGACAGCCTCCGTGACGTACACGGGGACACATCCGACTTGCGTCATTCTGGATACTGTCTGGCCAACATTGATGAGCGGCTTAAATTGCTCTAGCCACTTGAGCATGTCATTGTTCGCCAGCTCAACGGTCTCCTTGTCAACGTAAGCGATCGGCATCGTCCCGGTAGTTGCGGTTAGGGTATATTCTTCATCGGGAATGCCCTTTTCAAGAAGCAGACTTAGGGGCTGGCTGAGGACATCGCGGAACTTCCGAACGATTCTGAAAAGCTTTAGATGAGACTTCCGGGCGCTATCTCGCAGGTGGTTTATGTTGGTATCCTTCCAGCTAGCGAGAAGTAGCACGTCCTTCATCTTCTTCTCTAGGGGTAGGCGGCCTCGCGCGATACCCTCATCGACAGCCTTTTGATAACGATGATACATGGAGATGAAATTGCCAACAGCAGTATGTACGACGGAGAGCGTCGGATGGTCCAGGCTCAACAGCTCAAGGTGCTTGTGGAATTGGCGTAGCAGCCCTAGGCGAGTTGAGAATTGGCCAAGAATGGCTGAGGAGAAGTACACCTCCAAGTCGCCGACGAGTTTGGTAGCGTACTCTGCTAAATCGCCCTTCTCAAGGAGACCCATAGGGATGGCAATCGTCGCATGGTAGGCAACAAACCACCAAGAGTTTGCGTCGTCCTGACATCTTTCCACCTCCATTTCGAAAAGTTTCGACCAAGTAGAAAGCTCTAGTCGGCGCCAACGGACAATGGATGCGGTCAAACGATCATAAAGCTCCGTCGCAGAATGCACGCGACTTGCCCAGCCTCCAAATTGCCACTCGTAGACCATGGCATGCAGATGTTCTACCTTGGGCAGCAACTTGGCGAGCGGCTCGGTGTGCACAAGCTCAAGGACAGTATCGCAAGAGGACCGGACATCGGCGATTGGCTGGAGATGACCTATCTCATCGGTAAGTTGCAGCTCCCGGAACCGAGTCGCAATACTGTTTGCCAAGTGCACGAGTTGCCTCGCCTCATGGAGATTGGCATCGGTATAGAAGTTGTAGCTGCTGGACGATTTATCGGCCTGGAGGGAAGACAGCTGGCCGTCAAGTGTCAAGAGGACGCCAGGAAGAAGTTTTTTACTGATGTCTTGGTCGACTGCGGTCTTCTCCGACAGTTCGGTAGCAATCTTTCGGCCAACGGAAATCAGGGCAGTTCGAAGTGCCGACAAGGCCTCGGATGTAGAGACGAGTAGCTTCTTGTGTGCTTCAGCCACTCGGATGGACATTTCTCTCACTTGAAACCTCTTGACAGAGGGTTTGGAAGTCGGCTCATCCTCTTCACCTTCGAACGTCGGGAACAGCTCGTTGAATTCCTCTTGGTTCATTTCCTCTTCGTCCTCAAAACTTCCCTTGAAGCGGTAGAGACTCTGTCTAGCCTCTTCCTCTTTCCTGTCCGCTTCAAGTTTCAGGGTCCATTCGTTGTAAAACGCATGGAAGCAGGAGAATATAGCCTCTCGGTCCTCCGCACTCAGGCGGTCAACTCCGTCAATCGCTGAGGAGACTGTCATTAAGTCAATAAACTCGAATGTCTTGTTTTGAAGGCCAGGTGTCCAGTTTAGCAGATTCCCGCCGAGGAATGGTGTCACGGAGACGAGTTCCGCAGTTGACTTGCTTAAACCCGTTGGTTCCGTGATGAGAGATAAGCCAACTTGCATGACGCGCAGCAAGTTCACGACGGGCCGGGTCATATCTTGGTAGGACGCAAAGTATCCGGATAGGCGGTTGATAACTCGACTGACGTTCTCGGTGACAAGATGAAGTGCCTCGTCAGGGAGGTCTTGGAGGTTAGAGGTCGCAATCTCCGAATAAACCGTAGCCTTGAGTACGTTATTAAATTCTGCGTGGACTTGATTGAGCTCGGAACGTTCAGGGCGGTAGGCTTTTGTCTCTCCAGGGGGCGGAGGGCCCATCGCGTCAACCTCCTTCTCGAGCAACTCGGTGCGCATGTTCGAGAGCTGACCGGTAAACTGCGATTCAAAGGACACTAGAGAAGATACCTTGTCTAGCAGGCTAGCTCTAAGCTCATTGAAAGATTCAGTCTCAAGTGTGAGTCTCAGCTGGGGGTCAAAGACCCTGTTTGGTACATAGAGCCGGAGTGCACCAACTGCAAACTGTACCCAGGCGAAGGCTGCAAGGCGATGCGCGCCGGGGTGATTAAGGAAGCTGACTTCAAAGCGCACCAGGCCGGGAGGATGTTGTCCGCCAAGACCTCGAGCACATGCGGCGCTGCGGTCGAGAATGATTGTAAGAGGTCCTGAGGATACCAGCTGCTGCGATTCTCAAATCTGAACGGTTTGGCCACCATCAATCGGCTAAGGGCAATTTCGGTATCCAACAGCTTCTCACCGAGGCCGGGCTGTAGCGCCTCGATGAAACTAACGATGAGCTTGTGAAGGATGGAATTGAGGCCTGTGAGCGCACTCGAGGTGACTGCGCGAGACGCCCGGGAAAGGAACTTGGTGAGCTGTGGAAGCTCAATTTCAAGCAACGAGAGCGACTTCAGCTTCGCACTCTTTATGCCACCCGCCCTTGACAGGACGGAAGTTAGGAGCCGCCCATTCCAGGCAAAATTTTCGGCGCTCTGGCAGGTGAGGTGATCAACAGTCTGCAGCAGCTGAGCATAGCCCTCTGTATCCTCAAGGTAGAGTTGGGCGATGACAGGCGCGTTCGATAAAACAGCAATCTCATCGCCCTTGATACTGACTCCCTGCTTGAAAGCTTGGAGGATCGAGATCTGGCGCAGAGTTTCAAAGGTAGCGGCGAAGAAGGGGGCCTTGTCCGCAGAATCTAGGCCAATCCTAGTCTCCAGAGACTGGATTTCCCTGGTTAGCTCACCAATAAGCTCGTCGGCTCCAGCTCTGCCGGATCGCACAATGCCGAACGCGGTCGCCAAAGTCGATGCCGCCTTGGCCAGATCTGCCAAAGAAGACCCCGTTTTCCATTTAAGGGTGTCGAAGCGACTAGCAAGGGCAACAATTTCGCCGGATCGCCTAAGGGTGTCGGAATCAGGTATGAGACAGGGCCTAAACGGGCGCCAAATTTCTTCCATCCCTAGACCTGTCTTCAGGCTGAAGCCTGAGGAAAAGTATTTGTCGAGGTTTGCGAGGAAGTTGAGAACAAAACGCTGGGTATTCGGATCCGAAGACTGAAACTTCTTAAGGACGGCTCTTCCTTGATTGAGATGGGCCTGGAAGACAGCCTCATCAAAGGCCGCATGGGGTACCGCCACAAGCTGTAGGGTTCGACGTAGATAATGCATAATGCCACGCAGCAGCCGGTTCTGGTCCTGCCACTCGCCGTCCGGGTGGTTGGGCCGCAAGAAGCCATCGACGAGGCTAATAGAGGTGGAGAAGAAGTCGGCGGCGCCAACCGTAGAGTCCTTGGCTACGGCTGTAACTCGCTCGGCTACAAAGGCACGCTGAAGACGATTCAGCGACGCAATTTTGGTGTTCTTCGCAGCAGAGGCCTGGGCGCGAATCTCTGTGTCCAAGGACTGGAGATCTTGGTAGTACTCATAGCACATGGCCAGTCGGAAAGGTTGTGATCCCACACTACTGGAAACGAGGATGGTCATGGGAAAGTTCTTGACGGGGAAGATGGGCTACGATGTCACGTTAGTATATGGAGAGTGCGTGGATGGGTGCTGGAGATACGAACCTGAATATCGGCGAGGTCGGGGGATGCGATGGTAGAAAGCGAAGAATACATATCAGAGACAGCCGACCTGAGTTTGCGGGTACTGTCTGAGCGGAAAAACTCTATCAGTTGTTGGGGCTGCTTCGTGATCTCGCCGTGAGTAGAGAAATGGGCTTGAGCATCTTGGGCGAATCGAGGTAGTAGATTCAGATCCGCCTTGGTAAGCCGCTCAAGAGCGAGCGATGTCATGGAGCGAGCCAACGCAGATCTATCGTCAGACACAGACCAAGAGAAGTGATAGCGCTGAAGAGTGCTCTCAATCGGAGTGATCCACCTGAGGTGCTGGGCCCGTTCGGGCATGGGTTCAAAAAGATGAATCTCGATGGCTCTGTTCCTCATCGCCCTCGACAGCTCGCCGTATCTTGGGTCCGTAGTAAGGAAGATTCGGAAGTCAGGATGCGGCCTCACGATCCTAGGCTCTCCGTTGGGATCGCAATGCTCGTTGACGCTGATGAAACCGTTGGGCTCGAGGAGAGAGTTCAGTCGATCTAGTACCGAAGCGCTGCAGAGGTTTGCGTTGTCTAGAACCAGCCACTGGCCTGTCTGCAGGGCTTTGATGATGACGCCATCAAGCCACTCAAATCGCGGATTCGTGACAATCAAGGGTTTTTGCAGGGCAGCGACGGCTCGTGTGAGAACGACACCGACTTCAGAAGACTCGGATACTACTGACAGCAGTCTCTCAGCTACGGGGAGAAGAATAGAAGGGTCCGGTACCTCAGCGGTCGTTTCCAAAAGGTACAATAGCTGAAGAGCGTCCGCGGGCGCCTTTTGCGGAACCACGGACAAGGTGGAAGCTTGGAGGGTCTCTTTCAGCTCCCGGAGGACAGCGTTCACTTCTCGTAGCGGATCAGACTGTTCGAAGCCGCCCACAAGGTCCATGGTGTCCACGTCTGCATTCAACGGGAAAGTAACAAGGGACTTCCCAGCAAGGGCAGCCACGTGTTGGATGAGAACGGACTTGCCGGAGCCAGATGGACCACTGAGGATGCAGGGTATGTCTTGGGTGACGCAGAGCATGAGCGTCTCCAAATCCGCAAGACGAAGCTTTAGATCAACGTTCTGCAGGCGAACGGGTTGGGCCAGTTGGCTGCGCTTCATCAACGCCAGGCCGACTTGACAGAAAGACGAGGTTATATCATGGTACAGGTTATGAGTTCGCGGTGGCTCGCCAAAGATATTCGCAAATAGGTTTGCCACCTCCTGCCTATCTCGCTCCGTCCTGAATCGTTGCCTGATGACGATGTCAAGCAAGTCATCCACTCTCGCAGTGCCCAAAAGGGGATCTGAGCTCTGCAAAAGATGGAGCCAACGTAAGAGGTCGCGAAGATTGAACTCCCATGGAGCTCCCAGAGAACCAAAGGATCGGTCCTGTGTGATTTTGTGCTCCAAATCTGTGATGAACCGAATCAACTTCTCAGTAGTCTCTAGCGGGAGATCAGGCGAGCTATTCCTCGCGATGAGATTGAGATCCTCGCTAGAGAATACATCCGCATAGACGACCACGAAGCGATTCACAAACGAGCTTGGAAGACCCTTTCGGCCGCCTCCTTGATGATGAGGATTCTGCGCAGCGAAGAGGCGGAAATCAGGATGTCTCTTGAAAACTTGATCAAGCTCGGAGATGTAAACCTCGCCTCGATGATCCAGACAGGCGTTTAGACCCTCAAGGACTGACTGGGACGCCAAGTTCATCTCGTCAAGCAAGACCCATTCACCTTTCTGCATCGCGCGAAGGAAAGGCGCGTCCCGCCAGGCAAAATTTCCCGCCTCGGCGCCGTCGACGGGGACGTCAGTACCGAAAAGGTCCATGAGATCGGTCTGATCGGATAGGTTGATTCGTGTCAGAGGCTGCCCGCAAACCTGAGCGAGCGCCGCAACGAGGGTGGTCTTGCCCACGCCCGGGCTACCCTCGAGGAGGATGGGCTTCTGCATTTGAAGGGCTCTGACAACCCTGAGTGTGTTCAACCTAGTTGTCGGCGGCGTGAAAAATTTAAAGTGTTTCTCGTCTACATCATGGGAAATGCGGGGACGCTAAAGCCGCCAATACTGATTCTGGCATCGTCGTGCGTGAGTTGGGGATTTGAGTCGTAGATTGAAGAGATATCGGAGCCTAGCAATTCGCTAAGCTTGTTCAAGCAGTTGCGTCGTTGCACGATGACACCCTCAGAGTCCAATGCGATTAAGCCAGAAGGATTCGCACCCAAGCTATCAATGAAAACGGTAGCGGCACCGTTAACGATCGCGAATACGGGATCAATGCCATGGCACTGGTTGACAAACTGGACCCAGACCAACAGCTCACGAATGGAGAAGGCAGTGGTGGAAGCAGACCGGAAAGTCTCACCAAACCATGTAGCAAAGCCCACGATTATGCTGGCTACGCCCTTGACCTCCTTGTCTAGTTTCTGGGTCACAATTTGGTTAATGTCCTCAGTCCCGGAAAGGGGAGGAACCCAAATTTCAGTGAATCGATTTCGCAGGGCGGGGGACAATTCCTTTTGCCAAAGTCTCCACCAGGGTTCATTGTTGCAAAGAACTGGAAGCCGTCTGTTGCAGATATGAACGAGTTGTCGATACCTTTTTCTGCAAGGAGTATCGTTCTCTGCGGTTCTAGTACAGAGTTGAGCCTCTCGAGAACGGAGTCGTCGGCGAGGGATATTTCGTCGAGTAGGAAGAATTGGCCAGTTTTCATGGCATGGACCAAGTTTCCATCAGACCACTCGAACAGGGCCTTGCTCCGAATCTCAAGCGTTTCTATCTTGGCCTTGAGGTCGTCGGGAACGGCGGCGAGTGAAGTCGCAGGAAGTTTACGAATCCTATCCAACAACTCATTTGTTGTTCCCTGAGGGTCCTGTCCTAGGAGCTCCAGAGCTGACTGGAGGGCTGAATGGAGAGCCTCAAGTATGGATGCCCGGTTTCGAATTGGTCGCTGAGAACCAATGATATCTCCCGTTTCAGTGTTTTGATGGGCATTAACAATATGAAGCTCCTTTCCCAGCACCTCGGCGAGAACTTGACAGACGGTCGTCTTACCACAACCAGTTTCGCCAACAAGTAGGACCGGCTCGTGGTTGCGGATGGCCTGAGCGACAAGAAGGTAAAGCCTCCTCATTCCCTGTGTCCACACCACGCCTTGGCGGTTCTGTTGGAGATGGCGTAGCGCCGGCGAAGATTTTGAGTACAAGTCATCGAGGTTTATCTTGACCTTAAACACCTTTTCGATGATTTCCTTCACCGCAATACGCTCAGCCTCGTTTCGAACACGCTCAGCGAGAAGCATGAAGCCGTTTGCCGCAATCTCTTCACGGGTCTCTGCGTTACGAAGCGTCCATCTAAAGAGGTCACGCAGCGTCGCAAAGCTGTCTTTTGTTCAAATACTCGGGTTGTCTGCCTGAGGTGGGAGAGCTCTTTGTACACTGTCACTATCCTCTTGCAATCAGATGGGGCCGTGAATCGACTTCGCTTCTGAAGGATGTACTCGAGCTCATCCTCTGGTATGTCATCAAAATGCAGCTCTAAGAAGCGGTTCCTAAAGGCTCTCGATAATACTTTTCTTCCCCATACAGACCCGGGGGTTCTGGGTAGCAAAAAGACGAAAGTTCTCGTGGGGTTTGACAATCTCTTGGGTTTCCGGAATCAAAAGCTCCCTATTATCATCCAGCAAGCGGTTGAGAGCTTCGAGCACATCGGTCGGGGCAAGGTTCAACTCGTCCAAGACGATCCAGTAGCCCTTGCGCATAGCTTGCACAAGCAGCCCATCTTGGAACCGCAATTTGCCATCAGATCCCGAGACATAAGTACCTAGATATTCCTGAAGGTCGGTATGTTCGTGGTTGTTGATTCGGACAAATTTGTTCCCGCTATAACTTGCCAAATACTCGATCATACTCGTCTTACCCGCAGACGTGGGGCCTTGGATAAGCACGGGGAAACCGCCGTCCCGCGCATTTGAAGTAGCCCGCACCAAGTTGAGCAGGTTCCGCTCTACGGAGGGCGAAATAATGTAGTCTTGATTCTCAACCGGGGTTGCTCTCCTTGGAGAAGCCAGTACTGTCTATCCTGGCTTCTGCTCTTGAAGCGGGTGTATGTGCGCCCGTCGTCGGGAACCTTGGGACGTTGGGAAAGAATTGACTGGCGACGGCTATCATCTCCAAAGATATGATGAGATATGAGAGGGATAAGGAGCTCTTCTGACTCCCGGTTCAGAAGCGTCAGAAAGCCCATTGAGAAACCCTCATACAGGGCCCGCCGCAGGCCATAAAGGGAGCAACCTCCCTGACGTAGCTCAAGACACGGGTGAGCGTTCGCAAACTAAAGTGAGGGACTTCATTCGCACCATCTACCAGCCTCTTTTCATCAGCTAGGCGCTTAGTGTTGAGATACAGCCTCGTTATGTCGTCGGCCGCGTGTTCATCTTTGGCGCTCTTGATTTGTAGGTAGGCCTTGACAACTTTGAGTAAATCCTTGTAGTCACGATCCGGGCTGTTGACATAGATCTCAGTGAACCTTGACCGAATGCCCACTGGAAGATCCCGCTTGCCGACATCGGTAGCCGGGTTCATCGCACCAAAGATGCGGAAATTTGGGTGCGCCTTGATGCGCTCGATCTCACCCGTCTCAGAAAGCAGGATGGATGGAGTCTCTCCAGGATCCGTGAGAAGGTCAGTGATGCTCTCCAAGGTATCGGAGGAAGCCAGATTAATTTCGTCCAAGAGAACCCAATCTCCGTTCCTAGCAGCCTTGACGATGTTGCCTTCCACAAAAGAGAAGGCGAAAGCACTGTTATTCCCAGATACTTGGGCATTGAAGACCTCTAAATTTTTGGAGAACTCTTCCCACCTCGTCTTGATATCGACCAGGTGCCCAAGCCTCGAAGGAGCATCCTGTTTTTGGCGCTTCGCGGGTGGCTCGCCGTTTTCGCGAGAGCGCTTCTGCTCCACTTGCAAAAGTTTTCGAAACAGATCTACACCTTCTACCCACATCTTCGAGGCCTTGGTCCATTGGCGTTTTGTGATATACTTGGCGATTCGGTTGAGGTAAGGCTGGTTCTTTGCAGCAAGACCCGTAGCCCTGAAGAGATCGTCAAACTCGTCTTTGAGTGGAATAGCGAGGTTTAGAGAGTTAACAGGCTTGAAGCCTCCCAAGAGATCACCGACTTCGCTCTGTTGGGAAAGGTTAACAGCGACTACTTTTCGGCCAACGATATCGGCGAGTTGCTGAATGACGGTCGTTTTCCCAATACCCGTCTCACCGACTAGTAGCACGGGTTCCTTTAGCTGGACTGAACGAGTGAGCTGTTCAAGAAGCTTCTTGGCCTGCGTTGTGTCCGCAAATGGTCGTTTAGAGCGCTGGAGCGCCGGATTCTTGTGCTTTTCAATCGCGGTGCGTCCGATGCGGAAGTGCGAATCGCTATCCTTCAAGGCCGGAACATAACCAGTCATCTGGTGTTCCACCCACGCCCTAGCCATATGCATCTCCTCGCCAATGGCGAAGACCAGCTCATCTCGCCCCTTGCTCTCCGGGAGATGGCCAACAAAGCAGTCGACTGCCTCCATAAACATTCGTTCTCTGACTACTTCACTGATAGTCAACGCCGTCCCCGAGGCGTTCAGAAGGTCTTGCAGTCTGCGACACCACTTGAGGAGCTCACGAAGTGTCATCTGGCGGACTATCCCACGACTTGACGTAGCCATGGAGGGCATGGAGGCTGTACGCGCTAGGTGGTGGAAGACGGAAAGAATCTGGGGTACAAGCTTGTCCAGAATGGGGAATGCGCCACGTATTATCTGCTCAATCTCTAGCTCAGGCAATGGGCGTATGCTAAGCTGCTGCCAAAAGCGAAGGCCTAACAGGTGCGGGAGAGTCTCCTGGCCATTCATGCCCTTGGATGTCCGTACTGTGGCAAAGAGGCGGAATCCGCTGGCCGCTTTGATCTTCTCGCTACGACTGGGGATGAGAAGCTCCCCTCGCTCAACGAGCGGTAGAAGCGAGCTAACCACCTCGGCAGGGGCACGATCCAAATCTTCGATAAGGACCCACCTTCCCTCCTTGACGGCCTTGGTCAGCACACCTGGTCGCCACTCAAAGCTCCCCGGTTTAGAGCCTGTCGTATAGAGGCCGATAAGCATCTTAGCATCGGTTTGGTCGTTCAAGTGAAGAGTAACCATATCAGACTTCATCCCAAGATCTCTGGAAAGCTCCTGGATGACCGATGTCTTCCCAGAACCAGGAAGTCCATGGAGAAGGATGGATCCAGGCCTTTGTAATAATTTTGCGAGGTGTTCAAGATTTTCTTGTACGGTGGCCGTAACGACTAACGGCGAGTTCTTCTCGGTGGGGCTTCCTAGCCGTGGAAGCGTCACTCGACCATAAGATACGACATGTTGGGTGAGGCTTTGAGACACCACCGGCTGGATTTCCTGCACCTCCAGACGTGCTATATCTGTTCGCAGCGAATCTAGTTCGTTCACACGCGCGTGCTCGTGGAGGGATAAGAACCCGAGGTCGATCTCGCGACCATCCAGGTCTCCGGTGATCGGATCGGCGGTTCCGAGATGCTCGTGGACGAGAGATTCAAGCTTGAAATCGGAAGCCTGCAGCAGCTGGCAGAATATTCGTATCGCGAGATACCGAACCGCCCGGTTTCCATGGTGGAATAGCTCTTGCGCGTCGGAGGGGGATAGTAGGGAGCCATAGGTTCGCTGGTCAAAGCTGTTGAGTCTCCAGACGGCAAGCAAGATGTTCTGAAGTGAAATATAGTCATCGGGATTGGCGGACCAAGACTGAAGGTTAGTAGGGGTAAGGATTGGCAAACCAGGTTGCTCGGGCCGGGAATGGGCCAGGAATTGTTCGAGAAAAATGGAAAGGTATGGTGCGAATGGCAGTATACGCGCGAATGCGGCTAGGATAGAGCCTTTCCGGTTTGATTTGGTATGTTGGAGGATCCACCGCGCACATATGTCGGCGAAGATGGCTTCGAAGTGAACGAAAAGCCTGTCTGTGAGGCGCGGCGAGAGGGCGGCGTCGGCGACCGCATCGAGGATGCTGGAAGCAGCATGGTTTCGCACAACTTCGAGAATTTCGGGGGTAAGAGGCTTAATGCCTGGGTATCTCGCATCAGAGATGCTACGTTGGAAGAAATGTCCACCACCGCCATTTTGGCCTGCGGAATTATGAAAATTGCCGTCGAGACCTTTGTATGGATATCTGTGGTGATCGCAAGCTCTCCTCCCATAGAATAGTTTTTTTTTTCTTGTTTGGACCCTGCGATAAGCGATAAGCGGACAGTGCACCATACATTCTTGACTACCCCACATGTACCTGGTTTCCCTCAAGTATGGTTGAGAGCACTGTTTTTGGTGGGATGGTACAGGCGATTCTTATCGAACAGTGCCAATTGCCTGTCCCTTTTTCCAATTGCTGGGGCTTTTTTCGCGAAGCCACCGTTCGAGATGCCAGCCACACAACCACAGTTCTCACCGCGCCTGCCAAACAAATTTTCTGCCATCTGGCGCCGCTGCCAGTGCACGAGCCACATCTGCTTGCCAATCTGGTTCCCAAGCCACGGCAGGAGCTCGAAAATCTTCAATATTTTGTCTCCTGCCAGCTTTGAACCCAAGCACACGACCTCTTCCGATCGCCTCACGACCGCACCGCTGCTCCTACGCATCGTCTCCCCTCTCACATCCTCGCATACACCATGTCTTTGACGTACAGGTACGCGGCTCAGCGCTGCGCGCGCCAATTGCGATCCGCCGGCGCCTTCCGTCCTGCGGCGCGCATAGTCTCGACCCCTAGGCGCTGCAACTCCACCGAGGCCGCTGCTGCCCCGAGAACCCCAAGATTGCTGCCATCGTCGAACAAATCAGCCAGCTCACTCTCCTCGAGACCGCGGATCTCGTCTCCAGTCTGAAGGTACGAATTTTACTAGCCCCAAAGATTTCTAGCGGCGCCGGTCCTACTGTTTGGATAAAAGGAAGGAGAAAAACAGCCTAACGCGGCTCCATCATTTTCACTTACTAACAAGATCTTTTTTCCCTCTGCTGGTAGACCCGACTTAACCTTCCTGACGTCCCTATCGGCGCTTTCGCTGCTGGCCCTGCTGGTGGCGCGGCTGCCGCTCCAGTTGTCGAGGAGGTGGAAGAAGAGGCTCCCGCCGCCGCCGAGAAGAGCGTCTTCACCCTCAAGCTAACTGCTTTCGACGCCGCCTCTAAACCCAAGGTCATCAAGGAGATCAAGAACCTTCTCGGCCTCAGCCTGGTAGACAGCAAGAAGTTCGTGGAGAGCGCGCCCAAGATGATGAAGGAGAACGTACCCAAGGAGGAGGCTGAGAAGATCATTGAGACTCTCAAGGCTCTTGGTGGTACCGTGACGATGGAGTAAAAGAGAATGGGCAGATTATATTCCGGACTAGCTGTGCCCGGAGCGTCCTGTAAAATGGGTTTATAGACGGTTTCTCTATTAGCCGAGGCTCAAGGCTCAGATGACTGGGTGTGACGATAGATTTGTTTGAGCTTTTTGCATGTATAAAACAGCTGTAACAATATACTGTGCGGAGGACCCGCTCAACTCAACGTCTTGATGCCTTCGTATCTCTTTTTTTCTTCTCTATATGTAATTTCATCAAACAAAAAGTTTAAGGGGGTTGAACTAGTGCGCAAGTATTGAACGGAATGGGGTATCAATTCCTAGATGATCCAGCCAAGATTGAACGAGAAAACAAGTAATAGAAAAAGATAGAAGCCAAGTTTAACCCGCGCCCCTAACGCCAAGTCCCAGATCGTGACAGAATATGAAGATGCAGTAAAAGACGCAGCCTTCGAAGTGGCCGGAGCCCATCAGCTTGCATAATGAGAGCAGTACGACGACCACTCCCTACCGCGCATCTCACGCTCTTCCTTGGCCATCAGATCGTCGTCAGATCCCCAATCGCTAGTCTCTTCCCACAATTTCTCCCATTCGGGCTTATCTTCCGGTCCCGTCGGGACAGCCCACATTGTTTCCCTGAGTCTCTTGTGGCGCTCTCTGTCCTCCTCTATCCGCCTTTCAATCTGGCGAACATCCTCAAAGGTCGCCGGCTTGGGGTGTGGCGGGAGTGATGACCCCGTGGCCGGCGCCGGTGCCAGGCGACGACGGGCAGAAATCCTTTGTTACCCGATCTTTGAGGCATTCTTCAATCTCAAGTACCAGATCTTCCTGGAAAAAGCCCTTGTTACAGAGGCCTTGCAATACCTGTGGTCGCAGTATCAGTCCCGATGCTAGCAGGCAGCATTCCTTGGGTCTCACTTACTCGTCTAACTACCTGGACATTCGCTGATCCAGTGCCGTCGTCGGGCGCCACGGCATCCACTACTCGGATGATATCCCGTTGCATCATCCGCACGTAGTTAGTGTGGCCGTCCTTGCTCGCCAACTGCAAAAACTGCTCAATGAAGTACATGATGTTGGCGCGTGTATTCATATTTCGATTCTGGGAAAAATTCTCGCGTTAGCTCGGGAGTTCGACAAGGTTGGGCGAGGGGCCCTAAAACAGGATTCTCCTTTACCTGCTCGAGCTGCTCGACGATGCATGAGTGAAGGTCCTCATCCATATCCTTATACTTGAGGGCATACTGTGCGGCCTTCTGCGTCGCAGTCACGGACGCGTTCAGCTGCTGCAGCTGTTTTGTAAAGCGCATGCGCACCTCGAAAGGGTCTGCCATTTTCAATACGAGCGTTGCAGAGGCGTGGTCTTCGGTTTCTTGAGGAGGGATGAGAACAAGTGAAGAGAGACCTGCTGCCGTTCGCCACGCGCTAAGGTTGGGCTTGGGGGTCGCCCGTTTAAGCTCATATCACCGCTAGATACATAATTATTGTTGCCGAAGCCAAAGTGCTGCAACTCTCCGTCTCAAGGTGGTTTGGTAATGAAACATGGGAGAAAACAACCTGGGGAGGGGCAGAAACAAAATTGACGATGATGAACTCTTAATTTGACCTAGGAAATGATGTGGCCATTACCGAAGCGCAAGGCAAGGTTTGAAGTTGACAGGCAGGCGAGTCAAGTCTTTCGCTTTAAGTCTACGAGCTTTCCGTGCGTGCATGGCTCCAGGCGAAAGGCGTTGACCAAGCCTTCACCAATAAGACCAAGGGCACGAATAAATCATTCAAGATACTGGTCGTGTTCGCATGGCGCATAATTTATACGCGTGGGAATATATTTCGGAGTATCATAGTCCCGTTAATGTACACTCACTCCTCTGAACGCCTGCATGTATAAGAAGACAAAGGCCAAAATTCCACACCCACTATCCTTGAAACTCCTCCGTCCTTCATCTTCCATTTACTCATCCTCATCGGCCTCCTCGACTCTGGCCTTTTGGAGGGGTTCGAATCGACCTCCTCGTCATCGTCAGACCTCCTCTTTGTGCCACCGGTTTTACCACGCGAATGGAAACGTTCAAATTTGTGCCAGATGTTGGCATGTCCCGTCTTGACGCCCTCAAAGGTCCTATCCAGTCTTTCGAGTCTTTCGGGAAGATCCATCTCCGCGAGCGCATCCCTGTTGTGGATGAGAAGGCGGGACTTGATAAAGAGTTCCCATAGATGGTATTGTTGTCGCTCGGCTGGCTTGACGACCCGCTTCTGGCTTTGCGTGTCTTCCAGATCCAGGCTGGGGCGAACGGACTCGGGAAGTCTAGACATGAGATACATTTCTAAGCAGCGCATGAACTGACGCGGCACAATCTTGGACTTTTCTCGGGCAGTCTCAATGGCTTTCCTATCAATAAGTTCTGGAAGCTGGCCCTCCCTAGGAACAGTGACGCCAGACTTGAAGGCTAGGCTCGTGAATTCGGGCAACGTTTGGAGAAACTCCAAGTCACATACGTCCCGGAGATCATCGAATGCTTCATTAGGGTCCTCAACGGTGAATTGCCTTGTTTGCGGGTGGGTATAGTAGTGGTTGAAAATGGTCTGGTAAAGGCGGGACCCGTTGCCATCGTTTTGGTAAGGCGGCAAAATCAGAAACTGCGACAATCGAACACGGGAATCGTGCTGGGCGAGATCGAAGTTACCCTCCGGGATTTCATACGGGTCAGAAGGTGTGCGCGTGGTGATGGCCTTCTTGTCGAAAAAGTAGAACCGGTACACCGTCGAGTAACCGACAAAGCGATATTCGCTCCTCTCTTTCTTGTATAGGAACCAGACGGTCCAGCGATCATCGGCTTCATCGGAATCGGGGTCGATGATATTTGACCCGCCTTCAATAAAGAGCAAAACAAGGATTTGCATTCGTTTGATAAGCTGCATGATGGCGGGGTCTGCCAAGGTGCCCTTCCAAACCTCGTACGTGCCACTGCTCTCGGTGATGGTGGTATAAAGTTCGCCAGGCGGCGTCCACGAGGTTACTAATGATGACTGCTTCGCGCTCTCCACCCAGTCTGCCTCTGAGCCAAAAGCAACGGGTGGGAGGTGCTGCTGCAGCTCCTCCTTGATATCGGTAGGTTCTGTTTCGCCAATGGCCTCGAATCGACTCTTGTACTTGAGTTGGAAGAAAGGGCGCATGTCATTCGACCGAAATTTTAGCTGGATTTCAAGATCTTTGTATCCAAAAATCTGTTGCTCATCTCCAAAGACAGAGTAGGTATAGCGAGGATAGAATGGGGCGCCCAGAGGCTGTGGACCGTCGTTGGACGGTCGCCAAAGGCTCATCTTGATCGCCTCATTGGCGTCAGTGGACCCTAAAATAACTCTTGTTAGACCATTTCGACTCCATTCAGAAGCAACCCAAAGCTCACACAAGCCACGCGCAGATTAAAAAGCAGAGGAGGCAACGTACAATCATCCTTGTCGGCCATGGTGGCAGCCAGGCTTGATGCGCTAGGGAGATAAAAAGGCGACCAAACGAAAAGGAGAGCTCCCCAAAGAGTAGTTAGCTAAAAGAGTTCAGAAATTTCCTCTACTCTAAGAGTAATTCTTAGCAAGATGAGAAGTCAGCAATTCTGGAGAGAGAGCTGGAAATTTCATCCAGAACCAAAGCTAGGCCTGCGAGAAAAAGAGGGACTGTGACAGCACGCACGCTTTGTCGCGTCTCCTCGCGTCTGAGCTTAAAGTGCCAGTCTTTGTCACTTGCGTTTGCACTTGCAGGGGTTACAGCAAAGTGGGGAGCCTGCTCGACCCGCGTTTGATTACATAATACACGATGGCGAAACTCCCGAATCCCTCTGTCACGCCCCAAGCGCTTTCCCGCCTTTGTCCGAGGATCATCCATCGCCTGCGAATCCGACCAAAGCAGCCTGACATCACAACCTCCGAAGCATCCCGCCCTCCATCATCCGCAATCCAACATTGGCCCGTCATTCCCTGTGAAGATGATACAGTATCCAACATGGCGCACATCGTGAGCACGGCTTCGCCCGTGCCTTCTGAAATATTTGCGCTGGTAGCAACTCTCGTTATCTCGATCGTCGTCCTCCTGATCCTCCGTCACTTCCTGCCGCTCCGAACGACTCCCGCATTTTACCTCGTTCCCATATTTTTCGCCATCTTTCTTCCTGCCGCGATCGTCTTACTCGTTCCAATCGATCTTGCGTCAAGCGCAAGAACAGAAGACGATGCGACCCGAGGAATATGGCTCCCCGAGAGGGTACTCCTTGTATCTTGGAGAATCACCTACTGGCTCACCTTTGCCCTCACCTGGTACGATGGCGCTATCCTGGCTTAGCTACAAAAAGGTTTTTCTTTTTCTCTTCTTACCGTGCTAACTGTGAATTATAGGTTCATCCTTCCCGTCCTTGCCGAATATTCCGACTCCGGACATCGCGAGCCCTATGGCAAGCTCATGTACTCGTTGCGCTCGAATGCCCAGTTTCACGCCATGGTTCTCGGCTCGAGCGCCGTTGGGCTAATATATATCTTCATAACCTACGGCTTTTCGCTGGTCTCACTTAAGAGTGTCATCATGGCCCTTGCTTACTGTTGGGGTCTCGTCTTTGCCATCTACCTCATGGGCCATGGCCTCGTCTCAATACCCCGTCGGCTCTTCCGGAACGCCAGCGTTAGCGGCCGCCTTCGCCGGCTTCAGAGCCATGCGCCAGCGCTTCACGAAAAGATGGAAGATTCCTTATTGACTCTCGAAGACATCGAGGCGCAGGTCATCTTGCTAAGCCGCCGCAAGGTTGGCAGCGCGAGGGACTTTAGCGAATGGATCGAGGAACTAGTCGAAATGGGCGGTCTCGAGGACGCCCCCAAGGGCCGCTGATAACCCACTTGGTGGGGAAAGCCGCCTCCTTCCGACCGTCATCACCGAACAGTACATGGCCAACTTGACTAGAGAGTTCATCCGCGCCCGCCATGCACGATCTCGCTACGTGGGCGAATGGAACCGGCTGGTCCAAAAGGCTGCTGAGCTTCAGGCCGTACTCGACTCCGCTGCCTCCAAGAAGCTCGACTTTGGCGAAGACCATTCGCAAACGCCACCGTGGGCTCGCGTCACCGTCCTCACGCCTTATTCGCGATACCTTCTTCACTTTCACATCATGCCGTATGTCCGGCTCTTCGGCGGAGTTGTGCTCTCTTTGGCATCTGCGTGCATCGTGTGGTCAGAAGTCGTGAAGGTCGCTCTTCCGAATTGGTCCGTCATCCGATTCACTGTCGTGCACCACTGGGTTGGTGACAAGGGGCAGGTCGGGTTTGCGGGCCAACTTCTGTCCATGTTTTGGATTCTCTACATGTGCACAGCGACACTCACTTCGATGACAGAGGTCAAAGTGTGGCGGGGAGGGCCCTGACTCGGCGCAATACAGCATACGAGTCCGCTTTCTGGTACTCCCAGCAAGTGGCGAAGCTCAGCGTCCCGCTTTCGTACAACTTCATGACCCTTTTGTCGCCCAAGATATACAAGCAGACAGTCTTTTACGGCTTCCTTGGACAGCTAATCGACTTCACACCGCTAGGAAGATGGTTCGATTACATCTTCCCCATCCTCATCCTATTCCCCGTATTCGCCACCCTCTTTGGCATCTATGGACGCGTTAAGCGCCTACTCGGATTCGGCATCGACCTAGTGGATGACGAAGAGGAGGGCGGAAGGAGGGCGAACGGCATAGGTCTCTGGAGGGAGGGCCGTGATCTCATCGGCCGAGACCTGAGCGGCCATGCCCTCTCGCGCCGTCGGGAAGATGCCATTGGGCCATCCGGGCGTTCCGCACCCATCTTATCCATCCCGTCCGCACGCGGCGCGGGTGCGTCCTCGCCATCTCCTCTCAGGTCTCCCGCAAGATCGGGCCACGCACGCCGTCTGGGGCAAAACGCGCGAGATCAAGCCTACGTAGATGATCCCACGGGAGACGAGAACTTTTCCAACTCCTCGGCCACCGTATGAAGAATACGATTGATGGCATCGAGTCGCCAAGGTGGCTCCAGGATCTCGGGGAAGGCATCCGGAACCCCCTTGGGCCAACAACGGCGAGGGGGCCAGTGGCAATACCAATAATACTAATAATCAACCAGACTTCAGGCGATGGTTTGGTGGTGGCGGCGGTAATGATGAGGGTCGCATCAGGCTCTAAGCCGTCGACATGTTGCAGGTGGTGCCAATGGTACCGATAGCTACGACACCAGTACCTAAGCCTGATGGGCCGCATAGCGCAGGAGTAATGGTTGTAATTTTTTTCCTTTTGTTCTTCCTGAGCCTGGGAGAGGATCAGGGGCGGTGGCCGCCAAGTGTTGTTCGCCATTAGCGCCATCTGTAGGTTTTATACATCCGTTTATTTATTCTTTCAAAGATGTACTATTAACCCCAAGGTCCGTATTGCTCCTTCAATTTCATTATGCGTAAGAGTGTTGCTATTCGTGAGTTTCGTCAGTCATGTCGGAAATGGTTCCAAATACAAATCGACCCATAACGCCAAGCCTATTTCTTTTTGTTCCCTCTCCCCCAAAAACACACATATTGTCGTCATCTGCCAACTGCAGCTTCTGCGCACGCCGCGCTTCACCTCGGGCTGAAGGAGTTCCAGGTGTTCTCCTTGTTGAGGGTCTTCCTCCGCATCGTGGCCATGATTTCCCGCTCCATGCTTTCGACGTCGCCCTCGACGGTGGCTTGGTCGCGCCGAAACTTGTCCTTGCGGCGCTGGTTGAAAAAGATCCACGTGCCGACGATGAGCAAAGTGACGGGTATGGTGATGGCGAAGTAGATCCAGAGATTGGTGGATATGATGGGATCCGCGTCTAGAGGAGGGGGTGAATGGACGGGGTTAGCAAAAAAAAAAAAAAAAAAGGTGAGCCATGTGGGAAACATATAAAAGGGTGACCCTACCGCTGGCAAAGTCGAAAAAGGTCATGCTGAATACGGAAGCGAGGTAGGTCCCGGGGAGGAAGATGGCGCCGAGCAAGGAGAGAGTCTTCATGGCGGTGCCGTCGTGCTTGGCGGCGTGGGCGACGTACTTTTGCTCCTTGGCGATTTGTAGGCTGAGTTTTGACTCGCGGATGGCTGAAATGTTGTAGAGCTATAGATGGCGCCGTCCCATAAGTGTCAGTCCGAGGTGCAACCAACGATCCCCCTTTTGTTTTCCCCAGTAACCGGGTGCTTTTTCACGGGAGAGGGAATAAAAGAGACCTACAGCTTCCCGTTGGATCCTCAAGCGCTCAAGCGTGGTCCAAATGTAATTCTCCAATCCCTTGAGCTTCGCCATGTAAAACTCGGTCCTCGCCAGCATACCCCGGTGCGCCTTATTCAGCTCGCCGACAAACAGATCCGGCCGAACCTTTGTTCGAACCTCTCCATGGCCTTGTCAAACTCCTTGACGATCTCCATGTAGGCCTGGGGCTTCTTCCACAGGACCTGGCCGTTGCACTCGTACATGTCCCTGGTGATGCCGTCCATGTCCAGCACGCCGCCATTGACGTAGGACTCCTCGTCGTTGATCTCGTCGCGGCCACTAATGGCGTGCTCGAGGCGGCGGAGCCAATCCCTGGCACGGCGCTGGCGCTTCTCATTCTCTGGGTTGAGCTCGAAGAAGAGCATAATCATGGGCAGGACGAGGGGTGGCCGGCCTGCCCGCTGCAGGCTTTGAGGTGGGAAATGGCGGTGGTGATGTCCGTGTTAGGGGTTCCCTTCACGTAGCCTGTGGTGATTCCCGTTTGGAAGTTGTACGAGAGCATCGTCTCCCAGCCACGGGTCCGGCCCTTCTTCCGAACATCTGACTTGCGGAAGATGAATTCTGCAGAGCCAAGTCAGCCAGGTACTCCTATTCTCCAATGGACAGAAAAACAGCAAGTGGCTTCATGATCGAGTCTAGACTTACGCAAATTGGGGTCTTCATCGTTTTGATCATAGGAAGACCAAAAGAAAGGGCCAACTACAGCTGTTCCCTCAATGGCGCTGGTGGGCAGACGCATACCCCGGATCATCTCACGATACTCATCGTGGGCCAAGGTGACAACGTACGGCGAAAAGGTTTCGGGCTGTCTGGCGTTCAACTGCAGTCTGTCATGGACGGGGTAGGTTGTTAGCTTCAGCCTCCAAACGACTGTACCATGCACACACATGCACACCCGGGGACGAGCCAGCTGAAGTGCGCGGGCACGGGCAAGCCAGGGGTTTAAAACCCAAGCTTTTCAACGTACATGAGTCTCAGGCCGCCGATGGGTTTTACGCCCGCTCGTAGCTTTGGAGGCTCAAACGCTCCCTAAAATAAAACACACGGGGGTCAGTTTCGGAAAATAAAGTTGGTAAAATGGTCGAGGTGCCACCGTCTTGTTCGGGTGGCAGAAGAGGGCCTTGCAAGGCTCCGCCCAATTTTTGGACCATCAATGACCTCTTTGGCTGGGGGAATCAATTGTCCAACGAGACAGCTATCATTTTACCATGGACATAACCGACATAAAGAAAAGGGGGCGAATATTATATACATATAATAAGATAATAAACTTACTCTGCGGTAAATATAGTTGGCAAACTCGTCTGAGGAAAGAGCATGCTGCTCACATGTATTGAGGCTTGAATCCTAAGATGCGACAAAGGGCGAAACATCACCACGTGTGAGCAAACGGGACGCTGACCGCCTGGTGGCTTTCTCTTTGTGCCGGGGACTTGCGCAAGTGCCAATCCCAGGTCTTTCCGAATGATGCATCTTACCGTATAGTTCAAGATCTCAAGGTAATGGGTATCTTCAAGGTAGAACTTGCATTGAGACACAAATTGCTCAAAGAAATATTCGTCCATGGAGGCCCGGTGCAATCCCTCTGCGCGTGGCACAGGGGTACTTGACAATGGGTGTCCCAGATGCGTCGAGGGCTGGCGTCAAGAGAAGAAGAAGAAGAAGGGTTTAAAGAAGGCTTGGGAGAAGCTTCAGCTCGTTGTCGCGGGTTGGGAGGTGTGGCGGAGGAAGTGAGAATTGCTCAATGGAATTGATGCCCGCGCATCTTGCAAAAGCCTCCCTGGGACACCATCTCAGAATCTCCCTTTTTTCTTGTTCCCTCCTCCCCAATCCGGTGGCGGCCCCTCGAGGTGCAGATGCTCATTCCCTGTTCCCAGCCTCATCGTTTCTGGGTGGCAGATCGGGCCAATCAAAGCAAGATACGGGTGCACTGGGGTCTGAGTGTTTTGTGTGGGGGATTTGAGTGCCGGGCCACTTGCTGGTGCTGGCCATTCCACCCACATTGAATGTTCAAAGTTGGAAAGCGCACTGCACCGCGCACGACTTGGTCATCAATAATACTGGGGCACTTTAACTGCATCAACGTTGACCTCGGCAGAGGACCCAGCAATTGCACGATCCTACTTTCGAGCAAGTCGAGAGCACGTCCTTGGTCAACCCGTCAAGGATCAACTAATGATACTGGGCAATCAGTTGTCCCATCATTGATCACATCCATGATCAATTAATGGATCTATGGATCGCCCAGTATGCATACTTTAACATCAATTGCACGGATTGCATTAATCAGAACTGGCCACCCCCATCACCCAGGGCGAGGCCAGTCCATGCCCTCACAAACAGCACAGCATTGATCTGGCTCGCGAGCCTATTCACATACTTGACTTCCAGTCGGCCCTCTACTCGTAAGGATATACAACGTCGTGAATTGACAGACCTCGGTGCGGATCGATTGATGGATATCCACGAGCTTCACGTCTGTCAGACGTGCACGTAGAGTCTAGAAGAAACGACAACTCAATAATAGATCAATCAGCGCACTGACTTTCCAGATTGAAGCCTAAAGATGTTCCTATTTTAGAGACACATTGGATGCAAGAGGCGGTGGTGGTTTGGAATCGTTCAAGTCTCCGTGCAAGGGAATCATCAAAGCGTACATTTTATGTAAGAATAGCGTGTCTGTGTGTGGACACTGCAAACCAGCAAACGCCCCCTCCTCTCGCCCTCGCCCTTGGGCTCCCCAGAAAAAAAAGAAGGGGTAAATAGTAGAAAATGGTTGGAGGAGACGAGAGCGCACAGGTGATAGGTCAACTTTCTTCCCTCCATCCTCAATGATACCATTGCTAAACCCCCAGCCTCTGATCCTTTGCTGCGCGCACCAAGCATGCGGGAGGAGATCTGGATCTGCGAACAGGGAGCGCGAGAATCCGGAACACCCGCCGAGGCGAGTCTGTGCACACATGAAACCAGAATCTTCAAAGGTCTCGTTCCAAGTTCGTACGGCCACCTTCAACGTGAGTCAAGCAGAGGAGAGCGGGGACGCCCGCCAAGGCCTAAGCCTGGATCTTGCGCAACGAGGGACTTGGAGAAGAAAGGGGGCAAAAAGAAAAGGAAGAAAAATAAAGGAACCAAAACAAACGTTGCCCCTCGCTCAGGTCGGTCTTCCTTGGAAGCCCAACAGGACCACGAGGCAAAAAGCCACCCTCAACCCAAGGATCTCCACCAGGGATCTTGGTCCGCGGGGTGGTTCCCGCGGAATTTCTCATCGCTCGCCTCACATCCCACTCTGCACTCGGCCGGGGCTTTTTGAGGCTCAAGTGGATCGAAGCTGTATGATGCTCTCTCTTCATTCAACCTCGTTTTCCACAAACATTGAAACTCAAAGAATTTGATCATCGACTTGGTGAATGCATGGGCTAAACGAAACAATTTTGCCCTCCGAGCATCTAGACCCAAGAGGAAAATGAATCAAAATCGTGTGTTCCCAAACGACGCAACAACCTCATATTGTGATCTCGGGGGTGCTTGAATCCAAAGCTATGAAACGCGAGGAGAATTGGTTTTTCTGGAGACCCCGCTCCGGAACCCTATCCCCTTTTAAGGGGAGAGAGAAGGTATCGCCACCCAGATTTAAAGCTTTCCAAACATGGAGGTCCTCCGTGGGAGGATCCGGCAGTCAGTTCGCTTGGGCTGAGCCACATATGCGCGCCCGCATTTGATGCGACACAACGCAACACTGCATAGCAAACAAACCCCTCCAAAAGGAAGAAAAGAAAGAAAAGAAAAAGCAAGACGAAAGAGCTATGAGAAAAGAAACCCCCGTTGATGCGTCGATGCGTTCTGTGTGCCGATCCTGGAACTTGGGCCTCTCCGGGGCAGTGCAAATCATGGTTCCTACAAGTGAGGCCCTTGTAGAACAACCCAATGGTAAAGAACGAAAAAGCTGAAGCGCAAGAAATTCTCCGCCCCGCCCTCAGACCTGGATTGGGGTGCTGAGGCCAGCGAGGTTGTCCGCTCCCGGAAACTGTTGCGTGGGCTGCAACAAGTCTTGTTTCTACTGAACTTATGCTCTACGCTAGGGCCAGAACAAAAGTGGCACCATCCCTATCGACACATCAAATCTTCTTTTGCAAAATCTAGAGATGGCGTAAAACCTTGGCCTCCGCGACAAAAACGTATGGCCACGGCGGTCCTCCCACCCCCGTCTCGATCCAATCGTTTTAAGCTTGACCATGCCAAGGGTCTTGGGATGCCCCTTGACCACGCCCCACCAGGCCAGCATCCCCCATCTTGGTCGATTCATGGAACGCCCACGAGCCTGCGCCGGGTGGTGGGTCATCCGTGTAAGTTTGAGATGCGCGGCGATTTGAGAAGCAATCCCTGCCTTTGCCATCTGCTCGATGGCGAACAACTTTGTGTCGCTTCGAGCTTCCGACTTATATAAAAAGGCGAGAGGCGCGGCGTCGAGGTCGAATTACACCTTCTTTTCTTCTCGGCAAACATTTCCGGTTGCTCCAGGTTTCTCTTTCTTCCTTCTCCTTCTTTTCTCCCCCAGAGCTGTGCTCTTTCATTCCTTTTGCGTGGGCCGTTTTTCCGTCTTTCTTTTCTTTCCTCGTATATATATTTTTCCGCTCCGGAAGCGACGTTTCTTTCAGGATGCGCCTTTCTACTATCTTATGGTCCTCTGCCATTCTTGCCGGCGGCAGTCTGGCACAGAACATCGAGCAGGGGTCCTTTGAAGATGCTCAGAACTGCTTGGCGAGGATCCAGGAGGCGGAGCAGGCCCTGGACTCGGCTATCGTGGTAAGTCGCAACCTCACAGTCGAGGGGTAGACAGCCCAAGGTCGTCCATACTAACCTACGTGTGATTTTCCCCTGGAATAGAGCCTCAACGCCAACTCAGCCGACGCGGCGACGCAATTCCCGCAGGCCCTGCAGAGCGTCGAGACCGCCATGAACCAAGCCATCATCATCATGCAGGGCACCCAGCCCCTAACCGCCCAGCAGGCCCAAGTCCTCCTCGGCTCCGTCAACAGCTTCTCCTACTCCGTGAGGGCGGCCTCCATGTCCCTGGTGCTCCAGCAGCCCACCCTCAACCAGCTCAACCTCGTCCCCATCGGCGTTCAATCCCTGACAGCCCAGAGGGTAGCCGTCGGGCAGCTCGGCCAGGTCGTTTTGACCAAGGTCGGCCCCGCTGTAGTCCAACCCTTCCAGGTTGGGTTCGGCCACGCTCTGACCGCCTTCGATGTCGGCCTCGCCCAGCTCAACGGCGGCGGCGTCGTCGCCGTGCAGCTCATCCAGACTGGCCAGATCCCCATCCACGGCCTGGCTGTCATCCAGCAGCAGTGCGCCGCCATCGGTTTCGTCCCCATCAATGCCATCAACGGGTTCAACGGCATCGCCATCCAGCAGCAGCAGCAGCTGGTCCAGGCCTGTGCCGCCGCCGGATTCATCTCCGTCAGGCAGGTCGGCCTCGGCATACCGAACCAGCAGCAGATCCTCCAACAGCAGTGCCTGAGCGCCGGTCTCATCCAAACAAACTCCACTGTGCAAGTTGACGCGCAGCAGGCGCTCGCCCAGTGCCAGGCCATTGGCTTCATCCAGCAGGGTGGCCAGCAGCTGATTCAAACAGGTGCTCAGGTGCTAGAGGGCCGCGCCGCTCAACGTCCCGGCCCCCGGACCTGGTGGTCCCGGAGGTCCTGGTGGTCCTGGCGGTCCGAGGGTTGTCGGTGTGCCCGGAGGAGTGATTGTTGGGGGTCCCCAGCAGGGCATTGCAGTGAATCAACTCGTGCAGCAGTGCGCCACCATCGGTTTCTCCTTTGCTGGTGCGGCTGGTCAGCAGCAATTTGTCGCTAACGCCCAGACGTGCGCGGCGCTCGGCCTCATCTCGCAGAACCAAAACCAAAACCAAAACCAGAATCAGGACATCGTAGCTCAGTGTGCGATTCTTGGCCTGCAGCCCGGCGCGAATGTTAATGCCAATGCCACAGCCGTCGAAGGACAGCAGCAGCAACAACAGGAGCAGGAGCAGCAGCAAAACCAGGAGGCAGCAGCACAGCAGACCGAGGCAATGAAGAAGGCGAAGCGACAAGAGGCACAGGAACAACAGGCCCAAACTCAAGAGCAACAGCAGCAGCAGCAGCAACAAGGAGAGGTCAGCATCGCTGAATGTCTCGCTCAGGGATTCGTCCAAGTCAACGGTACCGCAGCCAATCCAAACGCTCAAAATGAAACCGCGGCCGTTGAGGCCCGGATGGTGCGGAGGCGCATTGGGAATGTAATGATGAATTAGCGATAGAATAACACCGAACTAGACGTTCGTCGTGCCCCTTCCCCCATTGTACGATGTTAAGGCTCAAACAATTTTTTGTTGTTTGCCTATGGGGCCCGTCTGGGCATTTTGATTCGAGTTTTGGGCTATTGCTGGACACGTCTCCCAAGGCGCTGGAAATGAGGGAGCGTTGCTTGGTCAAAGCCCCTGCCTGATGTATACTCTGAGTAAATATTGTCGTTTTGGATTGGGGGTGTTTTTATTTTTCAATTCTTGTATTTTTAAACATAGCAAGAATCAAAGTTTTGGAGGCAATCCCGAGAGAGAGAAACGAACCAGCCAATCGATCGTGAGAGATCAATGGGAGAGGCCAAGGGGAAAGACGCCCAGTCCATTGAGTGACACGGTGTCAGGGTTCGTGCTCACCGTCATATGTTCTGCAACCGTGGTCGTTGTATCATCATTCGTCTCGCCGCTGGCCTGAGCAAAGCCACGAGCCACGAGGGCAAGGAGTCACGTCACGAAGCTGCGTGGCTGGCGAGCTTGAAGAGCTGCAGCAACATTGCTAGTGTGGGCTTTAAAACATGCAGCAAAGACTGGTGACAAGGTGGATGGCCAGCCAGCCAGACTCACCCGACGTTGGTCCAAGCTGGGCCCTGCGTGCTGGAGAGACACACTCTCAGACATGGAAGAATTCTGTAATCGTTCTTTTCATCCACAATCTACACCCTTGTCGCCATCCCTTGATGTACCCTTGGTACGTACTCTGCACATTTCTCCCGAGAAACATCCGTTACCGTCTCTTTCATCATACCCCACACCACACCAGAACAGCATCCTAAACAAACATCACCATCGAGCTTTTTTTTTTTTCTTATTTCTTTTGCCCGCCTTCTTCGCCTGCATCATTGAAAATCTGTATCCTTTGGGGGAAATTCCGTGTTTATATAATAAGCACGTTTGAGTCCTCTCCATCTCCGGATTTCAGCCCTCTTTGACTGTATCTCCCTCACCAGAGTGCTTCATGGAGGCAGAGGTAGGCAGTGTCCACCCTGGTTGCTCCATGACTACCCCGCCTCTTTTTGGCAAACGGCCTTGCCCATCTCGCGTGCCGAGCTCCCAAGCTGGGAAAGTCCAACTCCACGCATCGGATTCACTAACCTTTTTCCCTCGAGTCCAGATTGAAAATGCCGTCGAGATCGCCTGGAACCCCTCATCTGAGCAAGCATTAAAGGTCCAGGCTTATGAATTTCTCAACCAAATCCGGAACGAACCCCAGGCCTGGCAGGCATGCATCAACCTCTTCGTACGGCAGTCCCCTCGCCCCTCTGAAGTCGTACGCCTCGTGTGCTTGGAAATAGTCAACTCCGCCGTGCATACCCAGGGCCTTGATGGTGCCAGCCTGGCCTTCCTAAAAGATACCCTCCTCGAGTACACCCGACGGGTCTACGGCCCGAACGCCTCGCCCGACCAGCTTGATCAAGCTCACCTCCAGAACAAACTTTGCCAAACCTTGACCTATCTGTTTGTGTTCCTTTACCAGGATGGCTGGCAGACCTTTATCGACGACTTTTTCGCCCTCACCGCCAATTCGGACGGGTCCTCGAGAGACAATGCTGCGGGCGTCGTCCTCTACCTTCGAATCCTCGGGTCCATCCACGATGAAATTGCCGACATGCTTCTCTCCCGAAATCAAAACGATGCGAAACGAAATGTCGACCTCAAAGACCAGATAAGGGCTCAGGACATGAATAAGGTGGCCCAGTCATGGAAAGAGCTGTTGGCCCATTATAGCCACCGGAATGACCAAATCGTGGACATGATCCTAAGGCTCGTAGGGAAGTGGGTTAGCTGGATGGACATCTCGTTGATTGTGAATGACGAAATGATGAGTCTCTTGCTCCCGCTCGTTGGCCGAGCCAACGAATCGGGCTCGGAGGATAAGGTCCGGGACGCCGCAATTGATGCCCTCACCGAGATAACAGGGAAGAAAATGAAAAACTCGGATAAGATGCAGCTCATTAGTTTCCTCAACCTCCGCGAGATTGTCACGCAGCTTGTAGCGAGCGCTCCGTTAAACGAGCTGAAGTCGACCCCTCGCTACGACACCGACCTCGCCGAATCCGTCGCCAAGCTCACCAACACCATCATGGCCGATGTCGTGAGGGTCTTGGAGGATTCTCAAGTAGACCAAGAGACCAAAGCGTTAGCCGACCAACACCTTCACGATTTCGTCCCCGCGCTCTTACGATTCTTCTCCGACGAATATGACGAGGTGTGCTCGACTGTCATTCCGTCTCTGACCGACCTCCTCACGGCGTTCCGCAAACTCTCGCCGCTTCCTCCGTCATACTCGGAAATGCTACCTCCCATCCTAAATGCCGTCATAATGAAGATGAGATACGACGAAACCTGCTCCTGGGGTGAACAAGATGATCAAACTGATGAGGCAGAGTTCCAGGAGCTACGCAAAAGGCTGCAGGTGCTCCAAAAGACCGTTGCCGCCGTAGATCAAAACCTATTCATCGACGCCATCAGCAACCTCGTTGGCAACACCTTCCAGACACTTGATCAGCGAGGCGCGCAAATGGATTGGCGGGACCTCGATCTCGCTTTGCACGAGATGTATCTCTTTGGCGAGCTTGCGCTCCCGAACCAGGGGGCCCTTCCGAAGAACGAACGAGCGACCCCAGCTTCTGGAAGATTAGCGGTCATGGTGAAGAAGATGGTTGAGTCGGGTAAGCCCTCACCTCCCCTTCCTCTTTCTTTTTTTCAGATTCGCACATGCTCCTCTCCGCAGCAGCACAAGGCAAGTGAGCCTCAGCAACTAACGGTCGCGAACAGGTATTGCCTCATTCAACCACCCGGCCGTCATTCTACAGTACATGGAGATCTGCGTTCGGTACGCAGCAGTGTTCGATGCTTATCCTGAACATATAGGGCCCGTTCTGGAGAATTTCGTCAGGCTAGTCCACCACGACCATGTTCGGATCAAGTCGAGATCTTGGTATCTCTTCTTCCGCTTCGTCAAGCATATGCGACCGCACGTAGGCAATGTGGCAGAAACCGTGATCCAGTCGATCAGCGACCTTCTCCCGATCAAGGCAGAAGCACCTGGGGATGAGAATGATGATGACATGTCGTCGGAAGAGCAAGACAACTCCGAAGCGGCGCTATTTACGAGCCAGCTCTACCTTTACCAGGCGATTGGCTACATTTCGTCCGCACCCAGCACCCCGGCAGAGAAGCAGGCTTTGTATGTACGGTCTGTCATGAACAACCTCTTTGCGGATATGGAATCGCACCTACCGCGGGCCAAGTCGGGCGACGCACAGGCGCTCAACCAGATTCACCACATCGTCATGGCTCTGGGAACCTTGGCCCATGGGTTCTCAGAGGGTCTACCATCTACGTCGTCATCTGCGGCACCAGGCCAGACGCGGCGCCCCCTTCCAGATAGAGCCATCTCTGAAGAATTTTCGCGGGCGGCGGAAGCCATCTTGGTTGCCCTCGGAGAATTCAACCAGACATTTGACATACGCACAGCGTGCCGGGCAGCCTTCTCGAGGCTCCTAGGTGTGCTCGGTGTCGCGGTGCTTCCACAACTTCCGCAATGGATCGAGGGCCTGCTCTCCCAGAGTTCGGGCAAGGACGAGATGGCATTTTTCCTGCGGATTCTGGACCAGGTCGTGTACGAATTCAAGGGGAGATATACGAGGTGCTCAACCTTCTCCTCACGCCGCTTCAGCAGCGCATATTCAGCGGGCTCTCCGAACCGGCGACCGGCACAGATGATCATATCCAGCTTGGAGAGCTTCGTCGAGAATACCTCTCCTTTATCCTCGTAATCCTGAACAACAATCTCGAAGGCACTCTAGTAAGCGAGGTAAATCAAGGATTCTTTGAGTCCATGATTTCGTGCATAATCACGCTAGGGCGCTCCTTTGAGGGCAACGCGCAATCGAGCAAGCTCGCCTTTGGGGTCATGACGAGGATGGCGGCCATCTGGGGCGGGCCAGACCTGGCAACGATCTCGGCTAACCCGACAGCGCCCGTGGGAACGCCATCGCCCGCCATACCTGGATTCGATCAGTTCATGATTGAAAGGTTCCATAGCGTGTGCTGGGAGGTGATGCAGGATCCGCAGTTCAAGCCCGAAGATGCGCAAACCAAGCAGGTCCTGACGGAAATTGCCGCTCTTGAGCAAGCTATCTACAAGAAGACGGGAGATGTATTCATCCAAAACGTCCAGAACCAGCTCTTCCCTAGTCTCGGCATTGATGGGACCGAGTTCCTGCGGTCCCTAACCTCGACCGATAAGAAGACTTTCTCAGGGTACCTTCACGGACTCATCAAAAGCCGGCGTAGCTAGAGCAACGTGCCCGCGATGCCACGACTCGGACGCGGCGCGATTTTGAGCCAGCGCAGTCTTTCTTGCGCTTTGCATTTTCCCGAAATCGGGGACTAAAGCGAGTGAGCTAAAGCCGCCCGGGAAATAAAAGGGCATATATCCCCAATATGGGATGAAAATGGGGGATTAAAAAAGAGGAGAGAGAGAGAGAGAGAGAGCCGGAGAGACGGATAGAGAGGAGAGAGAAAAAGAAAACGTCGACCCCGAGGGGATGCTCCAAGTACCGCGTGGCCTTCTCACAGCCGCTTCCGCTTCACCTTCTTCCCGCTCGTATACCATCCTTATTTTTCCATTCCACATCCAACCCTCCCCACATAGAACTCTCTATGCGGTCCTCTCGTTTGCCCCCTTTCCCCTGTCCCCCTCCACCTTCCCACCTTCCACCTTCCCCGCCTCTTCCGCCCCCTTCATTCTTCATTTCTTTTTCTTCAACCTTTTCTCCATCCTCCCATTTTGTTTTCGGTTATAGATGATGAGTTCAGGATGGAATGACGCCTTTGCTGGATGTGTGTAGAAAAATGATGCTTTTGTCTTTTCTAATACCTCGTTCAAAGAGAGAGAAACCCCCAAAAACCAAAGATGGTGGCTACGGTGTGCATGGCTGGGAGTTTGTCTTTTTGGAGAAGATCCTCGGCATCTAGAGGAACGATTATCACAAAAGCGGGTAGTGAATACGTCGTGTCGCGAGCGTACCTGCGCATAACACTGCCATTGTACCCTCCCTTTTAGAGTTGCCTTTTATCTCGTTGCTCTCCCTACTTTCCCATTTCCCTTTTTCCTCCGGAAACCTCCTTGCACGAGGTCGCAGAAATCTCCCTCCCCATGGGGTACATGTCCGGTAGCCTGAGGGTCTAGCCCTCGTTCTGCGGTTGATGTTATATGAAGGACGGAAACCTTGATGGGGCCGCACGCACCGCAAGGGCGCGGGGGTCATTGTTCAACTGCTAGTTTTATCATTGATAAAGGAGGATGTCGAGAGCGGGACGAGTGGAAAAGACGAGACTGTCTCTGGCGCAGATAACCGGAGGTAGCTAATATTAGCGAAGGTTAACGAAATGGGAGAACAATCAAGATACTCGGTAGTTGAGAGATGTAGTACCCTGAACTGAGGACTCCTTTCCCGGAAAAAATCGGTTGGGTCAGGTACCTTGATGTAATATCAGGCTCCGGAGATGACCCCAATATTTGTCGAGAATGAGCAAGTGGATGCAAATGTGCGCGGCACGCTCATCACGAGAGGAAGGCCTTCACCCACACCACAATAGATCAGGTATTGCTATCACTGATATCCGAGCCACTTCTCTAAGGCTGTAATGTGTTGTCCCCGCGTCCAAACTTCATCCGCCCCGCCCCTCGGTCGAGTCAACCAATGCGGGCCAGATTCTCTTGTTCGATATACCTCCATCTCCGTCCCCTTGCCTTTTAGACAATGATGGCACGGTCGAGAAGTGCGGGTGTTAATATATGCGGCCTTCTTTCACGTGTTCGATGGTATTTCATCCCAACTTTCGATTTGATTTGAGCACTGCCCATACCCGGCTTTTTTCCCCTGTCGTTCTTATTAGCAGCCCCCTTTTTTTTTTTTTCTCCCTTGCCCCTTTCCAACGGAGAATACACACGGCTCGACAGTTTTTCCCTCCGTCCTCTCTCTCGCATCAAGGCGTTGCCCTTTTCGGTCAGGGCGATCCTTTGCCCTCATCATCTGTGGTGGCCCACGTGTGTGCATGGGCACAACACACAACACCCCACGACCGGGACACGACACACCTGGCCGTGCGGACTGGATCCTGGTTCCTGCTTTCAGACGAGCGCGTCGGGCCCTGGCATGCACGCGCTCGCCGAATGCTTCTCCCCTCGCGTGCCAGCCCTGAGGCCATCAACCACCTCGTGATTATGATTTTACCTCAATAAATGTGTGCCTTTCTCGTACTCGGTAAGGGGCAGCCCTCCTTCCTCCAGTCCATTGGTGTGTCCCTTCATTCTTTTTTTTTCTTGACTCGTCTTCCTCCATTTTCAGCACCGATCACCCTCTGTGACCCCACCCATCCATCAACCTTAATTTCATGCCGAGCTTGACCAGAAGCAAACGGGCCCTCATCTCGGGTTTAGGGCTGCTACAAAGGCACCTCTGCCCACGCCCAACGTCCTTTCCCCTCCCTAGCGTAACCCCCAAAGGAATGGATGTAACGATGCCCTCATGTCTTCATCCCCAGGTCACCTCCTTCATCGGTCCAAACCCTAGGGAGGGTGCGCGTGGAGGGCTGGTGCAACCTTTGCCCCAGAAAACAAGAAAAGGAAGACATGCAAGGGAAAAGAAAAAGAAAAAGGGAAAAAAGAAAGTGGAGGAAAAGGAGAGAGCAGCAAGAGCTCTCGCCTCATGCGCCGTGCCACAAGTAGAATACCAAGTTAGGCGAGGGGATCAAGAGGTGGTCCTCGACGAAGATGCGATGACGATTCAGCTCGCTTTAGTGCGTGTGTGGGTGTTGGAAGGTAGGAAAGTAAGTAAGCAACTTGAGAGAAGGGTCAATTGAATGAAGAAGTGGGTAATGAAGAAAGCACACTCAGGCTCTGCCCCTTCCCTGTGCACCTCAAATGGAAGGATCGACTGAAGTCCGAAATTCCTTCATCGATCAGGAAGGGAAAGACCCACCCAAGAGAAATGGTGTGTGCTCAGAGTCAGAGTAAGAGGCTCGGCCATCCTTCGAGGATTCCTGCTAGGCTTATCAACTCCTCTCGTAGGTTCGATCATCGTTTGGGATGTTTTGCGGACCCGGGATTGGATCCATTGCTTGTATGGAGCGCTTACTGCGAATTGATATTGAAGTTATTTGAGATGGTGGATCCAGCGAATACAAGTAATAGAACAAGCTGATTGATGCCAACTTGGATCGATGCATCGGAGTCCCCCAATCCTATTTCTCACCCGTTCTCGTCATTTCATATCCCCTTCACTCACCAAACTGCTACATGTATCTAATATTGATTAACGCCTACCCCGTTTCGGAGAGAATGGTGGGGAGACTTTTCCTTGCTCGCTTTTCCCAGAACACTATGAAATCAATCGATCCAATGGATGGTGGATGGATCTTCCTATCCACGGATAGATCCATTGTGTCGAAAGCGGCTTTTCTGCTGATACGCCCCCTGCAGATGTTGTTAGCATCACTGTTTTCACCCCATACATTGACGCCTTTTGCTTCATGAACATCCAGTCCTTCTCGCGATAGGACTGGAACCTATGGAAACGGCTCGCTTTGCGGACCAAACTCGCCCCCTTTCCGGTTCTGGTACTGGTGCTCGACTTCCGATTCAGTCCCCTGTATCGGTATAAATCTCATCCCTCTTCCCTAAACCAGTTTCGCCACCAGATAAGAAGCTCGAACCATGGGAAAGACCCGCACGAGATAGACAGGTGAAGGGGGAAAAGAGAGAGGCAAAGCCTGCTTAGAAGAGCCCAGCAAGGGAACCGGACTTCGACCGTGTCTGGTTCCCTGGGCTGTTGCCCTTTTTTCTTTTTCTTTTCCTTGGTGCATGCGGAGGTCGGAGAACTCACTCCGGGCACGTAATGCACCCCATCTACTAAACTGATGAACTGAGCTGGTTCACACTTTAGCATTTCAGAGGGATGCTGCAAGTTTTCTCGACACTGTATCTTAGAGAGGGGGCTGAGTTCCGTTCTCTCTGCCATTTATTGATGCTTCCCTCGCCTTTCTTTTTGGTTAAGTGGTGATGTTTCTCTATACTTCAAATACAGCCCGCACGGTACATGGCCTAAACTTGCTGTGTCTAACCTCGGAATCCCCAGCTTCAATGCTACGAGCTATCCTCGAGTAGGCCGTACATTCAGCATCCTAGCTCCTCTACTAAGACACTGAGTAATTGACTCGATTTTTCAAGGCGGGTAGCGGGGCGAGGGGACCACGGGGACCGCCACGGTTGACGAAATCAAAATCCACAATCTATTTGCACGATCTGTGTCGCGCAATTCCGGTTTGTGACACTGCAATGCAACATTCTCCTCTCCTTCCCCGGCCAACCCCTCCACCCACAAGTTGCTCTATTTGCGCGCCTCAGAAGAAGAGCGGAGGGTGTACTTGTAATTGATGTTGCTTCGAGATGTTTTCATCGACGCATCCATTATTTCAACATATGCCTAAAACCCATCTCATCGCTTCGCTGGCGGCTCACTTGCACGTTACATTTGGTGGATCGACATCATTCGGTGTACACTCGTTGTATGGCCCGGCATCCACCAGATCAATTTACACGCCTTTTGCGTCTAAACCCTTGCTCGTTTTTCTGCCTTCGCTCGGGGAAAGAAAGACCTGATCAAAATTCCCGAGCGAATCGCGTCGCTTGCTTGTGAGTGTCTCTTCCCCTTTGGGAAATTTTTTATTACTTGATCCCCCACTCTTTCCGCCTCAGGCTCGCTGCACTCTCCCACCTTGGCTTTCCATTTTTCGGGGTTGCCCTTTCCCCTCCCCTAATTACCGTTCATCACGATATGCAAATCTTGGTAAAAATCGGCCATCCCATCTATGGCCCGCCTGTGGCATGCAAATGAATGGTAGAACAATGGGGGAAAACACGGGGGTTGAAACGGCTCAGAGGAAGAAACCTTGGAAACAAAGGACATGTTGTTTCGAGAATGGACCTCGCCTCACATATCCATTATCATGACCTCTTATCTTGGTATTGTGGTGCAGTTCACGACATTCCGCCCTTGAGTAGACAATACCGATATCCCAATAGTCCAGGTGCATGTTCCGACAAATACACAGAAATATAAACACACGAGGTGCTCGCGGAGACTATCGAAAACCGAGCAGATTCCGAGAATGCAATTTTTGATGTCTGATTGAGGGAGAAGGACTCTTACTCTTACAGATGACTCGAAAAGAGCCCTTCGCCCCGATTGCTTCCATCGTATGCGCTAGACGTTAAATATCATGCAGGCGGATATATAGATTCTTGCAGCGGCGTATATGTAGAGGTATCGACGGGGAACATTTTTTCCATTTTCTTTTTGTAAAGTGCAAGGTCATAACGGAGCCGCTCGATATTGGACAATCACGGCACACACCCGCACGGCACACATCACGATGATATCAACATGGAATGGAAACCCAATGGCCCATTGCATTTCCCGGTAAATAGAAACCGCCATAATCTCGGTTCCCACGCCTTGGCGGAGAGAGGTACCGATACCACTCCGCAACCTTCTCGGCAAACTTGAACACCCACATGCACGAGCAGCGCAAGAAAGACCCTTTGTTCGACCGACAGATATGCACAGAATAACAAAACAGAATGGGATAGACCAAGTACGGTGGCTGCCCCGGCTTGATCATGTACATGTAGGACCTTCTCCGTGTCCCAATCTCTGGTCCCTTCTCCACATGTGCACTGTCTGTCTGTGGAAGATCTGCAAATCCTTAGGTTGTGCTTTATATCTACGTCTTGCCTACCTTGGGCCACATGGTCAACTGATCCATGGATGAATCAACGGAAGCCCGTCCATAGCTGCAAATATCGCCTCCGTGTTTCTTTGGTAATATGTTTCGAGAAAGCGTATTATCTCCGTATATAGACCCATCGGTGTAGCTCTCAAGTGCTCCAAACCCCCATCTACAAAACCAACCTGGGTGGTTCAAATAGAATACATGTACTCTACTACACTATTGGGATGGAGAACAGTACCGTGAATCCGCAACTGGGTTGATACTTGCGACATGTGCTCGATGTCTTGTATCTATATGCCACCAGGACCCCATTGGGTTCCTAGTTTGCAAGCCGCCATTCCGTCTCCATCGTCCCAGCGGCTGGGTCCGACTATAGAGGAAGAACGAGAGATTACATGGAGCAAAGGCAGAAAGTAAGCAACTTGTTTGCTACTTGCACTTACACTCGCCCCTGCTCCCTGTACCAGCCCGTTGCCTACATCCATGGATCTTCGATGTTCCAGAAAGAAGGCCGCCGGTTTCGAATATTACCGCTCTCTCTAGATCTCACTCCAACCTCGCATAGTGCTCCCTAACCCTAGATCGGGGTTGCTCCCTCAGGAAAGTGGATGATCCCCGCAGACATGCCTATCGAAGCAACGAACGGCAGAAACCGGTTTGTTGTCTCTGGTCTTCTATTTCTCCCGTCTGTCTCCAGTCTATTGTTTTCATTTCCCACCTCTCCTCTCTGTTACCCTACCTATTTCTATTTGTTTCTCTCACTGCTTCCTGGGGCCCTCAAGATTTTCATAAAAAACCGGCGTATAATCAATACTATATTAAATTAGAGAAAGGCCCCAGCTGTACCCAGCAACACCCGGATCTCGCTTCCACACACGTGTTCTACACAATATACTGAGGACCTAACTTTGACCCATGTAATTTGCTCAACTTGCCATCTGCACAGAGTTAGCGCCTCCCTATCCGCACCGGAGGCGAAGCGGGAAGACTGTATGTAGCCCAATACCTTGTCTGCCCATGTCTGCCCACGCCCCGAGGCACGCCGTCCCCGCCACCATCTTCCGGTCTTTGCTTCGCCCCCTCGACTTCCATCTGGGGAGGTGGAAGAGCAGGCTCGTTCGTCCCGCGTGCGCAACCTGCTCTGACCACGCTTGCGGCCAAGACTTGGGAGACGTGGGCCATTTCTGTAGTGTCTGCTCCTTTTGCCCAGGTACCTCTTATTATTGTCAAAGCCAACGAGACCTTGCCCCTTTCATGTCCCCTCCTAAAGCTAGAGCATTCGATGCCTTTTGAGTGACCCCGCAAGACGGGGAGGGGGGGGCACTAGAACCACTTTCTACCCATCCCAGGGTTCAACTTGCCCATACCTTTTGCCCCTCTTCCTGCCCCCATCCCTGGCTCCCGGGCCGGCTTTCGGGCGTGTGCCCCATGTGAAGTGCCGACAAGCAAGATTGCGAGCCTGACCAGCCGGTTTCCTATTACTGGTTCACCAAGTTTCCGAACGTGTATGCAGGCAATAGTTGAGCAATCTGCTAGCAACTTTGCAAATAGCGAGCCCCCTAGCGAGGTGTTGCCCGAGCCTCACCGTCCGCCTCTCGTCTTGCGGGCCAGAGAGAAGCGGGGTCCCACACTCCATATAAGCGGCGGCGCGTTAGCGACGCAGGTCCGAAATATTTCTGCCGGATGCGGTGCAACCAGGTTCAAAGCCCGGTACGCCCATCCCTGGTTTATCTTCGTTGTCGGCGGGTAAATGACGAGCAAAGCCGTTCCCATATTCGACTGCCAGGCCTGCTCTGCCAGCAATTCATCTACCACCACCTAAACGAGATGAATTTCCTCGGGCAGCAAGTTCCATCACATCGTCCAACTGCTCACGCCTTCGTGATTAGCCCACACCCCACTTGGGGCTAGGACGACAGCCCTCCATCACTCGAGAACAACCTCAATCTACAATAAAACAGCCGAAGGCGGCTATAGTCGCCCCCTTTGTAGCTTCATCACGACATGCGGTAGAGAGCGAGAGTCGCCATCACACCGGCGTTCGACCATGGCGTTCTCCATCGTGGAGGAATTGCCTCCCTCCCTCGCGTATATATAGAGACATTCGCTCTCTATCGTACTCTCAAACCTACCTCTTCACCATCACCAACAGCCAGCATCCACTCTTGCCAAGGGCCCTCAATCTTCGCTACACATCCAACTCTTCCCTTCCGCCAACTACCGCCCGCTAAGATGCACTACCTCAGCAAGACCTTCGGCCTTCTCATGGTCATCAACGGCGTCACAGCTGTCGCCGTTCCCCGCCAGGTACGTAGCTCTCCTCTCTGTCTGGTTGTCCTTGACTAGTAGCTTGGTTGGGTTCTAACTGATATCCGCTAGGCCCGCCGCCCTTGCGCCGAGGAAGTCCAAGCCGTGTGTGCCGACAATGCCGAGGCCGGTCAACTCTTGGCCGTCGAGTGCAACGACAGGAAGTGGAGCTGCGTCCACCAGTCCGCCGATGCCGAGGATGACAGCCCCGTTGTGGTCGTAACTGAGTCTTCCTGCTCAAGGAGGGACGCCGCCTGTGTTGCTGTTCAGCCCGAACAGGAAGAAGGTCCCGGCGAGGAGGAGCCCCTGTGGAGGAGGAGGCCCCCGAAGAAGAAGCCCCCGAGGAGGAGGCCCCTGAGGAGGAGGCCCCTGAGGAAGAAGCCCCTGAGGAAGAGGAGGCCCCCGAAGAGGAGGCCCCGAAGAGGAAGCCCCTGAGGAGGAAGCCCCCGAGGAGGAAGCCCCGTCGAGGAGGAGGCCCCTGAGGAGGAGGCCCCCGAGGAGGAAGCCCCCGAGGAGGAAGCCCCCGAGGAGGAAGCCCCTGAGGAGGAGGCCCCTGAGGAGGAAGCCCCGTCGAGGAGGAAGCCCCTGAGGAAGAAGCCCCCGAGGAGGAAGCACCCGTCGAGGAGGTCCCTGAGGAGGAGGCGCCTGTCGAAGAGACTCCTGTTGAAGAGGCCCCCGTTGAAGAGACCCCCGAGGAGGAAGCCCCAGTTGAGGAGACACCTGAGGAGGAGGCTCCCGTAGAGGAGGAAGCTCCTGAGGAAGAGGCACCTGAGGAAGAAGCCCCCGTCGAAGAGACCCCCGAGGAAGAGGCCCCCGTTGAGGAAGAAGCTCCCGAGGAGGAGGCACCTGTCGAGGAGACCCCTGAGGAGGAGGCCCCCGTTGAAGAGGTCCCTGAGGAGGAGGCGCCTGTTGAGGAGACTCCCGTTGAAGAGGCTCCTGTAGAGGAGACCCCCGAGGAGGAGACCCCGAGGAGGAGGCTCCCGTTGAGGAAGAAGCTCCTGAGGAGGAGGCACCTGTCGAGGAGACCCCCGAGGAGGAAGCCCCCGTTGAAGAGACCCCCGAGGAGGAAGCCCCCGTTGAAGAGACCCCTGAGGAGGAAGCCCCCGTTGAAGAGACCCCCGAGGAGGAGGCTCCTGTAGAGGAGACTCCCGAGGAAGAGGCCCCTGTTGAGGAGGAAGCTCCCGAGGAAGAGGCCCCGTTGAGGAGGAAGCTCCTGAGGAGGAGGCCCCGTTGAGGAGGAAGCTCCCGAGGAGGAGGCCCCCGTCGAGGAGGAAGCTCCCGAGGAGGAGGCCCCGTCGAGGAGGAAGCTCCTGAGGAGGAGGCCCCCGTTGAGGAGGCTCCCGAGGAGGAGGAGGAGTAAGGGCTGCTCTGCATGACAACATCACCCACTCCAATATCCCTTTATGTATTCCTTTGCACCCAATGTATCTTCTCTCTTTCTCTTTTGATATCTTGTTTAGCAACCATGCACCCTCCTCGGGCCGCGGTCCGAAGCAGGCACCTGTACAAACATTGGCAGGGTTTTAGGTAGTTTGGAAGTAGCAGATTTGAACATTCTTTTCCCTTTTCACTCTCATCAAGTCTCTGCCGCTCGAGTGTTTCTACGCAATCGGGGCGTTCATCATCAAAACGAACTTGGCTGGCTGCTATCGACTCGGAATGGTTCAGTGGTTCTCGTGGGTATGACTACGGGGCGTCTTTAGCCAGCTCATTAGTTTTCAGGTATATGGCAAGTATGGGGGCGCAAACCAAACGGTGCCAGTCACAAGGCTGACGATGCTCTCCTTGGTCGTTGATGGCGGGGCAGCCGTGGCGGATGCATGCTGGGGCATGTGGCCTCGACGACACATCATCCCCGGTCACTGAGAGAGTCGCCGAGGGCCAACTAGGAGAGATGCTCGTCAACCACGATGAACGATGTCCTAGACAAGACCTGCGCGAGCCGACACGCGCATCTTCCAGCCTTCCATTCAACGACGACGAGACATCGTGGAGTGTGAAGCCTGAGACATGTCTTGGTAGGCTGCGGAAGGCGGGGAGGCGCAAAGCCAAGTCTCCCGTGAAAGAAGCATGGCCGAAACCTACAAGGAGAAGGGGAGCGCGTTGAGACGACGCGCTTGCACCCCACTTCTTACCTCTCGACTCGCGTCTCTCGCAACTTTGGCTATGACTGTTTACTTGTTATTCACTAGGCTACCGAAATAGGGTCTGGTGTGATTTGAAGCTCTTCCTGCCTTTCATGGCCCTAGTGTACACCATGACAATATTGCCGTGGTCCATCCGTGGATTTGCTCTCCACATGAACATTGCTGTCGCATTTCCGCCTGGGCTGCCGGCGCAAAGCGACCTTCAAGACCATGGTTTTCCGTCTGGCGGACTCACCTGGAGCTCGACCTGATAATGCGCGGCCTCGGTCCTGTTCTGCGATTGTTATTTGCACGTCCAGGTCAGCGGCGGTTCTCTCTCTCGTGGGTGTCACCCTTTTCGCGCGCGACGACGGGGGCGCGTAAAGGGCCAATTTCCCGTGCTGGAGTTTGCTGTCGGTGTCAGGGTGGGAGGCTGGGGAGGTGGGGGACGCTGTCAAGATGGAGCCTCTTCGCATAACCGCCGATCATTGGATGGGTGGCTGAATTGCACAAGCCGTCATGCAGGTCGGCCGTGCCCTTGCAGATAGAACCCCAGTCCCCAAGAAATTCCATCACAATGAAGCGTTGCTCTGGAAGGCTCGAATGCCACTCGAGTCCGTGTCATTATTTATCAGTTTAATTACACTCTTGATGACTGGCGTTCCACTGCGCTCGATTCGATCTAGCCCGTCTGTCCGACCGGAAAGGAGACAGGGGCGCTGGATCATGATTTGCACAGACTTTGCTCATGGGTGAGGAGGTCAGATCCCCGAGAGAAGGGAGGAAGCGCTCAAAGTATTATGAGGTATTTGCGAAATGAGCCAGAGCAACAGCCCTGATGCGGCTCTGGTTGCATATCCTCGTAAAATGGACGGATGTGGTTGTGTGGTAATTGATTAGAACTACTGGTGGTCTCAATATCAGGCTAGCCAAAGCAACCGTTCTATCAAGACGATGACCCAACTCGTCCACCATCGAATGTTGCTCTCACTGGTGGAAGGGCAGTCCTCTTACATGTTCTGTTGCTTCCTGAAGGCGAGGGGACATCGTGGAATCCAGCAAGAGTGGATGGCGCCTTCAAGCGGCATTAGGGTCTCGGAGCAGCACGTGGTGATCTGCTGCCAAGTCCTTAGCAGAGCAGATCCCTGAAAGCATCAATGAGATCTCTATCTGTCCGGCTTGCCACTCAAGCACACCCTCTTGATATTACACAAGAGCCAGCTTCTGATACCACTGCCTGTGAAAATGGTGAAGCCCGCCATGGGTGAGATAAGGAAGACCTGGTGCGTTTTTAGGGACAAGAATGGGCTGCTGCACAAGAGCTGGCCTACACCTTGTCCCCCTCACGTCAGAGACATCATTTTTTGTATGGCTGTCCTGATACACTTCTAACGCTGGACGATACTAGTAGGCCTGCGAAGAATGAGGCGCACTCGTGATGGGTCCTCTGGAAAGAGAGCCCGACTTTAAGGCTCACTTGGCGTACCAACAGGCGGCTTCGATATCGTGCAGACATGGGGAAGCGTGCGTCCGTGGCATTCTAAATCGGAGCTATATGTTCGTTTCCCCGCAAATGCGTCCTTACGATTGTCTACACTACCCATGTTTTTAGCTCACGAGCGGTGCGTTCGGTATTGAGTGCAGGCAATTCTCACCTCCCCCAGCCGGACTCGAGTCTTGTATCCAGGTCTGGGTAAGGTCAACATTGAAACAGCGGGGAACTGGAGAATTCATCTTTCCCTGTCTCCCTCGGGAGACCCTGCCTTCTGTCCGCCTTGACTTGGGAGGGAGGCTTAACATTTACTTGGCTCATGACTGTGCTCGCGAAACAAGCAATAGCCAAGACAGCACGAAGAGAGGAGGAGGGAGGCGATGAGAATTGAGCGCTTCTCAACCTTCTTCCCCGGAATGGAAAAAAGTGAGAAAAAGACCAGACGCCAACGCGTCACGTCCTCCTATCTCGAAGATCAAGAGGCCCCACTTACCGACAAATTGATTTTTTTAAAGGGGAAAAAGGAGGAGATCATCAGCGATCGCTTGGTTCCCGCAAAGAGCCTTTCGCCAGTTGGCGTGCATTACGCCGGATTGAGAAGGTCATCGATTAAATCCTCCCTCCGAGGTCAAAGAGCCCTCGGGCACCCCTGCTTTTCTGGAAATTGGACCCAGCTTCAAAAGTGACCTCCTATACAGTGCGCAGACCCCAGAAGATGCGAACAAAGTACAACAAGTGCGTTGGTCCATCCCATCCATGCTTGGGGCTTCGGGAGAATGTCAAGAATGTGGACATGCTATTTCCGGCCGGGGTGTCGCCACAGCAAGGTGAACCAAACTCGGTCCTGGGATGGAAGATTGCTGGTGCAGGAACACACCGGGGCTCGGGTTGGTTTGGTTTGGTTTGGCGGTTAATAATAATCATCCCAGTGTTCAGAGGCGATCCGTTTCTTCCAGGACCATAGCAACGAGGAGCAACCCAGCAGATATAATCCCTCATGGCTAAAGGAATCATTACTCTTCTCTCAGCTCAATAATGCCTGCGTGATTAGTCTGCAGCTTCTGACGTTCTTGTATTTTTAGAGACAGTCCCACTTGTCAATTCAATGTTTGTCAAGAAAGATCTTGCCCGTTGATCGCAGGTTTGGGCCAAGGGCTGTGCAAGGACAATGAGGGCCGATAAGGACACCCAAATAGCATCTCAGGACGAAAGAGAGGGTCTCGAGCGACTTTACGTGATGGCAAGGGTAGAAACTTGCTGGTGATGCCGCCAAGCGCGGAGAGGCTCGGGCGATCTTTGATCGAGCCACCGCGGCAATCGAACTTGCATCATCAGCGGGTTCCTCCTTGCAACAGGTAAAGTGGGCAGTAGGGCTGTGCTTCATGGTTCTGGCTTGGCTTCTCTTCCGCTTCCACGTCACGAAGTGGCTAATAAAGCAGTATCAATTTGCAAGTGGATGTGAGCAAGATTTGATGATTGAAGATCAGATACTGTCAAGATCATCCATACCCACTAGCCAGTCGCGAATTTTCTCTGTTCCCGTCAGTTACCCCCACACCGCCAGCGATGCAAGGTTGGCAATGGAAACATATTGACCAACCTCTTCGCGGTGTGGGCGTGCTCTCAGGGCGAAGGAGCCATATCCTCGATGATCAGCGGCCCCTGGGTGGCGAAGATAGCCAGGCCGTCGTTTGAGATATGGCGGGTCTCGATCAAGGGAGGCAAGAGATCAACGATACCGCTGTCTTCTTGTCCTCGCCACGTTCCACTGGGCGGGTGAGCAGCGGATGACATGTAATTGCCAGAGATGGCGGTGGGTTTACCGGGTCAGAGTCTCATCTCATCCAGATTAACCCTTTGATGAGGGTCGAATTTCCCATGCAGGAACAGGTGCCCCTCGTCTCCAAAGACCAGCAAGCGACCGAGTAATGCTGACGGGTAATAAGACTGGACCTGGAGTACGAGGTGATAATATCCCGTTGTGGGAATCCATTATTAGCACGTATTTGCGGCCTTCCAAAACCGAGTATCCCACTTTGAATGGATATGAATTTTCGGGAAAATACTCCGCGCACCTCGGGTCGAAGGGTCGTCCTTTACAAGCGAGATTTGACGAGGGCCCCCAGCTCGGGACCCTTTCCAAGAGACATGGAGAGCCGGACAGCACTGTGTTAGACCCTCCCCCAGTTCCTCCATCCCTGAGAATAATACAAGGACCAACCAAGGAAAGAAGCGCGATCCATCGATATTGTCCGTCAAAAGCCTGTCGTCTGCCCCTAACAGTGCGGTGGCGGAAGGGAGAGGAGGGCGGCTGGGTGTTTCAACTTTTGCCCTCATCTTCCTTTTTGCTTCAATGTTCCTGCATTAGCGCCTTTGTGCTCTCTCATGGATCTTGACCCTGGCCCGTCACCGATCACCTTCAACAGCCGAGTCGTGTGTGCATAATGCAGTTTCTCATGAAATTCATGGCTGTGCAGTGGATCGGTCGTTTCATTTTTGTGCAACTCCATCCGCATCTCTCGTTGATCGACTTGACGGGTGACGACAGAAATCCACAGAACTGGAGCCATTGGCCTGGAGGCATATTATTAGTACTGTTAGAGATGAAGAAGCAAGGCGCCATCAGAGCCCTTCCCCGTCGTCCCACTTATTCCGCCTTCTTTTTCTTCTTCTTCTATCGTCTAATTTTCTCCGGCTGTTCCAGCCAAGACATGTCATTAAGATCGGAGTGGAGAGTTTTGTGAAGATGTCGTCGAAGCTCTGACGATCTCAATGCGGCAGTGCAGGCAAGTCTTCGTTCTGCACAAAGTCCGGGTCTTCTCCGAGGGCACGAGTTGGATGAGAGGGATGGTAGGTGGATCTGCATTTATGGAGTATGTGATTGATAATTGTGCACTGCTTGCGAGGGCCTCTTCGCTGAAGATTGTCGAAAGCAACTAGAAAGTACACATCGGAGCTGACTCTCCAAGGAACCGCGCCCAACCTGTCTGGAGTGCATTAGTCCGGAGCCTGGATGCACACTGTGTTGGCAACCCCAGCTGAGTGGCAGGACTGAGCCGCCCCTGGGAGGAGGCCACTGCCAGCCATCCAATTTGCGAGCACATTGACACTAGGACCGATGAATGTGGCGGCGAGGAAGCACAGTCGAACTCTTTTTTGCAGCAGTTCAACGCGAATTAGAAAGGGCGGGCCCTCCTGGGATGGTGGATGAGGTGACATGAATGCCAATGTCCCGGAGCTGGGAAGAGGGCCGCACTTCCACAGATTCGTCTTTGCAGCGCAGATTACTGCTTGTTGGCAAGGAGATTAAACCACTCTGATTACAGTCCTGCCGCGAACCGGGATGGTTTCTTGCTGGTCGGCGATGGCCAACATTTCGGGACTCTCTAGCCGTGGAGCTTCACAGAGAAAGAGAGGCTGGCCAGCCTTGGGTGGTGGGATTGGGCGCGAAAGGCGAATGAAACGTGCCAATCAATGGGAAATCAGAGCAGGAGGAAGCGCAGTGGGTGAGCACTTCCCAACACAGAAGGTACAAAGTCACAGTATGAACTTACGCAAGAGCACGGACCGGGGATACCTTGCGATGGCGGTGCGGGCAATGCCACTGGAGGAGGGCTCAAAGGGGGAATCGGTCAACCCCACCAATGGCAGGAAGGGGATTGTGCCTTCTTCACCAAGCCTGGCATTCGCTCAAAATTAGCGCCTCACTTTGCTCATCTCAACTCGGACGTGCCATCAGCGTATCCCTGTCCGGCTACGGTACCGCAAGGACAACCAAATCCAAGCGGGCAAGGGAGTAAAGGGGAGTTGAGGGGGAAGAAAGGGAGGGACAAGGGGGCAAAGAGGGTCCAGGGCACACGACCGAGCCAGAAGCGGATGAGAGGGAATGGGGATGTGCATGGCCCTGCCCAAACGGCAAATGGGACGTCCCACTCATTCGAGATTCTCCTCCACATCAGAGCCAAGAACGACAACGGAAAAAGTGGACGCAAGTACTTGTGGGTACGCGATCCGCCGGCAGACTAGCCAACCAAGCAGTGCCAACCGCCCACCCCTTGGACTGGGTGCATTTTGTTTTTTCGGCCATTCCACCTCCAATCCCCTGACCAGGATGCGTCCATGGGTGATGATGAGGGTACAGGAGCCTTGCCGCCCCTGGATTAGTATCCGGGGTGAGCATAGTAGGCGCTACCTTGCCCTTGTACTTCGTATCCTCTGGAGGGCCCAAAGGACGGTGTACCCTTCTGACGGGGCTGGAGTGGAAAGGGGACTTTGGATGCTAATTTCCCATCCCTCGCCGGCCTGATCCACCAGGTCGTCTGAGTACCTGCGTTCGCTGCGACCATGGACGATGCGCCATACGAACGAACCATGCAGAAAGGGGAGAGAAGGGTGGCAAAGAGAAGCAAAGGGGGGCGGCGGAGAGAGAGAGAGAGGGAGAGGGAGCTTTGTTGCGCGCGCACTGCAGCTATCCCATCCACATCCGTCCAAGAAGAAGGCTCATAGATCGAAAAGTCTATTAATACGGGCCTGCCCTCCATCCTAATCCTCTCTTTTTCTTTCCCTCTCACCACCAGCCCAACTTTCCAATCAAGCCTGCTGACTCTTTGACTTCGGTCGTCCATTCTTTAATCACTCTCTAAGCTCACGCTTTATCCATTCGTTAATCAACTCTAATTACCTTTTCGTTTACGAAAACCCAACCCTTCCATTCAAAATGAAGTTCTCCGCTGTTCTCTTCGCTGCCGGCGCTCTCGCCTCCGTCATCCCTGAGGTCTCCGAGCCCGTCGAGTCCGGCTCTGCCGTCGTCACCACTGACGCTCCCGAGGCCACTGATGCCGTCACCGAAGACTCCAAGTGGACCACCTCCACTGTCTACGAGACCAACGTGATCACCATCACTGACTGCGAGGACACCGTCACCGACTGCCCCGGTGACGCCACCAAGGTCATCACCGAGACCATTGCCGTCTCCACCACCGTCTGCCCCGTTGAGGAGACCGAGACCCCTGAGGAGCCTGAGGAGCCCGAGACTCCTGAGGAGACCGAGACCCCCGAGGAGCCCGAGGAGACTGATGACTCTTCCCCGAGGAGCCCGAGCCTACCGTCCCCGTTCCCCAGTGCCCCGCCACCAAGGTCAAGACCATCACCACCAGCTACACCACCGTCATCCCCACCGTCATCGTCGAGACCTACGTTGAGGACTGCCCCGCTCCCACTGGCCTTCCCCCACCCCCACCGGTGGCGTTCCCGGAGGCTGCTCTGGCTCCAACTGCACGTAAGTTACACACTCAAGCTATCCATCACACACAACACACGATACTAACACTCCTGTTCAGTTCTGGTCCTAAGCCTTCCAGCCCCGTCACCGCTGGTGCCGCCTCCATGGCCGGCTCCATCTTCTTCGCCGCCGCTGCCGGTATCGCTGCCTACGCTTTCGCGTAAATTTCTCTTCTGCTTTCACCTTTTGACAAGATGAGATCTGGAGGCTTTTAGAGTAATTTTCTCGATCTGAGAAAGGGGTTTAACGTTCAATTCCTTAATGACCGCTTTTTTCAAAGACAAGCGCCAAAGGCTTTATGGGGGCATGTAAAAGTTTCCTAGGGCTTTCAATACCAGCATTTTTACTCACGGCGATTTCCATCACACTGATATTCTGTTGATATCCGACACGGCACGAAATGTTTCCTTTCCTCTGTAACTTAATCTTCTAATGGCAGCGCTCGGGAGTTGTCCTCTGCACTAGGGTATAGCGCCAAATACATTTGACATTTTTGTTCTCTCATCTACTGTCGAATCCTCACTATACCGTGCACTGTGCTTCTCTCTTGTAAATTGTCCATCGTATCCTCGCGTAGAAATTTGGTTTCCTGGTTTGCCGATCCAGCGATGGACCGAAGGAACCGGGGAGGCGAAGCCTCATCTGCCCATTGCGCAAATTGGGCCGAGCTGAGGTGCCATCGATCCAGCAGTCACCCAGGTGATCAGTGTGGTGAACCGGGGTCATCCTGCATGGTAAGATTGCGATTGATTTCGCTTCCAGCGATCCCCCGTTCCTCTACCCAATCCCGCCCTGGATCCGCTGTCCGCCAGCAGCTCCTCCGCCCTTTTTCTCCATTTGGGGTACCCGAGCTTTCTTTCCCCCTCCCTTTTGCCTTTCTTGATTAGTGTCAGGATGGGGGAATTACTAGCGAAAAAGCGCTCGTCCTTTCGTCATCCATTCCATGGCTAGTTCGCCCGGACTAGATCAGCTCAGAGATGATGGGATTTTAGGTGTGTGTGGGGTCGTCCGCCCATCCTTCCATTTTCCCATCGATTTCGACCTCTTGCTGAAATTACAGCGTTGCACTACTTTTGATTTTTCTTTTTTTCTTTTCTCTTTTCCCGGGTTATTTTCAAGCATTGGCTTTCATGTTCCTGGAAGTGGCGTTTCTTTTTCTGGGGCCCTCTCCCTCTTCGCCCACATTCTTGAAACGACCTCTCGGCCAATAAGCTTACTTTAACCCGAAGGCTTTGTGCATCCTCATGCAAGGTACAATTGTCCCCCAAAGGGTTCCCACCCATTTGGCCCAAAAATGGTGTGTCGGGGTGGGGTCTTGCCAATCTTGCTGATCGGATTCCCCCTCGTTCCTGGTGCCTGAGGCGATTAGCTCTTCGCGCCCTCACGGCGGCACTGACGGGCACTGCTGGGTTGAGTGGGTGATTCGTGGATGTGATGTGGATGTGTGTGTGGGTGGAGGTCAAGCTTGTGTGGTTGACGTTGTTTTATCCGAGATTGTGAGCGATGCGAGCTCGGATTGCTCGGAGGAATGAGTTTTTTCTTGCTGGAATGGTGGGCCAGCCAAGAGGATGCTGTGCTATGAGCTATTATCATCATCATGTTCGTGAGAGACAAGGAGAGAAGATAGACGTAGATGTGCTCGGGTGCAGCTGCCAAGCTGGCCGGACTCTTGGAGAGCCAAGCAGCCCTTGGCCACAGACAAAGTGAAGTTTCTACTTGTAATGCGCTTAGAAACATCGTCTAGGTTCTTTTCTTCGCATTCATAATACAAGATAGCGCCAGCCGGTGCTTGACAAGGCAAAGGCAATCGATTTCACAACCGCTCTACTACTTACATGTATTCATCTTGCCAGTCTAAACCGGAGGACTCGAAACGCATCCCGTCCTTAACGGAACTATTTTGCTCTTGAAGATCATGGATATCTTCCCTCGGTGACATGCGCTTATTGTCCCACGTCAAGGCTCGAATCACCGGTCATCGCCCTCTCGCGGGTTCATTCTCCATGTCTTGAGATTCGATCCAGCATTCCCAAACGGATATTGCGCTCTTCTCGAGTTTCGCTGCAGCCATCCGTCGTGCTCAATGGCTGTGGGACTGGCGCATTCCAAGCAAGGCATTTTACGATGGAAGGCTCAAACTAGCCACCCCGGCACCCGCCCGACTCCGCTACCCGAAACCATCGAGACAAATCCGTGATTGAGGGTTTCCGTGCAGAGGACCATCTCGAGAGACCCATTGCCATATTGCGGCGCTGGTGGACAAACTATACTGGGCTTGTGGCTAAGGCGGCGACAATGGACGGGTTCGTGTGTTTCTGCGTTGGTTTAAACGTGACACAAAACCGCCCATCTTTCAAACATTGAAGAGGATCGACGCCTAGTCGCCCTGTTTCTTTGAAGTTGGCAGGCGTGTCTCACGATGAACATTAAGATCATACCCCGCGCCGAGACACGCGTTCGGGTTGGACGCGTGTCTTTGAGGTAGTGAGACATTCTTCGCGGAGGCGGCCCTTGGTTGACGATTACTTCCAGGTTGGCGTAATACCCTCACCAGGCAAGACCAAACGACCTGCAGCCTCTGTAAGAGGGGGGAATTCCCTTACGTCCAGATATGGGGAATCTGGTTTCCCGATGCTTTCGTTTCGCAAGGATATTTGGGCTGGTGTGTCCGACGGACCGATTGCGAGATGCGCTGAGCATCGCGTCGCAGCCTCGGGCATGATCCAACTGCTCACTCCACCCCCGGGACGACTAGGGAGGTAGAAGAATAGAGGCTTATTTTATTCTCGGTCAAACCTCCCCTCTCATAAATGCGGCTGGGGTGTTTTGGTGTGGTCTTCAACCCCAGCCAAGCGAGGCTCCAAAGGCATAGGACAGGTCACATCGGAGGGAAGCACCTCAAGAAAGGGGTATTGCTGCTGCCGCGTGAAGGAGGACATGACGTATTGCAACGAATGTCCGGCGAGTTTCGTCCGAATGGGGCTGGTGACGATGTTGGCGCGTGCCCACTTGTCCCACAAGCAAGCAATTTTCGCTCGCAGACGGCTTTTTGATACGTTCGTCTTGGTAATCGTCTTGGTAATTCGCGACTCACAGTAGGAACAGCATACAGGTCTAGCATATGTGGTAGGGCTTCGACGCCCGCCGGTGCTAGCAAAGCCTAGAATCAGATCCCGGGCGAAGAAGTCCATGTTCCGGAACATTACCTCTCAACACTTGGGGTTACTAGCCGAGAACCTTGCCCGTCCCATTTCGTCCCGCGGGGTCCAATATCTGTTGCGTATAGGAGCACTACCCAACACTCGTAGTACGTGTACCTCTTTTCGCAGAAATGACGCCGTCCTGATATCCCTCGTCAGCCAAAATATTTTCCCTCCCCTATTCGTTGTGGCAGAGCCATATGTTGGTCAAGTGCCTCTGACCCGGTATCTTTCAGTGCCTATCCCCGGTTTCTTTCTCTTCTTCTCCCGCCTCATAGATAATCTCATCCCTTGTTTCGCCGGCGTCGGATTCAGCCCGTCTCCCGTCCGTTGCAGGTTATTCTTCGTGCCAGATGGGATGAATGATATCCTACACCTAAAACGAGGTATATTTCGGCGCGAATGTGGGTAGTTTGGCCAACTACACGTGTAGCCCGACTCCAAATTCCCTGGCACATGACTTTCTACGTGTTAGTCAAAACGACTTGGTAGATTAAAGCGAGCGTCATGCCTCGCTTCTCCAAATCAGCGTGCCTCGGCTCAGGTGATGCTTCAAGGGGACACAAACTCTTGATGTCGCCTTCAATCGCAGGGGAGCACATTCCCAATGAGAGGTTGGAAGACCCAGGGAGACCCAGCAAGACAAAGGCTTGCTGCCTCCACGCAAGCGTTTTACTTAGCCTGGCCGCATATATGCATCACCAGTAACTTCGCTTACAAGTGCGTGGTTCAGAAAGCTTAGCCTGCGGTATATACATCACAGTCTACTTTGGTGGCCTTGCGCAATGCGCGTAAAGGGGTACATGTAGATGCAGGAGGCAATTCGTTGTTTCCCCGCTTCTTCAAACATTCCATGTCGCTTTCTAGAAGGATTGGCCCATTGCCTTCTGACCTCTGGTTTGGACCACATCGCGGGGCGCGATCCCAAGGGGTTCGCTTGGTCTGGGGATCCGGTCATCGGCTCAAACCTAACAGCTCGCACGCCCGTTTCTGAGTGTCCGTAGGGACGGACTTCACTTCGGGCTCGGGCCAAAGGCTATCGCCTCCCGATCCATCACGGTATCCTCTGAAGCCCAGGCCCTATTGATACATGTACCAGAGGCACCCGCCGGTCCGCATTCGAGGTGGACATGCCGCCATCAATTTTGTTTTCTGGTGAACCCTGGGGCACTTCAACTGGTAGCGAGCGAGGCTGGATAGATCAGATGGAATCCGGGCCGCGCACGTACAAGACGCCGACGGAGAAAGCCGTGGTGAGAAAAAGAAGGGGATCCGGCCGAAAAAAGTTGCGCGCAAGAGCGAATTAAATTGGTCGCCATTCTCCTCTTTTTCCCCTTCTTTCCAAGGCACGTTGATTTAGCGACTGGACTCGCCTCCCATTCCCGCCCAATCGGGGAGGGCTGCCAGAACGAGCCACGCGGCCCGGATATTGAAATCATCATCTTTATCCAGCACATCTTCCCCCTTTTGGCCATCTTTTTTTTTTTTTTTCTCTTTAACAAAAGATGACTGAAAGCGAACTTCCCTGCTTGCCCGCTTACTTTCGACATCCCCCTCCCCCATCCCTAGATCGCTCCTCGATCGAGACCGGGAGTTGAAATAGTGTTGTTGCGCGCGCCCTGTCGATCAGTGTATGACGTGACCCACATCAGCCGTGATCTTCGTGGACCTCTCGAGCAACAAGACAAAAGCTTCTTCCCAAACGTGTTCCTAGGGCGGCAACGGGAACCATGGTGCGCACGGGGTGCCAGCTCGTCAAGTCGACCGCAGATCCTCCAACTTTTAACTGGGCCCGGCAAAGCGAAATGCCATGCCGAGAGTTCCTACCATGACCACCCGCCCATCCAAATCCGGACAGGCACGTCACTCGAGAATAGCATCGCCGCGGCTAAAATGGCTACCGAATCAAGCTCAACGTTCCCGGGGCGGGGCAGAAGGGAGGGGAGGATGAAATTGGCCAGGCTCTCTCTCTCTCCCTCCCTCCTTCTTCGCGCAGACGTGGACGTCTGGTCATATGTGTACAGCTTAGCGATAGGCAAGGATGGAGAGGGCTGGAGGGAGCGCACTCGAGTAGGCCGGGACCATGGCGTGAAGAGAACCGGCCGCGATAGCCGTGGTCAGCCCACCTGTTTTTGTTCTCTCTCTTTTGGTCATCCCTGGGGCCCCCGCGAGTCAGGGCAGAAATCTTGCCGGCGGAAACGCGGCACTGCCGTGATGTGACCAGGGACGCAATAACGGCCCCGGGCACGTAGAGTGGGTTTAGATGAAGGGAACACGCACACACTCTGCTCTGAACCAAGTTGTACTTTTCTCGCTTCATTCCGAAGGGAAAACGTAGAGTATTAGATAAGCGCCTTCCCGCTAGACGCCAAGAGGAAAAAGGAAGCAAGTAAAGAAGCCGGTGACCATTGGAGATAATCCTGTGTCCTCTCTGTACGCGTGGTTTTTCTTTTCTTTTCTTCCTCCATTTCACACCTATCCATCTCTTTTGTTTCTCCCTCACTCTCTCTCTTTCCATCACACTCTCTCACTCTCTTTCCTTTCTTTCCGATCCTCGCTAGCCGCGGATCCGCCTCCATCAATCTACTCCGACGAACAAAGAAGAGTCCGGGATCGAAGAGAACGGACCGGATTAGAGCAGCTGGCCACAAGAAGCTGCGCTGCCTTGTAATCTCCCATCACCCTCCGGGAAGGGTGCTTGCTTGATCGACACCGACTTTTCAGTCTAGCCTTCCTTCGTCGCCGTTTCTCCAGGAGAGCGCATTTCCTTTTCTGCGCTTAGCTAGGTTACAGCGCGACTCCAAGTCTCTACCAGTTGCGGCGTGGCCCGCCATCGAGAACGGAGCCCACAACGATAATCCGATTCGTGCAACCGACCACGATCTTGTTCTTTCATTCTTCTGCAATACCCCAACCCACCAGCTAGCCTAAGCACCCGACGCCATGGTACCTCCTCGCGTAATCCCCGGCGTAGCGCTCGCCCTAGCTGCTGTAACCTCGGCCCAAAGCACCAGCACGTTAGCTGAGTCTTCCCTAGACGATGTCATCTCAAGCTCTTTGGCCCCAGCCACCCCGGAGCCCACGACTCTCATTCCACACACAGGCACGAACGGAAAATTCGTGACGGCAGTGGCGACGAACACGACAACCACAACAACGTCGTCTTCCACGAGGGTGGTCTCGGTCTTTGCTTGGACATCCGAGGAGACGAGGAGCGGGGACTCCCATACACCATGTTCCACCGTGATACGGGATCGGTTTTAGGGGCGGACGAATCTCTGACGACGCTCGTCATCACCGGGACGGTTACGGACCTGCGCACACAAAGCTTCATACATACCACGACGACGGCGGCACCGGGGAGGAGGAAGGCGGCGACGATGACGATATCGAGCGCGAGGGCGGATATCCGCCCCGCAAGCCCAGACCCGACCTGAATCGGAACCGGACGGCGGCACCGCGCACCATCACGCAAGGGCCGGGGACCTTTGAGTATACGGCGACGAGGGGCCGAGACAAAACGGTAGTGAATAGGTGCCACCTGGAGGGCCAGGCCAGCGCGGAGTGCAACGTCACGCACGTGGGCAAAGGGTGGTACACGAAAAAGCAGCCAGACTTTGTGGGAGAGTGGAGCACGTACAACTTTACCTGGACGAGCGGCGGACGGTACGGATTTGCGCCCGTGACGCTCACGGCAGGCCTGGAGAAGCTGCCCAAGGAGACTGCGCCGCCGCCAGATGTGGAGAATGACGGTGGAGAAGAGGGGACGGGAAGCGGGTCGGTCCGAGAAATGCTACACGGCGCCGGAGCCCCGGCCGCCGCGGCAGCGGTGCTAGTAGGATTTGTGTTGGGGGCTTTCGCCATCATCTAAAAAATGAGGGTAAGGTGGCGTCAGACGACGAGTTTGAGGATGTTACCTTTTCTTTCCTTTGTTTTCTTCTACCTTTTTTCTTCTTCTTTCTATATGTGAGATGCATCTGCCACATCACTCTTCAACTTGGGGCAAAGGCGTTACTGAGGGAAGGAGGATCATATACCAATTATGCTACAGGGTACGTGGTGAGAGATGGGGACGGCAATCAACTTGGCCCCAAGAGGCTTTCAAACTGCACACTCTGCCTTTACGTTCTCCCGTGTGTATGCATGCGCCTGTTTTCGCTGTAGGAGTGACGCGCCAGTCAAAGCCTGATAGGGCGATTCGCAATGAATGTCTACCTTTTCCATCCCTCACCATCCCTTTTGGGCTGAGGTGCTGAGTCTTTGGCCTAGTCTACCAGCATAACACGAGGGATGAGCTGCTGGGAGAGGGAATATGCCGATCTTAAGGTGATGTTCTCTCCAGGTGCGAATGGGCTTACAAGTCTTGTCGAGACTCCACAATGCCTCGCCAGCTCCTGGAGCAGATGCCACGCACCAGTTCATTCATCAAACGACCCCATCTTACTTCTTCCGACGAACCATATACGTGGCATCATCCCCGTACCCGCGCAGCTTCTCCGACAACGCCTCATCCGCCAACTCCTCCACGAAGCCGAACCGGGCCCAAAAACCCGCGGTCCCGTACACGGAGACGAGACCAGTCGACCCGCAGCCCGGCTCGGCATCGGCAACGGCAAGCAGCGCGAGGATGCAGCGCGCGGCGTGCCCGGCGCCCCGCAAGGACGGGAGCACAGCCACGTCGTGGATGTAGTACTGGTCGGCGTCGGGCGCGAGGGCGCCCCAGGGAGTCAAGCGCGGGCGGGTGGCCCGCGCGGATGGGGTGCGAGATGGCGTAGCCGCAGACCTCTCCCTCGCTGACTAGCGCGAGGCAGCCCCGCGGGAAGAGAGCGATGCGTTCGGCAAAGACGGCGGGGCTCTCGGGGAGCCCGGGGTGGATGAGGTCGGCGACCCGCATGAGGCCGTCGACGTCGGCGGTCGTCATCTCTCGCCACGTCGCCATGGGTTCGTAGTGGGGTTATTTTTCTTCTCCTTTTTATCTTTTTTCCTGCGAACACGGGGTTCAAGACCAATGTGCTTGACGATCGCGATACTTACTGCCGGTGATTTCTGTTTAAACAGGTACAAACGTGAAGAGTGGTTGCCACACGTGGAACGCGCTGGGCGCTCGCTCGCCTCAGGCAGGGGCCATCACATGAGGAAAGCGGGGAATAGCGGCAGAATATCAGGTATGAAGAATTGCGTCCAGGGTGTTTTCTCAACTGTAGCCAAGGATTGTGCTGTGTTGTGGTGTTACGAAGGGAATCCCAAATCTCGTAACCCAACGCGTCTCTTCCTTCCTCCCGCGAAAAAGACTCCCAAAACCCCCTCAGGAAAAAACCAGTCAAAAGAATTAAGCCACTGCCTCAAAGAAAAAAAAAAAAAGAGAAGATTACAAGTCCTCATCAAACGTACTCCAAGGTAATAAAGTTGGGTTGTCCTCCAGCATAATAGCGTCTAATCGAGCCGGGTCCGCGCCCTTGAGGAGGAGCAGGCTCTTAACCTTTGTCGAGCCGTTAAACGACGCCCAATGCAGCAGCGTCCACCGGTCATCCACGTCTTCGGCCCCGTAGATCCGGGTATACTCGTGTTCTCCGCCCTCGTCCGGCGCGTCCCAAAAGACGTCGTCGTAGCCCTCGAACTCGTGCTCGCGGCCCGTCTCGGCGACCGCGTCCACGAACATACGGAACCGGTCAGGCCCTATATAGCGCGCAATGTCAAAGGCCGTCAGCACCCTATACGAGATGCCCGGGTCCTCGGGCAGCGGCGCGGGAGCGTCCTTTGGTGCACGTCGATGCCGCTCCGCAGCACGAGCCGCATGACGCGCGGCGCGCCAAAATAGACGCAGCAGTGCAGCAAGTTCCACCCGTCGCCGTCGAGGCAGTCGTAGGCGACCAGTCCGCCCGCGTGCTCGACGAGGGTCTGAAAGGTCTCGAGGTTGTCGTGCGACGCGGCGAAGAAGAGCGCCGTCCAGCCGTACCACCGCGCGCGCTGGTCGTGGGACGCGCCGAGCTTGAGAAAGGCCTCGATGTCGGCCGACGTGCCAATGGCGGCGGCCCGGTGCAACGCCGTCCACCCCCTCTCGTCGCAGGCGTTGACCTCGGAAAATCCGTTGGAGAGGCAGAGGCGCAGGAAATCGAGCGACTTCTCGGGCCGCCCGTCGGCTACCCAGAGGTACGAGAGCACCGAGTACCCGTCGCTATCAACGTGCTCGATGTCGGCTCCCTGAGAGAGGAGGGTCCTAGAGATATCGAGGTGCCCATGGAAGAACGAAGACTGAAGTGTTGTCCTAGCGGCCGGTGATGTTAGTGGAAAGAGATCTGGTATCCCAACTCTCCGCCCATGCTTAAGAGCCTGTGCTAGCCAAACGTAGGTACTTACATGTTATGCTTCCCATACGCAAAATTAGGTCCGGCTCCGTAATCTAGTAGCAGGCGAACAAGTGGAGCTGAGCCCCTTGGACTGCATACTATCCCATCTCGTTTACCTGGTCAAAACACGACTATGTGGCGAGGATTTGGAGGAAGGATGACAGAACGCTCTTGTCGCGGAGTAGACTTACCTCCAGCATTGGATGCCCTGAAGGACACACGTCGCTCCCATGGGCGCGGCCTCTCATCAGTAACTGGCGGGCTGTCTTGAAGTCGCCTGCCTTGCACGCAACCACCATTTCCGAATCCATCGGAACCGTGTTGTACACGCGCAAAGTGCGCTGGATAGACAAGGCCGGATAGGACATTTGCAGCTGTGCAGAGTACAGCTTGCCAAAGAGAGAGATTTGTACAGTGGCCAGGTAAGCTGCGCCCTCTTGCCTGGGTTGCGTAACGAGCTGCGCCGAGAACCCCCATCGGCCAAACCGCGTCGTCTTCGGCAAGAGTTCCGTTGATTCGACCGGCACGACCCGAGACAATTGTAGGGTGAAGGGACTGAGTTGGGATATTCGAATGCCTGGTGCCGCCGAGTTGAGGCTGGAGTTGTGAATCATGGTAATGTTGTTGTGAATCGTGCTGCCGAGGATCTCACCCCTTTCGATCTTGTCCATGGTGGATTGTTGCTGGACAAGACGACTGTATATGATGCGGGCGACGCGTCTAGATTCCGGCTACATCAGTGACGGACTGACACCTTTCATGCGTCGGTGAAGGAGGGAAATCAAGTGGGGAAGAAAGAGAAGAAGGGAATGCAAGGGGGCCGGACGGCCTACAGCTGTTCCATCGCGATAATGGCTTGTAGTGTGCTCTGGGTAAACACAAGGCGGGTTTGCAGCTGCGCAAGGGCAGGCTTCTCTATCAGTGCCCATTTTGCCTTGCTCTTCCATGTATGCGGATCGGTCCTCAGGGGAAACGACGCCTCAATGTCCGATAGGAGCTCGCGGCCGACGGACACCGCCTGGATAAAGGAAGGCTCGGCGATTCCCGTCGGCGCGGCGGTAGACGACTCAAGCTCCCTGATTTGTTTCTGCAGGAGAAACGCGTGATCGCGGGCCCGGCTCAAGTCTTGCTCGGCGAGCTTGTAGTCGTCCTTAAATCGGCTTACGGCGCCGCTGAGTCTAGTCACGACGTCTAGCATCCCCACTACGCCTGCTGTTATTGATAAGGGGTCCATGTGAAGCGGCTCCGTGCTTTCTGTCGGGAGAAGAACGTACACGGTTCTAGGTCATTTCGCCTCCCGTTGAGAGACGCATGAGCACAGCAAAGAGGAGGGCCACTTCCGAATTATATCTAGGCGAAGGCATGTACAAAGATAATTGGCGTGACAGCCCCTCCCCGACCCTTGATCATCCGATGGCGCAAAAGAACATTTGTTCATCTTTGGAGCAGCGCGGCATCCCGGAATATCAATCACGCCTGCGTCGTGCTGCGATGGCCCCTGCCGTCACACCTTACCGCGAACCAGGCCAAAAGCCAGACCAAGTCTCCTGCCAACCCATGAATGCCCCCGTTGAATAAAGTGCGTTCGGTTCCACTGGTGGGTGACGGAAGGTCTCCAGCCTTCATGAGGCCTAAAGCTGATAGGACGAGAAAGAGTATCTGAAGATGCTTTACGGCGAGCGGGCATGCATGTCGAGTGGCCGCGGATGCAAACCCAGATTTGGATGCTGTGTCAGTTTGCCCATGTCTGATTGGTGTTGTCTACTCGACATGGCGATGGCAGGCAGGTAGCCCCATGAAACATGAGAGCTCGTCTTTCCATGCATTCACTATGCGCACAATGTGCCTTCGCGAGCACACCTCACAATGGATACTTTCACACAGACTGGACTGATTGACAACAACTTAGGCTTTCTAATTCTTAGATTTGATTTGGTGTATTGCCTAGGCGTTTTATTACTCGCTATCCGGCCGGCCGAGAACAACGGGGTTAATCATCCCATCTTCTTGCCGGGCCGGAACGATCCTGCTTCCTTTCGACTTTCGCAAGAGAGGCGAACTGCGTTGAATGCGGGGCGGTGAAGCGAATGGGTGGCGTTGGTGCCTACGCCTACGTGTGGGAAAAGGTAAAAGGGATGGAAAGCCCGGTCGAGTATGGAGCGCCCGGTCTAGACCGGGCTACATGAAGACGAGGCGGAGGCGGTCAGGTTGGCTCTGGTTCGAATTGACGATGACATCGCTTCTAAATCTATGGATATTCCACTTGCGCCCCATCTCAGACCGACCAGCCAGATTTAAAGTCATCCATGGATCGTTCTGATTTTTCAGCAGAGTGAAGTGGAAAAAGCTTCAGGATGGCGAGCCGGGCGCATCGGAGCGGCACTCTTGATGACAATACAACGTGGGAGCGAAGCCGATCAATCAGAGCGGCCTATTTATTTCCTTTGCAGCGCCCCTCAAATCACGGGCGACTTTTTAGACGTGGCCAGTTGTACTTGTGATCGCGCTCCCTTTGCCATACTTCACCACCCTGCTGTGCCGACACAAAGCAGCACGATCTATCAGGGGCCAACTCATCACACCACCACTCTTAATTCTCTAGAGACTAGGCCCCTCTTGCCTGTTGTGACACATCCTAGCCAAGCCTCTTTTTTCTTTTTTTTTCTGCCCGTTTCTTTTTCCCCTCTCCCCATCGAGAGAACGCACATGGCCCAACCTAACCCTAGCGCCGCCATACGCATCGGAGTGATCGGCGCCGGCGTCAGCGGCCTACGCGCCGCTTCCTCCTCGCCTCCGCCGGATTCGCAGTGACCATCCTCGAAGCCCGGGACCGTGTTGGCGGCCGCCTCCACCAAAGCTCTAGGCTTGGTCTACCCATCGACCTAGGTGCTAGCTGGATCCACGGGACTCGAGGAAACCCCTTGGTCCAGCTCGTGGAAGAAGCGAAAGCGACGACCGTCGCCTGCGGGGCTCTCACGTCGATATGCGACCAGGATGGGAACTGGCTTGACCCGGCTTCGGCGCGGCGGTACTATGAGGAAGTGTGGGAGATTCTGGAAAAGGCGATGGAGTGGAGCAGGAAGAACTGCGAGACTATTTCCTCCGAGGCGCGGATGATGGACTTCTTCATGGAGGAGGTTCGGAAACGGGCAGAGAGTAGGGGTGTAGAGGAGTACGAGGTTCTCATGGTACATATCTTAGAGATGTGGGGGCATTCATGGGTGACGATTGCTCCAGACAAAGCCTGAAGAACCTGTGGCTGGATGCCGGGCTTGAAGGTGGTAAGGTCACCCATCTAGTTTCACACACACACACACACACACACACACACGTACATTTCTCTCCCGTCTTCTCCCTCTTCCTCTTTCCCCATGTTCTATTTCTCGTTTTGTTAGTGCCGGAAACGGTAAGTGGCTGACTTGAGCGAGCTTTAATGTCTTCAAGATAATCTGTTCGTGGCCTCCACTTTCAGGCCCATCTTAGACAATCTCCTATCCACTGTGTCTGATAGTGTTACCTTGCTACTCAACTCAGAAGTTGTGCGATTTGAGAGTGATGGGCTCGGCAAGGTCGAGGTCCAACTTCTCAATGGAGATAGGGTCTCTTTCGACAGCGTCATAGTCACGGCCCCGCTGGGCTGGCTTAAACGCAATCAGGACGCATTTATCCCGCCATTGCCGCCAAGGATATCAACCGCGATCAGCAGTCTCGGCTTCGGAAACCTAGACAAAGTCTTTATCAAGTTTCCTACTGCGTTTTGGGATCCATCAAGCCCCCAAGCCAATGGTAGCCATGACGCTGGCGCGGACGGCTCTCCCATTCCGTCCTTCTTCCCCATTGAGTCCCTCTTCTTGTGCCCCAACTACGCCGCCGAGTCAAACCCGGGCCGGTGGCGCACCGAAATCATTTCCCTCTCCGGTCTGCCCGGCGCGCTTTCACAGCCCATCATCATGTTTTTTGTTTACGGCCAATGGGGAGGCACGTAACGGGTCTTGTCCGCGGCATGCCGCACGACTCTGAGGAGTATTGCCAGATACTCGATGATGTCTTTCGCCCCTACTACTCCCGGCTGCCCGGCTACAATCCGGCCAATCCCGGATGCAAGCCGTCACAGTTCTTGTCGACGGACTGGCAGTCTGACAAGTTTGCAGGCTACGGCTCGTTTTGCAACCAACCTGTCGGCTCGGGCAACTGCGAGGACCACCAGAAGGCGCTTCGAGAGGGTATCGGCGGCGGCCACGGCATCTGGTTCGCCGGCGAGCACGCCTCTCCGCCCGGCGGGCTAGGGACGGTGGCTGGCGCATACTGGAGCGGAGAGGAGGTTGCGAGAAGGGTAGCTCATCATCACGGTGGCTCGGCGGAAGGCTCACTCAGCTGATGTTTTCTCGTGAAACTCGGCGAGGGAGGAGGGTGCATCTCAAACCCGAGCTGTCGCACAGAGAAGATGACGGTACTCGAAAAAGAAATTAGAATAAGAGACAATTGGAATTTTTTTTTGGTTCTACGGAGCGGAGATGGAGTAGTAAGAGTATCATGGGTGCCAAGGCCTGTTGACACTTCGGAAGGGCATCCATGGTGGCTAGGCTAACGAAGCACGGCCCCTCCCCGATTCCCTATTTGGTATTGATGTCGCGAAACCGAAGCCATGCCACGCGGATTGTCAGCCCCACAACGCGCGGTACGTCGTGCGACCGGGGAGGAGGGCGGAATGGAAAGGGCACACGAATCGCTCGGGTTCGCACCTGATTGCCTAAAACGATCAATCGATCAATACCTTGAAGGAGCGGAACATAATGATAGAAAAAGGAAACGAAATAGAACAAAAGACTTTTGTCCCCATTCTTTGCCCTATCGCTCCTTGGAGATGACGTCAACGTTAGCACCCAAAGGGACTCCCTCTCACACTGATGTTGTCCATACGAAGTACGACGTGGTTAGTGATGGGAGGTGAGACGATAGGATATTGACGTTGCCTGGCTCTCTTCATCCTATCAACGCTTGTGAAGATGTCCGCCGCTGCACCGCCTTTGTTGATGCCTCAATGTCACCGAACAAGTTAGGAATAATATTCACACTTATCGACGATTTGGTCGTCCCTGGATTGAGCCAATTGATGCGTCGGCCATAGCTCCTCCTCCCCGCTTCGGTCTTTCTTTTCCCCCTTTCCCTTCCAAAATAAGGATATGAGTTGTGGATCGCCAAAAAGACCGATCTCGTTAGGAAGGATCAAACCGTCAAAAGAAAAAGAAAGAGACCAACGGCACGGCGGGAAGGAAGCAGCGAAAGGAGCAGGCACGACGTGCCATCGCGGCGCCTCCAACGGTGGAAACCAGCGATTCCTTCTCGAATCCCAAGAACAGGATACTTGGCCCCACACGTTCGGCCCCGCCAGCGTCGACGTACCAGCGACTTTGGCGACGGGCGCGGAGAGGGCGCAGAGCCCACAAGGCCCGGCAAACCCCACCACCGAGAAAGAAACAAGGGAACCTAAAATCCCGGAGCAGAAGGGGGAAATACAATGGAGAAGGGCTCAATATCTTTAAGCGAATCCTCTCAACCATTGGGCCTAGTCCAGCCCTGGGATGGATCATGCGAGCGACGGCCACGAATCCGGCAGCAGGGCTCGCCAACCGCGCCTCCTCCGGCCACTCGTTCTCTTCTCTGTTTTTTAATGGGGGTTTTTTTCTTCTTCGTTTCCCCTCCCGCCACCAGGAATCGAATCAACGCCCACTGAAACGCACTCCCTTAGCCCCTCCTCCTCCTCCTCCTCCCACCACTCTTTCTCCTGTCCGTTTCCCTTTGCTCACCCCCACGTCCTTGCAAAAGGGAGGTGCCGCGTAGCCGATACGGTTTGCTGAGCCGAGATGCCTGCTTACCATATTCCCACATCGCTACGGCGCTACGGTATTGCGACACGGTCGCCTATGGGCTAGAGAGTGGTATCCTGCCCGATGCTTGGTAAGGCGGGGCGGCTCAGTTGGCAGTGTTGCATATTTTGTGTGGGTTGGTGCCTGTGTCTTGTCCGTGTGTCTGTCGGTTATTGCTGTCTACGTGGAATTGAGGCTTTTGCCGTTCTCTCACTGGATAATTTGCGAGTCCGAGAGAATACGGACGGTCTGGGCCGGTACCGTAGCCCTGCACTTTCTGTAGCGCTCCCCAGCACGTGTAGTTCGAGAATGGAGATGGGACGACGGAGGATGAAATGTCACCGAGTCCTACCCCCGTCCCCCGGTGGCTTGCGTATGACTCGTTTTTATTTAAGTCTTCGTGGGGTCCTTCCTTCATCCTCAGATTCATCCCGATATCTTGGCCAATCTTCATGATCTCTCTCGCCCTCGACTACATACTCTCCATCTAGGAAGCACTAGGGTCTCGCTCCATCTCTACTGCCACTCCATACAACGTTATAAGTTATCCGTGCCCACCTCTCTCGCCCCTCTATCTTCAACCGTCAACTCAACCTACTTCCAATCTCTGGTCTTATCGTAGCTCCTCCGCTGGTTTTGGGCGCTCGCCTTCAAGTTAAAGAAAAGGAACGACGCAAAGGAATCAAGAGTAATCGCCATCGCAGCAAACCCCTCCCTCCTAGACAGGATGTCCAACATCACCGATGTCCCCGTCTTCCCCTTCCTCCCCCTTACATCGTCGTCTTCGGTCCCGAGGCCAACTGCACCCTCGACCTCTGCCCCATCGAGTACTCCGTCTACCGCTACCGCCCCAGCCTAGCCGCCAACATCGCTTTTGCCGCCATCTACGCCATTGCCCTCGCCATCCATGCCTACCTCGGCTTCCGCTGGCGCCAGGTCTGGTTCGCCTCCTGCATGGTCATCGGCTGCCTCGTCGAGATCATAGGCTATGTCGGCCGCATCCTGATGCACGGCAACCCCTTCATGTTTGCCGGCTTCATGACCCAGATTGGTAAGTTCCCTAGCCCGGGATAGCACGAAGAGGAGAGGAGAGAAAAAGGCATAACTAACACAGTACGACTCGACGCACCAGTCTTCATCACATCCGGTCCCATCTTCTACACCGCCGCAATCTACATCACCCTCTCCAAAGCCATCTCCAACTTCTCCCCTGACCTCGCCCGCATCCGCCCCTCCCTCTACTACTGGATCTTCATCCCCGCCGACGTCGTCTGCCTCATCCTGCAAGCCGCCGGCGGCGCCCTCTCCACCATCTCCTCCGGCTCCAACCAGACCGGCATCGACCTCGCTTTCGCCGGCCTCATCCTCCAAGTCGTCGTCATCGCCACCTTTTGCTTCCTCTTCGCCGACCACATGATTCGCTCCTACCGCCGCGGCCGCGCCTTCGCCGCTGCCGCTGCCACTTCCGACTCCGAGTACCCCGCTGCCGCCCCCGACTCCTCTTCTGCCGAGCCCGAGCCGTGGCGCATGAACGCCTTCCTCGGCGGCCTCGCCTCTGCCATCCTACTCATCCTCGCCCGTTGTGTCTTCCGCTGCTACGAACTACGAGAGGGCTACTCTGGCTCTACCATGTCCGAGGAGGGCCTCTTTATCGGTCTCGAAGGTGTCCTCATTGTCGTCGCCGTTGCCGCTTTGGGCTTTGGCCACCCGGGTCTTGTGTTCGATAGGAAGAATCGCTCTGTCAATGGCCGCCCCGTAGAGAAGCTTGGCGTCGCTATTTAGGGTATCACTACAAACCCCAAGGTCTCCTGCAAGGCCCCATTGACTTTGAAAAGTTATTCTTTCCATAAGCCAACCTGAGGGGTGGCGGAAATCATTCGGGCGACTTTACAGCTTCCTTATTTCCTTTTTTCTTTACCTTTATTCCTGTTGATTTATCTCTTGGCGGTGTCCATGTGCATTTCAAGGTATCCAAGGCGTTGTTGGTATAGATGATCTTTGTCAATTGATACCAAACTTTTATCTCTCATTTACGGCCTCGCCGGCCACATTTGGTTAACAGTACTTGTATTTCCCCTATTTATGCTGTGCGGATCAATTGACCGGCCCCTCTCGGATAGTGATACTGAAAAAATCGTCTGCTGTTCTGCCTGGCTTAAGCTGTACTTGACAACGAGCCCATTCAGAAGGCGTCCAACGCCACCATTTCCTCCTCCTCACCAGCTCCATCGTAACCGCCCTCATCAATTGAGGAGGAGTACTCGAGCGACGTCCCCGGTGAATCCAACGAATCCGTCCCCCCGTCTTCCCCAACCGAGGACAAGGCAGCTCTTGAGAGACCTGTGCGAGCCGGTCCCGAGCCGCACATACCCCACTCACGGGAAACTGCCTTCTCTTTCATCTTGACCCAGCTTCTCAGTGCGTCAAAGTATACAATTGCTACCTCGGCGCTTTCTATATGATAGGGCATCATCTTTATCTCTTGGCAGAGCGAATCGAAAAGCCTTGATTTAAACTTGTATCGCTTCAAATTCCTTTCCGAGCAAGTGAGCCTCTCAAACATACCATCCATTTCGGACCGGGTAGGGCTCGCATGCTCCTGGGCCTCTTGAAGCGCCAAGAAACCTCTTCGTAATGTATTGCATTCGGATTTGGCCTCTTTCACTAATTTCCCGCTCTTTCTGAGGTCCCGGATAACCGCATCGCAAAGCGCCAGTTTATCGTCCAGCTGCTGACGGAGCCCCTAGATTACTGAGCGGGTACGCCTAGTCTCCGTCAGATGGCCATCTAGACTGTGAAAACTCGTCTCCGGGTCGTGATCAGAGGACCGTGGAGTGGGGGTGATGAAGGGTGATCATCTCTTATCAGATAGATGGCGTCAAAGGCCCCGATTGTTGATTTCTCGACCCCGTTGTCGCCGTTGCCATCTCCTTCTTCATCACCATCCTCTCCATCCCCTGACCACCGGCCTTGCCACATGGGTAACTGGCTCGATTCCGAGTTCATAGATTTCCGGGCACCCTTGGCTTTGATCCTGTAGCCGTAGAGGCTCGAGCCAACGCGCTTTAGAGTGGCACCCAATACGCTGCGGAGGAGTCTTGTCTGGACTGCGGGAACTCTCGCGTCGACTTGAGCCGCATCCAGATGTCTAATAGCCGCACCTCGTGGCCTGTCCACGGCGGGAGTGTCCTCGATGCTATAATCGCCGGGACCGCCAAAGGAAGCAGTTCCGTTGTCGTCATTATCAAAGCTAACGGAATGGCTCATGGGTAGCCCATCTGCCTAGTCTGGGCTCACCAGCCACCGTGTATCACCATCTCTTCTGATCCCGGAGGCCCACGAAGGGGTTGCTACGCAAAGGGTTAGCGCCTGACATTTTAAGACTGAGGGGGACGGGAGTGCGTGACCGTTACACTACTTACTCAAACGGGCCCAGAGTTCTATAGTTTTTAGTTCATTGAATTTTGCCTGGGAGAGCAACCACAGCTTCAGCGTGCCGCAAGTTGCGGCCGAACCCGAAAACCCATCGTTTTCATCGTATCCAGTAATCTCCCCGTTTATTGCTCTGCTCTTGGCTGCGATGGCCAGAGCCCCCATGTCGGCATTGAGGCAGTGCCACTCCCATTCCTTGATGCTCGAAAGGCTCAGGCCTTTTGTAGCAAAGTACGCCTCTCGGATCTCATCCACCGTCTTTGGGGTCGGTCCTCGGTAGTGACCTAGCGGGGCGTTTGCAGCGGCATGGGCGTCCGAGAACTCGTAGGATTCTAGTGAAGGCTTGCTAGATATGTCGGTTCCATCTATGCTGCCGCCGGGACCTGCTGCGGAGGTTCTGCACCGAGCCTGGGGCTCTGACTCCTCGCTTGCCTCTGTTTGGGGGAGGCCCGTAGTGTGCTTGCTACCGTGGGACGGCTTGCATAGTATGGGGGCCTGGCGGAACGCGAGAGGTCTCTTCCGGTAGGGTTGGCTTGCTTTTGGGCCCTTCCACCAGAAGGAGGCGAGCTTGATTTGGTGGAACGATAATATGATGAAGAAGGCCCCGGTCTTTCGGAGCCGTGTGCGTGTGGGGAAATGGGTGCACCCAAGGCAGCCATCTTCTTCAAATGAGTGGTTTCTAGTAATGGATAAAGAAAACTGGATAATAGCAGATGGCGGGGGATGACTGAAAACAATAGAAATGATTGTCTAGCATTTGACCGGGAGTGATCAAAACTACTGAAATTACTCGGAGACGTCGTTCAAGGTCTGACGGCGACAACGAGAAGAGACGGATATCGTTGAGCCATGGTGCATGGAAGGAAAGTCGCGCCTGGATCTTCAAGACACGAATCCCTGAAGCTCGGGAAAGAGCAACGGTTTCAACATCACGCATTTTGGAAAAGGAAGCTGCTAGGCCTGAAATACACCGACTGCTCCTACCTACTCTCCCAGTCAGCGGTTTTGATCCGTTCCAGCCCACTTCTCCAAACACGAGTCGAGGGCACTTTCCGAGGTCTATATACCCCCAAAACCCCACTTACATATGCCAGACCGTGGGGTATTGAGTATCCATCACCAAGTTACACCTGCTGCCTGAGGAGGATAAAAAAATAAAAAGAAGCAAAAAGTCATCAATCAATTGGTGATAGTCCCCACAAGCATCTCTCCCAACATGATCTGAAGAACGTGAAGCAGCTTCCCCAGCAAGCGTGTCACCTTGATACCCGCGCGTCCGTGCACGTCCCAGGAAGCTGGTCGACCTTGCAACATCCTCTGATTTCTGCACCCCTTGGCGCTAAACCCACCCCCTTTCCAAGGCCCCCTTCCCCCTGTCTCCACCCTCCCGCATTTGTTCAAAGAAAAATAAACGCGCTAAGGAAAACGAGCAGCAGGAAGGAAAAAAAGAGAGGGAGGGGATCCACATGCGTGGAGAAAGGGAAGGAAGAAGGGGTCAAATGGATGCAGGCGCTTCCTAAACGGGAAAGCTCACGACGTCGCGCACGTTTGAACGTTTGAACGCAGGCTCTCGACGCCAGGGGACGGGTTTGAATCGATTGAGAGAGGCAGTTCTTTCCAATATTCTACCACAGACCCGGGGAAGGCCTTGAATTTTGAAAAAGCTCCGACTGTGGGATGCTTTTGGACTCATTCGAGTTTCCAGAATGGCCGCGGTGGGTCGGCATTTGTGGTGATGATTGCTTTCGCTCTTTTTCTCTTCCATCCATCTTATGGGAACTAAGACGCGACTCGACTTCTCGCGTGAGAATGAACAAGGGCACCACAATACCATGATTTACATTGACGCAATGAAGTAGGATGTACTGATTGGCAAAGAGAGAAGACCGTTTAATGCAGCTGTATAAACCGTGTAGAAGACTCCGAACACCGTTCCAAAGAAACACGCACAAGAGCACATCCCGAAAGGCAACTCGGGTGCTAGAAAGATGCCTGACCCGCCACGAAGCATGAATCCTCGTCCCAAACAGAGAAAAAGAAAATAATAGTAGAAAAAAAGGACAGGAGAAACGCAACCGTCCTTACAAAGACCAACCCGAAGAACGCGTCTATATCCTAAGAGGGAAGAAATGTAATGTTGACAAGTCGTGAAAATGACCTATTAAAAGGCAAAGTGAAGGGGGACAAGCTCGCGATGTATTTGATTCCGAATGATCCAACGCCAGTCAAAAGCATGTTGAACGTGATTGTTTGGGGGGGTTCTTGTTTCTCTTCCAAAATAGTCAAGAAATAAACTAGGACTCGCCGCCGTGAGCTAAGCGGAGGAGCCCATTCACGGCACCGCCCCTGAGGACGCTGCTTGTGAGCTTTTCCTCATTGCCGAGGGACCCTCGACGTGGAGTGAGGAGGCCAGACGCTGTGGAGAGTAAAGGGGGAAGCGTGAGTTCTTCCTTGGCTGTGGTTTTCGCGGTCGTGGATGTGCTGTCCGCGCTGCCGAATTGGACCTTTTCCCGAGTAGCGGGTGCTGGCGATGTTGGCCCGGCGGATTGTTGTCTCGTCGCGTTCAGAGCGCGCTCAGCGGATCCGGCGCCGTCGGCTTGGCAAACGGACATGGGGGAGGAGGGCTGCTGCACTCGAAGGGTAGGCACGGGGGCGGGCTTGCGCACGGCCGCCGACCGCGCCTCGAGTTGTGTAAAGGGAACATGGGCTTGGCCTGTCCGGACCTTGTAGTTGGCGAGCCTAAGTCGCGCTAGGAGATCACCGGCCATCTGTGACGAGAGAGTTAGCTACGCGCCTTGCAAGAAAAACACGTTGAAGGATGGGATGGAGGGTGCCTATCTGCGAGGCCTGGGGAATGGGGATAACAGTAAATTGTGAGAATGAGTGAGAGTGTACCTTTCGCGTTTGGGCACGCGACATGGGCGGCCTTCGGGATGCATCGCCCATCTCCATGTCTGTCATGGTTGAGGTCTGCGTATCCAGACCGGACGAGTCAAATATGGAAGACGCGTCCGGCGAGGCGGAAGGGTATCTTTCCGTTGTCATTGTCTATAAAGAAGTTTGAGATCATGTAAGTATATCGTTGCATAGCACCAAAGGGTTCGAGGTAGTGGCGGGTACTTACAGCATCCTCGCTGGTCGCCCTCTGGGAATTGCCCACCTCCATCTCTACACACGTCTTCTTGACAACGGCGTTCTCGTCGCCACCATAGACCTCGAGCGGCCTCTTGCGAGCTTCAGACCCCGCGTTCTTCACGGGTGACCGGGACAAGGCAAGGCCGCGGATCGACACAGGGCTCACGGGCTTCTTGAGATGGGGGTGTTGCTGCCGAGCTTTAGTCGGGCGGGCGTGGGTGACTGCTTGTTCGCGTCGAGCGGGGCGAGGGCGCGTCTCCTCTCGGGTGTTGCTGTCGACATGGCTGATAGGAAGGTAGGAGGGCGGGAAGTGGAAGAGGGAGAAAGCAAAAGAGAGAGTAGAGACCGCGCCGACGTGAGGATGTCGGGAACACGAGGGACGCGACGAAAACAAAAGAACGACTGGGGAATAAGGGGAGGGTGAAGAGCTCTCAAGCGAGTGTTTGGAGAGAGAGAAAAAGGGCGTGAGGTGAGGGGGAGGAAAAAGAGTTAAAATCGAGGTTCGAAGAGAGGACGTGATGTTGTTCAAGGCGAGGAAAGAACTGAAGGTGGTCGAAGTGGACGGAGCCGGGTTAAGAGGGCGGTTTGTACCCGTGTAGGAATAATAGGTGGGAGCGGTACCGCGATCGAGGTACCGCGTTTAAGTGGAGCTGCTCCCTTCCTGGGGGCGGATTTCACTCAGTGTGCGAACAGGGCAATTGGCCACACTGATTATTTCTTTGTTGAACCAGGCTCAAACTGGGCCGATCAATTGTGCTCAGCCAAGGAGCGCCACCCACCTTTGGAGGCCAGACCCTTGTATTGTCGGGAAGGACAGGGCCCCCTCCTCTAAAACATGCCCACTGAGTCGCTGAGTGTTCGCCGCTGCAGTGGCCATTGAATTGGCACCTGCTCATTGATCAATTGTGGATGATACGAACCACCGCGCCGAGAGGGTTCGGGGTGCCACCGGGGAAAAAGACCAACACGAAAACACTGGCCAGGGGATTGGCAAGGAGTAGAATACCGTTTTCGTGAGAACCCGAGGGCGCGATCTTTTGTTCTCTTATTTCTTCCCCTTTTACGCCCTTCTCTTCCCCTCCGCCTATTTTCTAGAATGGGGCGCGGGCGCGACTTTTTACGGTCGTCGCATCCATTGATCTTCTTGTAGACACTAGTATTTCATGAGCTCTCCTAGCTGATGGTTCTCGAGTCTCAGAGGAATAAGACAGGACGGGGAGCACTGCCAACGGCACGTGCAGGAACACGCTAGTGACTGGCATGGAGCAGAGCGAACTGCGCGGAGTGAACCCCCGAAAGGCCCCAAGCCAAGCTCCAGTCTCAACCCTGATCAATTGGGGGTGTTTGGCTGTCAGGGTAATAGGCAGGGGCCTGACGTGTTTTTGGCTGGCCAGTGTTTTTCGCGGGACTGGAGGGGTGTGCGGCGAGCAGAAGAGGGTTGACGGCGACGCGATTTAAACAACCGGAATAATTACGAGGATTGTCTACAGCGACATGAACACGGATCAAGCCCATTTGATCAATATCGTCATTTCCCTTTTAATCCTCCCGGCTAAGAATAATAACTCTCTCTACGCTGCCCCGGCCGATGTCGAGAGCACATCGGTTAGGCAAGAAGTTGCTCAAACGAACTGCGAGTGCAAGTCCTGATCGCTTGATGACGTTTCTAGCGCACCACTCCTCTTCGTGGTCGACATTCTGTACGGTAACATCACGATGGTCTATAGCAAAGAAGGGAGGGTGAACATTGAAGTCCAAAGACGATGCTTGTACCTCGGCAGACCTGACCAACAGTTCAAACAACCATCACGAATCGGCACAATGGCTTGGAGTAATAAAGGGGCGTCGTGGTGGAAACAATGCAGAGGGATCCATTCCATCGCCGTTGCTATTTGTGCATGTGCACGCGCAGGACAATGCCACAGAGGATTAATTGGAGCAGGCATCAGTGGTGGGGCACGCCACCGTCGCGGGAGCGGGTATGGTGTCGTATGGTGTCAAGAGGGGGCCAAGGGGGCGTTGGAGATGGACGAGATGAAGCGGGACCAACTTTGACAGGTAGAGTTACCTGTGGATATAAATGTAGGTTGTTGTGTTCAATGTTTGGATGGCAAAATGGGGCTGTGGATTGTTGATCAAGTGTGTTTGTACATGTAAATATCAATACAACAAAGTGTTTATGTACAAACAAGATGCCTAGTTCGTCACTAGCGAAATACAACATTGAGCACAGCGCGGGTTGCCAGGGCCTGACACGGCATCAAACCAGACCCTTGATTCAAACTTCATCTCCCTCATCTGAACTCCACCCCTCCTTGGAGGCAAAGAAGAAAAGAAAGATGCATGCACCCGTTGAAGATATCAATCCCTGATGGATCTACCGAGGTACTTGAGTATATCTATGAACATATCTAAAAAAGGGAATCGAAGCATTGATTCAACTCATAAAACGCTCACCTTGAAACCGACGTCAACAAAGTCCTCCGAATCCACATGCACACTTGGTTGCACATGCGGCGTGGCATCCAATCGACCGAACTAAATGAATAGAACCATGTCCGCGATGCGATGCATTCAGCGGCAGGTACTTTACAGCTCGCTCGTGGCTGACTCGATGCAGCTCATCCAGGAAGGCTTCCCCAGACGTCGAACCAGGCACAAGTGGTACATGTACGAAGTATAATAATAGCATGGAGACGACAAAAGCTCTGGGCAGAACCCCGTTGGCGATTTGTTTTGTCAACGCATCAATGGATCAATCAACATTGTTTGATCTGTCCATTGTGGCCCCCGTCGCGTTTAGCGGGGGAAAAGTCAAGTCCCTTGATCAATTGATGCAACGATGGAAGACCCCTTCGAGATCTACCAAGCTCTACATGTAGTTGTATCGCGTCACAGTAGAGGAGGCAGAGGGGGTGGGGTTAGGCGGGAGATTGTCCCCCATCTCGTCTAGCAAGGGAAAACAAGAAGGCTTCGTTCGGCCCGGGTCCGATACAACGGAGTCTCCTCTTCGCGTCAATGGCGATTGGGACCGGCGAGAGAGTCCAATGTTCATCAAGCTTGGAGAAGTTCCAAGTTCTATTTGTTGCACCAGTCCATCCACCAATTGGGCAAATTCCTACAGAGCCCGTATTAATCCACACGTCCATACTGGATCAATCAATTGTGGTCAACTGGTGGTATATTGAGAGGACACACGACAACCTATGTTACAAGTGCATCATTGATGTATTAGACTCAAGCGCGTAAAGTGGTTGTGGCAATGCGGGCGCGGGCGCATAGACCACAATGAGCCCACAGCAACTAGGACGAAAGAGAGAGAAAAAGTAACGTAGAAACGAACCTTCAAGCTCTCTTCTTCCCAAAATTCCCCTTCATCTCGAGTTTATTCCTTTCTTTTTTAAGGGGTGCCTAGGGAGGGGTTGCAAGGGAAGGATGCTCTCTTCCTCCGCTGCGTATTATGGAGTAAATCTAGCTCGTCATGGATGATACCTTGCTCTCACGGAGCTTATTCTCCTTCTATCTACATGGACGCGCGCGACACGTACATGTAGTGTCTAGGAGCATAAAACTACCAGCTCAAATCAACCCATGCACAGTTTATATTTCACTTTATATAATCGGCACTCCCCCGAGCAGGAGAATGGGGATGAAGGGGATGAAGGGAAGGAAATAGTGTGAGACCCTCCCGGCCTTGGACGCGACAACACGTTCCCTGCGTTCCCGGGCTCCCGTTCCTCACATTCCCTACCCCCATCTTGGAGTTCACGCGTCACCTTCTTCCATATAGACCAAAGGTGCCCTTATTACCTCACGCCTAAGAGTCTACGAAAGACGCCGCCGAGCCACTCAGTGGCTGGTTCGACAGAGAAAACTTCGACACTTCAAGTTGTATAAAGAAATACCAGGCCGTAGTATTACCATGCTATAAAAGCAAATGCGGGTATCATCCGGAGACCGCCTCCGTGTCTGCCTGGGTACACTAAGTTTCGCAACCAAGGAAAGAGAGAAAAAGAAAAGTGAGCAAGAGAGAACCCTAAAGGCGCCCGAGAGAGCCGAAAAAGAAAACAGAAGAGAGTAAGGGAAGCAGAAAAAACAACCATAGCGTTCCATCGTAACAGTTCCCTTCTCCGCGATATCCCCCTTGCTTAACATTAACATGGGAAAAGGGGAAGAAAGAAAAAGAAGCATGCGCACCAGAGACTACTCGGACAGCCCGAACCCACTGTCCCTCGCCTCTCGAAGTCTCTCCCCGAGCACTCACAAGCATCCCTCTCTGATGACTTTGGAGTAGGGCCAAGTCACTGGCAGACTGGTGTTGACCAGAACGTAGTGTAGATGAGAGAGTGGCATGTCGGGGAACGAGGCAAGACAAGACAAGGAAAAAGAGGAAGAAAAAAAAAGACATCAACAAAACGGTCAGCGCGACCAGCACCACATAAGCGGCATAAGGGGATGGAACAATTCAAGGAAAGCAAGGCTCAAAGACCATTAAAAACAAAAACTCAAAAATGTCCGGCAAAAAGATAACTCGATAGTGGTGTGTTACAGGTGAAGATTTGGCCCCTCCCCTACCAAGAAAAGAACTCCAAAGTTCCCATGCCTTTTGTTTTCCTGTCCCGCTTCCGGCCTTATAACCCATGCGCGTTAAACACCCTCCTGTGCTGTCGTCGTAATCGAAATGTGAAAATGGGGAAAATGAAAAGAGAAACTGTATAATGATGCGAGGGCAGACTCGGAATTACTGCATTGACGGGTCCAGGTAGAATCCGTCCTCGTGGATCAAAGGCTTGTCGAAGTCGATTTTGTTATCCTCCCAGACAATGTCGTTACCGGGAACGGTGTGCAAGGAATCCGAGAGAAGAGACTTTTCTAGATCGCCTACCTCACCGGTTCCTAGGCTATCCATATTGATATTCGTCACGTCCATCATGAACCCATCGTCTAGCGGCTGCCACTGCATATCCAAATCTACGGTACCGAATTCGGGTACGTCCGTGTTGGGCTCCGATGACCCGCTATCCTTGCTGGACTCTGGGGTATCGTTCGGTGTAAGAGCGAGATACACATTGGGGTCTGTGAAGACGCCACCCCAACAGACTCAAATCCTGGAATGCCCGAGAATAGTGTCTGGGGGTTGATGCAGTTGGCAAATGGATCCGGAGTGGGTCCTGATCGAATACCGTTGTCGTGCCCGGTCTTGCCGTTGCTAGCTTTGACACCTTCATCTTTTACTTTGCCTCCCAGTCTTGAGCCCGGCGCCTTACTTCCGCTCGCCGATCGGTTCATCGACGGGCCACGGGACATGGGCGTTGCGGCGAAGCTCGCCGGAGTCTGCCCTTGCCTCGATTGGCTCGCGCTCATAGCTAGAGCTCCTGGTTGAGGGGTACTTTGAGAGCCTGCAGCGTTAGATTCCCTAGAACGTTGCCATCCAGATCGAGGCCCAAGGTCGACGCCAGGTTTTCTTGGAAGAATTTCAACGGATTGTTCCTAGGCTGGATATGCTCGGTTTGAAGGTGGGCTTCTCTGGCCTCGTCATTCGGGAACACGACGTCGCAATCCGCCTCGAGGCAGGGGAAGACCGGTTTGGGAGTCGGCATCTTGACCTCGGTCCTCTTAGTCTCGGGAGCCGCTGTCTTGGCATGAGGCGAGGCCTGCTGCCGGCCGGTCGGTGTACTCTGCGGCTGGTTCTGCTGATGAGTGAACTTGGCCCGTTTCTTTGCCGGGATATGAAGGTTCATATCCTTTGCCTTATTGACATAATTGGGTCGCCCATGAGGTGAGGTTGCGCCCATCTGGAACGAATTTTGGCCCGCCGCTCCCTGCGCAGATTGATCTTGGGACTGAGCAGTTGTCTTGGCGCTAGCCTTCTGTTGCTGCTGCTGCTGGGGTGGCCGCGGTGGCTGCGTTGACTGTTGGGCCTTGTTGTTCATCGCTGCATTCTGCGCTTTGAGATTCTCAGCACTAAGTGGCGCCTGAGAAGTGGTAGAGGTCGTGGAAGCAGCAGACTGTTGAGATTGCGCTTGGGTCGCCGCCGCGTTGTTGCCCCCTTGTTGAGCCTTGCTGGCAAAAACTTGACAGTCTTTGCGTATACTCCGCAAAACATCAAAACCTTGTTGAACCTCGATAGGCGTGATCGTGAGCACTTCCTTGGGATTGGTGAGTCGGTCGGCATCGTGGAACTGACGAACCATCCGATATCTCTGTTTCATTGTTTTGTTAGAATATCTGTTCGGTTTTACACTCAAAGGAGGAGATGGAGGGATATGCCATCACGCAAATACTCACCGTTCGTAAAAATAGCCTCGCTCGATTGTCGTCGCGAGCGAGGGAGTACCATTTATACATGATCTTGCCCATGCGCCCCAACTCAAATGCTAGGCTCCGGATTCTCTCAAGAAGATCTTTACGTTGATCGATGGAAAGGTGGACCTCTTCCGCAGGTTCTTGTATCGCACGGCGTTGTTCTTCATCCGAGATCGCTTTCAGTCTTGCCCCAACTTCGTCGTTCGGTACCCCCTGCCTGAGGTCGGTTCCCAGCGGCTGCCATTTGATTTTTGAGGGCCTGTTCATATTTCGCGCGCTGTTCAGGCGTGAAATTGGCTACAACCTGAGGAGGGAAGGGCAGTGTTTGGGCTGGGCCTTGTTGGGACGCCGGTCTTTGCGAAGTAGCAGGAGCGCTCGTCTGGACCGGCATTTCCGGCGACTCTTCAGGGAAAGGTCTCTTGAGATTTTTCTGCGGAGGCGCGGGGGATGGTTGTGGTGGTTGGCCGCGGTTGCCCTGTGCCGATCCCTTCCTCGCAGCCGAAGTCGATGTCGCCGGCGTTGCATTAGACTTCCTTTGGCCGCCTGGGCCCTTGCCCGTGGTGGAAGCATTCGTTTGCGATGCTTGGGTAGTCGACGAGTGCTGAACTTGCTGCTGGGGTTGAGAGGAGCCCGATGCATCAAGTCCTTGGTGCTGCTGGAGGTTTTGTGACTGCTGGGCCTGTGCCTGTGCCTGTGCCTGAGCCTGGGCCTGAGCTTGAGCTTGAGCCTGAGCTTGAGCCTGGGCCTGAGCCTGGGCCTGAGCCTGAGCTTGAGCTTGAGCTTGAGCTTGAGCCTGAGCTTGAGCTTGAGCTTGAGCCTGAGCTTGAGCTTGAGCCTGCGCCTGGGCTTGTGCCTGAGCCTGGGCCTGAGCCTGAGCCTGCGCCTGCGCCTGAGCCTGAGCCTGCTGCTGCTGCTGTTGCTGTTGTTGTTGTTGTTGTTGTTGTTGCTGCTGCTGCTGTTGCTGCTGTTGTTGTTGCTGTTGTTGTTGTTGCTGCTGCTGCTGCTGCTGCTGCTGCTGCTGGCGCTGGAGCAACTGCTGGCGCTGCCTAATGAGCTGGAGGCGCATGGTCATCGCGAACTGTCTCAACTCATCATCTGACATGTTCATATACTTTGGGTCAGAGCTGCGAATCTTGGCAATTTCCTGCTCAGTGATGGGGGCTTGGAGAAGCCTTGTTTGTTCTGCATTCAGCTGCATCATGCTCTGAGGTGGAGCCCCCATTGCACCAGCAAGATTTGCCATGCCCTGCTTTTGACCCATCTGCATTCCGCGGCGCTTCATATAGTGCTGATATTGCTGCTTTTGGATAGCGTTTAGCTTGCCGAGGTGGGCCTGCGCCCTCGGATTCTGAGCGCACCACTGCTTGACATCCCGGTAGGTTTTTAGTTCGGGAGGGGCTTCGAGTTGTGTCAGGACTTGTTGAGGAACTTCCATATTGTCCAACATCTGCTGTTGCTGCTGCAGCTGTTGTTGCTGGCTAGCTCCGGCCGGCATTGCGGAGGGGTTGGGCCCACCAAGAGCGTTGTTCTGGGATACCATGCCGCCAGGCATGTTGGCTCCGCCGGACGGGGCCCTGTTCATTTGCTGGTCTGCGGGTTGAGGGACGCCTTGCGCCATGGTCTTAGCCATATTTTGCCTCTGGTGCTGCTGCTCGAGTTTGGCGAGAATCTCAAATTGCCTGCTTGGGGGAGGGCTAATAGACTGCGCTGTTGCTCTGGGCTCAGACTGTTGATGAGGTTATTATGCAAGGCTGAGTGCGTAGGGTTGGGTCCGGCGGCGCCCGGGTGCATCTGTCGCTGGTTGTTCATCTGACTGAACCGAGGATTAAGCCCGGCGGGGAAGGGGCTGGCACCGGGAACCATGCCCTGTGGACCTTCCATGGGATTCCCGTCGGGACGATTCGCCGGAACCTGGGCAGGGCTTTGCGACTGAGAGAGACCTCCATTAAGGCCGCCCGGTTGACCAGGTCCAACCTGTTTCCCCTGCATTTGGGCCGCTCGAAACTGCGCTTGGTTGACGGCAGCTTGTGGGTCCATGCCCATTTGGCCTTGGCCTGGCATACCGGGCTGGCCCGGTTTTGGTTGAACGTTTTGATTCGGTCCGCCCTAACGTTGCCACGGTGTTAGTACGAGATATTCGGGAGCTAGCATGGATGCGATAAAGGCCTTACCGGTACGACTACCTGACCAGCCTCCTGGGCTCGAAGACCGGCATTCTGCTGGTTTACTAATTCACCCATGTTTGCGAACTGGGAAAAGTTGCCTGCCATTTGATGTGGTCCACCGGGCATGGGCGCGCCCTGCGGTATGCCACGCTGCTGCAGCAGCGCTGCTTGTTGGGCTGGGTTCATCTGTCCAGCGGGATTTCCCATGCGTGCTTTCTGAAGCTCTTGCACGGCCTGATTCTGGAAATATATCACGAGAGGATCTCGCCCCTGGGACTGAAGTAGTTGCAGTTGTTGAGGGCTCAGTCGACGGGCCATCGTCGCACGGATATTCGCCTTTTGAGGTTCGGGTACCGCAGCCATGAGTTTCATGGCCCTCTCCAAAACTTTCTGGCGGTCCTGCGCCGAAAGGGACCCTATCTCGCCGGCGTTAGCGGGATGTTGGGGGTGAGCAGGCCGGCCAGCCATTCCCATCATCTGTGCATTCGGTCCCATCGGTTGTCCTCCAGGACCCTGCATGCCCATGTTCAAGCCCATATTCATCTGGTTCATGCCCATACCCATTGGCATTTGCGGGACCTGGCCCCCTGCATGGGATGTTGGACGTGCTGGAATCCCTGGTGTGGGCCAGGGCCGCCCCGTCCCATTTGCATCATATTTTGGCCCATTAAGAGCTGTTGGGCCTGGGCCTGGGCCTGAGCTTGTGCCTGTGCGGCGGCGGCGGCTTGGGCGTTGAGGGTGTTCCGGATATTAGGTTCATTCTGTTCCCGTTTCCGAAAGAATTCCTGAGTCTTTGTTGACATTTGTTGTTCGTATATTTCCTATATCACGCGTGTGGTTAGTATCATCGATACAGACGTCCATCCGCCAGCTTAATAGTGACTAAACAAATCCAAACCCTCGATCGGTAATGAGTTTGGTGGTGGTGGTGGGGAAACGACGAAGCGGCGAGTCAGGCGAAGCGTACCTTGGTTGGCGACTTGAAAAACATGTCGCGCTCGAATGTGATACCGGATTCAGTGGCTTTAGAAAACTCAACGCTTCCCAGAGCGAGGGCGACGTTTGTTATTCTAGTGAAGAGAAAAAGGAGTTCAAGTTAGAGTTTGTCTAAAAGGGGCCTCACTCTCTTGCGCGATACAAGACTAAGTAAAGTGAGTGTCAACCATGGCACGTACAAATTAGACGCTCGTGCGACACGGTCTGCAACTGGATAGCTGGCCTGCCATCCGTGTGGTTGAGGTGGGTGACTGTTCATGCTTTGGTATACGACCTGGCGAAGGGTCAAAAGGGCCTGTTGTCTGAGTTGTTGTTGCTGCTGCTGCTGCTGCTGCTGCGCCGGCGGCATCATCATGTGCTGCATGTTCGCAGCCATGGCCGCAGTTTTCCCCGCGGGACGTCTATTGTAGCGCTATTCAGGACTGTCAATAGAATCGATAATTGTCCAGCAGCCTCGGCGATCCGCTTCGGGTTGGAAAAAGGGCTCGGGGCGTTCGAAAGGGGAAAGAGCGATGGTGTCAAATGAGGTGATTGATGTTGAGATTGTATCGTCGGCTCGGTTTGGTAACGGATCGAGATATCGGGGAAAACAGAGAGACAAGGTATATAAGGACGATAGATAAGGTTTCAAGGCAACTCGTCAAAACTCTTTTAAAAGAAAAAATAGGGTCGATTATCGGTTGGGGCGCGCGAGATGCGTTGAGTAATTGTGGGCGGTAGTCATCAAACCCAAATCACTATTTTCTGTTCCTTGTCCGTAGCGAGGATCAACCAAACTTGAATGGTAGGGACGAGATCGTTAAAAAAGAAAAAAAGCTGTCGACAGTTTGTAAGCCAAGGAGGAATTTTCCCCTGCAATTCTTGCACATGAACACCACACGCGCGAAGAAAGGAAGTGAAGCGGGAGATGGTCGACGATCGAGCGAGGCACAAAAAGGGCGAAAGTTGCGTGACGTGGAGGGCGACGGGAGAAGGGGTCGAGGAATGGCGTTTTACCGATGTAATTTTTTCTCTCTCAAGAACCCTTTGTCGCGAAGAAGACGTGATGTGAAATAAGTAGGAAACAACTTACGATTTACAAGTCCACAGAGAGTAGAAGACGGCTCGATTCGGTCGGATCGCGATGGGTTCGCCGCTCGCCGAGGGATAGACAAGAGGATGGAAGAGGAGGCGGGATGGGAGGTGGTGGAGGTGGATGGATGAAGAAGATCGGGGACAGTAGTTGTGGTGGGAGAGAGTGGATTTGGCGGGAAGGGGAGTACGGTGGTGTTGTTCTTTGGGAAGGTTTGGAGGTTGGCTGGTTCCAGCCAGGAAACTGTACTACTTCCTCCTCTGCACAAGAGACTAAAGCCTAAGTACAGTGACGGGTACCCATGTACCGGGGGAGGGGCGTGTGAATGTGTCTTGGTCTATGTCTGGAGGAACGAAGGGACGTCACTTTTTATTCGTGCGCCGGAACCTCGATGGGGTGTGCAGGTGGTATTAGCTGCCGAAAGTCGAGACAAAGCAGTCGCTTCAAAACAAGACCATGGTGGTGATTGATGCTGTGCCGTCAGGGTTGAAAGGCTAGGAAGCTTCCGCTAAGGATGAGAAGAAGAAAAACGTAGTAAAGAAGAGGGAAAACGAGCACCTAGAGTGCGCGCGCGACACAATCATAGACAGTGAGAGAGAATGTGTGTGTGAGAGTGAGAGGGAGATCAAGAGGGGGCGTGTGGAAGGAACATTGAAAGCATGGGACCTTAATAAGAAGCCCATCAACTGGCAGTGCCAAAGAAGACCAAGATGAAGACGGAGAAGACACGGGCAAAATTGAGTGGAATCAAATGGATGTCGACGATTGACGAAAGATTGAAGAAAGGCAAGGTACTTGGACCTGACACCTGCAAGTACCTCCTTGGGACTGCTCTGGAGTCGACGACATGGCCGGCATGTATCGGTTGTACATTGAATGATTGGGGGATCTACTTCTTATCCCCACCCTACCTTTCAGGCACTGGGACAGACTTGGGGTTGGGACAGGCAGTAGGGGAGTAGGGGACTACCTTGAACTTCGAGACTACCCATTTGGCGGAAGGGAAGACATTGAGGGGATCAATTGATCAATTTGGGACCTGGCCGGCCGTGAATACAGCGCTTCTCTCAACTGTCGCTGAACCCTGAAAGGCCGGCCAAGGCGTATGCCTCTCCAAGTATAAAGGCAATTTGACATAACTCATAATGGGCTGTCAAAATCCTTTCTTGAATAGATCCTGCCATTTCGGTTTTCCCCAAGGGATAATAAAGAGGGCGAGAAAGTGCAGAAACGCATCTGATGCGGCCTCCTCTTTGGGGTGCACGACTCGCCTCGAGGTTCCGAAAGGACCAGGACTAGCCACAAGCAGTTGGCCATCCACAATTGGGGAAAGTGAATCAAGCAAGCCAGCAGACGGAAGTACAATGTTCGGATTAAAGTACAAGCTTTGGCGGGACGGTACGGTATTGCAGAAGGTACATGCGTACAAGTACACGCAGGTGTACATTGAGATGTTGTGTACAAGCTGAAAAGTTCAAAGTACTCGAGTACTTTGGATGGGTCAGGCGCCAGGCCTCAAGTGGATTTATCCTGTCTTGACCAGGGGTGGATGAAACGAAAAAGAAGACCTCATAATCGTCCATGTAGGCACAGAACACAATCAAACAGAAGAAGGCAGAGAGCAAAGGGCACAGAAGAAGAGGCGGAAAGGAGGAAATCGCAGAAAAGCACCATATATCTCCTCCTCAAGAAAAGTCGCTCAATGTCGAGGACCCCGTCTTGGACGGTCCCAGGTTTTCTCGCGACTCAGCATCGCCATATCGTGAGATGTCGCGCGGCAAACCGAGAACTCCACCAGCTGTTCGAAAGATGAAGCAGGGGACCTGGTCAGCGCCAGGCCTTTCTGCGAGGGTCGAGGCGGCGGAAGGGGTGTCGTGAACGACCACCCTCCAGCACAGCAGGGGTGTTGCAAGTGAGCCAGGGCGACATGGATCCCTCCCACAACTACCACCTCAGTGCCGTTTTCGAATCATGGCAGGAGACTCCTCTTGCCTTGCCCTTCCCACCACTTCCATCAGTGCAGCCCCCCTCTCTCATCGCTAACTATTGGGGATTGAGGCCTTCACCAAGGACGGCCGTTCGATGTGCGGAGTGGAGGTGGAAGCTAGGAGGGGCGTGGATGGACAGCCTGTGGCGTCTTCGCGCACTGCGGAAAGCGCTGTGGCCAGAGGACCGAAGGATTTGGTTGGCGTACAATGTGCGCCTCAACCCAAAGCAAGGGAAATGGGAACAGGCCGTCAGAGAGCAGGAGAGGGCTCCAGAAACTCTATCTTGCCTCTTGTGGGATGAGGATCCATCGAATAGACGCGGTGGACCAAACGAAGAAAAAGAGGCCTAGTTGGATTTAACCAATAAAGTTCAAAGTAATTGGTGGATTGGTAGATTGGTCGGTGGACCGCTTGCCCCCTCCTTGATGTGCACTCGAAAATAATTAGCTAGATACGAAGTATGAACAGTATATCGCACAAGCAAGGGTTCTTGCATTGCGCCCTAGTTTACCGCATGGGCACCAAGACCCTGGACCTACACTAGACCTTGATGCTGCGCGAGTCGCGGAGTATGGTTGTTTTTTGGCGATCCTAAACGCGCAGCCTGTGCTTCCAACCGCCAAGGCCTTCAAAGTTCATTCGTGACTAACAATCATCACCAAGAGACAACGATGCATGGCTCAGGGCCCAGCAAAGCAGCACTGCACAGAAAATGAAGGAAAAGAGAGGACATTGAAGAGGGATGAATAAGAAAAGAGGAAGTCGCCAAGGCCATCAATGGGAGCGAGGCCGGTGCTCCACAGGTAACATTGAATGGAGTCAAGGGATCCAATTGATTTGTGGGGAACATTCGCAGCTACGGGGTCCTTGGGGTCCAGGCGGATTCAACGTTCAAGGTGCTCAACCACAAATGTTGATTGCCGTGTAGGCTCGAGGAGAAAAACGACCGCTCGTACAAGTAATAAGGCTGGCAGAACAAAGTTCGCACCAATGTCGTACCCATCAATTGAATACTCTCAATTCAAGGTTCAGTTGAGGCCGCAGGAGCACAACTTGAAGCCCCGAGAACATTTGAAGCCTTCTCGATTGAGCTACCAGACCTCACTGGATGCCGCGGTACTATCGGCACAACACAGCACGAGTCTATCCTGTCTCGTTAGTCTATTGATTGCCACGACAGCCGGGTTATTCCTAACTCTCGATGAAAGAAAAGAAAGGAGAGAGAACAAACGAAAGAAGAAAGAGCAAGGGACCCGCCCGTCCTTGATACTGCCATCCGTCTGGGCCTGGTCCGTTCACCTTTTGTGCCGCGCCGGAACATTGAACCTGAGGCTCAAATTGAAGTTTTAAGCAGCCTTTGACCCAATTCTAGAGAGAGAAAGAAGCGCAAGAACCCCACGAGAACGGGAGAGGAGTGACCCGGTGCCCTTGACAAAATTGTACACAATCGTGTATTGAAGGCAATCATTGATCGCTTTCGTTTTTGGCACTGAATTGGATGGTTTTCAAAAGGTGTTTTTCTTCATCCCTTCTCTTCCACTTGTTCTCCAAGGCCCGGTATTCGCTCTCTCAGGCGTTCTTTCGCCCCCTCGTTTACATACAATCGACCAATTTGGGTATGTACTTCATCCATGGTTTCTCCATCCTTTCCGGGTCGATATCACGCATCCAGCCATCCACTTTGATTTACACTCTCATCCTCATCATTCTAGCGATGTTAAATAGATCACATGAGATAAGTACCCAATTCGAGCGAGCACGACGATGCGACGCGAAGAGCAGAGGCTGAGGAAGGAGTGAAGAGGGAGAAGGAAATTGCCGTTCGAGAGGGGAGGGCGACGAACTTGTTCAAGTTCCCCACCTCACACCGTGCTGCCACATCCACATCTCTTCGATGCCGGGATCGACCTAATCATGTTGACAGGTGGAGCCATCGTGTGACAATACCCCATTAGCGATAAAACCTCACGTCTTCCGTCACGGGTCCTTTTTTTTTCTGTCCCTGGGACCCTTCGCCCTCCTCTCTAGCTCCAAACCCTCTCAGAGTGGATTCCCATCTTGGAGGACTCTTTAAGGCTAGCAACATCTCGTCACTTCAAAGTAGATGAGGAAACTCGCCGAGGTGAGCTCCGGGGTGATGATTGTTTGTCGAAGACGGAATTGAGGGGATTACATGTGGTTACTTGGGGGTGGAAATCT